ACCTCGGGAGACTGACAGTGCTAGTCAATAAGCAATATAACTACATCCAAGATAATAACCAAAGTAACAAAACGGGGGGTATTTCAACAGAAAGAAAAAAATATATAGCAGGGGGATGGAACAAGGCATAATTCAGAAAAAACCGCAAGTTCAAAACCAAGGAAACACCGGATGCCATGAAGGGATGCAACATAAACATAAACTTCTCGTCCAAAGTTCATGATCACAGATGGGACGAAAAGGTCAAGATTGAGCGGGCGTCATTCATTATCAGAATCAGAAAGCTCCGGCGTACCGGACCGACTTCTCGTCGGCGTATGAGCGTGATCTGGGACAGCTTCCAACTCCGGCTTGGAAGTTGGCAAGTAATCTGCCTGGTCATTCAACTTGGCCATTTTCGCAGACCGTTCTTCGCTGCCATTAGGCGAGTCCATGTTCCAGTCTGTAATCTTGCCCAGCTTCCGATCGGTTTGTTCTCGGAGCACTTCGTAAATAAATTGCATCTGCATCTCGTTGTAGACCATCATCATCCGTTGCTCGCGCATCTGGTTGACAGTTTCGAAAACAGGGTCGACCTCTGGATGTTCCATATCTAACAGATGTCCGGACTCCAGCTCGCACAGCAAATGGTCAAGCGCGATGAAAGTTCCCGTCCGACCAACTCCTGCGCTGCAGTGCACGATTCGCGGATTATCTGGGGTGGATTTGGAGGCTGACAACTTGATCAAGTCGAGAAGGGCTTGACGATCACTGCCTTCGGGTTTGGAGTAATCGGCCCAGCCAGCAAAAAGGAAATGCCAGACAATCTTTGACTCCGAACCGATGGCCAGTTCGAGTTTGCGGATTTCAGAGCGTGATCTAGCGTCGAAAGTTGATTCCAACAACGTCACCCTACCCAAGACACCGGGTTCTGTTTGCTCACTCTCATCGAAGAGAACGTCCGACTCATCCGCCAGTAGTACCATCGAAGCCTGTTCCGTATCCAATGGGAAGTATTGAGCGCACTTTTCCCGGCCCGCTTCAAAAGTTTGAGTAAGCATCACAATAACACCGACCTCCTGGCTTTCATGGAAGACCATGTGCCAGAAGTCCGCAAGATGTCCAAGTTTGGGGCCCTAATTAATGGTAAGCAAAACCCATGTATAATTTCTGACGAATGCGCAACCTACCTGGGTTGCTATATATTTCCTTCCTTCCCGTGTCACCGAGTCTTCCAGTCTGATCGGAGATGCGTTGATAAAATCACACTCGCCCTCGGCCACCCGCAGATGGATCCGGCAATTTGCCCAGGCCTGGACATTAAAATATCGATTCCTCTCTTTAACTTTTGGGTCTGACTCTAGGGCCCAAGGATGCAAGAGATCATTGGCCAGCATACCCTCGGCCAGACGTGTGCGCTGCATCCATTCCAGATCCTCAAACTTGTCATGGATCTCTGCATAAGGAAGCGGTCAGTCACATTCCACGTGCAGGGTTGTATTCTCCGATAGGCGTTTATGCACCCCTCACTCACCCGAGACAGATTGACACAGGAACGGTGGAACATCTTCTGTATTTCCAGCTTCCAGGTTGGGGTTGTCCTGATCCGCACCGAGTATATCGAGGCCCGCGTCGTCATTCTCGGGCAGTCCGCGCTTGGTCGCCTGGACGCTGGTGTCGATCTTGATAGTCGGATGTGCCATCTTCGCGGCAGCGATCCGCCGGAATGCTCGGACTTTACCGATGACACCACGCGCTTTCCTCTTGACGGATCTGGCTTTGGACCGGTTTTTGTGCGGGGCAGACTCGAAGGAAGGAGAGGGCGAAGGAGATGGATCGGTTCTCACGTCGCTGTCAAAATCTGCAGACACTGATGTTATCTGCAGTGATGACAGATCGGGACAGCTATAGAAGCTGTCCCGGGAAGACGTGTCCAGGGCCAGATTTTTTGAGGATCGCGGGGGTTGGGCGTCGAGGAAGTGGAGGAGAGCGTCGCAATAAAAGTGCCCTCGTATAGGGTGTCAGGCCGTATACTTCCGAGTCCACCTGATTGATATTATCAGAAAACAGGTTAAAAAGGACCGAAGCCGAAGAAGCCGAGAGTTTAAAGAAAAGAAGAGAGTAAAAAAAAAAAAACAAGGCGAAACTGGAGACGGGCTAAAAGGAGAGAAAGTGGAGGGGCGATTAAAAGAAAAGCCCCGAGGTCGAGTATTTAGTAGTACTTTATAGTATAGAAGTGTTCTATAAACTCATATGAAGCAAACTAATATATGAAGCCAAAGAGAAATTATTTATGCTTTCATATTCTATCCAAGATACCACTCTGTAGTAACTGTCGCATTGGTAATTGGCTTGCCACCTATCGAATTCAGCTGCTTGCGGCATCCCACATTCATACATAATGGAGATCTGCTATTAATATTTTATTTACATGTATTATATTGGCTGGAACTGAATTCTGATAGAAACAGGGACCTTCCTAGGATCTATTTTATCTAGTTTATCTATTTTACCCCTTAATGACCTTGTATGACTCTATTACTTGTCCTTGTATACTCTATTTACTTCTTTTATTTACTTCTTTTGGCGGGGAAAGCCTTCCCTTCGGAGTTCATACTCTTTCTGTTTCTCTTCCTATCCTCTTCTCTTTATCCTCTCTCTTCATCTTCTCTTTATTTCTTTCCCTTCCTTTTACAATAATCTCCAATTTCCATCCTCGGTCTCGGATGACGCCCTCTTATGCTGACAGGTGTTGAGCACCCCCGGTTCGCATATGTCAACAAATCTCCAGAAATGGTCTCCCAAGCTCAGATCGTTGATCGCACAACCGCCCAAAGCACTGCTTCCCTAGTATCGCGTCCCTCAAGCAGACGACACCGTTCCGGTCGCTCGCATCATGGCGGCTCCTCGCATCCCTCCTCGAACGATTTCCCAATCTTCACATACACGGGTGACACCGAGGTCGTGATTCGCGCCGGATCGCAGGAAAGGCGTTATCTCCTCCACAAATTGATATTATCACAATGCTCGGGTTTCTTCGAGGCGAGCACCAATGAGGACTGGTCGCGCCAAATGGCTTTGTGTCCATCTAAGCCGGAGGGGATGTTGTCGCGACTGAGTGAGGATGATGATTTCTCGAACGGGTCAACACTGGCACCGTCTGATAACGGTGGACTCTCGACGCGACCAGGAGAAAAGAGACGTTGGCGGTATGAGCTTGACTGGGAGAATCGCGCGGAGGATGAAGAGGCGATCCTTGTCCAAAAGGTACGCCTTGCGCCGGCGCGTCGCATAATCTCATCTTCGCGAATAATGCTAACGTCGCGTGTTGAAACAGCAACCAACCTATGACCCCATGTTTAGTGGCGACCAAGCTGCATTTCCTCCAACAATGACCAAACCGTCCAACGCCCAGGCAGGCTTCTTTCGATCTATGGCGAACCTAGCAGGGATGCAGTCGGTGGCCCACCTACCGCAGACGGGGGAACACGCCGTCGCGGTCGATCCCTTAATACGTGACTATGACAATCTACTACGAATATTTTACAATCATGCCCCCATTATCAACAGTGTCAACATCGCATCGGCATATACAGAGTGCAAATCCCTCCTCGCATTGGCGGATATGTACGACGCGCTTCCGGTGACAGGGCCCCGCGTGGACCACCACCTACTCGGCTTTGGATCTCGTCTATTCAAACAAATCGCCAAATACCCACCCAGCTACCTCAAGCTAGGATATCTCGCCCGCAGTCGGGTAATCTTCTCCGAAGCCTTGATTCATGTCGTCGGCCAGTGGCCCGCCGCCCTACCAAGTCTGCGAAACGGCTCCTACGCGCCTCTACCAGACTCACTCCTAGATGTGATCGAAGACAAAGTAGAAGATCTCGACGAGCTCAAAGCTCGCGTCGAATCCAAGCTTCTGCGCCTATCCCTAACCACCTCGCGCGGCGAACGTGTCGGCCCCTCAAACGCATACCTGGACTGGCTGGCCGTATGTCTATTCCGCCAATGGCTGATAGAAAGCACCACGCCACCGCCAGCTCCCATACTTAAGAACGCGGGCCCAAGCGATGGCCCCGCCCAGCCTACCGCATCAGCGTCACACCCGACAAGCACGTCGCGATCAACCACCTCCCCAGACCCGTCTGCGCGCATCTATAGATTGATCGGCTCGTCTTCCGCGCAGGCATACCTGCCCCACGACGAGCTAAAGCGCTTCCTCAAACTCCATCCTACATCCTCCGCCGGCTCGCTTTACACGCGCGAGACTCTGAAACGCTTCGAGCGCAAGATGGACGAGATGAAACGGCTGGCACGGGATATCGTCAAGCCGCTAATGCGTAGTTTCCTCGAGTTGGAGCTGAAAACTCCGGACCAACCAACCACTGGCACTGCTGTCCCTCGTGAGAATACTCCGACGGGATTGCCATATCTGACATGCACCCGTGTTGAAGATATAGATCTACCTTGGAAATGAGCCCGACAAGTTCTTGGGATCTATCTATTTGGCTTACATTTTGTCCGCCCTAATCATCTTTTGGATATCTCTGCCCTATTATTTCTGTTATCTGCAATTTCCTTCTCAGGCTGCTGGTCTTGTCTGACGAAAGAGACCAGATTGTACTCCTGCCTCTGTGGTTTGCAATGATGTGATGTTTATTTGATCTATGTTGTTTTCCTTGTTTCTGATTCATGTGTTCACGAAGTCATGAATGGCTCTGCCTCTTATTTGTTCTGTTATGTTTTTATTTAATGTTCTGCTCTATCCTGCGCCCAATAAGCCAGGGTTCGGAGGTCTTTAAGACCTCAATTTTGTTTATGTTTTTAGAGATACCAAAAGATCACAGGTAATGCAATGGAAGGTTCATGAAAATAACCACGTATCCTTCTTATAGTATAGATAGCTTAGATGAAATAGACTTGTAATATATGAAGTATATATCCACCACATCCCTAAAAAGTACATAATATACAGCGTCTCGACGAGGAGAGCGAGAATAATCCTTCATCCCTCCCATCTAGCTCCGACCAATACTCTCCATCCCATCCATCCAAGGCCGCAAAACCTCAGGAATAACAACAACACCCCGCTCAGCATCCCACCCATTCTCCAAGATCGCAGCCAGCACACGCGGAACAGCCATAGCAGTGCCATTAACCGTATGCGGGAACCTTGACTCTTTAGCGCCACCGCCACGCACCCGAGCCGCCAACCGCCGACTCTGGTAATCTGTGCAGATAGAAGCAGAAGTAACCTCACCCCAAGCCGACTCCAAATGATGAATCTCAGGATCAACCGGCATAGCAGTACCACCCGACGTCGCACGCAGACGAGACGGGAAGAGCGCCTCGATATCTCGCTTGCGCGTCGCGCTAGCACCCAGATCCCCACTAGGCATCTCCAGCACACGACACGGCAGATGCAGCGCCGTCAGGATCTCCATCTGCATATCCAGCAACTCGTTGAACATATCGTCCGAGCTCGGCACGGCCCCGTCCACGCTATCCGTCCAGCCGAACAGCTCGACCTTGGTGAACTCGTGCACGCGGTAGAGACCCTTCGTATCGACGCCGCGGGAACCCGCCTCGGCGCGGTAGCAGCGGCTCGCGCCGACGAGCTTGATAGGTAACTCGGAGGCGTTGATGTCGCGGCCCGCGTACATGGCGGCTAGAGGGATCTCGGCGGTGCCGGTTAGCGAGCGTTGGGGTTTGGTGTTTTTGTCGCGTTCGTTCTGCTCGATAGACCAGATCTGTTGCTCGTTGTGTTGGTCGCGTGGCTGGAAGCCGCATGCTTCGGCGATGTAAGAGTAGACGATTGAGGGCGGTGCAACGGTTTTCCACCCCCGGCGTCGGGCTATGCTCAGCGCGTACTGGACGAGTGCTTGTTCGAGCATTGCGCCTTCGTTGATCAGGAAGTACCAGCCCCATCCTGTCGTTGTGGCGGAGCTGGCGAAGTCGAGGAGGTTGAGCTCTGTGCCGATTGTGACGTGCGAGCGGGCTTGGAGCTCGGTTTGGGATTGGCGGGTCCAGGTTGGGGGTTCTTCCGGGTTGAAGTTGATGTATCGGACGAGAGTTGGGTCGTGGCCGATGGGTGTGAATGGGGAGGAGAGGTTTGGGAGGGAGAGGGCGAGGCGGTTGATCTCTTCGGTGCAGGTTGCTTTGCGTTCTGTCATGGAGTGCGAGTCGTCCTTTAGGCGCTGAGCTTCTGACTTGAGTTCGGCAAGTTCCTCGCTTGGACTCAGGCCCTTCTCGTTGGTGTTCCCATTTCCTGTATCTTGCCGAGTCGCAATATGTAGCTTGGCGATGGTCTTTTCTAGTTGCTTAATGCGGGATCGAGGGGTTTTTAGGTCGTGATCGAGCTGTCTAGCTTCCTCTGATAATTGTTGAATTTTCGACGGATACCCGGCGTGTCCTGCATAGTTGCGATCTACGCAGTTCTGTGCATAGAGGTCGGCATTTTGGCGGATGTGTTTGACGTCCGGCGTGGGCTTCGGAGCTGTTGCGGGTCGTAAGATGTCTCGATTGCGTCGGGCGGAGGAGAAATTGCGCAGAGATGCTTTCAATCCATATGAATTTCTGCAATTGAAGCAGACATACGAAGTGAGCGCCATTGGAGTTGGAGAGGAAGATGACCCGAAGAGAACGGGCAATGTGGTAGTGGACCTCCCGCCTTACCCTTTTGGGAGGATCTGCATGTCCTCCGTACAACATGCAAGTATGCAGGGCCACCCACACCAACAGTATCGTCAATGACATTTACTTTGAAGTCAATACTTTGAAATATATCGATATATCCATTTTGGGGGAATATTACGAAAATGTATGAAGACAGATGCACCGAGGCGTCACATACCCTGATCAACGAAGAGCCAAAGGAAGCTCCAAGCAGACGACATCTATCCAAATATCGCACGATCATACTCGTTGCAGGTCTGTCAAGAATGAAAATTGAGCACGTGCATTCGCTAACAAATCTTCTCAGGTATTCTCATCTCGAACCTGGTAGGCAATGTTTGATTCAGCCTGTCAATCTCCCAAAGCTCATATGAATCTAGTCCACGGCTATAGACTCTAGTTTATCAGCATCATCACATGTGGCAGTTGCATCGGCATTCAGTCGAACAAATCTCTCGTCATGGCCCGTGAACGCTTTCCTTCTGATGTCCACGACATTCCAACCACTATATGCCCGTGTATCCGATCATCTCGGCCGCAAGACACCATATCTCACTGCGTCGACGCTCTTTATTAGTGGACTAGTTATATGCGCCAATACAGATCTATGGGCTGTTCTTATTTTTGGGCGTGCAGTCTCTGGCCTAGGTACAGCAGGGGTTATGACCATGGGTACTCAAACGCATAATACTATAGTAATGGCAAGGAGATGTGGCTGACTTGTTGTGTTAGGGTCGGTGTTATTGACGGACGTAGTCGGGGTAGAGAAACGGGGATACTATCAGTCGATGAACTATGCTGTCTACGGGATAGGTTCAGGGTAAGTCATATGTCACTTTCGTCCTCGCTATATTATCTGATTTTGACGGTACGTGGTTTCCTCCAGGCTTGGATCAGCACTTGGAGGCTTCTTGGTGGAGAGATTTGGCTGGAGCATGGTATACAAGGTTAGTTCGACCTGAGGCAGAGAAATGGTGATCACTGTTAAGACTTCTTGTCTGTGAAAGGCCCAAATCCCATTCGCGGCTACAGCTCTCATCCTCTTGGTGGTCTCTATTCCATCTCACGCTCGCTTGATGGCGATTAATGGTTTCAACCACAGTCAGAGTTTGGCATCCCTGCAAAACTACGATTGGTGGGGATCCGTGCTCCTAGTAAGTTATGCACCGAACCCATTTTTTCTCAGGGTGCCACCATCTAACAGCTGTTAATACTGAAGTTGACTACTTTGCTCCTGCTATTTGCTTTTTTGACGACTGGTGGAAACATAGTTCCCTGGAGTCATCCTATGGTGATTACTTTCGGAATATCTCTGATGGCCTCAACTGGGCTCTTTACAATGGTCGAAAAGAAAGCAAAAACCCCCATTTTACCTCTTCAGCTCTTCACCTCCAGTCCGACAAGAAGCCTGATGGTGACTGGCTTTATGTTCTCACTGATAAACTACCTGGTACGTGATTCCTATATTGCTCTTTGAAGTATACTAACGTATCACCAAGATAATGTATCATACTACTTTGTTCTTCCAATCTGTTCTGCTCGAATCGTCCCAGCAAGCTAGTCTTCACCTCATCATCCCATCAGTCTCATTCACTATCATTAGCGTTATCACAGCATCGGTTATCGCTAGACTGAAGACCCCTGTTTACACTCTACGCGGAAGCCAAGTGCTGCTCGGCATCGGCGTCCTGGGTCTTTTCCTCGCAATTGCCCAAACCTCAGATCACAGTCGTATGCCGGATTACATGTATAATCTGGCTCTAATTTTCCCGACTCTAGGTGTGGGAATGATGGCCCCTAGCACGGTTCTGACACTTTTAAATTCCTCTACCAAGGAGGACCATGCTGTCTCTAATGGGTGCTTTATTATGATGAGATCACTTGGTGTGTTTGTTGCCGTTGCATTGGGGACGACAACATTGCAGAATACTTTCGAGCTCTCTTTAGCACACCAGAAGGTCGATGATAAGTCCCGAGAGGTATGTACCACGTGCATTACGCCCGGTCATATTCCCTTTTTTTTCTTATTGGGATTGAGACGTGCGATTAACTAAATACAAACAATTTTAGATGATAGAGCAGGCGCGGCAGAAGGTTGAGCTGATACCTACTTTGCCAGACTCGATTCAATCAAAAGGTATGATGAAGTTGAGCCCTGCTGTTTATCCTCATCTGTAAAATACCGGAACATGGGCTAGGGAGTGATGCTGACTTTGCAATAGTTATCAATGCGTATTCAACGGGATTTACCGTCCTGTTCGGACTATGTGTGCTGTCGACAGTATTGATTATGCTCAGCCTCAGGGGCATCAGTGTGCAGGAACTTGGAGATGGAACCTATAGCAAGCAGACTGGGCCAGACAATGAGGAGGAAGATACGGTGGAAATGGAACCGGTCAGAAGATGATATAACATTTTCTTGATACAATCTGGAACCTGGTGTGATTATCAATTTTTTCAACACATCAAATAGGATAAGAATATCTTGACAATGAAACGCAGCGACTTTTTAAGTCTGTATGTTGTATCTGTCCACGGGTACAAAACCCTAGATGTGATACTTCACAGCTCCCAACATGTTTTTCACGATAATTCATAGTTTCTTATATGTAAATGATCATATACTGTTATTTGAATCAAACAATTTTGAGATAGCTTGAGAGTTCTACATTTCTGTCAAATTTAAAATATTTAGTTACTGAGCACAGGCCTATGAAGGAAGACACTTGCATAGTTGCTTGAGAGCAAGAAATTGAAGAAGCTAAGAGTCACATGCATAGCCTTGTCCAAGAATATGAATCACACTGCAACTAATATTCATATACAAGAACGTTGACACTCTCCATCACTTTCACCCGCCATCAAATTTCAAACTGCCACCTCTCAAGATACAGGTTCACCAGTTAATCCTCTTAGAAATATTTAGCAATGAGCGAGGCACAGGGTAGCTCGGCTCTTACCTATCATCAGATCATGGCACCTATTCGACAACACCGGCGCAGGCCATGTCGCCAGAAAGAGTGCAGGCAAGCTCGTTGACCTCGGGCTCTTCGCGCTTTTCAACAGCACCGGCGCAGGCCATGTCGCCGGACAGGGTGCAGGCGAGCTCGTTAACCTCGGGCTCTTCGCGCTTCTCGACAGCACCGGCGCAGGCCATGTCGCCGGACAGGGTGCAGGCGAGCTCGTTAACCTCGGGCTCTTCGCGCTTTTCAACAGCACCGGCACAGGCCATGTCACCGGAAAGGGTGCACGCAAGCTCGTTGACCTCGGGCTCCTCGCGCTTTTCAACAGCACCGGCACAGGCCATGTCACCGGAAAGGGTGCACGCAAGTTCGTTGACCTCGGGCTCCTCGCGCTTTTCAACAGCCCCGGCACAGGCCATGTCACCGGAAAGGGTGCACGCAAGTTCGTTGACTTCTGGCTCCTCGCGCTTCTCGACAACACCGGCACAGGCCATGTCACCGGACAGGGTACAGGCAAGCTCGTTGATCTCGGGCTCCTCGCGCTTTTCAACAGCACCGGCGCAGGCCATGTCGCCGGACAAGGTGCAAGCCAGCTCGTTGACCTTGTTGTCAATTGGAGCGGCCATGACACTGCAAGCGGCGAAAAGGATAGAGAGGACTGTTTGGGACTTCATCTTGTCGGTGATGCAACTTTATCTTGATATGAGGTGGGAAAGAGATGGAAGATGATGAGAGCGTTGATGTTGATTTAGCGAAACTGAATGATGGGATCTTCAAGATTCTTATAGCTCTAAAGCATTGACAAAGAGGGATGAATTGAGGGGATTTATTTTGTTGGGTTTAGATCCTATCTTCGCATGCAGTGGTGGCCTTGCACAATTGGGGGGACAATCTAAATGCACCAGGAGGGAAATGTTCTAGACAGTATTGTGGAAACAATATTTTCCTTATAGCCCTTGTTTCATCCTCTCTAGGCTTTTTCCAACTTGCCCGGGGCTTATGCAACCGACGTAGTGGGTGGCCTTGCATTCAAATATCACTTGGGGAGTGTTTGGTTGTTTCTAGCGGAGACTACCCCAAAAATGTAGAGGGCAAAGTTAGTAAACTTCTCCTAGATATGAATGGCTTTCGACAACTCTTTTTCATGTCAAAGCTTTTATCCATCAACATCGGATAAACCACCAATGTCCTACAGCATTGTCCTCCACGCTGGAGCTGCCGATTCCTGGGCAGGAGATTCTCAACTCCAAGAGAAAACCGAATCCTTCCTACATTATTTGATCGATTCAGCCGAAGATAAATTGAGGAACGGAGAAAGTGCATTGAAAGTCGTTACCGAAGTAGTATCTAATCTAGAGGACTACCCCCAATTCAACGCCGGCAAAGGATCTGCCCTCAACAATGATGGCTTCCACGAGGTGAACACCCATTACTAGTAACCCCCCAAATAATTGAATAAAAAAGAATGTTGACAAGCTACAGTTAGAAGCAGCTGTAATCGACGGTCGAACGTGTAGGTACCGAGCAGCAGGCGGCTTACAGCGCACCAAGAATCCCATCAAACTGGCACACAAAATGCTAGATTTCCCGGCGCCAGCTTTAATAATTGGGACCGCGGCAGATGAGCTAGCGGAGACAAATGGCTTGGACATGGTAGATAACTCATACTTTACTACCGACAGCCGTCGACTGTACTGGGAGGCGAAGATGAACAAGCTGCTGGAGAATCACGGCACTGTGGGTGCGGTGGCTCTCGATATTCATGGCAATCTTGCAGCTGCCAATTCCACTGGCGGTGTTACTTTCAAGCACCCAGGACGAATCGGGGATACGGCGATTGTTGGCGCAGGAATCTATGCTGATGATCAGGTGGCGGTTGTTTGGTACGTGAACTTGAACATGGCTACGTCAATGGATCAAACTAATGTTATCAACCTTCTCAATTATATAGTAGTGGAAGCGGTGATGCCATACTCCAGGCCACTGTGGCTGGGAGAGCTGCAGCTGCAGCGCGGTCGGGAACAGAGCTGAATGATGCCGTGGAGAAGGCAATCCTGAAATCTGCTGAGCTTTGCCCGGATTCTTCATGTGGAGTGATTGCAGTGGACATATCTGGGTCTATCTCGATTCACTGCAATAGTCGGATCTTCGCAGTCGCGTCGGCCAATTCCTCCCAACACCCAAAGCAGGCTGGTATCGCGAGGTCGACCATCCCGATCTTGAACCAACTCGCGATCTTCGAAGATGGGAAGATCAGAGCTGGGGTGGTAAAGTACCCAACCTTTCCAAATCAGATTGTGGTTCATCCCCAGCCGAGAGAGCCCGTGTTATCCCTGGAGGCCGAGGCCTTCGTGGACTTCTTCATCCGACTAAGAAGAGTGATTCAGAAGGTACAGAGTTTCTACCAGGCTCCTGATGTCGCATTTATAACCTGCAGGAAATCTTCCTCGGCATTTGTATTTCCACTCTTGATGGTTCCGAAGTCTATGGATATATATCTCAAGGATGACGGCCACACCACCACCTACCGTCCATTAAGCAACGGCCACCATGCAGTTTTCCACTACGTTGATGAAAAGTTGATTAAGGTTGAGATCCATCGACCGGACAAGACTGGGTTATTCTCCGTAGAGCCACAGCAATACTCCCAGACTATCCTTCAAATCTGGAACATCATCCAGGCTCTACCACAGGAGCTAGGTCGTGATACGACACCGCAACTTGAGGTTCATCCTCAACGAAAAGGTCATGTCACCATCTTCTTAGTTAGTCCTCGTCTATCGTCATTTCCTAAGCCAGCGACATTCTGCTGTTCTCTCCCTGAATATCTCACCACGGAACTGGGACCAAAGGTGACGGACATGGCTGGTCTTGGGCGTTTAGCAGGCAAAATGGCGGAGTATTTGACAACTTCACAAAGTTAGCTACTTAGTAGATAGACGAACTGATAAATTTCATTGGATTCAGTTGCCACACCCAGAGTGGTAGTGGTGGTACTAAATGACTTGTTTGGGCCTCAATTAGCTACCTATGTTGGTAACTAGCCTCAGAAGTTTGTAAATAATAAAGATTCATCTTTCGGTGCTCTTTCTTTTGTCACATTTCGAGCGAGGGAATAACAATACAAATTCGATATCAAGACTCCGCACCGCTCAAACCAGGAAAAAACAGCAAGACATGCTCCCAGATAATTCTCGCGACCTCTTCTGGCTCCAGATGAGTCACATCGATCTTCAAGAACTCCTTCCTATCGCTAAACTCGAAAATCGGAAATCCTTTACGAAACATCTTCAGTATCTCCACGTCCATAAGTTTTCCATGTTTTTCGCGCCCCGACTGCGTCATGCGCCTGATATTCTCGTCTTCATCGCAAGTCAGAACAATCGGGATCAGTAGACATCCTCGATCCTTCGCGGCCTGCGCGTATTCTGCGCACACACTGACACCTAGTTCATTTGATGTCTGGAAGTCCGTGAACAGATAGGCTGTATTGAAGGTTGCAGGCTCAGTCGTTAGGGACGTAAATATAGCGGTGCGGAGAGCGAGCCGAAGTGATTGGTACCCCGGTTGCGTGCGGTGGAGGACAGCGTCAGCGGGATTGACAAGAAGGTGGTTATGGACCAGTTTTAGATTTGCTGAGAGGGCGACTTGCTCGACAAGATGCCGGGCGACGGTCAACTTGCCAGTGCCGGCGAAGGCATTGATGTGAATGAGGGGATGAGGGGTTGTTCCGGGCATGTTGACAGGGGTGAGGTTATAAGACGCAAGGCACAGAGAGAGAGAGAGAGAGAGAGGAGGAGGATGGGGAGTTTATTAGGAGAAGAGACCAGCTATCAGAACTACCTAACTACCCTGAGCTAGTGGCTTGAACCCTTAGGCACCCATCTTAATAGATGTAACTTTGGAGGTCGCAGGTCAGGCGGTTCCTACTAAGAAAACTTCTTTGAAACCAATCCTATTCTAATCAAATGACGTTTGAATGTGTTTTCTCATTACTTCTCACTCTTCTCATCACAGTTCAGTAGGACCCGGTGGACCGTGCTCAGTATTATTCCCCTTGTTTATAGCAAAATATCACTCATCGCGCTTAGCAGCCCGGTTCGCGCCCCTCCTCTAGTATGTCTACATACTCTATTCCAATTTCTCTCTCAATTTCTCTCTCAAGTTATATTTCTTCAAACCAAATTTTATCTAGTTCATAAATAGGTGGACTTATATAGGTAATAGTACATACATAATTCAAGTGGAAAAACTATATATGGTAAAGTAGTTGTATAAGGGACTCTTGGTAAAGGCCTCAGGCCACCAATCCTAACTCTCAGGAACCGCCTGACCTGTACAACATAGTCACGTAACTTCGTCTTTTGGCTTCCTTTGTTAATAGGGGAAATTGTCCAACCCTGTTATGCAAGGTCCTGGGGGCGAATCCTTCGCGTTATCACGCGACATCATCTATTTGAAACTAAAAATTACGCGACAAGATGACAATTTGCCCGTGCCGAGGCATGGATGGAGCGATGTATGGAGTTCATGTTAACTTCTTCTTTACTCTAACATTATTTGTTGACAGTTATGCAAGGCCTCCACTAGCTGTCCATTTCCCTTATCATTTGAAGGCTAAGCAAAAGTACTGTGCAGCTCAACTTACCGTTGTGGATTGCGCTAAGCCTCCTAACTTCCCGACGTCGGAGATCTACCCGGTATGTTGGCTGGGCTGGGCAACCCCCACTGTGGTCCAATGCAAAGGCTTAGTCGAATCTTTTACAAAGTACGAAATACCCCGAATATCTTTTATATGGGACACAACAGCTTGATGGGAAGTATACGGAGTAGTATCCTGCAGACTTGTCTGTTTTGTGTCCATATTGTTCGACTAGAATCATTCCGAGGTCTCACATGCTTTAACCACTGCTCTAGACCGCAGTTTTATTATTATCCTTATTATCTACTATACTAGGATATGCTGGTTTTATACATAAATGTCCATTCTATATACTCTGTATGTTTACAGCATTCATGAAGTCTTTTGTATCCTAGCTATATAAAAAGTACATGAACGAAAGAATTGGATTGGACTAGGCCTTTGCATTAGACCCGCAGTAGGGGTCCACGGGTGATAAATAGCGTATCGGGTCGGGTAAATACTCTGAAATTACTATCTATGTTTGTTGTATGATCTATCATGGATTATGCAACTAGCACTAGAACAAAAACAAAAACACCTTGGGGGCCAAAAGAAATCCGTGCCCCCGATGGACAGGGGGCTGATAGGGGGAAATGCCCAGGACATTCAGTACTCTGTGTGGGGTAAGAGCGCGGGGTCGAAGGATTGGGACTCATATTGGTGGTCAGTCACCCATTGTGTCAAGGCCTCGAAGTTTCGGCACACCCTTGTTCCTCCCTCACCAGGCCATTTGACGTCGTATTCCTTCCAGATGAGTGTCGAGTCCGAGGCACACATTAGCGCCTGTCGTACAATGTCCACACAGTGCATGGTGTGATGATATGTGGCTTCACGGAGGGTGTAGTCTGGGTCATGGAAGAGATGCATGATGATCGATCTAGCTTGGCTCTAAATGGGAGGTTCCACAGTTAGCGAAGGTCAATTGTACTAGTAGCGAGGCAGCAACATGAACAACTCACCAGGCAATGCAGTTGGTGAAACGCAGCCACCATATAGATGTGTCTATCCGGATCTGACACTCCGCGAACGGAATGGTGTACATCCATATCGATGACCTGTTGGTCGGTCAAGCCGATCATGCCTTCACCCACTATATTTTGTCACATGTGAGCAATATGATCTAGGTAGAGTTAGAAGAGGGACGAGACTCACCAGGAAACAGACTTCGCCAGTGTTGCTGAGACACCGTTGTATTAAAACTCAGGAAGTCATCATGATAATCATGGTATATTTTTTCCACTATCTCCGGATGCTTCTTTTCGCCGGAAGGAGAGTAAACTGTTGCGCCTTTCAGTAAACTCTTCTGTCAAAGATAGTGATTTGATACTGACGAAAATAATCCAACTGGCTTGGCCCATTTGTATTACCGAGAGACGATGATTTTAACCAGAATAGTAAAACTCCATTGAGAATCACTAACACTGCCAAAAGGGCGAATATCGTAACAGATAGCGCCTGCTGCCAGACGTTGGATCGCGTCCCCCACTTGGGACCTCTATTGTTGGACGTGAATAGGAGTCCGCACTCTTCTGGATTATTATCTTTCTCCAATGAATCAGTTGAATCGGAGCATGGCGAGTATTGAACTTTGGGGGTCATGTTTTCTGTCTCGAACCAATGCTACTATGTAAATTCGACCTCGATAAGCAAGACGATATGGAGTTGACATGGCTTATATCGTGAATGTTGCCCTTATCGCTATCAAGGAAGAATATTACCGTTGGCAGGCTGAAAGAGTGCCGAATGACGGGCCCTGCATAATCGGTTCAATTGAATGGATTGGAGCCAAGCGAGCTAAGAGAACCAAGAAAACCAAGAGAAACCTCATAATTAAGCCGTGGCTATCGAAGCCGATACTAGTGTTAAGCTAATAAACTAATCTATACATATCGCGACATACTACTCCGCACGGAATGGCCCGCATATTCAGAGGAGTTTCCTAATTAGGACAAGCGGGGGTTCCGTCGGGTGTCCGGGGGCCCTAACATCTTCAGGGTGAAACCGTGTTATAATGCAACAAATACTATATATATCATCATAACAAGGTACCCCTGTACTCGCAGCAACGCAATATGTCACTTGATTTCGACTCCCTGTATCTTCTCGAGCTCTCCCAGGACCAATATAACCCTGGCGATCCATGGCCCCCTGGAGATTCATGGCCAATAGATGAACTGATCGCCTTGAACGATGCCACCAATCCTGTTGACCCACCATCGCATTTGGACCCAGATTTCGATCTCCTCTGGTCCCAATTAAATGAAGAGGGTCTCTACTCTGTGGCGGGTTCTTCTGAGCCGCCGCCTCTCTCCCCATCCCCATCGACCTCCTTGGCCCCTCCGCCACAAGCCAATCCACAACCCTGGACGCCTCCCGATATATTCGAAATAGGGTTCCAGGACACTAATGGTGATTGGCGCTGCAACTACTCCGGATGCCTATCCACTCAGGTCTTTTTGCGGGCCTGCGACCTGCGAAAACATTACCGTTCCCATCAGAAGACTTACTTCTGTAAGGAACGGGACTGTCACTGGTCGAAAATCGGGTTCTCTTCAAGCAAGGATTGCCAACGCCATATGAGGTCTCATCGGCCGATGATCAAATGCTCTGCGGCGGAGTCTCTGGGTTGTACGCGGGTGTTCAGTCGAGTTGGTATGTTATTTCTTATACCTATGTGTTTCCTCATCTTCCTGGTTTCGTAGTACTCCATGCTAACTTTTGAAGATAATATGGTATGCTGCTCTAATCGCCTTCGACTATAAATCAAAATCTTGACCGGCACACTAACGGGATCAATTACGGATCGATAGAAAGAACATCATCGCAAGATCCATGAGTTTTCGCAGAATAATCTGTTTCCTCGTCCTTGCAGGCGCAGTACCAGAAAGAAAGACGGTACCTCTAAGCCATGTGAGCTTGACAGTTCTGCATGACCCTCACATGAGGTAGCTAGCGGTGTACCTCCACCCTTTATGATACACGGAGGATCTACGTGTGGAGAGGGAGCAAACATCGATGAATATCGTGGAGATCATTATTGATACCTTGAAGCTATCTATATAGCTTCATATGGGGTCAAACAAAGGCCTGACCACAAACGGGCAAAGAGATGCCTGACAAACTGCCTGGGCAAGCAAGCAGCAATGCCTCGGTGCATCACTTTGTCCGTTTGTATATCTGTCTTGTCCTAGACTAAGTCGACAATACATGTACCTAACTGAATAAAGCAAACAATCGAGAAAGAAACAAACAAAAGTCCAGAAAACATAAACTCGAAACCCATTCAAGCAGAGCAAAAGCTGTACAATAGACAAACCAGTCAAATCAAGGCGCACACTCCAATCCCTTCAATCTTGGGAAAATCTGCACATCTCGCACATCATCATGTCCCAAAACCCAACACATATACCGTTCCGTCCCAATGCCCCACCCAGTTGTATCTAACTCCCTCTCTCCCCGCATATCCAAATACCACTTATAGTCTTCCGGATCAACACCATGGTCCCCCAAGCCACGCATAGCCTGATCCACCGAAACATGACGATTCCCACACCCAAGCACCTCCCCCATTCCCAGCAAGAAATCCGCACACTGGGCTTTCGCAACCTCTTGCGTTGGCTTACCTGGGACATATGCCTGATAAAACGGCACACTCAAATGATCCATTTCCGTCAACCAGCATGCGCCCCCAAACTTGGCAATAAGCATTTGTTCGCCTTTTCGCGTGAGGAGACGTCCATATGCCGGTTTCCCTGGAACGACGAATTCCCACATCTCGTTCGTGAGCTCCGGAAGTGCCAGCACCTCAGAGAGGGTGATAGTAGGGAAGGAGTTGTTGTTAGCGCTGTAGAGCTTGAGGAGCTGTTCCATGTGCGATGTTGTACCAGCATACCGAGCGATGTCGGGTCCGTGAGAAGCGAGCAGTGATTGCGTGAGATTGATGATGTATTGGTTCGCAACATCCATGCCCGCTTCCAAGCCGCCAAGAAGTTCGCATTCAACGTGGCAGAATTGGTTGAGGTGAGTTGCGTCGTGGTCTTCCCCGCGGCAAGAGGTGCCCGCATAGTACACGCCTCGGGGCACCTCTTGGAGTCGAAGGGCGTATTCGAGGAGAAATTGCTGCGAGTCGGCTAGGTAGGTTGGTTTGTTGTTCAGTTGGATACTAACGGGTTGCGAGTCGGAGCCCAGGCCCATTGGGGAACTGATGCTGCCTGTGGTGAGGGGAACGACGAGGTACTCGTAATTCATTTTGTGGCGGAAAAAGTCGATAGAGGCGTGGAAGAGTGCGCTTTGGAGGCGTAGCATGGTCCGGTGCCAGGGGCTGTGGAGAGCCTGTACCGCGTAGGTTTGGGGGTTTTGCCATAGCTTTGGCACGAGATGCTTTTCTTCAGTTGTGTGTGTATTCTTCTCATCTGGGATGATCTCGGTTGTGACAACATCGACCTTTTGCTTCTTCGATGTAAGGTATAGATGTCCTAGAGCTTGGTGACGCGGTGTGGGCACCAGGTTCGATTGGATGCTAAGGACTTCCATGACGTGCAGAGTAACTAAAAAAGCGCTGGGTAGTCACTTTCTGTTTGATTGAGCTTTCGTCAGAGACGGCATTCACGTATCGTATATATTTTGGAGCTGTGCACGCGAGAACATCTAGTGACCCGCAAGGTTGTCAAAATCCGAGTGAGTATGCAAGGCCACCAGCACCGCGCAACCCGCGATGAATGGGCTGGGGGTCCTATCACGGCTAATGGTCTGGTCCCAATTGATGTGAAAACACGAATGGTTGCGAGTTTCCGATAACGACCTAGTGGAGGCCTTGCATAAATGGATATTGAAATATGAGAACGACCGCAAGCCTCGGCGAATTCGGCGTAAGGGGTGTGCCGCTTGACCGCGTGGTTAGCGGATTGTTATTTATTATGTGGGATGAAAACTCTGCGTGAGAAGCCCTCAATCAGGGTATGCTGAGACCGTTTGTATATGTGGGTGGTGACGCCGTTTGACGAGGACGATGGTGTCGATGGTGACGATGCTGAGGATTGTGATGGCGTCGAGAGAGAGGCCGTTGGAGGATAGAGAGGAAGGCTGAAGAGAGCTTCCGGGCTCATAATCTGTCAGAAGAGGACTACGTCGAAGTGCATGGCGCAATGTGAGATGATTGATTGAGTAGAGAGTCGTAGAAGCTAGGTTCTACGAGCTATGAAATCTGACAGGATCGGACTGGATATATAGAGCAAAATGGGACAGAAACATGATCCGCTAACATGGTCCACATTTGTGCAATCCACACATTCTATCCGTGTTGTTTTCTCACTAATTTGGGCGATATTGCTGGAGTTGTGGTCGTTTGAAGCTCTACAATGTTAGCATCCCAAATAGGAATTAAACTTCTCCGACTGCATGCTGGTGGGGTCTCCCTTTACATTGGAAACTTCATATATTCGGTTCATAAACGGGATTCAGTACTCTTAGCTCCTCTCCCAATCTCCATCTCACAGCCCCAATTTATGCTTCTTAATCCTCGCACCCACCCCAGCGAGAATAAAAACGACAGAAACAAGTACACCCCATACAGGAATATGAATCGCCGTCACGTTGTAGGTGGTCTGCGTCGCCGCCACGACAGTCGCCATCTCCAGCAGTAGCAGAACATAGCCGCTCCGGCGATGATACTTGTAAATACGCTTCCCCGCGTCGGCACTGCCAAGGATGGTGACCGGCAAGAAGTACTGGATAACACCGACCACGGCTTGCAGCACGATAGTGATGTAAGTGGCCAGACCTAGAATGCCGTGAGGTGAAACAAAGTGCGGATGAGAGCCCTTGTTAACCTCGATGATAACAAAGGCTGATACAAAGAGGGTCACACTGAGTAGTTGAAGGGTGTTGTGGATGAGAGTACCAGTACGCTTCTGTTGCGGGGTGGCGGTTGGTTGCAGGATGAGAGCTGCTTGGACTTGAAGAAGAAGGGCAGAGCTGCCGAGTAGCTGAAGAATCTCTAGTTAGTGTCTGTTGGGATATTTTGTTCAGCGACTTAGCTCCTTACTGGATGCGGGGTGAACAACGAGAGGGGCAGGGATAAGACACCTTGCCAGACCAACGCCGCTAGCTGTGTTGTTTATTAGTTCTCTGACCGTCTGAATGGTTTATAATGCCCTCACAATCCAAATCCCTGCTTGCGCAATACTTGCGGTTCCTGAGTTTGGAGTCAGTCGTGGGTTTCAATCAGAGGCTTTCACGCTCACCTGTGAAGAGATTCCGATAAATGCACTCGTCAGACTTTTGTGTGACATCGCCTCGACGGCCCAATAGAGGCTCATCATCTCGCGATATAATTGTCTCTGGGTGTTCTTGGGGAATTCCTGTTGCCGAAGCCATTATGGGCGATTTGAGTGATGCTCATGAGAAAAAGCCAGGGAAAAGATTAGACAAAGAAAAAGATCGAGGGCGGTGGCCAATAATCCTTGCGTTTTGCTTTTTTTCAGCTCAATATTCTGCACGAATTACAAAGTACTGATTCACTTGTGTATTTGACGTGATCGTCGATCGTAATGACGTTTTAGATAGCATCCGCAGATTGCCGAGAGCTAAAACTGCCAGTGGCATGAATCCCATTACAAAGTACGGCAGCCGGAAACGGCCAAATTTGACATAGCTGACTTATATCGGATATTTTATTTTATTTTATTATTATCTGGATTTGGGCTATGTTACTCTGTTACTCTGTTCTCTGTTACTCAAAATAAATATCGAGTCTCACAAATACGTGGCCATCTTACTACATGTATGCTGATACTACACTACTCTTGAATACAATTACCCGGAACAAATTCCAACTGAATAACTTCATTGACCTAAACATCTAAACATCTATACTCCTAAACATCAAAATCAACGCCTAGGCTCAGGAGATGGGGCACCACTTCGGTCGCCTCGATCTGGCGAAATCCTATACTGAATATCGGCAGGGACACAAAAGTCCAAAAAGATCATCATACTCTCGATATCATTGGCAACTCTGTAGGTGCTGTTACGGTCCTTGGCGAGAGTATCTCTGAAGTATTGGATCCGCTCATAGACCTTGTTGCACTTGGCTGTCCAGCTAGGGTTGTCGTAGCTAGAGCGAGCCTGTCCGGACATTCTTAGGCCCTCAACTCGCAGAACAAGGAGACTTAGAGAATTGATAACCATCTTTCGGCTCCCCTTGTAGTTGTCCTTGAGAATGTCAATCTGAGCGTGCAATGTGGTCATGAAGTAGCGACGCTCCTCTTCGTACGTACCGTGAGAAGCGCGTCCAGGCATGGTATTGAGTAGAGTGGATTGTGAGGCTTACCTGGGCCTTTTGTGGTTGTGGTTTGGGGGAAGTGGCTTTTGGGCTGATTGCTTGAAGACTGAGTATCTGGTGGATGGTGATATGATACATGTAAAGGTAGTGCATCCGGCTTCTTTTATATCTTTGCAAGTATGTAGTCGAGTAATTGGTCAAAGAGAAACAAAGCAACAATGACTATGATCGGATTATTTATATCTTAAACATAGCACAATTATTCGACGTGAAGGATTGATATTGAACAAAGCAATTCTAGCACAAAGACGTACCATCTGCTTTGTGGTATAAGACAAAGATCTAGTCTATATCCAGCCGTCTTTTTATGATATTCACCAAGGCATTTTCAACACAGGCCCTTCCTCTCCAGACCCAACCCGGCCAAAGACAACCTCCGCTCCCAAATTCTTCGGGTCCAAGTTCATCACAATGTTGAACAAAGTACTACTTCTATTCGAGATATGGCGCGATGGATCCTCCTCGCAACATATTGCCTGAGGCTTGTTGAACGTATCAGAGAAGATACGTTCTCGCAGCAAAGTCGGTGTGATAGCGTCACCCTGAACACCTTCTTGGATTAACTCCTGCGTCAGCTCCGCTAACCGCTTGAGCCGGATAGGTGAGCCGGACAGCCACGGCGGCTCATCCACGTAGCGATTCTCAATGAAATGATTGGTATGGCCGATAATCCCCGATGTATCCTCGGGGATATGCTTGTCTCCCACGGGCGATAGCTCAAGCCCCAGGGCTTTGGTACTGTCTGCAACAAGGGTATGCAGAGCAGAGGCGACACCACCCAGAGACTCGAGGGTCTTTACGGCGTTGTCGACAGAAGTACTCTCCAAACACAACCGAAGCGCAACGTGGACCGGGACCTTGCTACTGATCATCGGTTTGGCGCGGATAGCATTGAGACAAGTTCCAACGCCGCTGGAGTTGAACCCAATCTTGCCGACGATTCCTGCCTGGGGATAGTTAATTATATGTCCGAATATAGACGCACACGGCAATACTGACCTCGGTAATCATATAGATAGTAGGTTTTCCAACCTGCTCAATCGATATCATGGCTATGTTCTTCTTAACGGCCTTCGTCCAGTCCCAATTCTGCGAGAGCACTCGCGTCGTCTCGTTTTTCTTCCAGGATAGTGCCGTGCAGCCATCGGAGAATCGTCCTAGCGCTATCTCGCTTCGGCAGTTGAGCGCTATGATGTCAAGCACATCTAACCCCGCACCCTCAGCGATACCCTCCATCTCCGTGTACAAATGAGGCGTGAGTTTCTGGAGCGAGGGCTGAAATTCAGTTGCGACTTCGCGCACCTCTTTCCAGGCTAACTTTGAGGTGTGCTGGAACATGGCATCGTAGATAGATATCTGGCTGTGAATCTGTTCCCGCAATGCGCGACCATGCTGCAGTCCGATCTAATTGTAATTGAGTCAGTTCAAGTTCTTGTCATATGGAGATGTTAATATTGGAGAACGTACTTCTCGGGAAGTGCCATGGAGCTCCAGCTTAATTGGCTCATTTTCAGGATACATATTGAATACGTACAACCTTAGAATACCAGGATACAAGGTAACTATATTCCGTACAGATGTTTAAAATCAAGGCTACCTTCAGCTATTTAATTGCCACGAGTGAACATCAACGGCCGAACCGGGTTCCCCTCAGTTGGAGTCATTTGGGGTATAACCGATAAGGATCACAATGACCTGCTCCAACTAGCTATGCATTGAGATTCAAACAAAGAGAAGCTTTATGCGATGATGTTAGACAGGGTTCTAGTGGTGACACTAGTCTCCAGTGTACCCCAATGTAACTATGGCTTCCGAGGTTGTCTCCACCTGGGCAATATCCACGGCTTACCTACATGTACCTAGGCGGGGGTTGATTACCAATACAACACTATATCCATGGATATAGTAGCCAGGCATTTCATTTATGTTGACTATTTATCTTCCCATATAATCATCTATGCGTCTTTAATCAAATGCTTGAACAACTTGTCCAGGTAATAGGCAGACTGCTTGGGATACCGAGTCTTTTCTTCGGACTCGAAGTCGATAAATGTAGAGCCGAAGCGATCCGCATACCCAGCGGCCCATTCTATAAAATATTAGTTTGTCAATTAGGGAACAAAGAAGACAGCCACTTACCCCAATTATCAGTGAATGTCCAAGCAAAGTAAGACCGGATATCAACGCCGTCTTCCTTCACAGCCCGCGCCAGCGCATTGCCGACATAGCCGTCAAAGAACTTGATGCGGAACTCGTCATTAAGAACCTCGGGCGTGGGGGCCGTTTCACCCTTGGCAGTGGTGCCATTCTCAGTGATGTAAATTGGCATCTGGTATCGTTTATAGATCCAGTTCAACAACTTCCTGAATCCTCCGGGTGCCGCCCGTAGCCACGGGGTATCACTTTCCTCTCCGCGAGACACGCCTTGCTTATTCTCATCGAAAATCTCCACGTTACCCTTGTGGTCATTGATATCAGGCGGAGATGTCGTATGCTTCACGAAGAAAGTTGTGTAGCTATTCATGCCATAGAAATCCGAGCTCCCAAACACAAGCTTCGATTCCTCCTCCGTGAACCTCGGCAATCGGTCACCGAGCTGTGCCCGCATCGACGCAGGATAATCACCCGTTTTGTACAACGGATCTGCAAACCAAGCGATCTCAAACTCGCGTGCACGTTCCGCAGCCTCCTGGTCACGCGGGTCCTCCTCATCCCACGCCTCGGACCAGTTACCATGTAGTGTGATACCAATAGTTCCCTTCTGCTGGGGCTGGAACTCCTCTCTGTACAAGCGCACTGCATGGCCGTGGGAGACGAGCTCAGTGTGCGCGACAGTGAACGGCTCGGTGGACGAATCGCCCTCCGCATTGCGCTCACGGAAGGACGATCTGCCTGGCGCGTGCACACCCGCTGCATACCCGGCGAGTGTATAGACTCCCGGCTCGTTGTATGTAATCCAGTGCTTGACGCGGTCTCCGAATCGCTCGAAGCAGACGCGGGCGTAGCGCACAAAGTCCGGCGTGTAGGCGTCCTGGTTCAACATGCCTCCGTACCGATCTTCCAGGGCCTGAGGGATATCCCAGTGGAAGAGAGTGAGGAAGGGGGTGATTCCATTGCGGAGGAGTTCGTCGATGAGATCGGAGTAGAATTTGATGCCTTGCTCGTTGACGGGGTCGTCGCAGCCGCCGAGGGGGATGATGCGGGACCAGGATAAGGAGAAGCGGTAGGCGTTTACGCCGTATGACTTCATGAGCGCCACATCTTCGCGGTAGAAGTCGTAAGCCCGGACGGCGTCGTCGGCTGTGCTTCCATCGGCGATTTTGCCCGGCGTGTGGCCGAATGTATCCCAGATGGATACGCCCTTACCGTCCTTGTCCCAGGCGCCTTCTATTTGGGCTGCTGCTGTGGCGTAGCCGTGGAAGAAGTCAGGTCGGAGCACATCCTTGAGATCTTGCACTGAGTTCAAGTCCATCTTGCTGTGTTGCCACTATGTTGGGACTGGTGGAATTGCGACAAGGGGGTTGGTAATTTTTTTTTAGTTTGGAGCTCTCATCGAAGATGCCCCGCAAGATCATACCCGGATAAAGTGTCATTGTTCTCTTCAATTTACCCCGAGACTGGGATATGCGGGTATTTGCTCCGTGGTGGTTTGGGAAGTGCAGGGGGCAGTTATGCGAGGTGGGTATAGGCGACGAATAGAACTACAACGGCGGAGAAGATGCCAACACTTGAGAGTACAAAAGTACAAAAGTACATTAAAATATTATTATTACGAGAATAAGCCGCTTTCTTTTTCAGTATAGAATTAAAAATTCAAATGTATTGATTGATGTATCTATAACATCTAGTTGATCTTATGCTCACCACGACCAGTAATCTCTACTTGTAACTCGTTGACATAAACAACAACAGTCTCTCCTCGCTCCGAAATTACAGTCACTCCACCTACAACTCGGCCATTTTCAAAATTAAATTGCAGCTCAAACCCACCGCGTGCCCGCACTCCCCGGATGGATCCAGTCCAGTCCTTCGGACACGCTGGAAGGACGCGAATTACCCCAGGCTCGTGGGATTGGACCAGCATTTCGATAATACCAGCCCCACCACCAAAGTTACCATCAATCTGGAATGGAGGGTGACTGTCCAGCAGATTTGACAAAGTAGACCTGGACAAAAGCAAGTCTAGATGCTTGCTGCATTCCTCGGCTTCGAGTAAACGTGCGTGCAGGTTGATCAGCCACGCACGACTCCAGCCAGTATGGCCACCACCGTGCTCCGCGCGTCGACGTAGGACTACTCCGCACGCTTCTGCCAGCTGGGGGTTTTTGCTGGCATAATTGCATTTCCGGGGTGTAGGGCCCATAGATGGGACGTATGACGGTGTCCGGGTTCGACCTCGGCGTAGTCGGTGGCCCATTCCTGTAGATACCCAGCAGGGGAGATCTGCATTGGTGGGAGGCGGGACCTTGTAGCTTGAACTGCTGGAAGAAGGACATCCTCGAGACCGAGTCTCTTTGCGCAGGATTGGAAGGCGTCCAGAATAGCACCAATGATTTGGATATCGATCGTTGATCCTTCACACAATACGCCCTTTTGTCCCTTGTGGTCGTAGAACGAATTTTCTGGAGAAGCAGACGGGCTGGTGACAAGGTATTCTCCATTGGCGTCTTCGATCAGGAAGTCGAGGAGAAACTCCACACACCCACGCAGGGTGGGAAACATCCGACGAAGGAACTCTTTGTCGCAGGTATATTGAAAATGATCCCAAATGTGGTAGCAGAGCCATGCACCACCTAGAGGCCAGATACTTGCCGGCATCCATCGATCAACGGGGGCTGTATCGGCCCAAATATCAGTGTTGGAATGGGCTGTCCATCCCCGACATCCGTACATGGTCCGAGCTGTGGCTTTGCCAGGTTCAACCATGCGCTCCAGTAGATCAAACAAAGGAAGCTCGCATTCTGACAGGTTACACACATTTGCAGACCAGTAGTTCATTTGAAGATTGACATTGGTGGTGAACCTGGAGCCCCATGCTGGATGGAAGGATGGGTTCCATATCCCCTGGAGGTTTGCAGGAAGCGACTTGTGTCCATCCCGACTACATGATATCAGGAGATAACGATTGTAGTTGTGATAGAGTGCGATGAGCCCAGGATCTCGAGAAGACTTCAGATGCTGGTCGGTTGGGATTTCAGGAGAGTCCGGCCCAAGTTGCAATTCCATTCGGCTGTACAACGACTGGTAGTCCGCAACATGACGGGTGCGGAGATTCTCTAGAGAGTGGCCCAAGGCATTCTCTGCATCTTGCTTGGTTCGCTGATCAATGTCTTCATATCGAAATGTAGTTTGCGCCGCAATGGCCAGCAGAGTATCACTGGAGTTCACCACCAGATTATTTCCAATCTTAGTAATTGTACTCTCAGCACTGTCGCAACGAACTGATACGATGCAGCACGCTCGATTACTGTTCCTACCCCCAGGCGTGACATGCATGGTAATAGAGTTGCTGGTAGCACTGACATCGTCAAGCCATTCGTTTGTTTCAAATTCCAAGTCACTCATGCGCGTCAAGCGAACGACAAACTCAGCCTTGCTCGACGAACGCAATCTGATCGCAAGCACATCATCCGGGTAACTAGCCAGGACTTCACGGTCGAAGCGAACACCATGGTACTCATAGCTGACATGCGCCGTAGCACCCGCGAGATCCAGTGAGCGCCGATAGCCTGTAACCTGACTGGGATCATGTCCCAAATCCAAGAATAGGTTACCGAGCGGCTCGTAGTTTCGCTGGCTGATCGGGTTAGCGAAAAACGCCAGCTTGGCGATCTTCTCAGCTTCGGCATGATTTTCCGCGCGTATAGCCTCTCTCAGATGCGGCAGATACTCGAGCGCGTCTTGCGGATTGCGATCTTGTGGTCCTCCATACCACACTGAATCCTCATTGAGCTGTAGCATTTCGGTGTCGGTGCGTCCATACACCATGGCGCCTAAGCGCCCGTTCCCGACTGGTAGGGCTGAATTCCAGTCCTCCGCAGGCTGCTGGTACCATAATTCCGACATGTTCAATAATATTCAATGGGTCTGGTCTGCTGGTCTGTGTTGGCTTGATGTATCGTTTTGGGCTAGCCGTGGAGAACAAGGCGGCAATTCGGTCCGTCAGCCGCCAATTTTGAACAAAACAGGCTGAAAGACCTCGAAACAGACAAGTCCAAGGAGCTAGGGGCTAGTAGAATGGTCAACAGACCTATCCAACTTGCCAAGTGCAAAAGATTCCGGGTAATCCTGCACGCAAGCGCCAGCTCTAACTCCTCCCCCGGCTGTTCCCCGGATTCCAGGCTAAATGTCTCCCCAGATTTTCGTTCTCCTTGTGATCTGGAGTCGATGCGGCCACTCCAGACTAACATTGGGGATAGGTTTAAGCGATACTCCAGCCAGCTCGACGCTAGTTTCCCCCGCACTCGCATCTCACTGGTGGGAAATCCCTCGCACATGGCGAGGAAAGCCAATTCAGGAATTGGCGTGTAAAATGTACAACGTGACAGCCATCACTCACCAATCGCTGTCTATTCTAGCAGTGTATCACGCCACAAGCTAATCTGGCTCCAAGGTCATGTTTTCTCCGTGGCGAAATAGGTCGATTAGCAGCAGTCTGGATGCCGACCAGACCGTTATTTTGTCGCCCCCTAGCTTCGTGAGACCGATTCACCGAAGCAGAAATACCCCGGCATATCCCCGCTCTTGGCTCAAATTTGACTGCAGCTCAAGGGTTCTCGACCCCATACTTCTGGGACGATAACATCTACTCTTTCGAGTCCATTCCATCGGGTTTACCAAAACGCAACAATGACCGGGCCGGATGCTGCCTATGCGGAGGGCAAGCTGGGCAAGAGCGAGGATCGGGAACACATTGAGGAGATTGCCCTGGCGCGGGTGACAGAAGAGGACCTGTGGAAGTTGTCACAGGATTCTCTGTCTCTCCGGTCGTGGACCGGATTCCGTCTTGGTCTCATCATGTTTGTTCATGGTTGTAACCAAGCTGGCTTTGGAATCGACTGGGGTGTCATCAGCGGTATCAATGCTATAGGTCGATGGCACGACTACTTCCGTTTCGAGAGCAGTGGTGGCACATATGGCTTGATGAATGCTCTAATGCAGATTGGTATTGTCTGTGGAGCACCGTTCATGGGTTTGGCGGACGTGATCGGTCGTCGTGGAATCAATTTCGCCGGAAATGCCATCGTCATCTTCGCATCTCTCATGCAAGGCCTCGCCACGAACCTGCCGATGTTCATGGCCGGTCGTTTCTTCATGGGCTTTGGCACTTCGCTCATGTCAAGCTCCCAGTACATCGGCGAGATTTCACCTATTCATCTGCGTGGTATTATGGTCGGCTTTTTCGGTGCGTGCTTCCAAGTCGGCAGTCTTGCTATGCTTGGTGCCATGATTGGATTCACCGATTTGCCTGGAAACAACGCGTGGCGTGTTCCCCTCATTCTTGAGGCTTTATTCCCTGCTATTGTCTGCCTTGGAATATATCTTATAACTCCAGAGTCGCCCCGTTATTATGTCTTGAGGGGCAATCTTCAAAAGGCCAAGGAAGTCATTGCCAAGTACCACACCACTAGCACCGACATCAATGAGCCCATTGTCGACATTGTGGTGAGACAAATTGAGGAATCTCTTGAGAATGACCAGACGGGCTACAGGGCCGCCTGGGACTATCGAGTTTTCTTCACCAAGACAGCCCGTTTCCGATTGCTGGTGTTGTTTTTGTACTCGCTCTTCCAGCAATGGAATGGTGGAGGTATTATCACGTACTATGTGAGCGGTTAGATCAAAGAACGCCCTATTCAGTCGCTAATACCTTTTTAGATGACTCCTTCAATGCAGCAACTCGGTATCAAGGGCGAGAAGCAGATCCTTGGTATCAACATTGGCACCACCGCCGTCTATTTCGTCTTTACGGCCGTTGGCGCACTTATAGTCGACAAGTTCCGCAGACGAACCCTGATATTTGTGGGTCTTATCAGCATGATTATTTTCCAAACGGCTACGACGATCACGTCGTGGCAGTACACTGTCCATGCCACTACAGCGGCAGCGGCGCTCACCATTCTCTGGATATTCCTTTACCAGACCTTCTCGGCGACATTTGTTGCAACCATGCACAACTTGTATCCAATTGAAATTCTCTCTCTACCACTTCGTGCCAAGGGAATGGGTCTTTACGGTCTTATCCAAGGAGGTGCCGGAGCCGCGCAGACTTACGGAATTAGTGTCGGTATCCAGAAGGTCGGGTATAAGATTTGGGTTGTTTACATCGTGTACAACTCGATTCAGCTTGTCTTGTCATGGTTATTCTTCCCAGAGACTGGCCGTTTGTCTCTGGAGGAGATTAACACGGTGTTTGAGACCCCGGGAGTCCACCCGGTGAAGATGTCGTTGGATATTGAGAAGGCCAAGAAAGCCAGAGCGGCGGCGAGCCGGGACGAGGAGGGCAGTGCTGATCGGTAAACATTCAGCAGCAGGGAAGATGTTTTATTGGAGCTCCAACATCTGGACTTTAGAGTGAAGCTTTAAAGCTGTTCATCTCCAAATCAATGCTTGATAAATGTAGACAAGCTTCAAATCTCCCAGTATTACACATAGATGAAGATAAATGCACAAGTGGAACAGTTGAAACGCGTCGGACCCGATATAACCCTGCGCCTACCCGTCGGAAAGGTGCTTGTTCTGTTACACAATTTCCGCGCTCTTTCTTCTCAAACGTATATGAGACATCAGAAACACAAGCTTTGAAATGTTTTGTACCCCTACCAACTTCCCAAAAGGATAGTGTTGGCTTCAACTCCCAAGGTTAGATCTACAATTGGTTGGCATCAGATGATCTCACGAGCCCTAAAGTGCCCAGACCTTCTTCAACCCAGCCCATTTCCCGCTGGGATACCTCATGGAATCTTTTTTTCTCCGAGACTCATCGCCACCAGTCCAGAACACAATCACGGCCCATGGGTCCCCTACATTTCGGCCTGCAGCGTTGCACAAACAAATCAGGTACCGAGTTAGGACTTTTTGCGCTCCCATCCTTTTTTTTTTACCTTCTCTTTCTAAGTGGGAGGTTATTTTGATCAATGGTTTGAACCTTCAATTGGTATCATCTGCTTTGTCAAAAGAATATAACGGTCAACGGGCTTCCTGCAGTCTGTAGTGTCACTGATGACCCGGTGCGGGTGCTCTGCAGCCCTAATATGGTTATCCTTGGAAGAATTGGATGGTGACGCAAGCCAAAAAAAAAGAGACAAAAAGAGACTATGTGGCTGAAGCATATAGTTCAGCTGGTTCATGGGGCCTTGCTTTTCCTTTTTTATCCTTTGTACTGAACATGTATGTATGTCTCTGGTTGTAGAAGAGAAAAGCCAATGGTGGCTAGAATTGCCAATTACTTATGGTTTGGGCCAGACACCGCATTGATACCAGTGAAATCAATAGATTTCTGCTATTCATCTTCTCCGCAGACATCGAAGGTTAAAACCTAACAATGGTCCATATTGAGATCTTCATGAAGAGCATGGAGAGAGAGAGAGGGGCGGGTAAGGTGGAAATGACGGGCAGGCTACATCAACTCTATTTTCGTGTAATCCGGTTGCTTACCTCTAATTGACCCTCGTGGCAATGGTAAAGAAGCGATAAACTTCTTTTCGATTGTCTCTCAGCTGAAGAGATCCGGATCGGATTGTTTGGTGCAAACACCCAATCTCTCCTATAGGCATCAAGACATAAAAGAAATATGTAAATGTACGGAGTACAACCACACAACATGCAGATGTCTAAACTACAAACCCTGATACACAGAGTGCGCACGGCCATACGGACCGAGACGGGACTGCATCTGCCGATTGATGCTCGACCCTTCCAGCAAAATTCCTAGAGTCATGCACGTCCGGTTGCGCGGTCTGGCGATTCAAACATGGTGTTACCATGGCTTTTGCACTAAAAGCGCCAGGCAAGGCGGCAACTAAGATCGATTGGCTCGGCTTCTCATCACGAGACAGATGGCACTGTCGCCAAAAAGCAAACGGGTCATCGCCGCTCAACACGGGATGTGCAGGGCCATACTTCGAGTACCGTTCTCAGAGGCACAAATCAGAATTTCTGCGTGAAGAAACCGTTGGGTTTGTTGAAATTCTCCTATGTTATGTATGTGCATGTGTCTTTTGATCTCCTTCTCTTTCCGGGATGGTTTGACCGTGGCCATGCTCCCCCCCTTTTCTGCGCAGCGTTGAGGGGGAATTGAGTGTGATACACCCGGCATGTCGGGTATTGGAGGGGCGATGTTTCCTTTGGACAATGACGGTGAACATGATCTCGTCATGATATAATTAATCGCAGATTTTCTCTTGCATTTTCCCTTATAGCTCTTTTGTTGGTCCTTAATTTGGAACCCTTTCTTTCACCATATTTCCATGTTTGCTGCTGGCGTGCTCTAGGCGTGACATCGCTCGTGAATCACTCGCTTTATCTTGGGACAGATATACATACTTCGTTTGAGCATAACACCGTGCATATTGTCTTCACTTCTTCCAAATTCCCAACATATTCCATTGCCAAAATACGGCTATAAGCACTAGTTTATTGCCTGCTGCATTGTATCGTCAACCTTCCACCCCTCTCTCGCGTGCTCCAGTCCGACATGCCCCCGAAGAGTACACAAGGCAGCATGGTGCCCGAGGCAAAAGGAATCACGTACGACGAATGCGAGATGGCCCTCTTCCGCGCCAAACTATCGTACCATGCCACGATTGACGAACGAGTGGCCTCAAAGAACTCAAACTTGACTTCGATCGCGGAAGCCCAGGCTCGAATCCTGAAGGTATGGGAACTACAGATGCAGGGCACAAAGGATTTGGCTGGCAAGAACGAAGGTCGCTCTGCAAGCGACAAGAGAGCAATGGCACAGTATGAGTGGAGATATACGGCTCTGGAGAATGCTGCAACAAAGACCACTGGGAAGGGATAGCGACAAAAGTGCTTTTCTTTCTTTCTTTTTTTTTTTAATTTTGCTGTTTGCGCCGACCATTTTGAATGATACGAAGGCATTGCTGGCGTTGGTTTAGAAGCTTCACAGCTTAGTTTGATGTGCTCATGCTGAAATACTATGTCGATTTTCCACTCTGATATCTGCTCTCATGGTCTGGGAATGACCTCGTGGGTCCTGGTTTCTAATATTTTAATTCTCTATAGCAGTTGATTCCACTCACCTGTTTGTAGGCTATGTGTGAGGGCAATAAGATTGATTGCCTGGTTTCAATCCGGAATCTCTGACTCGAGGGAGAATTTGTTGAGTATCACACAACCAGGTTGGTCAACATTGGAAGAGTAACGAAGTACACCTCGTGTACTCATGCAAAGGACTCGGGTGTCCCATTTGGTGAAAGAGGTTCGGGATATATGGGAATGAGCAATAAGTTCACGAATCTCTGCGTCATTGTATAACCCTGTGTACGGGCAACGCTGGATACCATGCATGACTTGATTCCCATTCATTTTATCTCGCAACTCCTTCTGTCCGCTAGATTAATATAGTGCACTGTATGCATGACATACCATGTAATAGGAATTAATCCAAACAGGGCGGCTATTGACGACTGTATCTGTGGGATAGAGGTATTGAGAGCGCAGAACCAATTGCAAGTCTTATTGGTCGAATCGTTGAATCCCGATGAACTCCGGGCTCTCTGTGTAGGTTGCGTAGGACAGCTATTACTGCCACGGTAGGTGCAGTAGGCGCAATTTGAACCCTTTCGATTCCTCTGCTTTCTGTGGAGTCTGTGCCTCTAATTTCTGATCAATGAGAGACGGCCATTCGGATAACGGCGCCCCATCGGAGACCTCCGATATGGTTTGCCATGTAGTGGGTCAACAGCCCAACTCCGAAATCAACTCCGAAGGGCCTCAAACCGGCATTGGATTTGGACTTAACGGCTAACGGCGAAAGGTTCAAGGGAATATCGGCCAAGATAGGCTCTGATTGGCTCTGATGAGAAGACCTCGGGAGGATAGAAGAGGAATGGGGACTGTCGAGTAATGGAAATGCCATTTCGAGGGGCAAGTCTCTTATCGATAAACCCCCCACTCTGCTATTTAAGTATACAGTCTCGCCTACAGTCGCCCTCAACTTCGACTTCTCTTTTAAACACTACCTCATTGAACATACAATTCATACAATTCTATCCAAAATGCAGGTCGCCGCCGCTGATATCGATCAGGTGTTCGCACACACCACCAACCTAGCCTCATGCAACCTAAACAGCAAGGTCCTAGCCTGCTCAAACGACTACTTCGCGTCAGCTGATAACCTCCTAACACCCACTCCCTCCATCTCACGTCCCGGCGTCTTTGTTCACACCGGTGCCTGGTACGATGGCTGGGAGACCCGCCGCCACAACCCAGATCCCTACGACTGGGCCGTGATCAAGCTAGGCGTCGCCGCAGCCTTCATCCACGGCGTCGAAGTAGACACCGCACACTTCATCGGCAACTACGGCGAGAAGGCAGAGCTCCAAGCTACACACGCGCCAGAGGGTAGCGGCATCACAGATGCCCAGATCGCAGACCCCAGCTTCGCCGGCTGGAAGACACTTCTACCCGCTTCGCCTTGCGGTCCCTCCCAGCGCCACGGATGGAAGTTCTCCGACGAGATCAGCCAAACCCCCTACACCCACTTCCGTCTTCTGATGTACCCGGACGGTGGCTTCGCCCGTCTCCGCCTCTACGGTCACGCCATCCCAGCTGCTGCCCCGGCCGTCCAGGCTGCCTCGGCCCCCGTTGAAGAGCTCTCGTCTGCTCTCAACGGTGGTGTGGCTCTTGCCGCCTCCGACGAGCACTTCACTCCCTCGTCTAACATTCTGCTCCCTGGCCGCGGCAAGGATATGGGTGATGGATGGGAGACTGCTCGCTCGCGCGCTGCTGGCCACGTCGACTGGGCTATTGTTAAGCTGGGTCTTCCTGGCTCGGTCTCCAAGGTTGTTGTTGACACCAAGGACTTCCGTGGAAACTTCCCTCGTGCTGTGCGCGTGCATGGCCTGGTTGCTGGCGCTACTGGTGATGGTGTGCCCTCCGCTGATGACGCCAACTGGGTTGAGATCGTCAAGGGTGACAAGCGCTGCCAGGCAGACACCGAGCACGTCTTTGGGCCTGATGATCTCACTGCTGGTGGTGAGGATACTCGGGTGTTCAGCCACGTCAAGTTGACCCTTGTTCCCGATGGTGGTGTCAAGCGATTCCGCATCTTTGGTCGCCGCGCTTAGACTTTTGTCTGATACCATGAGAATTATGTATATAGCTGATATTCAACACGTAAATAATGCATTATGTTCAAATGTCTAATTCAGACCATCTATTGGACCATATCCAACAAGAATAGTAGGCCCTCTATGCGGCCTTGTGATCTCTTTTTTAGTAGTCTTTTTGGCGGTCTTTTTGAGAGTCTTACGTTTAGATATTCGCCCCTTATTATGGTGATGTAGCTAGAATATAGGCGGTAGAAACGGCTTAATTCGACTTCTCTATGTATAACCATTAATGCCATTGATCATGATTATGAGGGGAAAACAGCTTCGTGCTGCCAAAGAAAAAAAAACCAAATGTATGATATTTATAGAATCAAAAGTCTAAAAGAAACACTAAAGAACTACCTATTTACTGAATGAAACTTGAAAGAAAACAAAAAGCCAGAGATAAACTCATCGACCCAAATGACGCCTAACTTCTATCTTTGCAAACTCGGGTATAAATTAAAAATGCATGGACTCATTTCTTTTCCAGTGACAATGGCTTCGGTTTCGGTTCGTCTGAAGCCGAAGAGGAGTAACTGGTAGATGTGCCGGGGCCACCATCTATACTTGCTTTCGAACGCTTTTCTCGAATAGCAAGACGAGACTTGGGGTAAGATGGCGGCGCGGGGGCGAGATATCTGTCCAATAGTTCGCTCAAAATGGGCGAGCGGACCGGTTTCGGGAGATAATTGTTCATGCCAGCCTCCAGGCATTTCTCGCGATCGCCTTCGATGGCACTTGCCGTCATGGCGATGACTAGCACTTCGTTTACATTTGGGTCGGGATCCCGACGCAGCTCGCGGGTCGCGTTGTATCCGTCAAGAGTGGGCATCATCACGTCCATAAGGACCACGTGGAATGGATTGCCTTCTTGGGAGCTTGCACGCAGAGCATCGACGGCTTGTTTGCCGTCGCTGTATGCGTTGCACTGGAGGCCAAGCCCAGTGACGAATTTGACGGCGATCTTTTGGTTGATTGGGTTGTCTTCCGCAATGCACACTCGGATCTGGTCACGAGGGATTTGGGTGAGGTCCCGAGCTGAGGCCCGACGTACTTCGTTTTCTGCATTGCTCAGGTCTTGTGACCATGCAGTCTTGACCGCCGTCTTCTTGGGCGCTTTGTTGAAGACCAAGTGGAATGTCACAGTCGTTCCAACTCCAGATTTCGATTCGAGCCAGATAGCTCCACCGAGAACATCTTCGATGATAGCTTTACAGATTGATAGGCCAAGGCCACTACCGCCATATGATCTTTCTGTGGATGCATCAGCCTGCGAGAATGGTCGGAAAAGGCGAGCCTTTTGTTCGTCTGGAATACCGATGCCGGTGTCGGTGACCGAGCATTCAAGGCGAACCCGACCTTTGCCCTCGCGTGCAACCCTCGCTTTGACCGTAACTGATCCAGCAGGAGTGAACTTGTAACTGTTGCTGAGGAGATTCATGAAAATCTGGTGGAGACGAACAGGGTCGCCAAGAACAACGAGCTCTAGTGGTACTTTATCGAGGTTCTCGATGGTTTCTAGGCCTCTGTCACGATGTGTGTATCGCAAAGCCCGGATGACTTCTGATATGGTTTGATTTAGATTGAGTGGGACCGTGGAGATCTTCATTTTTCCGGCCTCGAGTTTCGAGAAATCGAGAATGTCGTTGATGAGGGTGAGCAAGGTATCGGCACACACACGAATCGATTCGACGTATTCATCTTGCTCCTTGTCTAGGTAAGTGCCCTTGAGGAGTTCCGACAGACCAATCACGCCGTTCATCGGAGTACGCAGATCATGAGAGATGTTGGCAAGGAAAATTGATTTGGCCCTTGCTGCATCTTCCTTTAGCTTCACGTTGTGCTTGGCTTCGGCCTCCGCATTTTTTGCCTTCTGTTCGGCCTCGCGTGCCAATGCCAATGCACGCTTTTGGGACTCAATCATGGAAGCATTCTTGGCGCTGACCTTGCGGATTTCACGGAAGAGCAACGCGTTGGACAACGAAATACCAATCTGGTTGCAAAGCAAATGCAGGACCACAACGTTACGCTGTGTGAACCAATTTGGTTTTCCTTCCAGATGAATGACGCCGAGAAGACGATCACCTTGCACGACTGGCAATGCTATAACAGACCGACCCGTAGGGAAATTTGCCAGGTAGGTCTCGCTCACGTTAGAAAACCGTTCATCCTCGAGAACGTTGTGAACAAGAACTTCCTCCTTTGTGCGCATGACATAGTCCGAGATATGCAAGGCCATCCGGTCCTCCATTTCTGAGAACGGGAGACCTTCTGGGAATGATTTCTGGCCCTTTTCAGAATCACCTGCTGCGGCAATTGCAAAGCCGTTGTCATCAAAGTCGGTAGCAATGATGGCGAAATCGGAACCGTTGCAGGACTCCAAGATGATCTCAAGCATTTTCGTGAAAAGCTTGTCAATTTGAAGCTCAGATGACATGACTTGGCTGGATTCGAGAATGCTGGACAAGTCAATAATGTCTAGACCGACACTTGATATGTCTAGAGACCGTTCTCCGGCTGCAACACCATTTTGCTCAATCCACTGTTGTCTCCTCTCATCCTCTTCCATCTGCTGGGGGATCAAGATCTCTTCTTGTACAACATCACGGCTGATCTCAAGGAGTGAATCAACAGTCTGACAGCCAACGTCGACGGTTCTTGCCGATGTGGCTGTCTTGAGTAACCATTCATGTTTCTCAGCAAGCTGCGACGATTTGCCACCGGCGCCAATGGAGCTCCATGAAGCGATGGCATCTTGGATCACAGCACGAGCCGCCCTCTTTGCTCCACGTCTAACCAAAAACTCACCCTGCAGCTCGAGGGCCAAGGCTTCTTCGAGGGGCCAACCATGGATTTGACAATGGTCGATCGCAGACTCGAAGCCCTGGATGGCACCGCTATGATCGTTGCGAACCTCGGCAATCAGGGCTTCTAAAATTAGAGCCCACATGCCATAATTTGCCTCTGATGCATCTCGAGCAAAATCGATTTCGGCCTTGTATTCTAAGAGTGTATCCATCTTGCCATCGAGATATCCTTGGGAGGGATTGTCATTATGAAGCGTGAGGAGTGAGGCTGCCAGGTAGAAATAAATCACGTAGGACACACGTGCAGACCAGAGCCTGTGCCTGGTGAACAAAAGTTGAGTACCCACTTGGATTGTTCTGGTGTGGTGACCGAACAGGAACAGTGGGATCATGGCAAGACCCCAGTAGATGTCACGGGGTCTGTCAGCGTTGCTGGAGTTAACATCTAAGTGCGTCATATACTCAGATGTGTTGTGATTGGCGTCTGACATGATGCCGTCGGCAGATCGGAATTCGGTTTTGCCTTGCAGAGCGCGTGAAACTTGCTGGACTGCAATAAGACTAGCCCCACCGCGGGTATCTTGTTTCCACTTGGGAATTTCTTCGGGGGTTTCCACGCAGAAAGCTTCCAGCTGCGCCATGTCTTGACCCAGATACAATCGAGTCATGGCCATTGATGAGATGCTGATCAGGGTAAGATATGGGTCACCCATTGAGAAAGAAGCCTCCAGCGAAGCTTCCAAGGCCGGTAGTGTTGATGCCATAGGAACACGTAAGTGGCTGACGTAGAGATTATGAACGATCGAGCCTCTGCTCTGAGTGGACAATTCGGGGCAGAGCTCGAGCAGTTCCAATGACAGGTCGCTAAGTCTTGTGCCAAATTCTATATCTTTGAAGCGACTCATGGAGATCATGGCGAGATGGGAACAACCTATTGCGATCTGTGTGAATCCACCCTTGAAAATATGAATGTTTATCACTTCAAGCGCCATGCGATAAAAAGTCAATGCATCGTCCCAGTACGTGACTGTCATCGCCTCCGCCATGACTGAGCCGATAGTCACTATAGTTGGGTCCTTGGATACTGGCTTTTGAGCGATTGATCTCAGGTCGGCAGTCTCGAGATAGGACTTGAGGCGAAGATAGGCAGCGTCGCACTCCTCATAGGTTGTTGGTTGACGAAGATGCACACCAAGCTCATCAAGGCAGGTGAGAAGTGATTCCATCGAGCGGTGATGATCGCCAATCTGAGCGAAGATTTTGGCTTTAATGATCCAGGCTCTCGACTTGCTTACGGCGTCCTTGCCATGAACAAACACTTCGTTGATCAACTGGAGGGCATCATCATTGTGACCTTGAGACCACAACATCTCGGAGGTCGTGATAACTAGCCGCATGGTTTCATCGTAATAAACGTCAGGTTGAAGGTCATTCCACATATCATCCTGAAGTAAAGCGATGCAATGACGGAAGTACCAAAGTGCGGAAGGCCGCGCTCCCGACTGGAAAGCGGTTTGTCCGGCATCCCATAAGATCCGTCGATATTCGAGGCGTCTGCTGACGCGAGACTTGATAGTCCGCGACGCAAGTGCCACATGATGAGCCATCGAATAGCGACTGCGATGGTCGTGGTAATATTTCATCAGCGCTTGTGAAACGATGAAATGCATCTTTTCTACATTTCGACTCTCGTTCAAAGAGAGAGCAGCCTGTGCAAGTCGTTCATTGCCGAACCTAGGAAAATTAGTAATAGTTTTGGGTAGAGCAGTAACCAACTGTAGATGGCTCACCTAAACTCATCGTCGGTCTTTCCCGTGTTCAAGAGGTTTGCTTGAACCAAAAACTGCAATCCGACAACTATATCACCTTCTGATTGTCTGATAAGTGTGACATTTTGCGGACATGTGAGATCAACATCGTCGTCGTCGTCGTTGCTCGTATAAAGAAATTCACTTGTCAAGAGCTTTTGCACCAGAGAAAAAGAGAACGGGCTGCCCAGAAGAGCTCCCCAAACCATGATTGATCGAGCGGCTTGGGGAATGTCCTGAAGACGCTTGGTGAGAAATCCAAGTCCAAGCCCCTCGCCGTAGACAGGAGCCACAAACTCCGTAAATATCCGATCGAGGTCGAATAGCCACTTTGAGTCCTTCCATGAATACCAAATACAGTTTGTTCTGTAACAAGTCTCAAGCATTACCCGAACGTAGAAGGGATTTCCTCGGCTCTTCTCCTGGACGACCGCACAGAGTGGTGTCAATGTTTGATCGGGCTTCTGGTGCATTGTCGTTGCTACAATTTCCATGACATGCTCCTCTTGGAGGGGCTCCAGTGCGATTCGCGTGATCGATGGTAGATCTTCCACGAACAGAGACCTCACCTGGTCAGATGGAATCTCGTCCTTGCGGCTTGACAATATGAGGACACAGGGGAGCTTTGCTTTGATGATTTTCAATACCAAGTCCAAAGTTTCGTCGTCTGCATGTTCGAGATCATCAAGGCATATAGTGATCAGTTTGAAATTACACAACGTTCGCAATATCTCAAGGAATGTTTCCATGAGCCGCATGTTCTTCGAGGCAGCATTTGCCAAAAAGAAATCTTGCGAAGTCTGCCCTTGATCCAGCCCAGGGATGTTGGCGTGCTTGGATGGCTCACCCTTATCTGGCATGAGAAGATTGGCGTTTGCTTCAACCGGCCTGTATTTCGCGCCAGGGGACATCAGCTGCTCGGGAAGATCCAAAACTCTGTGTAGAGTAGGCCACATCGGTCGCAGGGCCATTCTAACACTATTATGGTAATCCGTGGTGACATCGCGCTCAGAGAAAGTTTGGCGCAACAGACTGGCCAATAGTTTTGCGAAAGGTTCGAATGGGACACGTTTGGCTCGGTCCAGACGCGTAATTGCTATGCATCCGAGTTTGCGAACTGCTGGCTGTATCCGATTTAAGAGGTCCGTTTTTCCAATCCCAGCGGGACCGCTAATTGTGATCACTTCACAGCGCTCACTGCGACGAGACTTCCCACTATTCTTCGATTTATTCAAGGAATGGAGGGATCCCGATTGACTAACAGTGTGGTTTGTTGATGGTTGACTGGGGGGACCGATGGAGGGGGGACCGACGGAGGGGTGACTATCGCGGTCTGTATTATGGGAAGACCGAGAATGCGATGGGCTCTTGACTCTGCTGGAAGCTGCTCCTGGGCTTTGGCCATACGCATCGGGGACAATTGATTGCTTCGGAGTGCAAAACGATGCGTCACTACCCGGCGCAGATTCAAGGTTGTTTACTTGTGCGATATGATGACTGGTGACATTAGAAGACGATCGAGGAGGCAGATGGAAGGAGCCAGAATCGCTAGAGACAGAAGCAAACTCAAGGCTTTCGATACGGCTTTCAGAAATGGACGATGCCGATGTGAGAGCATGCATTGTACCGGGACTTTGGGTTCCAGCTTTGGCCAAGGCAACCGCCTGGCGCTTATTGACCTTTTCGATGATATTCATGATCTTGTCATATTCTTCTTGACGCCCGAACATCTGCGTTGGGAGAGTGAAAAAAGAAGACACGTCTCCTTGCGCGACTTGGAAATTGCTCAATGCTTCACTGTCACCATCACCAAGCAATTTCGCAATATGGGTCAAATCTCTCTTCACAGATGAAATTGTGTGGTAGCGATCATGGACCATCTTTTGTGTCATTTTTTGGATCACAGCCGACAAAGCATCCGGAATATCCATTCGTTTCCCAGATACTGGCACCAATCTCTTGCCTAGTACATTTTGTACCACGTCAACGGGGTCGGTTCCTTCAAATGGTAGCTTTCCCACCAGCATAGACCAGAAAAAGAGGCCCAGCGCATAAATATCAGTGCGACTATCCGGCTCTGTGGGCATCCTCCCCGTCTGCTCTGGAGCAATAAATTGCAGCTTGTACTTGGCTCCAAGCTCGCGTGAAACGGAGGACCAGCCCTCGCTGAGAACGTTATCAAACGACCTAGCACCGTTGCCGGTGTTGGCAAGCTTCACTGCACCAGTCTCTGCACAAAAATGGAACGCATCACCTCTGATTTCACCGTGCACTGTCTTCAGGCCATAGTGTAGGATCTCCAGGCAATCGCATGCGCCGATTGCGAAATCGAAAAAGGCCTGTAAGGAGACCTGCTCGCTAGGGGTGGCATTGTTGTCTTCGCCTCTGGACCCTGCCGCAAATGAGGCAGGGCCAAATGTGACCAGATCTCGCAACCTGTCATGGCCTGGAGATTCAAAAATCGCAACCAGTAGCGTCTTCGAGTGGCCGCCATCTGGCTGTAACCGGATTAAGTCGACTGGTCGTATTGTATGATTACAATCCGGATCTGACGATTGTACAATTGACCTGAGCATGTGAAACTCTCGTTCGAGCCGGATAATGTTGGTGGAAATTCGCGCGATGACCGGTATCCATGTTTGATCTGTTTCCAGGCTATGGTGGTTGGAAAGTGAAATCTCACTGCTGGTTTCGCTGGCGCTCAATCTGCGCAAGGCTTGGGCGGATGGCCGGATTTCGGTGCGCGGGGAGAAGCGCGTGAGGCTCGACGGTCCGGAGGAGGCAGCATTGGAGGAATTTGCCAGAGGAGTTAAAGCATCCGGCTCTAAGGCATGACGGTATCCTGAGATATGCCAGTGGTTGTATGTCGAGTGAAACGGTTCGATCGCCTGATCCCAGGTATAGCCAGGTAACTGGCCTAATCGTTCAAAAAGCCGGGCCGGTGGAAGCGGCAAGTCCTCGCCGAAAAGAGTACTCTCCTCCATCTCTCGAGTTATTGAGTTGTGTCCGCCCGACTTCCTACCATGAACATGTCCCAGAGCGATCGGTCAAATTGAGTGGTGGGGGGAATGACGATGGGACGATGAGAAAAGCGGAACATGAAAGATGCAAGCATCCACAAGATAGATTATGCTCAGTAAAATGTACAGTAAACAGGCAGAGAAGCGTCGCCTCTAGGCGTGCAAAGTGAACACATCAAAAACAAAAGAGTCTGAAACAAACCAGAGTAGCTTTAGAATTGAAGATCATGAGAATTTTGGCCTGAGGCTGTAAGATTAGTCAGCTGTCGCAAGTCACACCGGATTAGGGCAGCTGATTGGTTTTGGTCTTTATATCGAACACGAATATGATCAAATATGCTATTTTGGGGAATGTGACATGCTCAGATCTTTGGGTATTCACGGCCTGACATCATTATTGAGAAATGGGCTGTGTATGTATTTTTTCTTATTTGTTTTATTTTATTTTATTTTATTTTATATCTGCGGCTCAACTTGTATGGAAGCCAGAAACAGCCATATCTGACGCCGTTGTTGGGCATATATGTGGTCTTCATATCTACTCTCAGATAGCACTATACTAGTATAACTCTCAACTAAGACCGCATATTTTCCCAGGCTAAGAAAGAGAAGACTATGGTTGCTGAGATAGTCTTCATAAGCGACGAAGACAGGATTGTCTACCCATTCATCCCTCGATGACAAGTATTATTATTGTTATTATTATTATGACGTCTTGTTTGCAGCCAATGCTGCAATATCAAATCTGTTTCGAGGCTAATCTAGTGTATAATAACTGAGCCATCGCGATTGCCTTCACAGCCTACGGAGTACGGAGTACTGATAAACTAGATGAAGTTCACTACAGGACAGCCCCTATGATACCTAATGGTACTAATCAGATCGATATGAGACATCTCAGAATTAGGGCTTGTGGGGTATGCTCCACGGCCGGACCTCGGCACTGACGCCACTCAGGCACTAAATCCTGTTTATTTAGCATTTTCCAAGGTTAAGATCTCAAAGATGTCGAGTTCTTTAGATCCTGTCCTTCTCACCTCCATTTTCATTCTTTTGCAAGAGCTAGCGCTTGAAGTTGCTCCCTTCGCACCATGAGCTCGCTTAGGGAACCTCTCGGCCTCTTGAAGGCGCTGTTGGCCCGCATCCCGATGATGCTCAAGACCATCCTCCTGCATGGCATTCAAATGTCTCCCGTCAAGGGGAAACAGGACATGCGCACCGAATTAACCGTTGCCATTATTCGCTCATTCATGGGAACAAAAGCTCCACTCGGCAAAACCCAGAAACAAGGCATACGCGACCCTGGAGTCAAGGGCCCCATGTGGGTGTCCAAGGTGACCCTCCCACGGCCCGAGATCGACGTGCGCGATGCAGTACTACGCGCAATCGAAGATCTCAAGACCGGCGATGCGACATACGATATCCCCGCAACAATCGCCGTCGAAGCCGAATGGACCGGGTACCGCGCCGGAGTTGGAAAGAAAACACCAGAGCCCGATCTCTCAGAAGAGGAGAAATACCACAAGCTGCGCGAGGAATCGCCGTCTGATATGACGATCTTGTATTTCCATGGAGGAGCCTATTTGTGAGTGTGCCCGATCCTCTAGCAACCATGCACATAGCTGACGCATCCAAATCAAAAAAGCCTTTTGGATCCCTGCAGCCACCGCGTCCCCGTCGCACACCTGTCCCACCTAACCGGCGCCCCGGTCTTCTCCGTCCGATATCGCCTGGCTCCTCAAAACCCATTCCCTGCTGCACTTGTCGATGCCTTAACAGCATACCTCTCACTCCTCCACCCGCCTCCAGGCTCCCTCCACAAACCCGTGCCAGCCAACAAGATCATATTCGCTGGCGATTCCGCCGGCGGGAACCTCTCACTAGTCCTCCTTCAAACACTCCTGACCCTCGACCGTGCATCCCACACAATCCGCTTCCACGGCGAGGATGTGCCTATCGAACTGCCCGCAGGCGTCGCAACCATCTCCCCATGGTGCGACGTGACGCGCTCCATGCCGTCTACCAGCCGTAATGCACACCTCGATTATCTCGAGGCACCGCTTGTGCCCTCCGACGACCCAGATGTCAAGATCCCGTTTACACCGCTCCCTTTCACGCCAGACGATATCTGGCCCGCGTCCCCGCCTCGCGCTGACATCTACTGCAACGGCAGCGTGCTGAGCCATCCATTGGTGTCTCCGCTCGCTGCCCCGGCTGAGCTCTGGAAGAACGCACCGCCTATCTGGATCTCGACGGGCGAGGAAGGACTCACAGACGAGGGTCTTATTCTAGCGCGCCGCGTCTACCAGGCCGGTGTGCCCCTCGTCGCGGAGATGTTCGAGGGAATGCCGCACTGCCACGGTATACTTATGATGGATAGGCCTGCTAGCCATCGTTTCTTCGAGGGCTTTGCTGGGTTCTGTCGTGATGCTGTTGCCGGCCGGGTCGTGTCAACGGGAAACCTCACCTGGCTGGGTTTCAAGCTGCAGTTGACAAAGGAGATCCCGATTGAAAAGGTCTGTGAAATCAGCGATGAGCAGGTTGAGGCCCTCATGCAGAGGATGACTGCTTGGAAGCTGGAGGGAGAGATCGAATTACAGAAACAATGGCGCGCGACAGCGCGGTTGTGAGTTGTTTTATATAGTTTTTTTTACCTCATTTCGCATCATAATACCCTGTTTGTGCTTTTAATGATCCTCATGACAACCCGTTTCCGTGATGGATGGGCGACAGCCCTGGAGGGCCCAATCCCGCTACCTTATACCGTTGGACGTTTATATGGCTATCTAGAAGACTATAAATAAATATTTGACTACTTTCTTAGAGAAATGTCCTCTGTAGTAATGAATCGCTACCCGGGATTGCATTAGATAGTAGCCGAACCCATGCTGAATTAGAACCATGATAAGGCATAAGTCCAACTCAAATGGGCAAAATAAACTACTGAGAGCCACCGAAAAGCTATTCACCTGGTCCGGAGCGAAACGCGCCAAAGCAAACGTCGTAAGGATTCAAAGAACAACTCCGGGAACTAAAGATATTCATCACCGTCCATTGCATCTTCCCCGGACAGCTGGTCATTGTCCCACCTCTGCGGGGGCGGGGGTGGGGGGCGAGCTGACCAGACAGGCTGCACTGGTTTCACAGGCTGCTGTGTATAGTGGACTTGTTGTGGTTGGGGCACAATGTTTTCAGCTGTGGGTGCAGACAGCCAAGGGAACGCAACTGGCGTTCCGTTGATTCGGATTTCGCCAATGATATTTCCAAGCTCCGGCGCATCATCCACGTAGCCATCCGAAATGCCCATCAATTGCGCCACGAGCCGAGAGAAAGCAACACAGATAGCGAAAATTGGCGTGAAAACGGTCGACAGATGTGACCAGCGCCACAGCATTGTGACAGTTACCCATGGGTATAAAGGCGCATCGGGCTGCAGGCAGTAGCCTTCGCAGCTTTCGGATATCTCGGGATGACTATACTGGTCCCACATCAGGCATTCGATGATATACCATGAGAGCGAGATGATGATGAACCAGCCGAGTTTGGTCGGGCGAAGGCGTCGGGATCGCGGGCTCCGCTTCCACAGCCGAGGAAGAGGTAGCGCGGCGTAGACTCGTCCATCAGAGTGCGTGCCACAGTCTTTGCAGGATTCGCCTGTGTGCAAGTGTGATGACTGCGGGTTCTTCTTGGTTGAAGAGCTTGCTTGCGATACAATTGCGGTGTCTCTTGTAACGTGATTTTCCAGGCCGTCAAGCCCTTTCTTGACTTCGTCGATATGTCTCATTAGAGAGTTGAGCTTGCCATTCAAAGAATCCAAGTCGACTACGTCATTTCCCTTTGAACTGGAATGTTGGAGCTGGGCCAGGACGGCCTTTTCGTAAGCTTCGTCATCTTCCTCGATTTTGGGTTCACCTGGCCCGGCGTCCATAAATGCTTGAAGGGACTCGATGGTATCATCTCCGAACTCGAGGTCTTTGCCGGAGCTGGCATCCTCAATGACCGTCTCTAAGGCACTTTTCGGTAGATGAGGTCGCGTCAACGGGGCCCTTGACTCCTTCCCAGGAAGTGGTTCAGGAAGGGCTTCTTTCTCGGTAGTCTGCGCAGGCTTCGGTTCCTCGGCTTTAGATTTGACCTCCGTTGGTTTCGTAGGCGGTGCAACTTCCTTGGCCTCCTTCGTTATACGTGGAGGAATGATGTCTTTCGTCAGATCTTCGGGAAACTCGACCTTGTCAGCCACCCGCTGGGTCATAGGAGTATCGATCCACGCGCCAGTTACACGAGGGGTCTTATCGTAGATTTTGCTTTCAAACAGTTTGAGTGGCTGGGGAGTTTGGACATTATCAATTTTGGGATTTTCGGTCCTGGAAAGTTTGCGTAGTAGATCCCGGGAGTCGCGCTTGGTTGGGCTGGGCCTCGCGAACGACGAGTTTTTGAACACTGTGATAGGGGAATTGGGGATTGGCTCGCCGCCACTGGTGGGTGAGGTCAACTTTGGCCCAGACTGCGCTTCCCCAAAGTCCTCCTGCGTTGCCTGCATATGCGGATTGGCGGTGCGTTCTTCAAGGGCACTTCTAGCAGAAAGTGTGCTCCGCGCCGGAGAACGAGGAGAGGTACGCGTAGACTTGGGCGGTTGGGTTTCTTCCCTGATAGTTGGCGACCAGCGTCGACGCGCTTTTTCCTCTTCTTCTTCGGAGACACTACGTTGGGTAGGCCTTCTCTCCCATTCTTGTCGGTGACCTGCGCGATGACCCCAACCAGTGGGTATATTCGGCGAAGGAACACCGTTCCTGTCAGCCTCTGGTTCATGATGATTATGATCCGCCTCAGTCTTATGTTCCATTCGTCTTCTCAAATTATCTGCCGTCAAGGCATCCCGTCCAACCTGAGCCCTGCTGAAGACCGGCGAGCGTTGGCCCGTAACGCGCTTTAGGCGCTCTTCATCCTTAGTGTAGTCCCTGGTCTTGCGGGCTCGATGGTCGCCGAGTTCATCGCCAAAATCAGCGTCGGAGAAGGGTCGTCCATTGGCAGATCCTCTGCCATTGTTTGTGTCCTTTGCTCGGGAGGATGGGGGCCGACTTCGGCTTCCGGAGCGTGCGCTGTACTGCGGCTCCCAGTCATAGTCGCGCACCAGATCGGCTAGAGCATCATCTTCATCAATTCGCCTATATGCATCTTCGAGTTCTTTGGGAGGAGGGGAGGTCTGAGATATTGGTGAGAACGCGTTAATCGGCTGCCGCTTTGATCGCGGGCTTGGTGTTGTCACAAAGTTGTATTCTTCGTCGTATGTGGCGGACATTGCGTGTTTTGATGCGTCTCGATACGCATCGGCTAGAGATCTTGGGCGAATAGCGTGTCGTGGATGTGGACCATCTTCTTGAGGGGGTGATGGGAGCTTCGTGGGTATATCGTAATGGTCGAATTTCGAGGCGCGTCGGAAAGGTGACGGCTGTCTGTCTCGCGAGACTCGATTGTTTTTATCGAATGACATGACCGAAATACCCCTTGCAGCCTGCAGAGGGTTTACATGTAGGAAAGGTAGGGAAAAAGGAGAAAGACGCGGTTGTCCTGCGCTGTGAAGAAATGACGGAGGTAAATACTACGCTCTCATTCCCCAATGTGGTTAGGCCGTCTAAATTCATTCCGCATTACGTCGACTCCTTCAACCACCGACAACTTGTCTTCTCAACTTGTCTTTTACTCATATTTGCCCTCGAGATATTATCAGGAGAAAATTTACAACCTCGTGATGCTCAAATGACCCTCATCTTATCTTGACATGTGACACGTTCAGTCGCCCCATCCTCGAAAGCTTCGATAAAAGCAACAACACTCGCATTCTAAACCCTTGAACAAGCTTCAACACAGATCATATCCTACAATTTAGTGGAATATACATATATCAACCCCCGCTATGGCAAAATCATCACGGCGCTCAGGTCGTGGCAAGACGCCAACGTCTTCCGGAGCCTCAACACCAAGCTCCGCATCCTCAGGTCCGATCCCACCATTCAACAAAGTCCCGGAAGCCTTGCAACCGTTTGTCGAACCACTCTCCCCCGACGAAGTATACCTAGTCCACATCGACATCACAGCGGAGGAACTCAAGCGGCAAACCTTCACCGTACCCCTCATCGTCAACCTGGTAGTAGCTGCTGTGATTTGTCTACGGGTGTACATGGGAATCAGTACATATCCAGCGCTCGTGGGAACGCTGATCGGGCTCCAAAGTTCCATGACTGTGGACACAGCTACCCCGTGGACAGAAGCGGTACAAATCATCCTGCGCCGGACGGGAACTATATGCATCGACTACTTCCTCGTGACCCTGTTGTGGTCATGGCCTGTTAATTTCATCAGAGGGCCCGTGCGCTGGCGTCGCGCCATCGGTTTCCGTGAGAGCGAGATCATAGTCCGCCGCAGTAACCGCAGTTGGAGCAAGGAGCTCGAGCGCAACAGGTGGATCCGCGAAGACGAGGCGCGTCGCGATAAGATCGTCGCCGCTGTGACTCCCGAGCGAATCGGAAAAACTGGTTACTTGCTCGTGGACGAGGATTGGAACTTAGACTACGCGGCTATGGTCCGCGCTCATGCTCTTGTTGATCGCACTCGCAGAGGCGATGGTATACAGATGGATGAATTCCGCACTGCCGTGCTGGTTAACACTGATGCTGACGGTTGGCTGATCTGGCGTGTCGGGGATGAGAATACCCCCACTGGCCAAAAGCGATCGGTTCAGCGCGACCAAATCCTCGCCTTCAAGGAGAAGTTGACCGAGATGGGCAAGGAGGATCTTTTCCTCCGTTGGGTCGAGCTAATTCAATGGGAGAGCTCGCAGCCTGGTGGCTTCACTGCGGAACGGCAACGGTCTGCGATGCTGCAAGCGAAGCAGATGTTCGAAGATGAGAACGTGGATTTCAGTCAATTCTGGGACGACATGGGCGGAATGGAAGGCGTGGAAGGATTAGACTAGTGGTTTATTGTTTCACGATCATGATCACATCTCTTACATTTCATTCAACCTCGGCTTACTCGCTATGTAAATTGCTGCTCCCTGTACCGTACCCGAATGTTTTGACTTTGTTTCATAAAGCTCGACCGGCACATCATACCCTATACCACTGCAAGTAGATCGATATATTCAGGTGTAGATTGCATTGTTGGGTATCTGGACTAAATCAATGTCAAAAGCAAATGGGACATGTATGGATCCCCGAATGGCGCGCAATTCGCGCTGCACGCACTGACGGGAGAAACCAAAACAAAAATAGAAAGAACAATGCCATGCCCTAGTACGCCAGAGCTTGTTAAAAAAAAAAAACAGAGAACAGTCTATGGTGCGCCACCCTCGAGCCGATAGTCAAGAGACCACAATTTCTCCCACGGGCGAGATCGACCATTGTGTCGACGATCAGACGTCGACTGAGAGGGAGAAGAAGCGGTGCCACTTATATTTGGTTGAGCCGATGCAGATAGAGGATCCTAAGCCAAAGAAAACCATTAGCACCTGATATCAGATCATACAAAAACAGACCCGGAAAAGACGGAAGATAAATAAGTCAATCCCTACTTTTCACGGGCCGGAGAGCAGGTCACGGCGAACCTCGTCGAAGATCGGAGCAGCCTCTCGAGGCTGCGAGCCTGTGTCAGCTTCGGCGGGGCGGACAAGATCAGTCGTGGATTCGACAGCGTGCTGCGACGGCGTGGGTGTGCCGCGCTTGGAATTCGAGCTCTCGCGGCGGCTATCAAGGCTCCTAGATAGGGTTTTGGCAATGGCGCCCTCGTCCGTACCACGTTTGAGGCGGATGCTACCCTTGGCATCGACGTGCGCCGATGCAACTGTGCTCTTCGCTATGCCTGGTGTAGCAGGCGCACCGGGCTTTTCTTCTACAGCCTCGAGGAGATACCAACGCAGACCATCTGAAAGCTCGAATGGATTCTCGTCGTCTAGAGAGGCGCCGTCGCTGGCGTCCCCGAGCGAGCGACGGTCTGGCGCGACACCGTTCATTGACTTGGACAGATCTACAACTCGTTCCTCGATCTTGGTGATGCGGGCGAGAAGCCAGTCTCGAGCTTGTAGTTTGTGGGAATCTTGCTCGCGGAGGAAATAGTGCGGCGCACCCACGTTGAAGGCTGCCCAGGAGCGAATGGCCTGATTCCGTGTGGGAAGGAAGAGAGCAAGATCGCCTTCTTTGAAGGATCTGTAGGCAATCTTGTCATGAGCCTCGCTCTGAACTCGATGGTATTTTTCACGATAGCCTCTAGCTTCCTTTTGCCATTTGCGGGCTAGGAGTTCGATGTCCTTGACGCGTTTGACAACAACATCACCGAATATGGCCACGTCGAACTGAGCTAGACTTTCCATGAAAGCCGAGAATTTGGTCTCTTCATCCTCCAGGCTTTCGGCTTTCATCCAGTCCAGAAGCGCTGTATCCGGCTTCAGGGATACAATGCCTGACTGAGCGAGGCTTTCACCTAGGCCCAACGATGCACTGAGCTTCGAAGCACGCTGAACAAGAAGCTGACCGTCTTGCTGAATGATGGTGAAACCCAATTGCTCGAGCATCCGACCCAGCTTGTCAACCTGCGCGAAGAGTTGATTTGAAAGCTCGAGGGACTTGGTACCCCGAGCTTCGAACCGTGCCACAGCCTTTCCCTCGGTCTCCGAAGTGGCCCCTGCCTTTCTCTCCCATTCTGCGGCCTGGTCTTTCAAATTTCGAGCTTCACTCTCAGCTTCAGCCAGTTTTCGCGACAGCTCTGCCTGCTTCCGTTCCTCTTCGGCGATCTGTTCACGCAGGGCTTCGGAGCCACTTTCTCCGGCAGTAATTTGAGAGTGCAAGGAACTGAACTTAGATCGCTCTTTGTCCAGTTCAGCGGTCAAGTTCTCTGACTTTGATCGCGCGTGTGAGAGCTCTGCAGTCAGTCGCGACAATTCGGCCTCGTGTTCGTCGAACCTCTTTGTCCGCTCTTCTGCCTCCGACTCGAATCTCACAATCTGTTCTTCAAGGGCCTTGTTCTCAGCCATTGTCTGAGTTGCATTCGATTCCGCGCTTTTGGCGTGGATAGACAGACCCTCGGAGAGAACTTCAATGGCTTTGATTACTTCGGGAAGTTCGACAGGCACAATGCCCCCAGGTGAGAGGTTCAGGAAGATAGCTTGGAGGGCTTGGTAACTTTCCTGATGCTTTTGCTCGAACTCCGCTTGCCGGTGCTCGAGATCATCAATCTTAGCCTGGAGGCTTTCTTCTCGCTCTTGCCGAGTCTGAATCTGTGCATTAAGATCAAAGATTTTCTGTGAGTCTTCAGCGGAATTTGCGTGAGCATTTTCAAGGTCAACTTCGAGCTGGTGCATCCGGTCGTCAATCTCTTGTCTTCCATGCTCTCTGCTATCCATGAGGCGATCAAGCTCTTCTTCCATTTCCTCAGTACGGAGTCTAAACTTCTTCAGCTCCGAGTCCAGATATCGGCGCTCATCTTCGAATTCGCGTTGGCGCGCTTCAAGGTTGCCTATGAGGTCCTTTTTGGTGGATTGGGCTTCTTGGAACTTGTCGGAGTTGGTTTGCCGTTCGGCGTGGGCTTCCTTATGGAGTCGCTGGACCGCATCTCTCTCGGTCGCTAACTCTGCTTCAAGTGAAACGATGCGCTGGATGAGTGCTTTGTCCTCGGGTGACTGAGTCGCTGAGACTCGCCTCGAAGAGACGGATGACCGCCTAGATAGTTCATCAGGGTGCGGAGATGCAGGTGAACCGGGGAAGTCTGGGCCGAAGGTGCCGCTCGATGGCCGGCTGAGCTGACTCTGACGATGCAAAAGGTCTTCCAATTTCCGGACGCGACTGTCAGACCCCTTGAGTCTTTCTTCTAGCTTTGTCTTTTCTTCCTGTAAGCTACGGACGGAGTCATCGGCGCGTAATATAGAGCTCCGGCTCAAGTCAAATACGCTGCCTTGTTTGAACGCTTTGGCCCGTCGTCTTTGCTGCCGAGTGGGTGCATCCAGCTCCTTGAGTTGCTGGGTGAGCTCTTCCGCTAGGTTGGTCAAGGAATGAGTGGTCTTTAAATCGTCGATGTAATACTCGATTTCTTTCCGAGCTACTTCAGGCCATTCCTCATCCTGACCTTGAAGGTTGACTTCGATTCCTGGTGTGGTGGAATCAGTCACGGTCATAAAGTCTCCCATGTTTTTAAGCCATTTCTTTCTGCGACGTTGCTCTTCATCTCTCAAAACTGCCATCTCCTCGGCCAGCGTCAAGGAGTCAGTCTTGATCTTATCACTCCATTCTCGCCGCCGCACGGATTCAATAAGAATGGATCCATACACCATTGGCATCTGGAAGACAGAGTAGATGACCTCAAAGGCATTACTCCCCACGTCCAGATTGACCATTCGTGCATGGGCGTCGGCAAGTCTAGACTCAAGGGAGGATATCGTGCGCATATGCTCAATGGCCGCTTTCTCCGTGGCCCCCCTGCGCTGCACAGCGTGCTCCAGTGCAGCTTGAAGCTCGACGCTAATCTCCGCCAGCGATGGAAGAAGGTCCTGGGTATGACTGAATGCAAGTCTTGATATATTGGCCAACGTTTTCTGGTTGTTCGGCAGGCTGAGAACATGCTCATAATCAGACCCAATCTTCTTCGCAATAGTCTCCACTTCTTCCAACAACCCATCCACCCCGTCGAAATTTGAGGCAAGGGCCTCGTCCACCAGTTGTTGAGTGTCCGAGGCGATGTCGCCGATTGTCTTCTCAATGTCATGGACGCTACCAGCAAAGGCCGAGGACACAGATGCTGCCTCTGATCCAGCCCGTTGAACCTCGCCCACGTCGACAAAGTCACGGAGCGTTCCGGTTGGTCGATCCTTGTCCATTTTGGGCGTGGACGGGCGTCCAAGAAGAGGGAAATCTTTACGCGCCGGAATGTTGTCCAGTTTAGAAAGAGCTCGTTGCCAGCCATCTAAAGCGGCCCGTTGCTCTTCTAAAAGGCTATTCGCCCACGACTGTGCCTCTTGAAATCGATGCTCTAGGTTACCCACATGAGACTTGAGATTCTCCAGAGCCACGCCCACTGCGCGATTTATAACCTCAGTTCGCTCGTTATGTTCTCGGAGGTTCTTATCAATCGACCCACAGCGACTGGAGAGGTCCAGTGCCCAGTTGCGCCGTGTCATATAGAGGTTCCGCCATGCCTGAAGGTCGTTCAGGTCTTTGAGGGTAGCCGGGGGGCTACCGGGTCGGAATGGTTCAGGAGGAGGTAGTTCCGGAAATTCGACATCGCCTGGTTCACTGACGTATTGTCGGTCATATACAAAGATCTCGTTCTGCAATGGTTGGCTACAAGTTAGCATATTTCCAGGTCATGATTGATATCGATAATGTCGCACCTCGGTAGCTAGCGTTTGGATCTTGACATTCTTTCCTCGGGCGGTCATCAATATTTGCCGTGGTGGCGGAATAGATGTATTGCGAACGATCCATGACTTTAAAGCATCGGGACTATAGACATTGGACGGGCGTCAGCTGGAGTTCGGATAGGTCCATTCAAACATAAATAACAGATAGTAGCGATCATCAAATCATTAAGTAGAGATAGTGGGGACATACGAGGCAAATGCCACTGGATCAGCCAGGAAATGCTCCCCAGTGTGAGCAATGTAGATGTGCAACGACATTACCCCCTCCTCCGCGCCAGGCGAGCTTAGATGCTCAGTAAGAGAGAAAAGTGAGAAATATTTCCCAGAGAAGAAGAGACATGTAAGAGAAGAAAGTAAATAATGAGAGTCCTGAAGCCTCCGATCAGGCTGGTCAGGTCGTTGAAGGTTGCTCCGCAACCTCGTGTGGCCAGGGAAGCTCGCCCACCGCCTCCGGTCTCATCATAGTATCACCAGATTCGCCCGCATCCATGGGATCTACATCCATGGCTGCAAAACATGGCCAGTCGCTGCCTCACCTGCAATCTGGTGAGGTGACACTGCTAGATTATTCTGCAGATGACTCTCGCGATGTCGTGACTCTATCAGATAAAGAGGCCTTGGTGCTACAGCTCTACAACCAGGTCCAGGAACAACAACTAGAAAAGGCATTTCTCGAACAAGGTATGTCCGATAAAAGCTTTGCTCTACTTTTTTTTTTCCCTTTTTCTTTGCTTTTTTGTCTGTTTTTTCTTTTCTAATCGCTTGCATCCTATTAGAACTGGAATCATTTTCGGGCGCAGATGCTGAAGAACAGCTCGCAATCGCGGAACGTGAGCTCCTAGAGGCACGATCTACTTACACAGTCAGGAGGAAGGCCGTCCGCACCATCCTCATGACCGAGCCCATTCTCAAAGCTGTTCACCTGAAGGCTGCCACCCCTGCTGAGAGGTACGTACCCACGAAAAGTCCTTGAGCTAGACCCAAGTCTAATCGAGGCATACATAGAGCGCTTCTTTGTCTGGTGAATCGTCGCGATGTGCTTGCACTTGCACATGAGAATCTTGCATCGGCACATGACTTGGTGATGAGGCAGCTCTCGAACCTGGAAGTAAAGAATCTACAGATCAATCGCGAAAACCAAGAACTGGTGCGCCAGCTACTAGAGCTCACAAAAGAAGATTCATCATGGAGAGAGAAGCTTGAAGACCCCGAGCTGTTATCGCGCCTGGACAGTTTTGAAACGGATTTAAAGGCGCGCAAAGCTCAGTGGGAGACTATGAAGTCCATCGCAAGTGCTGTAGTTGTTGCCAGTGGACTAAATTGGGCCGATGACGACATGCTGCGCGCGTTGGTGCTGGATGAAAGTGATGACTGATGTTTTTCTTTTTTGCGACGCGTTCCCCATGCCCGTTTTTTACGATTCTCTAATTCCAACCCCATACTTAGGAGCACAGGCGCTGTACAATAATACCCGAGTCTCCGGAACATTCGATTTCTATTCCTAAGAGAAAGAAAAAAAAAAGGGAATGGTAATTTTGAACCGAATAATGTGGACTGGATAGAAATTATTACAAATGTGTTTAGTCCATCAGTGCAATAATGACGGCTATACACAGCGGTATACAATATGGACTCTGGTCGCGTCTTAGAAGTAAGGGCTCTATGCTCGGATAAATGCATAACTAGCACCCTTTCTAATTATTAGGTACATGTAGAGATGAGATAATCAAATGATTTGGAGTCCACAATACAGACGCGACTCTATGACGCTTTCCTGTCGGAAGGCGTGGAACTGTACGGGAGTACTCCGTACATTACAGGTGGATTAACCCTCCATACACTGCCACAGTACTGCAGTACTGCAGTATCAACGGTATGTGTAAAAAAGGGACTTCTTTGCTGAGGGAACACCAGAATGTCCACGGGTGGATTATGCGTTGTTATGGATTTGACAATCTCTACTCCGTACGGACTTTTGCTCTTGATCTGTCAATTTATCAACACTGGCATGTTAGCCTATAACGCATAAAGGAATCCGTACTCCACGGTATCTGCAAGATAAATGAGCTATCTAATCGACTTGGTAGGAGCACACTAGATGGAATTTCCATGCTGCAGTCTCCTCATATTGGAAAAGATATCCATTCTGAATTTAGCTTGTGATGATGGTGTGATCCGGCTCTGTAAGGAAGGAGTCTAACCTTGATCATCTATTCTAAGCCATTCCATGCCCATACTGTTTCACTTTGTAACCTATCAGTCCGGGCGTGGATAATCCTCGGGCTAATAAACAGCGATAGGTCTATGCCATATTCATTCATGCTTCTTACTCTAGAAAACACGTATGACCTTTATCAACAGGGTAATCAACGTCAATACTTCCCTACGTTCCTAAGTACCTGCCCAGCCGTGTTTCCAATTGGGGTTACGCTAAAAGGGTACGCCACGCTTATGATTGAGCAACCATCCGCCCTTGCCTGAAGATGATAGTTCAATACTAACACTGTTATGTACAAAGCACACACACCTCTAGGTACATGTTTACGCTTTCCATCCGTGATAATTAGGGTTTTCACTATTACACAGAATTCTCAGCTGAATGACAATATCAATGCTTTTGACACCGAGAGCTTAAGTAGACCTTGTTTTCTGAATTCTTATTTGACTAGAGGGAATAATGGCACCAATGATAGTGAACTGGGACCTGTTTTTTCTAGGACCGCAAAGGTACCCCGTAGTTACAAGTCAATGTGTACATGTACCTACATATGTACGCATGACCTTGCGACTCGCGACCAAAGCCATTATACGCTATACCATATGGAAGTAAGTCCATAATGTGAAATGTCTATACACAAAAAGCCTGCCCAAACTGAATACGTTATGAACTGCTTGATTTATTATTTCTATCTCCTTCCATATGTCTCTTAGAGAAGGGGTTTCCGGAATCTTTATGACATTTATCGCAGCCTGCTTGCAATAACCGGAGGCTAAAAGAGCACCGTTGCCTGTAGTATTATTCAATAGAACAAATGTTGCAATATAATCTATATCAAATTCGATGGCAAACACCTTATGGCAATGTTATGTACGGGGTACTTGCCGAGCAAATACTTTTACTATGGTGTTACCGCGTACTGTGTACCTGTACGTTTGCGCGGTTTATTAATATGACGGAGCGCAATCCACAAGTCCCAAGTGCCGGAATGATGGTCTCGTTTCATACACCGTATTGAATTCTTTAATTCATACAACCGCCCACAAAGATTTGGCTTTGAAAAAAAAAAAAAAAAAGAATGTGCATGAATATAATCAATAGCAAACGATATAAATGGGATTTTTGAAGGTAAATTGGGGAAATAATACGTAAATTTCGTGGAATAAATCGGAAATAGTATGGTGGACTATGTAAATTACAAGTATTGACCATACGTTTCTCTCAGCCAGTCAGCGAAACCAGCGAAACCGTGCTTGCCTTTCCCTTGCTGTGGCCCCCCTCTCTTTGCTACTACTACGGCCCTCCCCCCTCTACTCTTCTCTTCTCCTACTATCTTCCTACACTACCAACTCCCCCATACAAACTCCCTCCCATACAAAAAAAAGGTACTGCATATCAACTTATACTTCTGAATCGCATTTCCTCCACCACCACCACAATCACCTTTTTTTTCCAAGTTCTTTTGGTCCTTGGAATCCTTTATTTTCACCTCATTGCCTGTCTTTTTTTTTCCAATTTGCGCCGACCTCGCGGTCGCGCGCTGCATCTCAATCTATGTTTTTGTCCACCTAACTAACATGAAAACCCACAGTTCTTTTTTTTTTGACATATTCTAATTCGTGATCATCGAATTCATGTAAGTTGATCTTATCCCTATCATCTCGAAGCTCTGTCTTCCCTCGGTCGCAAGTGGTTGGGTTGCGCGCAACGCGTCTAGCAAACATTCGCGGCCCCCCTTCTCCTCTCTCACCTCCACTCTGATTTATTTAATTCTATGTCAATTGCGCATACAAACCTTCACTTGACCCAATTGCACCTTTCATTTCACAAGCAATACATCTGTTGTGGCAGAAATCCTCAGAAATCACATCTAACCTTCCACAGTCATCATGCCTAAGGAAAGCACCACCAAGTCCACCCGCAAGGCCCCCGAGAAGCGCGTCCAGCGCCGCAAGAAGGGTAAGTTAACATCAAACTAAACTGTTCATCACCGGCTTGTACTAACTTACTCATCAGACCCCAACGCGCCTAAGCGTGGTCTGTCCGCCTACATGTTCTTCGCCAATGACAACCGCGACAAGGTTCGCGAGGAGAACCCCGGCATCAGCTTCGGTCAGTGAATTCCTTTCCCAGCTTTATTGTACATATCTAACACCCCTACAGGCCAGGTTGGCAAGCAGCTCGGTGACAAGTGGAAGGCTCTGAGCGAGACCGACCGCAAGCCCTACGACGCCAAGGCTGCCGCTGACAAGAAGCGCTACGAAGAGGAGAAGGCCGCCTACCTCGCCAAGGCTGAGGAGGAGGAAGAGGAGGAATCCGCTTAAATGCCCTCTAGCTTCACTTCGTCTTTTGCCTCTGGGCGTTTGTGTTTCTCTAATGGTTCTCCTGATTTTTTTTCGGACGGTTTCGTGCACGGTTTCTGGGTTTGGAGGACGGCTGGGGTTTACTTGCGTCTGAACTGTTCCTCTTTGCTCTTATCGAGGGTATTAAGTTATCAATGGGAAATCTCAACCTTTTAAATTGGTGCCAAGACCACTTCCAAGTAGCTTGAAAGATCGTAAAAACAGCAAGCAAGAGTTGGCAAGTTCACTTGCTTGTGAGGATGATTCAAAAACAAGCTTCAGTCTGTTGTGCAAGAGGTGTTGTGCGCCCTCTTCAGATTGACCTCACTTTTTTAGCTCTGATTTTGGCCGAGCCTCGGGGAAGCTTCGGGGGAGCTCTCTGGAGCTGAGCTTTTTTGCCCCGCAAAATCGGGCGGGGCTCACCGCCTGCGTCATTCACCGCCCCAATAATCCGGGGTCGAAGCTCGAAGCTCGAAGCTTAACCTTGAGTTTGTTTCGGATGTTGGAATCTCCCAACGATGCTTCATCCGCTGGCCATGGGCCTTTCATCAGAGGCTTTATTTCCAGATCAAAGCGTAAGTCAAACAAAAGTGAACAGAAAAGACATCGTGCTCGATCACAAGGCGTTCTCCTAGACTAGGAAGTACTAGGTCGGTCCTATAGCTATCTGGAGCACGGGGTTCGAGAAAACCCCGACCCTAAACCCTCGATCCCTTGCTCTGGATGTGCGAAATCTTTGGGTCCTTTTGGGTGGTTGGGATCAGCTAAATGTCCTTAGGGCAAGCGCGCGTGAACGCACCCGTGGACCCGTGGACCTGGGGCATGCTTATGCAATATGCGCGGGGTACGACGATGCGATAGACGACATAACACCGTGCGACGAACCGCGGGGGTATGATGATACGTTACGGGCACGATGACACGCAGGGTGATTATCACACAGGACGTTTATAATTGGCACTCAAGATAAGACGGGAAAACCCCAGGGAGACAATACGATGATACGGTTTCACCACAACACTGGGCTCGCAGGGGTGGTTCAGCAATACCGGTGCAAGACCCTGGGCCAGTTATATAGGAGACTTGAAGCAAGACGCCGGTGGACAGACAAGCATTAACAATTTCTTTGCAGAAGCTCGGTGGGCATCATACATCAAAACCGATGGATTGTTATGCGTGTCGAGGATTGTTTGACCAACAGCTCGTCGGCTGTCTTCAATCCTGGTGTGCCCTAGCACGTCGACGCCCTCTCGCGAATATATTCACACGCTTCCAATCTGCACCATATGCTAAATCTCGGGTTCCTTGATGTGTTAAGTGGCTTTCGATAAATTGTCAACACATATGCGCGAGCATTGTCCGTCTGGACCACTCCCGATCTTGTTGTGCCGGCATAGCCTCGATGCATGGTTTATTAGGGCATATACATCAAACCACGCCATCACCACGACTAGGAGCCCAACCAGAAATGCATGGCCAGACAGGAATGGCTAACAGCGGTATTTATTTCAAGGCCGTGTTATGGCTACTACGACTATGGTCTAAGCATTCCCTGGCATATTTGTGCGCGGTGTCTGACACTAACAAAGCTTGAAATTTCCAAGTCGGACACCCTTCCCGTGAGTGGAGGGGTTTCACATCGTATCGGAGCGCATCTCCAGATGTGTTGAGCGGTTCATGTGGTTTATTTGTTGGATTTTATGCCTTGTTGGACTAGCCCTTCTGTAGAACCTTGCTATTCAGCAAGTACTAGTTAGTAGCTTTGCAGTTATAATGAGTAAATCAGACATGAATAACCCCGTTAAATGGGGCCGATGAGACCGGTGCACATAGAAAACTGCAATATCCGTAGATTAGTCTAAATTGTATGCAATTACTCGGGAAGTTCTTTAGATATTCTAGAGCTATGCAGCCTGTGTGGATCATCTTTCGAGGCGCGACTTCGCCGTATAGTGTGGTTTCCACAGCGACAGTCTCGGCCCCAAACAGCCCTAATAAGCTCATTTACGCGAGTCACGTTAAGATTGATGTTCTAGCCCGTTCTAAATTCAAGCTTTGCATATCTATACATATCGTACTAATTGTCTCGCATTTTTCTATGCTTGGGATGCATGGTGTGTGTTGTTATACGAATGCAATGCAGCCCCGGTAGATGAGATTCGTGGCCACTATATATCTCATAGTCGGCAGCTGGCTCGGATTCCTAGGATCTTTGATGTGATAGAATTCAATAGTAGGGAATTGATGGCGAGATAGTCCATTCTATTTAGTTTAGACCTTAAGGTAGTGGTTCAACGTATCTGCTCACACTATAGACTTCGGGCTGTGGAGTATAGAGGTCCGAAAAGAAGCGCATTTAGTCAGAGACTTCGAACTGACTCAAGACAAATTAATCAGCTTGGGAGTATTTGCTTTTCAGTACTCGTGAATACTCGACTCTATAACCTACTAATATTCCCTGACTGGTTTCCTCCTCGACTTTCATGCAATATACAGTTTTCACTGTCGTGGAAGCAACCAAATCCAGGAACCCAGTGTTTATTCTCTCTATATTCCTGTCCCATAGCGCTGTATCCTATGATTGGTCTAATTGAAGGGCGCCTTAAGACTGACCACCTGGGCAGTTCTCCACATTTAGGGCTGGGGAATACCCTGTGAACCATGGAATCTGAGTCAACTCGAAGCTTATACATACTTACATACTTAACTTATAAGAAGTATATATTCTCTACATCCCGTCAACAAGCGGTCTATGATTGAAAACAGTGAACTGGGAGATGACGAACAGACCTGGACTCCACCAAGCCCCGCCATTCGCGCGTGAACACGTCAGGCCTTGGACGCAAGGGAGAACCCTGTCAAGAGAGCCTCATCGGCTTTTCTTTTCTTTTCTTTTTTTTCGTTCTTTATCAGGGCTTTTTTGGCCTTTGTTAAATAATCTTAATTGTTTGCATGTGAGCCTATTGGCCTATCTATTTCCTAATTTTTTCCTAGCCCCTCTCCCTTAAAGAGCCCTCCCCACCATATCCCTCCCCCCTCCCACCCAAAAAAAAAAGAAACCCTCCCAACCCTTATGGCCTAACCCCGTGGACTATAAGATGGCTCAGGCTCTGCGCGCATCTCGTCAGAGCGCCGACGACGTGGCGGCTGGCTTTTATGCATTCCGAGATCCCCTTCCAGAACATGTGGGCGAGATCACATCGCTCATGTCCGAGTTATACGCAATCAGCTCATCCTTGACCACCTTGGAGCGTCTAGCTGATGATCCCCGAAATCGCCGCTATTTCGATATGATCAAACCCGATTTAAATGTGGTGCAAGCCAGTTTCACATATACAATCGAGGACATCGGCGATATTTTGAGAGGTCTCGATGGCGCAGATGGTAGTCCAGCGAGATACAAGCGCACATGGGTAATTATGAGCCGCTTCTTTTGGGATCAATCAAACTACACCCTGGCGACCCGTCTAGCCAAGTATAAGACGGTCTTTAAAGAGTTCAATGACTTGGTAAGAGAGTAGGTGCTCCGCAAAAGAAAAACCAGTAGACAAAGCGCATGCGTATACTTATTCCTGGTCTTTATTAGTGGTCACTACACCTCCTCGCTCCTTGTGGGTCTCGTCAATGGCTTCAAGTCTCTACTCTCCATACAAGATGGCCGGTTTGCTGCTCGCTTTGAAGGCATGACGCTCCGTCCGAATGACTCGCCTACCGGTCACCGCGCGAGTCCCCCGAGCCCGGTGAGGGAGCGTCCGCCGAGGGAGCGTCCACTGAGGGACCGACCGGTTAGTGACCGGAACGCACGGCGGCGGAGGTCATACGAGCGCACTCGACCGCCGCATATGTCTCCTCCGCCGATGTCGCCTTCCTCAGCCACTTCTTCGGACTTCCCGCCGTCTGTACCGGATATCCCGCTCTCGCCGCTTACTTCTACATCTGCGACGACGGCTACTAGCAACTCGAGTAGCCCTGATGTTATCAAAGAACACTGGGCCAAGGATACATTTGGGTCTAGTGGCACCAGCACTCCTCTACCGTCTGTGAGGGAAAGGTGAGTTATAGATAGCTTGCTTTTCTTTGCCGGATTTTGCTAACATATTTGGCAATAGGTCACACTGCCGCGGAGAACCTCAGCAGGGTATTAAGCAATCAATTAAAGACAAGGGCTTCGAGGAGCTCCTCCAATTGTAAGTTGAGAATATTTACTCTTTTTGAGCATGAGTTTTAACACAGTGTAGATCCCTGAACGACGAGTCCGATATGCGCGTGTCCTTCTACCTAAGGAGAACAGACCACCGCGTTCGCATCCTTTGCAGGGAACCCCACCGGAGTGGGCCTAGTGACTACTACTGCTTGCCGCTTAATTTACTTGAGATCCTGCGAGATGGATCTTGTCTCCGACTGTGTAGGCGGCGGAATCGCGGGACAGAGCTTGTTTTATGGACGCAATTGAAGTTCACGACATTGGAAGGTCAGCAATGCCCATCTGAAAGCTCTGCCTTGACTATTGAAGTGACATGCTTACAGTTCTAATCTTGCAGATCTGGTGCTATTCCATAACACATTCCTTGCCTTGCGCTCCCAGGATGCAGGCCACCCTATTGGAGAAATTTTAGACCACGAGCTTGCACACGAACAGCAACACTTTGGAGGGTGAGCAGTCCTACCAAGAAGGGGAACCAAACTCAGAGAGGCTGACATCTTCTAGCACAATCACCGACGATGACTACATGCACGCGCTGCGCGTATACAAAGACAGGGTGACTGGAGCCGTAAGACTCCAGGCATCTGTCCACCTAGGCGACATGAACCAGTATGTGAAGTATCGATTGTACGAATTAAATATTAGATTTTAATGACGATGAATGCAGCACACCCGTCTGGACAGCATTCGTCACCCACAACCTCGGGAAACGCAGTTGGCTTAAGTCATACGATTCCAAAACGGTGATTCTGCGGGATATCAAGCCCGTGGTATTTATGTCGATGGATGATTATAACCCCCCGCAGACGTCACAGGGACATCATGTCCTGGAGTTCACAAGCTCTTCTGGTAAGTTGTTGAACCTGAAGAGAACCGGTCTCGAGTATTGTTGACTGACTGGACTTTGATTTAGATGCCAGGGAGTTCCTGGATGTCATGGATGAACTGGGCGGTTGAGTTATGGTAGGAACTGTGGTGGGACTGGCAGTTTATAATTGGAATCTCTGTTCTGACATGATGAGTTATGAGTTATGTTGATATGACTGCGATGATTCAAGATTTCAAAAGCCGTGGATTCCTCCCTAGTAGTTCCGATTGCTAGTATAAAATGAGCTTGACAAATCAAGCCAAAGCACCCTTACCTTCTAAGATCCTCGGACCTGTTGGGATATAGATATAGACTAGACTCAACCAAATTTATTGTTTGGAAGTAAAATAGGTGCAAGCTAACTAATGAGGGGTATCACACATACAAAAAGAAAACGCAAAGTAGAAAGCAGAAAGCACATTGCCAATCAAAGCGCGGGTAAATGCGATGGAAAGGTGGATGAGGCATCACTTGGCCACCGCGAAACACCGTTAAAGAAACCTAGGAAGTGTCCTTGTCCTTTTCGGCGTCCTTGATATCATCTGGGTCAGGATAAACCATAGCCACGTACCGTCGCCACAGTGGGCATTTAGTTCGGTCATACGGGGGGTCGGACTCGGGGTATAACCATTTTGTGGGGGGTGGTTTAGGTGGAGGTGTTGTTTTTGGCTTAGGGTTGCGTTCGGCTTCAAGGTCCTCCAGGCGCCATCTCTCCGCCCTTTCCTCCTGAATTTCCTTGATTCTTTTGGTCCGCCACTCTAAATGAGCCTTGCGCTCAGCCATCCGTTCCTCGTCCGTTTTCCGCTTGAGAATAGTCTCCTCCCGCAAAGTTCGGAGTTCTTCCATCTGTTGATTGCGCTCTTCCTCGTCGGTGGAAAAGGTATAGAATCCAGTTCCACGGTTGCGAACCTCTGCTTCGGCATCGTAATGCTTCTTCTCTGGCGGGGTAGGCGAGCGGTCACGACGAGCAGCGAGATGGGACATATGCGACGCAATGTTGGCATCGGGATTGAAGGCTTCAGTTTGAATAGCCTCTCCGTAAATCAAATTGGCAGGACGAGCAGGGCGCCAGCGTTCCTGGGCAGCTTTGCCACCTTCTTCTTCATCCTTGGCGCGAGAAGCTTCGGCGGCTTCGGCGCGAGTGCCACGGCGAGAACGGCCAAATTCGTCTTCGTAAGAAACAACGGATGCATTGTCGTCATCGGACTCATCTTGCTTGAGCGGCTCCTCGTTTGCGTGCTTGAGATCGAAATCAACCAATACGTCTTTCTCCTTGCGTCGTAGTCGGGCTAGGTAGGCGTCCGGGTCGGATGGATCAACCGGCATGTCATCATCATCACTATCACCAGCTAGATGCAGTCCCTTCTTCATATCTTCGTAAAGACGCGCTTTTTCCTGCATGCGGCGTCGAGACCGGCCCAGCGTGTTGGCGTCGACGGAGCCAATGTCCTGGGTGCTCCTGTGGACTTGCTTGACGGCCCTGTTGTCATCTGCAAGATCGGCTGCTGCGCGCTTCTGAGTGCCTTTGTTGTGCTTTGAAAAGATATCTGACTTCGGATTCTTGGAGGGACGGTGGCGCCCGCGCGACGAACCGTAGGTCGCATCTTGGGCGATGAGTGAAGAGAGCTGAGAGGTGAAGGCGAGGCTTGAGGAGGTGGTTTGTTCATTTTTGTTCTTTTTTGAACGGGGTTGCCCGTAGAGGGAGTCCTGATCAGCAGGCATGGTAATGTGAATGGTATGTGCGTAATGTCAAGAAGTTGTCGGTCTCTCAGAAGTTCCACGTCCATAGGTACAATCCCACCGAGGCCTTATCGATAAGCCCGATGGGCCAATATACACCGCCAAATCTTCGATTTCATTTTCTGCCACCAGTCTTGATGACTAAGGCCGATGTTCGGGTCAACAATGATGCGCAAAAGCCACTTTGGTCCGGGGGTTTATGCTGAGTAAGCAATGCAGGAAGGCCCCTTCAGAACTCTTGGATAATCCAGATTCCGTCTGCAATCTCCTCAAGGTCTTGCACGTCGATGATAATATCAACTTCAGCGGGAGAAGACCTTGTCCGTCTCATGAGTAACTCGAATGGGATTATCAATGGTGCATTGGAGACAGTAATACGGTCGCCGCTGGGGCTCTCGGCAATTTCGATACGCTGAACCCTTTGCGTTCGACCATTTGCTCCGTCCCATTGCCATTTTTCGATAGTTACGACGGGTCTTTTTCTGTTAATCTTGAGGGTCAAAGCGATATTTGCATTACCTTGGGCCGGATCCAACCAAAATTGGACGTCACGCTCCAGCTTGGCTTGAGATTCAGATACTGTGACCTCGAGCACTACTGTTGGCTTTCGGTCATAGCCTGGTGGGGGATGGATGGGACCCCAGCCTTGATCCGCCTGTTTTCCTCTATTGCCAGCGGTTATCGTTGTGCCTGGGAATCTCTGTATTTGCGTTTCAAGGCCCATATCGCGTATCTTGTTCATAACTTTGGATGCGAATGTATCAGCCGCGTGGGCATGCTCTGGGGAATGCATTTTGATTAAAACAAGATTCTCGTCGGTGTCAAACGCGGAAATCGAGGGGATGTCGTTGACGGTCGGGTCGAGGAAATCGCGTGCAAAGGTATCGCCGTCGATCTGGAACAAGATATACTCGGAAGGAGCGTTTGTAGATCGAGGATCATTCTTCGAACGTTGGAAGCAATCAAATTCCAGATCTGTAATGTAAAGTAAGTGCTCCTTCCCTCGATATCGATACCTCTTGATTGATAGCGGCATATCCTCGAGGAAACTACGCCTAACATGATGTTCGGCAGAGCAAGAGCGACGTATAGCCATTTTCTTTTCTTTTTTCTTTGTGATGGGATTCATAGAAGATGTAAATGCCCACGAGGAATAGTTACGCCTACCTAGGCAGTTACCTAGGTGGCTTACCTCATTGTGAGCGCACCCCGGGCCTGGGCATTACCTAGGTACGGTAGTATTCTACATTTTATCCAACATGGGCAACGATCATCCCGGAAGAAGTCCGCAGCCGGAAGAGTTTTTTTGTCTCACGACAGCGGCAGTAATCGCTACTTCTTTGGTACCATGCTATGGCTTGTGCGGCATATATACTAGCCCATACTTCTTTGGCTCAAGTTTATATCAACGTGGGCGAGAATAGAGTTATGAAGAGGTCCGGGCCATATTTGGATGCGGCCTTTTAAGTTTTCTTCTATGATATATAAACGTTTATAGATGATCTTACTAAGATACTTTCCCGTCCTTCTTTACTAGATTTATCTTATCGGATAATTCTATACTAACTTTCGAATTGCCGTATCGATCATTTCACTATAAAATAGGTATACTCTTCTCTAAATATAACCTTGATTTATCTATAGAAACCCTATAGTCGTAGTGCTAGAGATTAGAAAATAATATTAAGGCGATTAATTTAAGGACAAACTAGGGCAATAATATATATGATATAGGATCGAGTGTAGACTAGACCTGGTAGTGACCCGCGGGTGACCCTCACGACCCTCGAACCGCCCCGCTACTAGGGCGGTTCGAGGGTCTAACCTTCCGACCCTAAGGGTAGTCTACCTAGAGGTTGGACCCTCGGAGGGTCACCCGCGTACGACGGTGTATAGCGCTCAATGCCGAATGCCTGATTATAATGCCTGGGTGCCTTATTTTGGCATGGCAGAAAAATAAAAATACGTGAATTACTATTACAGATCCCTTAATAAGCAATGTACAGGTTAGTATATATAGCACATGATGATTATTCAGAGGGTAGGTACACTGGTTCCGCTAGCCTAAGGTAGGAATGAAAATGAAGCTTTTGATCTCCAAAAACATGGAGATATCTCCATTTGTATAGGATGAAAAGGTTCATTTTTATGGTTAACGGCGCTTAGTTATTCCATGCCGAGTTGGTTACAGTATGATTTAATACCCGGGTTTGGGTTTTAATAGTAAAGTAAGATCTAAAAGGGATAGTGTGAGTATATTGTTATATAGTAGATGGCTATCTATAGATATTAATAAAATGAGGTCAATTAAGAATGAAAGACTAAGAAAGAAAGGAAGGTATACTCCGTACTCCAAAGGGCCATACGTTATAGTCTCGGGTCGCACATAACGAGAGCTCGGGACGCCGGATTTGGTTTGATTATGTACTGTATGGTCATGTAGATACCATTGGGGGGCAGCCCCGCGCCCCCACTACTCTGGTGAATCGATCGCGCCGTGACTCAATTGATCGTTCTTTTAGTTTTGATCTGATATTGAACTCTTGGTTGAGCATCAGAAAGTAACCCGATCGAAATAATCAAGAAAAATCATCACATCACCATCATGTCGGCTAGCCCTATCTACCTTGGTGTCATTGGTAGGTGTCCCTCACCACTGAGCTTTGAAAGTCCGAATCAATTGAATACTAATGACTTGATGAATTAGGCGTCGGAGGCGTTGGCACTGCCTTCCTCCAACAGCTTGCCCGTCTCCCCAATGCGCCCCAGCTAGTCGTCCTTGCCCGTTCCTCGCAGACCCTCCTTGCTCCTACTCCCGCCTACTCGCCGGCCATCCCTGCCGCTGACTGGGCCACAGCTGCTGCTACACCATCTCTGACCAAGACCGGTGCCCTTCAGGCCGAAGAAATTGCCACATACCTTGCCTCAGCCCCTGGCCGAGCCATTTTGGTCGATAACACTTCCGACATTAGCCTCGCCCGGCAATACCCCACATTCCTCAAGAAGGGCATCTCAGTGGTGACCCCCAACAAGAAGGGATTCTCCGATGACCTGTCCCTGTGGAAGGATATATTTGCCGCCGCAGCTGAGGGTAAGGCCCTTGTGTACCACGAGAGCACCGTCGGCGCCGGCCTGCCCGTGTTGTCGACCTTGAAGGACCTGGTGGCCACTGGTGACGAGGTTACCCGCATTGAGGGTGTGTTCTCAGGCACTCTGTCCTTCCTCTTCAACAACTTCGCCCCTGCATCAGGATCTTCCGATGTGCAGTGGAGCGCCGTCGTCGCCCAGGCTAAGGAGCTGGGCTACACCGAGCCGGATCCTCGTGATGACCTGAATGGCATGGACGTTGCACGCAAGCTGACCATCCTGGCCCGTATTGCTGGTCTGGAGGTTTCCCGCCCCGATTCTTTCCCCATTGAGTCGCTGATCCCCGCTGAGCTCGCATCTCTGCCTTCATCCGCGGAAGGCATTACTCAGTTCATGACCCGTCTTCCTGAGTTCGACGCCCAGATGGCCAACATCAAGGACACCGCTGAGAAACAGGGCAAGGTTGTGCGCTACGTTGGTAGCATTGATGTCGCTGCCAAGGCTGTCAAGGTCGGTCTGCAGTACTTCGATAAGGACAGCGCCATCGCTGGTCTCAAGGGTAGTGACAACATCATCAGCTTCTACACCAAGCGCTACGGTGCCAACCCCCTGATCGTCCAGGGTGCCGGTGCCGGTGGCGACGTTACCGCCATGGGTGTTTCAGCCGATCTTATCAAGGCTGTCGAGCGCCTGCGCTAATTTGCTGAGCCTTGGAGGCCTAAAAAGATAAAACCCAAAATTTTACAAGGCGTATAAAGAAACACCCTTCCTTAGATCCACGCCTTGTGTCATAGCTACTATATAATTCATTTATGGATATTGCACGGAACCCCAACATATGCAGCAGTCTAGGCCCTTAGGAAGTCCTTCAATGCATCTCCCCACACATCTCCCTTCTTATAAGTATGCATTTCTGGCACATTCCCCTTCTTCAAGCCATCTATCGCATTCGCAAGGTCCTCACCAGAACCCTCATCCTTAATCTGCTTAACTGGATAAACATAAGTGTGGATGGTAAAGACAAGAGCCTTGGACACCGGCAGGCGATGCAGTGTTTGACGCTCACATCGGAGAACAGTCTTTAGTGATATCAGCATTATTCCATCAAACCAATTTCCTCGCAGCCAACATACCTGATCAACATTCAATTTCCCGAGCTCAATAGCCTCCTCCTTTTTCCCCGACACAGCATGTGTTCCACCAAAAGCAGCAAACAGGCCCGTGTCAATAGTAATACTCCAATTGACTCGTTTCACAAACTTCCCAACTTCAATGCGCGCAAAGAATTTATCCATACTGCGCTCAATCCTCTCCTGATAACGCGGGACCGGCCCATGAATATCTACTAAACGCAACCCGAGTTTCTTGCGAGTGTTGAAGCCAGATGGGAAACAGGTCGCATATGCCTGCAGTACATATCTCGGTTGTTCTTCACTATCGGGTGAGAGCTCAGGGAACAGGATTAGGAAATCATCGTCTACTGTCTGGGACAGGATTTCCAGGGCTTGGATTGCTGGTGTCTTTGGTGACAGGGTTGTTGGCCAGGTTGCGCCTGTTACCAGGTTTTGGAAGAGCGAGCTCTCGGCGTTTAGTTGAAACATGCTTGGATATCGGGTTGGTAGGTATGTTCCCAGCACGAAATTGTATAGTTCGCTAATGGCGGGGCGGATGCGAGCGTCTTCTTCTGGGGTTTGATCGTTGTTGATTGCCACCACGATGTCATGGTGCTGGTCGAGTACGGACTTGCGGAGAGCGAGTCGGTTCTTGTATGTTTTGTCCATCGGGAGGAGCTCTGATGGATCAAGGTTTTCAAGTGCTAATATGAATTAGTTAGTCTGGTCGGAATATGTATCGAGTGTTTTAATATGGCACATTTTTATAATATCGGACGAGGATGGACTCACCCATGGTCAGGTTATACTTGTCTTTTCCTTTGAATGGCCGAAATTGCAGCGGCTCGGTCTCCTCCCAATTGAATCCCTCCAGAGGTGTGATGGGGGATTTCTTATTGTCCGAGCAAGTTGTCTTCGTTCTCTCGTATGCATTGGCCTTTCGAGATTGTCGAACCCTCCACATGGCAGCACACAAGCCCACGATAAAAACACAGAGGAGGTGTCTGGAGAATATGGGCCATGGTGCATGAACGTCTAGTTTGTATAGAGCTTCTGCCATCCTGCTCAAATAACTATGGAGTGGATCTAATTTGTTGAAGTTTACAATCCTTACTCAACAGAGAGTTTTATGCTTAGAACAATCACCTTCTCCGCATGAACTCCGCACGAGAAAGCGAACTTGTCATGAAGCTTATCTCTCTCCACTTTGACTGGTTGAACCGCCCGTCCATATTTGCTGATTGACTCATAAGGCCGAGATGACCTCGGGACCTGCGGGGTTGGCACCGTAAGGTAAGATAGTTGGGGTATTATTAGATTGGCCACTCACTACCTAGGGCAGACTTTGTATGATGGATTATGCTCTGCAAGTATCGTACAATCTTCGGTGTAGTATAAGCCATGTACGTGATGTATATAATTCCTCTCACATGCAACCTTGGAAGACTCGCTGTGTTGCACGACGATGCGACTCGAGGGCAATAAAAGAACTGTATGCTTGCTCAATAGTCAAAACGATAGAAACCATAGACGAGAGACAAAGTAACAACACAAAATCATAAACATCATCACTTCTCACGAGGAAGGGGACCCGTCATATCTGCCCCGAGCTCCTTTGTTTCAAGATCCCATCTCCACTCAAATGTGGATTCAATGTTTGTCCAACAGGGCTCACGTTCTCCTTACGAGAGTCATCACGATCTCTCTCCCTCTTCAACCCTGGAGAATCATCTCGATCTCCCCCCTCGTTGTCACCGGTATCTGTCTCCACGCCGCGCAGTCCAAATGCCCACCGTTGCCCGCCCGGACATTCATTCAAGCTCGGCGCGCGAGGGCGCTGTCGACCACGTGCTCGTCCACCAACCCAAGGTATCTCCCAAAGGATCAGTCGATATAGCCAGATGGTTGCGTCTAGGAGTACGAGGAAAGCCCAGGGCCCAATAGTGATGAGACCGAGGAAGAACTGCGGAATCCGGGGTAGATCAGCGACTGCGTCATAGGGAAGGGGCTAAGGGCTAAAGTCGGAGAGGAGAGGGCGAAACTCACGAAGATGCGAGCTGCCCAGGTCTCGAGGTGGGTAAGCTCTGACGGAAGGATGGAGTACCATGCCATTTTGGTGTGGATTTGGAGCGCTGGTGAGCCTCGGGAGGTTACGGTTGCTGGTGGGTTGGAGCTGTGTTAGTGCTTTGGCGCACTGCGACTCGGCCCACCCCTGTTGACAGCCTCCTTTTCACGGTTGCTTCATTTTTTTAGGGTCTGTTGAGCATTTAGATTCCTGGCGAGTAAATGAAATATAGAGAATCAAATTGCACTGGTTCAGCTTGGAGTACGATTAAGATACTTCGGTCTAATTGGCTGGACCCTGAATAACTACTCACGTGAGGCTTGTAGCCTGACAATTCAGGTGTCTATCTACATCATTTCAAGGTTAACTACGATTCTTAACAGCATCTTCCACTGTTTTTTCAGAGAATATATCAGCTCGACTTGGATTGACCGGACATCCCAGGGTACCGTCAGGCAAGTCTGTCTAGATACTATACTTTTCCCGGGCGATGGCAGACTCGGTATCCCACTGTTCTTCCACCACTTTATGTTAATGCTCTTATGCCATGAAACTCATAATCATAAGCACTGCCTGATATTTATAATAATTACAGCTATCCTCTCTTCAACTACGTGATGCGTAGCCTTTCTTGAATGTTGTTTATTTCATAGGACCATAAGGGTGTGGAAGGTAGGGTTTGCGGCCTGCTTAGCCTTGCTCATCATGTAATGTGGTAATGCAAGAGGATAATAGGTCGCACTATGGATGGAAATTCGCGGGATCTAACGTTAATAATCCTCCGGTAAAAACAAAAAAAGGTACTAGCCTTTTTACGTTGACGCATACAAAATTAACTCTGGAGATTGAAGGATGCTGTTGAATTAAGAGCTGGACTAGTAATTGAGAAGCACGGGATTTGGAAAAGTTTGATACTTTGATTTCCATATGCCGCTTAAGCAGACAAAAAGATTTAATCGTGACATTCGTGTTTAGAAATGACGCTGAGTTCCCCCGAGATGTTGTTCGCCAAGTTAGAATACAAAAAAAGCTATACAAATGCCGATGTTTGGCCCGGCAGGCCGAATATGAACGAATCATAGCTTACCGCTGTGGACGGTAAGCGTCGTAGGATGTGTACGAGGGCTCCTCGTCCTGGCCGACAGGTCCATAACCACCGGTCCGCCAGCGACCGAGCGGATTCGTGATATCCGTCTGCGCGGGAACCTGCGCATGGCTGAGTAGCCTTGAATCATCATCGTCTGTGTTTGAGTACGCTCCTGGTACCGAGTTGCCACTGTCGCCCCGCGATAGCGGCACACGGAAGGCCGGGTGGACCAGTCCTGTCGGGTCGGGATTCTCGTAGCCATTGTGATTGTGCATATTTAGCGGGGGCATTGGTGGCAGAGAGGGTGCCGGTGATGAGGCACGAGATGAGCCGGGAGACCACTCGCCTCGCAGAGTACTGCGGGGTGTGTGCGAGCGCTCTGTCATCAGGTCCTCGGGCCGGCCGTAGATTCCACCTCCGAACTCGTCTCGGAAGTCTGCGCGATCCTTGTAGTACGAGAAGTCTAGATGGTTCTCCGGGACGACCTCGAATGGCGCAGGTTCGGCAGACTTGCCGGGCTGGGACGCGAGCATCGGGTTCATTGCGATGTCTGAGTACTCGCCGCCCGTGTCTCCCTGGTCCAGACGACCCTGGTAAATTTCCTTTAGTGCCGCGGCGGCCTTGGCGTGCACCATAGGTGTCAGAAGTGGTTTGTACAGGGCAGGGTGTCCGAACTTGGCGTTCAGACGGTCTGACGCCTTCTTGTCGGAGGTGTGCACGCCTAAGGCCTCGGCATCGCTTAGGTTTGCACGATTGTAGAACTCACAATCGGAGTCAAACGTCTTCATGCAATAGATCTTGAAGCCAATCATCAAGAAAGGCAGGGGGACCACGCAGAACACCATGTTCCACGTGCCGCTCGACTTGGCAACGAGAGCGATAATCACGTTGGCAAGAATAGTAGCGAAGATCATGCGATTGAATAATACTCGCCAAAACGCACCACCGGACTCATTCTTAGTCACGAACACGTACATCAATAGATACTTCTTCAACATGGCATCCACACCAAAGTACAATGCCGTCACCGGCAGTACAATGGGTTGCAATGTAGCGAAACAGAAGGCCACAGTGGCATAGAAGAGGAAATAGTTGTAGTAACTGGCGTAGTCGAATGGTGGCGGTGCGGTCCACTCGATTGCCTGTCGGGGTGTGGGTGAGAGGAACGTCTTGGCAAACCAGACCCAAGCCATGGTAACCAGCTGCACAAGATCAATGGCAGCGCCGAGATTACGCTGCAAAAGATACGTCACCCAAAACGGTGACACCGTGCATAGAGCGCTTACCAACTTCGCATACATCCGGCTTTCCAAGATGGCGTGCCAAGCGTCTTCGTGGTTCTTGGTTTTGTCAACCACGAACGACACGAAGTACCAAGCAGCCGAGAAGAGTGAGAAGACGATCAGGTTGTTGAAAACGAAGAACGCATACAGATGCCCCAGCACGTGGCGCTCTCGGGATGTTTTAGTCTTGCTGCCACCTTGAATAGAAAGTCGACGGAAGATGATTGGAAGCGCCAGATACACGAGCGAAGTCAGTGCAGGCGACGCAATACCCTGGACAGCAGCCCAAACGTTTGGGTTCCCTGACAGCGAGGTCTGGAACGCCGGCCATACCAACCCCAGATTTGACAGGTTGGACAAGAAAATGGCAATCAGACCGTTAGGAACAATCCATACGAGTGTCAAACATGTCACCCAGACAAAATTGACCAGTCGCTTCCACTTGCGTGCTGATTTTGTAAGTGGTAGGTTTTCCCAGATGATATCGCTGGGCCGCGGCGCAAGAGCAATAGTGGTGCCTTCAGGGCGCTTGCGGCGAGAGTTCCATGCCACAGCATGAGCATGCTCGATATTGTCCCAGCTGGCAAAGCCGTATGGCATCGCGTTTCGGCGATCAATCGACGCCCGTCCATGCTTGATTTCCTCTTCCAAGACGCGAATTCGGACAGATAGATAATCGATCGCGTCCACTTTCCCGCCGGGGAGTTGGTTGCGTTGTCGACGAGGGGGGCGTAGCATAGGTCTTTTCGCAGGCAACCGGTCCGGGTTCTTAAGGTACTTGGCCAAAACGGACTCCAGTTCTCGGACAACCTCCTCGTGTTCTTTAATGATCCGCGGCAAATCCCTGACATTACGGCCAATAGCAGCTCGCGGGAGGGCCGCGGTGGGATTAACCTGGTCAGTCAGTCGCAGAATGCCTTCGTCGTTACGGTCATTGGGAGGAATGTCCGTGATCATCAAGGTTCGGGCATGCAGACTGCGCTGGTATTCAGAGCTTTGGAAATATTGCCTCCGCAGGTTCCGTACAGCGCGATAGTTCCTCCACAAAAAGAAAACAACAATGAGATCAAAAGCCCAGGCGCATACCACCTGACTCCAAATAGCCGTGGGGTTGGTAATGTTGAGGGGTGTCATCATGTTGAAGGCGGAAGACGCCGTTGAGTCAGTAGAACCCTTGCTCTGTGTGACATTGACCGGTATCATGATAAGGCAGCCGATTATGCTGAGAAAGATGAAGATGTTGCGGCACATTTTTGTAAAGCGGAGAAAGATTGCGGCGTCCAGGCCAACTGTCTCGATCAACTGCGATTCCCGTGTATTGATCACCGGTTTGACCCAGGCGAAGAAGCCCTTGCCCACCGGGGGCGGAGTGTGTTTGAGGTCTGCATGCTTGACTTTGGGCGCATAGACAAGCGAGTGACGGGGTCGAACAAGGGAGAAGAGGAGAGCGAGGAGGACTGTGACGCCGATCGAGGTGCCTAACGAGGCCCAAATAGCAGTAACTGTAAACTGTAGATTGTCAGAGTGGTGTTCACTCTCTCCCCAAACAATGTAAACTTACTGCAGAGCGAAATGGATTCGCAATAAGCTCGAGGAAAGTATCCGTCCCATCCGTGCGAGCATGTAAGCTCAAGTGATGTAGATCCATAACGTCAAAGCAGAAACGAGTGGCGATCCGGCATGAACGAGGGGCCGGAGGAAATCAAGAGCCCAGCATGAAGATGAAAGGAAATAGATTAGAACGAGGGGAACGGGAAAAATCTAATTAAGGGAAAAAGAAGAGGAGAGACAAAGATAATGCGCACGAATGAAAGAAAAAAAGGTGGACTCTGTTTGGTCTGGACTGGTTATTATTAGAATTGGGTCATTGGAGTTATTGGTCTCTTGGCCGATTTAGCGTCGCTGATCTCCGCCGTTAGAAATGGGAGCCCACATCGAGCCACTTTTCTTCAGATGTGAAGCCCTCAGACAGAGTACTCCGTATAATTCGATGTACTTCCCACGGCTCTGGAGATCAGATTTTGTTGTGTCAACACAAACTGGCGTTCCTGTGGCCCCCTGACACGTTTCAACTCTTCGCTGACCCATCTAGTGTCGTATCATTGGCAGTCCACCAGTCTGTGTCAAGTGGCTCACCAATCAGTTGCCCTTAGTAGGAATGATCTGGAACATTGCGATTGTTGGAACCAAGGTAGCACTGACACAAGACATGGAATCATGTAGGTACCTAGGTACGTTGTGTGGCACTTGTGGACTTGTTTGAGATGTTCTCCAGGGATTCCAAGGTTGTTTGAGGGGTTTGTCTCTGGTTTGTTGCCTGAGGCCATAATTGGTGCCTGAATACCTCTATAATCTTAAGGGCCCTTGTTGACAAGATAGCGTAAGTGAACGAGTCTGATATTTCCAAGATAAATATAGCAATGGCCCGCTGTGGCAATTTACCCATGCAGTATGCGATTTTATAGCCTCTTACAGTCAATGTGATAGCTGTGGTTTACTATTCGATTCCTCCCCATTAAACACCCCATGAAGGTTTCTGACAGCAACGGAGATAATATCCGCTCTATAAGATTTGGTAGTATATGAAATACTACCCTTCGAACAAAACCCATTCGTCGACCCTTCAATACTCCAGGGTATTGTGGCGCACGAACACAAGGCTCCCGCGCGGCCAAGAATGGTGATCATTTTCAAGACCCCGTGCATGATGTTTTGCACTTGAAGCTTGAGGTCATATTCGAGCCCCTCTCGTCACATGAGCATATTGTCGATTGCAACTTGAGGGTGTGACCGCAGGTATATGATATCATGTTATAGCACATCGTGTTGGGGAAGGAGGAGAGTAGCCCTGGAGGGGGTATGACATTAGCTATACATAGGATATTTGCCTAGCACGGTGTAGTAAGAGAGCCTGTAGATATACAGAGTACTCTGGGCCTTAATAAATAGATCTCTTGTTGGTAGGTTTAAATTGGATGCAAAAGTCCTGCGAGATTGAATCTAAAAAGGAGTGGGCGGTTTTCTCGCCGTTTATATATTCAGTCATATGACAATTTAGAATAATCTAGGATTGGAAATAGATGACCTTCTCACCTTGGCAGATGGTCATAAGCCCGAGTTGATGTTTTCTTCGTGTTTTTGAGCCAATTACTTGGGAAGGCTAGACCCGGCTATTCTGACGGGAGCAGCTGAGCGGGGCGATCAAGGATCGCGGAGGTTCATACCATAAACCACATTCTGACAACGCACACTCAAGGCTACTTACAGAGATGAAGTCTCTTATCGTAAGACTGGTAAGAGCCTAGGAGTCCCGACTCTGATTCGTGCATTCCGCTCTAATAATGAGTCTAGCCGCACCGACCACCCAACAATACTAGAACAAGCACCCACCATATCCAGTCTATGGCCAATAGCTGAAAGGTGCCTTCGTCTTCTCTTATAAGCGGCCGAATATTCTTGTGTAGTTATATTGGAGTCTTCTCTTTTACTTCAATCCAAAGCCAAGAAATCTCCCTTACCTTGACGCAGTAACCAAATATCTCGCGGTGGGATTGATGATTGAGTAGTTCCCGCTGAAGAACTTCAGGAAATAGCTTAAAAAAGGACACATAGGCAATGTCTGTACGTAAGATGGTTGGACTCCGGTGAGAATGCTGGTTATATTCAGTCTCAGTTGAACCTGAAGAAGAAGAAGAAGAAGAAGAAGAAGAAGAAGAAGAAGAAGCGTATGCTACAGCGTATTCTAAATGCGTCTTTCGTATATGTATCGATGTTTCCACAAGATGCCATGCAGCAAAACGGAGTGGTGTCTCAACTCTTATGGGTAAGTTCTGAAACTTCAAATTGTATCTTGTTTTATCATTTCCCTAACAATTGTGCCAACATCACATGTCAATGGTTTCTTCCGTATACCTTCTAAACGGTGTATGTCTCATGTGTGCTTCATAAATTTCTACTACACAGTGTATATTGTTACGATATACAAGTCTCTTTGTAAACGTTGTGAAGTAGATGGTATTGTTCGCTATTTACATCGTCAAAATCGTCAAAAGACAGGAATTCCACCTAGGTGGTGTACAGAACAAGCGGCTAGAGTTCTGGCACTTTAGTTCTTGGCAGCCTCTGGAAGATTGTTAGCACTATTCTCTTAAGCAGCTTTGTTCAATGGTTTCAGCTTACCCTTGTGGACATCAGCCTTGGTGTTGTGGGAGAACTCGTCCTTCTTGTCACCAAGTGCGTCCTTGGCAGCGCTGGCGCGGGTGGAGACGTTGGCGTCGCTGCTCTTAGCGACGTTCTTGTTGGCCTCCTTGGAAGCCTCAGCTCCAGTGCCCTGGACGGTCTCGCTGACGTACTTAGCGGCTTGCTGTAATGTTTTGTTAGTCACTGATAGGGCAAGCAAGAGAGATGGTTTGATCACGAACCTTGACGGACTCCATTGTGGATTTGAGAGTTGGAAAAGGTGGTTTGTTTGAAAAGGTTTGTTTGAAAGGGTTGTTTGGAATAGTGGAAGATGAGTGTTGAAGAATAAGTTGAGCTGGGGAAATAGAAGGCTTATTTATATTGTTCTGGGCAGGGGCAATGATGTCATGACGTCATTGATGAAAAGGCCCGTACCTAGCCCCGGGAACAAGCCCAGTTTCCAACCCTTCAGGTCACATACACGCCAAGTTTGCCCATTTAAAATCTTGGAAGCTTGGTGGCTGTAACCCCAGCTCTATCCACACTTTACAATTATAGCCTTTCTGACCTTTCTGACATCACCATATATGCATGTAGAGAAAACAAACATTTAGATCTACAACAATTGCACCATGTGAACATGGTTTGCGGCTCATGGACAAAGCCAAAAAAATTCCATTTTCTTCCATACAATCGTAGTTCTTCAAACTTGAGAGGCCATTGCCAGGATATTCGATTGTTCCCGGACCCACAAATCTGGGCATGACGTATTGAACCTTTACCCCAACAATGCAACTTCCCAGGTGTAGCCCTGGAGAATAGTTGGCCCGAGCAGATTCTAGGGTTCCATGGAATATTATGTTGTCATGATCGTGGTTTATGGGGAATAAACGATGTTTGGTATGCACCAGACTTATGATTGAGGCAAATTGAAGTTGATATTGTGCAAAGAGCAAACACTATCTATCTATCTATCAATTAGATTCAAAACTTATTTTTGTTTGTTCTTTATTGTTTTAATGATGGAAGAAAGGAGTTACATGTGCTTATTAAAAAAAAGTTCTTACCTAGGTACTTTCTGGAAGAAAAGATCTCTCAAAGTGAATCTGTCACTAACAAAGCCTAGATCAACGATGTGGCTAACTTCCAAGGTTAGCATACACGACTGCGGGGCTGAATACCGATTTTGATGCGTACACTGTATAGCCACCATGGGCCTTTCCGACCTATGCAGGTCATACATGATTAGGCCCAAGCTTGTTGTATGGACATATGACGTAGCTCATCTGGAGAATATATGCATCTCCAAACAATGTCTTGTCTAGACCTTTGGAAGCGCAAGGTCCCGAGCCGAGGTCAGTTCGGCGAGTTAGTTCACCCGGTATCTGAATCCACCAATGACAATGAAACATGGACTCGAACCTGTTGGACTCATTGGTAGTCACCGAGGTCAAAACATTTATTTATTTGTATTTCTTTCCAGTTACTAGATTTCCCAGTTAGGAGGAATTCGATTATTGTAGTCTATCTTGGTAGAGAAGTCACTAAGATTTCGGCACAAAATCTGGGGCGATACTGGCGTTCAAGAGTGAGGCCCGGGAGCCACTAGACAAAACAGTATAGGTAGTTCATGCTTTCGTCAGGTGGGCTCATTGGAGATAGACAATAATATCCTCATTTGTTTCTCCTAATGCTGTTCACAGCCATGAAATAGATTTTATAAGGAATAGAATTTCCAAGACGGTTTGTGCTCACGCGATAACGGTTGATCTTGCATCAAGGCTCGCGCCAACTCTATTGGCATACAATTCTCCTTCAAAAACCGGTCATGAAATTCCTTCTCGGGAAGATGCCCCGTCTCGACAGTCTCCTTTCGCAAAGCATATATTTGCAACGCACCCAGCATGTACCCGGCCTGATATAACGGTGAATAATCGCCATTCAGTGATCGCCTCACTTCTCCTTCTGCAGTGGCTCGTTCGTGTCCGACTTGATCGACGAGTAGATCAATGCACTCCTGAGGAGCCATCTGGCCAAGATGAAACTTGATAGAGAATATAATTCGGGCGCATCGATGAAGCCGCCAAAACAGCATCCCGATCCGGTTCTGCGGCGTCTTTTTGAACCGCTCGTCATTCCACAGAATGAACTCCCAATACAGAGCCCATCCTTCAATCCAAAACGGCGTGTCAAATAGGCGGCGGTAGGGTCTGTATCTCGCAATCATGTGCATCTGCAAATGGTGTCCAGGTATCATCTCATGGAACACCGTGGCGCGGGAGAAATGGATGTTGTTCCCGCGCATCCCCATCAGCTTGGCTTCATGGTCCATCTGGTCCGTTGGATATGAGACAATGATACAGTCGCCTCCGAGGAAGAAAGGGTTTACTTTCTGGCGCTCGGGCGACATCATAAACATCTGCCAGTTTTCCTTGGCAACCGGTGGAACGGTGACGAGTTGGTGATCTTCGACAAAGGAGATTGCTTCCATCGTGAGATCTCGGACTAACTCGGTTTGTTTTCCAGGCTCGACAAAGTCATTCTTGACTTCTTCTAGGGCTTGGTTCCAGTTGTCCTGGAACCCCATGCTGTGTGATGCCTTCTTCAGTTCACCAACACACCATTTGAACTCCTTCTCTCCGATCGAGATTAGTTCTTCTGGTGTGTAGGCAATCATTTCACCCAGAAGCTCGCTAAGCAAACCCTCTCGACCGATAGGGTCTCCCACTATCGCATCTTCGTTGCCTGGGCGGATACCAGCCAAGTTCTCTCGGATACTTGCTGAAACATCTTTCAGGCCCTTTTCCACAACCCCATATGGATGTGACACCCACCAGTTGAAAGACGGATCATAGCCTTTGTAGAATTCGAACCATTCTTTCAGGTTGTCGTGCAATGAGTCTATGTTTCTCGCCGCTCTAAACGCAATTGTTTTCTCCATCCGGATCTTGGTCGAGTCGTTCTTGACCATATCTATCACGGCTGCAATTTGAGACTGGGATTCAACAAGCTTCTGGGCAGCATTTTTCGCATTCATCGACACTACCATAGCACGGGCCTCACACAGCTCCAGCAGCGTGTCTGAAAATGGTAGAAGCAGTGCGGTCTTTGCATCCTGTTTACAGTCGAGTTCCAACTCGCGGAGCTGCCTTTCTAGGTAGTTTCTCACGAGAAGATAATCTACCTTCCCTTGCTGATCATAAAGATCAAAGGGTTGGTCGCGGAGTGAGTCGAGTTCAGATGTAAGGAATTCGCGTAACTTCTGCGTCCTTCTCGGAGATATTTTGATGGGGAAAAATTCCTTGATATCTTTGAGGTCCTCAGTTATGCGCTCAATCCTGTCGCGCATTGTGTCGGCTTGTGCACGCTGGATGGCGATGCCCCTTCGTGACGTGACAGATACCATGACAGGCAGAATCCGGCTGTCACTCTGTTTCGTTCGAACACAGATGAGTTTGCGTGTTTTCTTTTTAATTATATTATTTTGCCTGGAATTGAGTTTCAAAGGCAGGAAATGAGAACAAGCAGAGATGTGTTGTGGAGAAGCAGCTCTTTCCTGGGACTGGACTAACCCCAGATTGAAAAATAAAAAGATAGGCTTGCGGGTAAATTAGAACCTACAACATATACTATCGTAACACTTAATTAAAATAAATTGGTCCTACCATAAGTTACTACATCGGGTGGTGTCTCCGACATTATATCTCCTGTCGCTGGTCAGTCCGTATGGTTGAGTTTTCGTTCATATCGCGTGGACTAAGCTAGCCCCAAAGCTGCGTGGTCTTTCTCCGCACTTATACCTAAAGCAGGTACCTTGTTATCTCGATGGGATGATAGCAAGGGGGACTAGGGATAACTTAGTGTTGGAATGCGGGGAAATGAATCAAAAGCTACATTGCTTTTTGAGAAACTTATCCTTTTAAGGGCTGGACCGGCATGGGGACCCGGCCCGGGTTGAACTTGTCTACATACATACCTACATAGGTTTAGTAGTATAGCCATTGCCAAGTTTAGATAAGAGAGATCAAGCATACTCGGCGCCTTATACGGAGTACAGGCCTCTCGGCTATTTGTTTTGATAGTCTCTCTCTTTTTGTGTTTATTCCTTCCGCCAGCCCTACTTTCATGTCTAGAGGCTTTCAACTCTAACTCAATTACTCAGTTGAATCCAAATCAGGTTACTTGCTGCCCTTTGTTGCAGAATGGGTTCGCATCTGCATGTCACGGATGGCCTTGACCCGTCCCAACTCGACATACCAAACGACAATGACAAGTCAGTAACCAATACGATCCAAGAGTTACGTAAAGTCCAACTCTCGCACCAGTGGGATCCAAATTTACCACAGGAGAAGATCGATGCTATTAACGAGGCAGTCAAGACAGGTGATCAGGAAAAGGCTGCCGAGTTAGAAAAGACTCTTGCCCAGGAGTCCCAATATGAGTCTGTTCGTGCCGCGGTGCGCAACACAGATGGCGGAGAAGTTGCAAACACCGTGCGCGCGTGGGTGCTGGGCATGCTTTTCACTACTCTTGGAAGTGGACTCAACATGTTTCTGAGCATGAGGTGGGCTTTGATTCCGATCCAGCCTTCGAGTAGGATATGGTTTACCTATCGTGCATTAGGAGTCCTGCTATCTCGTTCCCCGCTATCGTCGTGCAGTTGCTGGTTTATCCAATGGGTTGTTTGTGGGCTAAGACAATGCCGACTCGGAAGTTCAATACGTTTGGAGTGGAATGGACGTTGAACACCGGGCCTTTCACTATCAAAGAGCATGCAGTCATCACAGTAAGCTTTTAGAGGTTGATTCTCGAAAATTAATAACGCTGACCTTTTGTTTCCAGATCATGGCAAAGTGGGTGAATTTTGATTATAAGCTTTGATATGAATGCTAAGCAATATATAGTGTGTCGATCGGCTATGCTTATTGTACAGACGCCCTCTTGGCATTGAAAGCAAAGCGTAAGTGATATCTCTTTCGCTAATTCAATATCGGTCTAACACACTCTCTTAGCACTCTATAATATGGAACTTGGATGGGGATTCCAACTTTTATTCGCTTTGAGCAGTCAGGTAGTTGGTATGTCACTGGCAGGTATTTTCCGCCGTTTCCTAGTCTGGTAAGTTGGAATTATCTGCCAAGATTGCCACATACTCACTATGTCAAGGCCCGCTGCTATGATGTGGCCCAGTCAATTCGCGAACACGTCCTTGTTTTATGCTCTTCACGACTGGAGCTCCTCGGATGAATCAGAGACCCACGGATGGAGTATCTCACGCTACCGATATTTTCTATATGTGACAATTGGGGCTTTTGTCTGGTATTGGTAAGGCTTCTATCATTCCAATCTGAACTACGTATGCTAATTTCTTCGAACTGCAGGGTACCCGGAGTTCTATGGCAAGGACTCTCTGTGTTTGCTTTTGTCACCTGTAAGGTCCCGTTGACTCGTTTCATTCCTGACTGCGCTAACTCCTTTTGCCTATAGGGATCCGACCCAACAATGTGGTTTTGAACCAGTTGTTCGGGGGCTTTACAGGACTCTCCCTCATTCCTATCACATTTGATTGGACGTAAGATTTATAGTTCCTGTCAATCGCAGAACTGCTGGAAGGATGCAACGCTAATTATAACCAGCTACGTTTCTGCATATCTCGGAGATCCACTCTTGGCACCTGTCCATGCTCTTGTCAACACCCTCATCGGGCTTTTTGTTTTTGTGATCATCACCACAATCGGGATCTCTTACTCTGGGGCTTTGTATGCTGCAACATCTGACCAGACTCATTTCGAAGCTGACAGCAGTATAGGTACTCCGCCTATCTCCCTATCAACACGTCCAGCACCTATGATAACACGCAAAAGGCCTACAATGTAACCAAAATCCTAGGTTCTGGTTTCTCTTTTGATGAGAAAAAATACAAGGCATACTCACCCATGTTCCTGGCTCCAACCTTTGCTTTGAACTATGGACTGTCGTTTGCGGCCCTTACAGCAGCTATTGTACATGTTATTCTCTTCCATCGAAAGGAGATATGGCATCAATTCAGGGCTTCTCGGGAGCAGGAACCCGATATTCATCTTACTATGATGAAGAAGTACAAAGAAGCACCTGACTGGTGGTATGCGGCACTATTCCTGTTCTCAATCGCGTTAGGGCTTGCAGGCATTCTGGCGTATGATTCGCAGCTTCCTTGTATGTGATGCTCCTCTGGGTCTGATGATCAAATCTGACCAAATACACAGGGTGGGCCTTTTTTGTCTCCATTATTCTTGCTGTGGTCTTTATAGTATGTTGTTTCATGAGCACTGGGTGGTTCTTTCTGACTCAAACAACAGATTCCGACTTGCATGATTCTCGGCATCACCAATATTACGCTTTGTACGTGCGGTCTCGAGCCTTTTGTATGTGTGCAACACTAATTTATACAGCGCTCAATGTTTTATCGCCATTTTTGGCAGGTTTCATGATCCCAGGAAAGCCGATTGGGGTCATGGTGTTTAAAGTCTTTAGCACCATCACCTTAGGACAAGCGTAAGGATCAATCCTCTCTTTCTAGAATGAAGGCTGACCTTATTAATAGTCAAGTATATTGTGCGGATCTCAAAGTAAGAATCTTCCTCTCCATGTCAGTGAACTAGATTGTTGACTCTTCTTCAACAACAGCTGGCTCATTATATGAAAGTGCCACCCCGCGTCACCTTCATGTGTCAAGTTGTTGCCACAATATGGGCAAGTATTGTTCAGATTGCAGTCATGAATTGGACTTTAGGCAATATTGATGAAGTTTGCACACCGTATGTCATGCACATCTTTGGAAAGAGAACATGTATTAACCACCTGTGGGAATAGTACCCAGTCAGGTCATTTTACGTGCCCGAACGGAAGAGCATTCTTTTCATCCAGCATTGTGTGGGGTCAGTTTTCTCTGTGTCAAGTACACATCGACATATTACTGACTATTTATTTAGGTGTCATTGGCCCACAGCGCATGTTTGGACCGGGTGCCATGTACGCGCAAATACAATGGTTCTGGCTAATCGGCGCTCTTCTTCCGGTGGTATTCTATGTCTTGATAAGATTGTTCCCTCGGTCTAAACTCAGGTTCCTAAACGCACCTGTGTAAGTCATCGAAGATCATCCTTTGATGGAATATGCTAATAGTATCAACAGGATGCTGGGTGCTATGGCCTGGTTGCCTCCGTAAGTCCACCACATTCCTGACGCTGTTATTCACGGTTACCTGTTACTGATCATTTTACAGGGCTACTCCATTGAGTTTCTCTTCTTGGGTTATCTTTGGCCTCATCTTCAACTACTGGATTCGACGCCGGTGGGGCGGTTGGTGGCATACTTACAACTATATCACCGCTGCAGGACTTGACTCGGGCCTCATTCTGTCCACCATTGTTATTTTCTTCGCGATTATTCTACCGAATGTCTCGATACCCCAGTGGTGGGGAAATTTAGCCCCTTACGAGACCATGGTACGTAACTATATCCCGACATTTATTGACGTGGGTCCTAATGTGGAACATAGGACTCTCTCTATACTGCAATTCGAAAGACTGTCGCAGATGGGGAGACTTTTGGACCAGAGAAATGGTGATTTTCTCACTACTTACATCAAGTATGCTTTTTTTTGGAAATGATCTTTTTATAAATGCAGATTTGATGTTGATGAATAGTCCCCTAACCTCGGGATATTTATAGTACCTTGTCCCACGTGATCGTGGCTAATGACCCCCGTTAATAGTTCCCCACGGTTGCACATAGCCAGGTGGTGACGTGGTCACAGTAGCATTTATATGCATGTCAATAGTATTCCCTGAAAAATAAACAGTACCCTAAAATAACTAAAAGACTTAAAAGAATTTGTACAAAAAAAGGGGCGTGATCGGGGGTGAAACCCAGCCTCAAACAGAATTTGGGTATCAACTCGAGAGCTTAGTTGCAACCTTGGAAGGGTCGCCCCTAGACGATCTCCGCATCCCAACCTCCTCTTACTCTTAACCCCCCCTCCATCTTCGTCCTTTTAGTATCATCATCTTTCATCGCATTCGCATTCGCATTACGGGATTTGTTTCATCCCGTGACACAGTTCTCGCACGGCCTCAACTGTGCTCGGGGCCGAGCCCTGCGGCTTCCCTCATCTCCCCGCTCATTCCTTTGACCGCTCCAAGTCCCACCAGGGGAACCATCCACGATGTCAGTACCGACGACTAAAACACCAACTGTGGTCCGCAGCCACTCGACTACATCTCGTCCCTCTCGAGCCCCATCGGATCTCCCGCATCGGACACGCAGTGTGGCGGTTCGATCGTCAAATACGTCCCAGCCTCCTACGCCAACCAACCTGTCACATTCGAAAACTCCTTCCCAGGACCGACGTCCTCCCTCAAACCATACTGCACTTGAGGGTGCAGCCAGGCGCGAATTCGAGGCATCCAATGTCGCGCGCATGCCTTCTCGTCGGGAAACGTCATCGGACCGATCTCAGGAACGCCCCTCGACCGCTCGAACTGAAACTGCCCGAAGGCACCAAAGAAATCCCTCAACCCAAAGCCGTCAGCGAGAGAGTGTTGATATGACACCGAGCTCGGCTTCACAACAGCCGTCGCAGCATGCGACCGCAACAAGTGCCCCCGTAGTTGCAGCTGCGGCCGCGCCTCGGCGACGGACTACAATCACGACGCCGACGGGTCAGTGGGCTCTAGGAAAAACAATAGGTGCCGGAAGTATGGGAAAAGTTAAATTAGCAAAGAACACAGAGACTGGAGAACAGGTACGAATATTCAACTCTTTGTTGTCTCAAATTATCAACACAATACTGACTACGGTCGCAGGTTGCCGTTAAAATCGTGCCACGACTCTCGACAGAGGAACATCGCACTAGTCGGGAGACAGAGAGAGCCGATCGCTCAAAGGAAATTCGAACAGCTCGAGAGGCCGCCATCGTCAGCCTAGTGAACCATCCGTATATCTGCGGCATGCGGGACGTCGTTCGAACCTCATACCATTGGTATATGCTGTTTGAATATGTCAACGGTGGTCAAATGCTGGATTACATCATTTCCCACGGCAAACTGAAGGAAAAACAGGCGCGCAAGTTCGCACGACAGATCGCCAGCGCATTGGATTACTGCCACCGCAACAGCATCGTACATCGCGATCTGAAGATTGAAAACATCCTTATCAGCAAGACTGGTGATATCAAAATCATTGATTTTGGTCTCAGCAACTTGTTCTCCCCAAGAAGTCTTTTGAAGACATTCTGCGGTAGTCTGTATTTCGCTGCTCCGGAGTTGCTCCAGGCCAGACAATATACGGGACCCGAAGTTGATGTTTGGAGCTTTGGAATTGTCCTTTATGTCTTGGTTTGTGGAAAGGTACCTTTCGATGACCAGAGTATGCCTCAGCTGCATGCCAAAATCAAGAAAGGTGTGGTGGAGTACCCACCAGGTCTCACTGCCGGTAAGTCAAACTTGAAAGGATGCTTTCTCTGATTCCATTGCTGATTAGGCTTCGCAGAGTGCCGCCACATTATATCCCGAATGCTGGTCACTGACCCCAAGCAGCGTGCCAGCTTGGCCGAGATCATGAGCCATCCCTGGATGAATAAGGGTTTTAGCAACCCTCCAGAGAATCACCTCCCTCATCGTGAGCCTATGCAGCTACCTCTGGATCAAGAGGTTGTTGAAAAGATGACCGGTTTTGACTTTGGGCCTCCGGAGTACATTACAGCTCAGTTGACCAAAGTAATGGAGTCCGAAGATTACCAACATGCTATCCGGCTGTACTTCCGCGAACAACAACAGCCTGTTTCCAGTCACGCAGAGCGCAAACGAGGAGTGTTCGATTTCTACAAACGACGAAACTCTGCGGCCAGTCGTGATACCCTTTCCGCACCTTCAGCCGAGGCGGTACAACTAGGCAACGACCCTTTAAATGCTTACAGTCCGTTGGTGTCCACATACCATCTAGTCAAAGAAAAGCTTGACAGAGAGCGCTCCGAAGCACGGCCTGGTGCCCTTGGTATTCGTCAAACCCCCAGTGAAGTCCACGTGCCTGAGCTGCGGCCCCCGGAAGCCGCCCACACCAATCAGTACCAGTTGGCAGGAGACAAGGATACAGGACGACGATCCCGGCCACGGGCCCGCACCCATGGCGAGGACGAAGCCTCAGAAGGAATGAAGATACTTCATTCTTCCTCGCCATCTACTCACGCAGTCCCAATCTCGCAGCCCGACACACCCGCCAAGAAAGAAAGCACTGCTGCTGGACTCTTGAGACGATTCAGCACTCGCAGGACCAAAGATCGCGGCCGCGATGTGGATCGTGAACGCATCAGTACCCCAAACACACCCACGCTCAACGTTCAACCTCCTGCAGATTCAGCATCTCCGATGCACCGTGGCTTCAGTGTAAGGAGAACCCGACGGGCGGAGCCATCTCTAGGCGAGACCTCTTCGAATGACAGCCGGCCTCAGCAGGATCTTCTAGCGGCGCCAGGATCGTCAGAACGCAATGCGCGGTCCAACAAATTCCTGGAGAGATCTACCAGTGTCAATTCGGCAGACTACCGGCCTCGGAGAGCCACACGGAGAAGTGATGCCGATGCCTTGGACGTTACTGCAGACCGTCAACCGCCCTCTACCGGTGACTCTGATCAAGTTGTTCTGAATAATCAGAAAGATCCCGCCGGCGTGAGAGCTGGTGGACGCACACACACGGCGCGTACCATGTCGCTGGGACACGCCCGGCGAGAAAGCATTCAGGCACGCCGAGCCCGGCGAGACGCTACCCGAGAAGCCAACGTGCCTGAAGAGACCGATGCAGACATCTCCGGCGCAGGCACAGCACTGGAGAGCGCTAACGAGGGAGAAGATCTGTCCAAACCAGTGTTCCTAAAGGGTCTTTTCAGTGTTTCCACCACCAGCAGCAAACCTTTGCCCGTTATTCGGGCTGACATTATTCGGGTCTTGAGGCAGCTCGCGGTTGAGTATGTCGAGATCAAGGGTGGGTTTAGCTGCCGCCACGCCCCTAGCATCGACCTCGACAAGGTGGTTGATGTTGCCCCTCCCAGTCCAGAACGACAGGGGCAAGTATCAGGGCACCGCCGTCGTATCAGCTTTGGCGGCCTCCTCAACCACGATGATAGCCGAGACGACAGCCGCACTGGGTCCTCCAGACCTCGTCGAGCTCAAGCTGCACCGGACCGCAGTTTCACCACGAATTCGGACGGCTCAGATGAATATGTTGCACGCGAACAGAATGGTCCAGTCGGCGAGCGTGTCGTTGGCGAAACCACTACCCGTGTACAGAGCGACACTGGAGAGAATCTCGTCCTCCGGTTCGAAATCCTGATCGTGAAGGTGCCTCTGTTCTCCCTACATGGTATTCAGTTCAAGAAGGTATCAGGCGGCATGTGGCAGTATCGAGAGATGGCGAAGAAGATCCTCGATGCATTGAAACTGTGACCTCTTCCTTTGTCTTTGTGGCCCACAGTTTCCGATTTGCTTTCAGTTACATCCATCCACGACGCATCCGCACGCATGAGCATTCATCAATTTTGCCCCTTTATCATTGCATATCCATTGCTATCTTTGCTTTCCTCCTATCTTTCATAGAGGGGTCATTTATCTTCATTAGCCCGTCATTTGCTCTTTTCGTCCTGAACCTAAGTACTACTCGCCTATTTCAATAACTATTGACCTAGACTGGCTTGGTCTTCATGGTGTATATTAGAATCGAGTGAAGACAGTTTTTGGTTGCTAGCGTTTTTGCTTTTGCTTTTGCTTTGCCCCCCGTGTCATCTATTGGCTGTTGTGTCCTAGGGAGATGGTGTTGTACCTTTCATTGGACAGTTGATTATGAACTTATGTTGTGCCTACAAATACAAAATGGTTGCGGCAATCTTCCGTAGGGTTTCAGGTTTATAAACTGCCGCGTACTGTGCAAATAAGTTCAAGTCCAATTGTTATTGTTGTAATCAACCATGTTACTTAGGTAGCTTGTTTCCTCCCTATATCTGTTGTCAGACAACCCACGTAGTTCATATAGCCTTTCACCTATCCATGGGCGCTTGCTGATGATTCTCTAAACCCGAACTTTATCTTGCCCTCAGCCTCGGGGGTGGTTTGGTTAACGTTAGGTCGAATGTGGTATCTAGAGCCGGTGGCGAGCCAACAACATCAAATATCTTCAAACTCCCACCAGACTCATTCTTCTAAGAGTATAGATAGATTATAGCACCTTACATTCCAGTCTAGGGGCTCGAAATTAAACCCGGGCGTGGTGTCTACGGGTTCTAGGGTACATATTTGTGTAAACGGCAAGCCTATGGTAACTAGACTGCGCCAAAACCCGCAGACCCGCAAACCCCAAAAAACCCAACCCGCAAATGGGTTGGGTTTCGGGTTATGTTGGGTTAACCCATATGGGTTTGCGGGTTCGGGTTGCGGGTTGGAATCTCTTACCCATTCGCGGGTTTTGGCGCAGACTAATGGTAACTATATATGCAATAAAGGGAAAAGCGAATATACATAGACCACACATGAACTTCAATTTGATAGTTCATTGATAATACTCGTGAAACCGTAGAACCAAACACCACGAGCGCAGCACCACCCGCTGTTGTGACACGGAGGCTCAGGGCCCAGGGCCAGGGTCTGGGGCCCGTTGGGGTTGTGTTGTTGTGTAACCCCTAGCCGCCCAAACCCGCACCTTGCCAAACTGGGGAGCAGTCGGGGCTGGGGTGCGCCCGGGGGCGCCCCATCAAGTTCGCCAGTTGGCGGAAGTAACGCGAATCACTGCCTCGAGCAACTAAAACCGCCAAATTTCCTGATACTTACTAAATAACCAAATAAATGAAAAGGAAAACTACAAATAAAGCTTCTCTATAAGTGAAATTATCTTATCGCCTTGAAGGATAAGAATAATTCATTTTGTATTAGGGTAGTTCTACGCCCGCACCCATGCAAAAACCCCTCTAACTCCGGCCCTCAAGGCTGCCAAAAAAAAGGCCTTTTTAGGGAGGGCTAGAGCTAATTGCCCTTAAAAGCCGACCGGAATTTATTCCAAGGTTGCCACATCCCCGCTCATATCCCTACTCACATCCTTACTCACATCTAGGCACCTAGAGGAGACCACGTGACAATCGTTGTATTTCGCTTTTTTGGTCTAACACACGCGACGCCTGCAAATTTATACATAATCCGACCTATTTATAATATCTAATATAGAATTCTAGATAATTATACTATCAATTCTCTATATACTATGCGAACTCCGATGCTGAGTCATCAAAAGCATAGGCTCCGGGGCCGTTGGTTGGATGAAGTGAGGTCCATCGCGGCCCGCATGGTCCGATATTGATGCCAAGACTTTATAACAGCCATTGCCCTTAAAGCTTCAAAGGCCTCTATACGCCGATCCGCACGTCTGATCTGGTTGATATATATACCAATCGATAGCGGAAGCTGAGCTCTATAATCTGGAACTCTTTTATCCTGAGTTATTAAGCTGTCTTTGTGCCTAGAAGCTATCTGGGAGTTGGGATTCGATGAAAGACCCGTAACTTTTCCGGGCGCTGTTCCCGCACTTCCCACAACTCCTTTTAATTCACCAACCAACGGCCACCAACCAGAATACCCCTATCAACCCAGAACACAGCAAACTCGAAGCATAAAAGTAAAATTAACCCATTCGATACTAGAAATCATGGATATCATAAAAATAATAATATAGACATGTTTTTTCTTTGAATTGAGGCAACAATGAAGGCTAACGCTAGGGCGATCACTACCTATTTAGGTAGGGGAAATAAAAGTGCTGAGTCAGCACCTGTCACTCGCCCCACCACGAGATCTTCCCGTCCTCGTTTTCTCAACCACGCCTCTTCACCACCTTCAGTCCTCAATCTTATATCACGTTTCCCATCCGCCACGAACGTCAGATCTTCTTCTAGTCTCTTTTAGTTTTACCGGCGCTTCTTGGAGATACTGTTTCTCTTTTTTTTTTTTTTTTTCTTTTTCCAGACGTTCTTTTTCTCCTCTCCCTTTGTCCTCACTCTTTAGGCTAGGATCCGAGTCGAGTCGATACCTCGAGGATCTTAACAGCCTCTTTTCCCCTATCTTCCTCATCTATCATCTCTACCGTCCCCAAAGGGATTGTAATTGCGAGCCTCGACGCGCTTTTGCACGCGTTCTGAAGCCGTTCACGCTGCTTAGGATGGCGGGACGCGTCCCCATTGGCTCGGGGGCTAACCAGAACCGAGTCTTCATTGACTTAACTGATGAGACTGAACTGGGCGATTCTGAGGTGGTAAGTGCTTGTGCCCGTTTCACTTTGATCTTCTAAAGATTGCTCTGCTTGAGCCCGCAACATTTCCCCTAGCCCCTATACCTACCCCACTATGGCTTTCTTTGTCTCGTCAATTTTTTCTTTACCCCCAGCCAACTGGTTACCTAACTATTGATCTGGCAATCCAGTTTCACGTACTCCGTACACAACCTGCTTACCTATTGTTACTAAATATCGCTTCTAGTCAAAGAATTTGGTGCAAGCCAAACTTCCGTTTATGACAGCGTTGGCTTATCGATCACCAACTGTCCCACTGAAGAGGAAAAGCCTAGATATCTTCGATGATGTCTCGGATTCTTCGTCAAGCGATGTGCGCAGGTCTGCACAGCGTGCACGCCTGTCACACGCTCACCCTGATCCGTACACGCCGAGTCCCCCGCCAAGCATCAGGCCTTCTCAGATTAGTGTTGTTATTCCATCACCGACATCTCAACAAAAGCGGGATATTGCGCTCGCGCAGAATGTCACTAATGTGAATGGAATGGACATTAGTATCTTTCCTACAACTAACGAAGAGGAAAGAGTTACTAAAGCTGCATACCCTACAACCAAGGGTCGTGTTGACCGTCGTTCGATCCCATTATCACTTAAATCAAGCTCAACTTCCAACGTTCTCAAGCTTCCATCACCCAAACAAACGAACCACCTTTCAAAGCTCCGTCACACTCTTGACGAGAAGCTGAAACGCATCAATGGGCCTACAGTGATTCCGACAGTTGATTCTCCAAAGCGTCTTGCCAAACTGGCTGATAACTTTGAGTTTGTCAACGGTTACCAGCACCGTGCGGGTGTTGAACGAATTCCAGATGACTCTGATTTTAACATCGGATGTGCTTGCACTGATACTGGTGGCTGTGATCGATTCGAATGTGATTGCCTCAGCAAGGAAGAAGATTCCGAGGATCGGATCGTCCCCTATCAGATCTGCGATAGCAATCCCAAATTGATTGTTGCGACCAAAAGTTTCCTCAATCGCAAGGCGATCATCTATGAATGCAACCCCCGTTGTGGCTGCGGCGGAAAACGATGCTGGAATCACGTCGTTCAGAAAGGAAGGACTGTCAGACTCGAAATCTTCGACACTGGATCTCGGGGCTTTGGTTTGTCTCACTTCATTATCTCTTTCCCTATCTATATATACTAATCATGATCTTTATTAGGTCTTCGATCGCCCGACTTGATCCACCGCGGGCAATTCATCGACCTTTACCTCGGTGAGGTAATTACAAAAGCTGAAGCCGACGAGCGCGAGAACCTCACCGATGGTTCCCACACGCAGTCGTACCTTTTCTCTTTGGATTGGTATGTGAAGGATGACGACGACGAAGAAGAAAATATGAAAGTCATCGACGGCCGCAAGTTCGGGTCTGCAACTCGATTTATGAACCACTCTTGCAACCCCAACTGCAAGATCGTCCCTGTTTGCACCACGAATCATGCTGACGAATATCTCTACAACCTCGCCTTTTTCGCGTATCGCGACATTTCCCCTGGCACCGAATTGACCTTCGATTATAATCAGGGTGAGGAGAACACAACGCCTCAAAAGATTGACCCCGAGGCTGTCCAGTGCCTGTGTGGTGAAGTCAAGTGCCGTGGTCAGTTATGGCCAAACAAGAGAAAAGGCCAGGGATCCAAGCCTTGATGGGCTTTCCTTTGTGCCAACCCCGCCGTGGCTGTTCTTCCTGCCAACCGGCCAATACCCTCGCATCTTTGTTTTTTTTTGCGATTTTTCATACCCCTATTATGTTTGATTAGCGACTTGGTATTTTTGCACGATCATGACCATAACGCAAGTGCATAAAAGCATAACCTGCTCCTCTTCCAGGCATGTCTAAGCCTTCCAGCATCCTGATTTCTTTCATCTCTGGTATTTTTTGTTTTCCTTGGCCATATGTTAGATTCACAATACCCTGACGAGAACTATGTATTATTATCAACAAACAACAAACAAAGCCTAATTTCAAATTACTTTCAGGGTACTTGACTTGGCGTAGCCCAAGTGGCATCATTATACAATTAAGCTTTCTAACTCCTCGGCAACTGACGGATAACTTACTATCTAAAGTATATTAAAGCTCTAACTATCTAGTCCTTCAAATAGCTGACTACCTAGTATATAGATGTGTTCTTAATATAGAGTTTTATATGACTAGGCTAAGTATGTAGTAAGGTTATCAAACCTAATCGTGTGATAATAAGCCTTGAACCCGGCCCCGGGTCCCAGGCTTGTTCCAAGGTTAGGTATGGTCCGTGCAACAACGCGACCTTTCTTACCTATAAGATGAGTTAGCAATCATCATACACAAAGAACTATTTCCATTAGTGTTAATCTAGTCGTTCCCTATTTAGGGTCCAGCGGGCTTATCCGACATAAACCCTCTTTTGAGTTCATTTCGCATCAGCAGGGTCAGGGTGAATGACTATTGAAGAACGTAGTAGGTATATAGAGTACAGTTTTTGACGAAGAAAAGCCTTGGGTATTTATATTCCTTTTCTTCCAAGTGTGAATGCATTCTACCCTGGGCCGTGGAGCAGGGTGCTGAGGAAGTGGTATATAGAGACCAACATAGGGCAAGCCTGGGGCATAGACGGTATTAGGCAAGTATATGAACAGAAAACAACCTTTAAAGCATTGAATATTCAAGTGGGTGGCTATTTCTGCAGCAAGGGCTCAAATGTAACAAAAAAAAAATAACAATGACATATTTCCAATATCCAGCCACTATACAATATTCCCTATGCGACATTCTTTTCCGAAAGCAGAAAATCCAACTTCTAACATGAAAAGAAATACAAAGGCAATTAAAACAAATTGAGTATCACAGCATAAACCAAAGAAAAAGAACGAATGTAAAAAAGAAGAGTCAAGCCTAAGCCCGCCCCTCCATAACCTCAAAGATACCGCCCATCACAAAGCTGGGCTTCACCTCCCCAATCCCCAGATCCACCGGCCGAGGTTCCATCAGCCCCAACCCCTGTCTCTCAATAGAGTCCCCATCACATCGCGACCGCTCTTCGCTCAACGCCATATCGATCTTAGACGGTCGTCGGCGGACAACCATTGCTGAGCGGCCGCGTAGGATAGCACAGGGGAGCACGCTGTGGGCATTGTGGGGGGTATCGGAGACCGGGCGCGGGCGGGTTGATGGATTTCCGGGGCTATTTTTGTGCCTGACACTGTCAAGTTGCTCTCTGAATGTGTGGGTATGGGCTTTGGAGGGGTGGAAGGCTAGGTTGAAGAGGTGGTGTGGAGAGCTCTGGGGCGAGTGGGTGGAAGTTGGGGAGGAGGGTGGTGAGGTTGTTGTTGAACTTGGGCTTGAGGTGTCGCTGCTTGATTTTGAGCTTCTGGAGCGGAAGGATGTGCTCAAAGAGAGAAATGGTGAGGCGATATGCATTGTTGCTGTGTTGATTTGGTTTTTGGTTGTATTGTGGAATGTGAGGCTTTGTTGGAGATGACTATGTCATAGTAGAGGATCAGGATACGAGGATTGAATTGGTTATTTGTAGGATTGACAGAGAATTTCCTGGGGATTTACTTGGGTTTATTAATCCTATAACGGGTTGACTGCAAGGACTGTGCTGCAGGGAGAGTTAAGACACGGATTGAACGCGGGCGACGCATGCGGATGAATGTGATTGTCCCTGAAAACGGACAATGCCTTTGGGACTTGAAGATTGTTTCTCTTTTTACTGTATTACTTATATGTAGAGATGTAGAGATGTACTTATCTAAGGTACATGTATTCCTCCATGGATGTTCTTAGGTAGGTCTCATCGTCTTATGTTCTCCTATTGTCGGTTTCCTCTTTCGGCACCAATAGTAACTAGTGAGACCCACTTGATTCATGCACTTCCCTATAGATAGTTTAAATGATCATCTCCTTTAATGTCCGATAGTCAATAATCAATTGTGTATCCAAGTCTATGGAGGAATATTATTGAAATGGAATCCCACGCCGCTGCGATGCAAAATGCTCCCACACAAGGAGAGTAGTAGTATACAGCATAAAGCCAGAAAAACCAAATGGGCCAAACGGGCCATGAAACAGAAATGTAATCCCCAATCTATTTGAGAGGAATGCTAAAGAAAAAAAGAAAGAAAGCAAAAATAATGAGTAGAAAATCAAAACACGCTACTATCCACACCACCCACTTCGTGATAACATCCAAAATTCATATAGGTCAATATTCAAAGCATCTTATTCAGAACTGCGATCGCCCGACCGTCGCTGCGTGAAGCTTCGTCGGATACTCTCACCCCAGGCGGAGTTGTCTAGCGAATGCATGACATCCTGTACATTCATACCACTGTTATGACGCGAAGTATCGGAAACCGAAGACGCCTCGTGCGTTTCGCTAGTGTCGACCGAAGTGCGCTCCCCATACATTTGACGCGGCGTGATTGAGGGACTGATACTCGACCACTCCCTCGTAGGTGTGCTGGAGCCAGATGCTGACCCGCTCAGGTTAGTATTGATGCGAGGCAGGGCATTGCGGTTTCCAGTTGGGCTGGATTCGGCTCGTCTGTGGTGCGAGACCGGTGAGAGCATAGGGGGAAGTTTCCGTCCAACTCGGGTTGTGTCTGGGGTGTGATCGCGCCGGAACCTGGCTGGTCGTGCTCCTCGGGGTCGTCGACTGGATCGTCGACAAAGATCTCCGGCACAGTGAATGTCGGGACCACGCTTATCCGGCCGCTCTTCTTGCGGTCAATCTTGCGGCGGAATTCGCGTGACCAGTATAGTGTATCGAAGAAACCGACGACGGTGTTTCGACGGACAGCCTCTTCCACCCGCTGCAGCCGTGCTCGACGACGTAGGAATTCTTCGAGGCGTAGACTCTTGCTATCGCTAATAACATTGTAATGTGCGAGGATCATTAAGCACTGGTGGAAGGAGATGCCGCGATCGGGGTCTGCTGACACAAGGATCTCTTCGTAGAAGGCATTCAATCGTCTGCGCCGCTCTCGAATGCTTTGGACTGGAATCCGTGATATGATCCGAGAGAGCTCGTCGATATCCACACCATACGAGACACGAGAGTTTGGCCGCATTGAGTATCGTGGCTCAGCCAGCGAGACCATCGAATTTCTTGCGTAAGAACCCATCGAGTTCCGCTGAGGGTCAATCCGGCATTTTTCCAGGATACTTCCAACCGAGAACTCTCCCTCGTAGATTCGCATTGCAAAGACACCAGAGAGCTCACCGAGTAGTCGAGGGAACTGCTCCGTGGATATAAAGCCCGTCCCATCTGGATCATACGTGGCCCACGCCTGCTTGAACCGGCGGATCTCTTCACGACTGATCGCGTACAGTCCGCTGCTCCGCTGGTAGACATAGGAGAAACTTTCGAAAATCAATGAAACAAACAGCGAGACGAAGATGTACATGCTGATCAGGTTCCATGCAATGAAGAGAGTTCGGGCCCACGGCGCGCTTCCACAGTCGTCGTCGAGGAAGTTGGAGTTATGCGTGCACAAGGGCGGAGTCATCGTAGCGAAGTCCTCCATGAATTCGTTCCATCCTTCTCCGCAACTTGCTCGGAAAAGCAGGATCAGTGATTTGGGCACATCGCGGAAATTCTGGTTGTGATCCTCCTTTTCGCCGAACTTGGTAAGGCCGAACGCCTGGTTCATCGCAATACCAAACACCAAGAACAGGACGAACCAGGTAGCTAGAAGATTTCCAATCACGGACAGACTAGCTGCCGCTGTCTTAAATAGCTGATCAAGCTGGTTGTTCCTTGGAATAAGCAGCAGAGCAACAGACACGAGGAAAAGCTTGTTGAGCTCCACCACGGCATGACTTCTTTCACGGTATGAAATGTCAAGGACGGAGGTGATGAAAGCGCCAGGGACGGCGATGAGAGAGTACAGATCCCATGAACTTCGGCTAAATCGATGCCACCCAAGGCCAATCAGTCGGATTAAGACATTCGCAACGTAGACAAACATGAATGCCAGGAATATAATGGCTAGATTGACCAATCAATCAGTAACACGCAACATCTCGAATCAAGGGGAAAAAAGAACTTACCTCGTAGCATCTCCCACCAGGCGGGTTCGGGATAGTATTCCAGCACAAGTAATAGCAGGTGAACTACAAGGACGCAAGTCACGAACCATGCCCACCGACCATGCTTCTTAACCGAAATTCGATAACACCACAGCCGCAACTTCTTGCTCTTGTCATCAAAGGATCGTTTCGAGGGCGATATCTGTCGGAGAAGTTTCCGCAATTCCAACCAGGAACGTTGCTCGGCAGTTAGGAAGGCAACGCCGGTTTGTTCTGTGTAATTGCGCATGAACACAGACACAAAGAGTGTCAGAACAAACACAGCTCCAAGTAAGTTGAACACCACGAAGAATAACCCGTTCTCTGGCGCCACTAGATCTTGCGGTTGGGTCATCTTTCCAGTGATACTCATTGCAGCTTCTTGTACGTCGACCCAGCCTTCTTGGGAGACAATCTGGAACAGAATGAAGAGGGAGTCACCAAAATTATCGAAATCATAATAAGAGTTCCCAGCCACTCGTGGAGCAAGCACGTTCCAATTGTATGGCGAGCTGGAATATTCATTGACGCAGTTGGTCAAGTTCCCAGAAAACCCACCATCATTGCAACTGGCCATCTGCCCGTTGAACAGATTGACTCCATAAATTGCGAACGGTATGAGGAAACTCATAGAAACGGCAGCAGCAGCAATGACCTTCCATCCCCCGACAATGATGACAGAATGGAAAGTGTCCTTTGCGCTGTCACTGACGTTCAAAAGACGCAGCGCCCTCAGCGCTTTGAAGGCGCCAATGGCTCTGGAAACACTCCAGTCCTGTTTGAGCGAGCCACCGACACTGACCCACAGCGTGATCAACACGATTCCGTCAATGAATCCCCAGGAACTGCGGAAAAATGCGTTCGGCGTCCAGAAGAAACCATCGGCAATCACCTTGATCGTTGCTTCAACAGTAAACACAACGGCAAAGCCCAAGTCAGTATAGACGAACCAGTTGCGGTCAGTGCGGAAATACTGCCGCTGATACAAGGGGGTTGTAATGCAGGCGAGAAGCACCATGGCGACAATGGCTGCATAAATGAAAGCAGAGAACGCATACCACACTGGCTTGTATGGATCCACACCCTCAACTCGTTGGTGACCGCGTCCTGGGCCGACAATTCGTTGACAAATTTTCCGAACGAAATTATGCGGCGAGAAAAGAAACAGTGATTTGTTATAGTTAGGGTGTTTCACGAGGTATGCTCGCTGATCCCGTTTTCTCTGCTCTGCCGCAGTAACAACTTCTCTTGCCATGGTTCTCGGATCCAACTCCTCGTAAGCACGTGAAAACTTCAGCTTCGAGTAGAAAGGATTTGGTTCCCTCCGCATAACGAGCGTGGTGGCTTTCGTCCATAGAAGTGAAATCCAGCCTGGTTGAATTATCTCTTGAGTCCCGCCTTCTGGCATTGTGCTCACCCTTCGTGAGTCCTTCGGTCTTTCCCGTTCTTGTTGCCTGGTTTCTTCTTCATCAAGGAACTCTTGCACCACGGCGTCTTTCAGCAACATTTCCAACGCCGCAGGACCATGGTCAAGTGGATCTTTGTACCGGGCTGAATCCCGGCCCATACGAAGGATTTTCGAGAGCGCTAGGTTTCCTTGGGGTGCTCCATGGAGTTGCTTCTGTTCCAAAAACGCCCTGACCTGATGCATTCGTTTTTCATCTTCTGAAACATCGAAGCTTTCCTGAATGACAGCAATGAACATGTTTAGGATGATGAAGTTGGACACAATGAACCAAAGAATAATGAATGCTGCCGAGATCCAGGCTGTGTTGAAGCCGGTCGTATATGCGGTTGCATTGTAAAGAATCGTGGTCCAATTCTCACTCGACAGAATTTGGTACATTCCCAGGAATGAGTTGTAGATATTCGAAAACGTGATCATGATCGTCGTGCCACCTGGATCTGAATTTGGGATCTGGCTTCGAAAAAGCTGTGTTGCGAAAATGGCAGATAAAAAGGTCATCAAGAATAGGAAAAATATCAAGTTGAGCAGACCGACAGTATTGCGGAATACAATCACGATCAGTTTTCTGGTCACAGAGAAAGCCAATACCACACGGTAGACCCGAAGGATCTGGAACAAGGTGAGAACTGTGTATGCACGACCTGAGTTCCTGATAGGCGGTATCTGGATGGTGCAGGTAATGATTACAAGCAAAAGGTCTGTTAAGTTACGACGCCTTCGATGAAACATGCGCCAATCCGAGGCGAATCGTAAGATAATCTCGACCAGAAAAATGATCGTGACAACAGTCTCAGTAGTATCGATAAATCGGGTTCGACCGGCAGACATAGTCGAGCTTCTCAGGGCTTGCACGATAAGGTCGAAGATGATGAGGCAGACCCAAATCCACTCAGTTTGATCATATATACGCTTGAGAGCACTGTCTTTGCGAGGCGTTGTGTCATCTTCGTCGACAGCATCAAGTTTTTGGACGGCAAAAGCGCTGCGCTTGCTCTCTTCTCGAATCACTTGGAATGAGTGTGTGATAACCGCGACCAGCAAGTTCACCAACCACAAGCTCAAAATGACAAACCCACAGGCAAAGAACAGGGCCGTAGCGAGGTAGTCAGTGTCAGTGGTATAGTAGAGCAGATCGGTAAATGTATTGGAGCTCATGATCACAAAGACCAACTCCAGGGAGTGCAGGATGTTGTCAAAGCTCATAGTTCCATGGTAAGGATTGACACCTTCCATGCATACAGAACCTTGAGGACAAATATATCCTTTGGGGCTGAACCCTGCGTCCATACCATCGGTGTTAAGCCATGGCATTTCTCCTCCCGTCTGGTTCAGGTACCCGCCACAAAATTGCAATTTGTCCCATGGATCATTCAATGTGTAATTGCTCTGACCTGCGGGATCAATCCAGACACAAGTTCTCCTGAAACTGGATTTGAAACTCTGGATGCCAATGATGGCGAAAAGAAGCCAGAAGAAACCGATGAGAAATGCAACATGGACGAGTAGAGGAGCTGCTCGCTTAAGACTTCGAAGAATTACCTAGAAGTAATTGGTCAGTATCTCGAAAGTCACATCCTCGCAACAGAAGACCTACTGAAGTGCCGTTGGTCATGGCAAGGAGACGTAGAATTCGGAGACAGCTTAACATGCGAAAGATGTACAGTTGGTGTGTTTTCTCAACACCCGAGACTGAAAGGAGAAATGATACCCAAAAAGCGACCACGGCTACAAAATCAAGCCGGTTAAAAGAGTGTCGAAGGAATGCGCGATGGGCGAGCCGAACGCGACGTTTGTGTAGAGGATCATCATAGACTTCCGGGTCCAAACCGTTCATCCCTGTAAATGTTCGCAGGATTGAAGCTTGGGGCTCAGCCTGAAGCATCGATGCTTTCTTGATCGTCGTCTGGCGATGCGGTGTGATCAGGTTCCTGCCCTTCTCCGCGATTGCTTTCCTGATGCCGAGGTTGCGATTAAGTGTGCTGTACTCGACAGGGTTGAGAATAAGCCCGGATACCAAGATCTTAGAGCCTATCTCAAGTGTGTAAATGATGAAAATGGCTAAGAAAACCCAATCAAACTTGCTGCTTCCCCATGTCACTGAATCTGGGTAATTAGGGAGCGCATCTTCAACGGTCAACAAGACGGTCTGGATGACAATAACAATCAAGATGAAGGGCTCCATGAACGGATTCACGAGGATATCACACAGCCAAAGTCGGAGAGGGTGATTCGGTCCCAGGATTCCAAGTGACCTGCCTTTAAATGGATTGTTCCGATCCCTCCATAACCTGCTGGAGGAACGCTTCTCTCGAGCTGCTTGAGTCTGTTGGCTGGAGACATGGGCATAGTCTATCATGGCGGGCAAGACCGGAGGTCCGTCCATTCGCGCATTTTTATCAAGCTCCTCCCTCTCAATCGTTTGCTGTACGACTTCCGGTTCGTTACTCAGGTTGACCACTCGCTGCGACATGGATTTGACCATTGAGCTAGCGCGTTGCAGAGCCCCGCTGGACGCCGATGGAGATAAAGAACGCGATCGATCCCGGACACTGCTACCACGACGGCTTCCCATCCCATCCTCCAGGTGAGGAAGATCATCACCCAGTCTTGAACCACCGAAATTCCCAGAGTAACCTGTGTCAGTGCTGCGTCGCTCTTCTGCACCGGCAGCACCGCTCATTGGTTGTAAATATCGAGGGTCGGTCAACCGTACCGTATCATCTTCGTCTGCTGGGGGGTTGTAGCCGTGGGGGTCGTGGGGATCATAAGAGTCTAGAGGTACAACGTCAAGGTCGGAAGCAGAATCGTCAAAGCCACGGCTTGCTGATGGGTCGGAGGGCGATGCTCTTGATTGTGGCCCATTGAAACTGAGACCAACCGATGATATCGCTTGCGCGAAACCACCCAGGTCATCAAGCGGGGAAGAAATCTCAGTATAGCTCGTTTGTGATGGTGGGAATGGATTCCTGCTCGGTCCAGCCGAATCAACTGGAGACTCTTTCGCAACACTCTCATAATTCCTTCGCGAACCCCTCCTGATCAATGATTGTCGTGAGAAGAGACCGGTCCCCGCGCGGCTTCTCCCACGCTCGTTAAGCGCTTCTCCCGGTTTCGAGAGATCTTGGAGAGGGATCTGGTTCGGCGGAGCGTTTTCGTCATTATCAAAATTCTGGCTATCTGGCGCCATCGTCGGGCAGGATCAGTTATTATCGAATCGCAGACATCGCAGGCTGAAGGGGGGTTCTCGGACACGGTGGCGACACGTGTGTTGACGGCAGAAAAGACGTATAATACGGGGAAAGAAAAGAGTGTGAATATAAAACACAAATGAAGAGAAGAGACGAGCCTCCGAAGCTGAATTTGGGCTAAGGGCGTCTGGATCGCAATTGCACTAAAAAGGACAAGTCCCGGCATGCGCCTCGCCATGGCCCCGGGGATATTCAACGTCGTGGCTGACATACCTCGGCAGGGCTATACATACATCGTACATCTAGAGTCATACATTTGTATTTTTATTGTTTCTACCTTGCTACTATTTCAGCTCCTGGAATGAAAATTACAACAAGTTTAACACGCTGACGCAGCCCTGCTTTTAAACAGTGTTGCCTAGTGGGGTTCCCTTTTTCCAAAAATAGTTTTAGTACTTTGAAAAGTCTTGGAAAGTCTTGAAAGTTCTCATCTCGCAATAAATGTATTGATTATGATTCAATCGGTATCCATCTGAGAATCCTTTTCTTTAACGTGTTGCCGAACGCCATCCAGGAACGCGTCTACCGCATCGCCACCACCCAGGGGTACTCCACCTCTCCGCATAAACCCTCCATTAGCCACGGGGATCTGCAAAGCCTCACTGATACTCGGAAGCCCACCATCACGGAGGGCTACAGTAAGACTGGCCAAGCTTTGCATGAACTGGGGAGAACGAAGCACTTTTCGAAGAATATCTTTTTTCTGGGAGAGGTCGAGGGACAGGAGAGCAGCTTGGGCAAGTTCCGGGTCCGTATCAGCTTCCGAAGCCTCAGCATTGCCCTGGGCCAGCAAAAGCAGTGCGGGTGGCAAGAAGCTGAGAAGATGATCGGCAGTAGTGGTATCAGCAGAATCGATAAATTGCAATGTAGTCGAGGGTGGAAGGAGGTCTTGGAGTGTCGTAGATGGTCGTTCGGGATCTTGGGATTGGCTCGGGCTCTCGCGGCCGCCCAGAGACTTCAAAAAGTCCTGGACAACCGACGCTGGGTCTTCTTCGGTAGTTGCTCTGCAAAGTAGACAAAAGAACAAATTAGCTTGGATGGCCCAGATCAAGGCTGTCAGAGATATGTACCTACGCTCGTCCACCGTCGGCACCACCCTCTCGCGACTCTTGTCCTTCCTCACGCACGTCGCCGCCGGTCGCATCGGGGCCAGCACCGCCGCTACCCGTGCTGTGGTATTGGCCGCGATCGTGGTCGGTGCCTTCCACGTCCTCCATGGTATCATCGTCATCGCCGCCCGAGGGCCGGCGGGGGAGATTGGCAATCTCGTGCTCTACATCAACATCCTCACCCTGCAGCAGAACATCGACAATTTCTCCAAGCTTCAAGTCACGAGGGCTGAACCAGCTCGGGTCGCCGTCCTCATGCTGGGACTGGGACTGCATCCAGAACAGGTATCGCTGAGAGCTAGACGAGAACTTCAGGACAAAGATTCGGCCATTCGTAGCGTCCGTACCGGATGGCTTGTAGGGAGTAAAGCTGCCATCTGAAGGAATCATCACCAGGTCAAGCTCGGGCTCGTCTAGTGAGGCGCTACGCGAGCGCCAACAGAAGTGGATAAGATCATCTTCGGAGTAAAGATAGACATAGCCTGGGGTAGGCTTCGGCTTGACGGCGGCAGGAGTGCTAGAGATCTAAATTAAAACGGTCAGTAAAGTTCCAATGTAGATATGAGTACATCCGCATTATGGAGTTGATCATGGAACTATCCCAGTCGGGTCCGGAAAGCTAAGCTCACGTACATCCAGGTCGCAGATACCTGCTTTGAAGGTAATGATCGGAGCTATCGACATATTGGGATTTTGATTCTGAACAGAGATCCAATAATAGATGGGACTGTATTGACAGAATTGGCACCCTCTAGGTAGATAAAAAGAGTCGAGGTGGATGTAAGAGATAGAGTATACAGAAAGAGAGAAGCTGCGAGCGGTATACGTCAGTTGTTTGTGTCGAGCAGTGCTTCTGCGTAAGTGGTTTTACAGTCGCCCGTATTTAATGGCCTTACAGATATGGCATCAACATGGTGAGTTACCGCTTTCCAAAATTGGCTAGGGCTGTCGGTTAAACACGTGATAGGGCTTCGTACACACAACCCTCGACGAATTCCCGCACTGGAGCCGACTCCGCTTAGCACGTCCAAGTCCTCACCCAAATCTCCAACAACCACCCCGACAACCATTCATCCTTCGCCAGCAGCCATCATGTCGGACGGCCAGACGAAGCAGTTCGGGAAGAGCCAGAGGGTCGTGCCCGCCGACAAGGCCCAGAAGTGGTACCCCGTGGACGATCAGTCGCAGCCCAAGAAAGTCAGTACACCCTATGAAAATGGGACGCCACAAAAAAGAGGAGGACATACGACTGGCACACATCTGCCCCGATGATTGCGACGATAGCACCGGTATTCTGAGGAAGAGCCTTTGTGAATTACGGGGCGACATCCAACCAGACACCGGTGTCAATCGACGACACAAAAGTTCATCAAATCTTTTGATCTTGTGCGAATCGCATATCATCTGGGGAGGATGCGGCTATGGCGATGGAGATACTTGGGATTCATGGGAATCGCTAGGATTTGTGTGACATCAGAGACTAACTACTTTGTGTGTTTACAGGTTCGCAAGACCCTGCGTCCCGCCAAGGTCCGCGAGACCCTCGTTCCCGGCACCATCCTGATCCTCCTCGCTGGCCGTTTCCGTGGCAAGCGTGTCATCCTCCTCAAGTCCCTCGACCAGGGTGTCCTCCTTGTCACCGGTCCTTTCAAGATCAACGGTGTCCCTCTCCGTCGCGTGAACTCCCGCTACGTTATCGCCACCTCCAAGCGTGTCGACATCAGCGGTGTTGACGCCAAGGCCATTGAGAAGACCTCCGCTCCCGGATACTTCACCAAGGACAAGAAGGCTGAGAAGAAGACCGAGGAGGCTTTCTTCAAGCAGGGCGAGAAGGCCGAGGTACGCATCTTGTCTAGGATATCACATTTGCAGTGATCAAATGCTAATTACTTTTTCGTCTTTACAGAAGAAGGTTGTTGCCAGCGCCCGCGCCAGCGACCAGAAGGCCATCGACCAGGCTATCCTTGCCTCCATCAAGAAGGAGGATTTCCTCGGCAGCTACCTCGCTACCACCTTCAGCCTCCGAAACGGCGACAAGCCCCACGAGATGAAGTGGTAAATGTGTGGTAGCCGCGGGTTCGGTAGATAGTTGGGGAGGACCATTTTTCCAACGAGGGGCGGCTCGATTGCAGATCGGCATCCTTTCGCGATTTCGGGGGGCCGGTTTCATGAACCATGTCATGTAATTCCTACGGGATCCGTCAAAACACGTTTTTCACTTTTCTTATGATTTGCGGTTAATTCGGACAACCCGATGTCGTTCTCATGTTTCAAGAAACCCGTTCCTTTTGCGCGTGGCTGATTTTGCATGAAGCTGCGTTATGAAGAAAGACTTCAAGCAAAAAAAAAAGATTAAAATCACCTCGTTCCAGCAGGCGGGCTGGATTCTCTTTTATGTTCAGTATGACCTACTCCCATTTCCAGGTTCAGGCGGCAATCCAAAATTGGGCAATTCCTTCGATTCATCTATGCGTCGTGTAATATCCGTAAAACACTAAAATATAAGGTTGCTGGGCCTTGTCTTTAGTCGAGTGGATATCCCTATTGTGTGGAACTGGAGTAAAGATCTCGAGATCTAGGCGTAGACTACAAAGTATAAACAGATATGTCTCATGACGCCTTTGCGGTGCTCAATGGATATTACAATAGCTGCTCGGCTGTATTACCGTGGCATTCAATGAGGTTGTGCGATAAGTCACTTGGTTTTCTATCTCTAATATCCCGTAATGAGTCTAGTGGCTGCCGCCAGTCGATTTTAGGGTTAGGTACCAGCCATGTATAACCTCATGGCTACTAATTGCATGGGATTCGAATGATATTCAGAATTAGGGTTATATCAAACTAGTGTTGACACTAATACTGATAGCATTTCGCAAATACCCTAAAGCCCAAAAATGTAACGATCTCGAATATATATTGAGGTTTTAGATAATATATATTGAACAATCCCAACTCACACTCGAAATAAAACGGCAAAAACAAAGACAAATCCACATAGCTGCACCCCAATGATTTATCATATACACGTCAATGGTCGTCTCATCGTCGCTTTGTCTTTCCCGAAGACCCAGATACAGCCTTTCGCTTCGAAGCATCATACAATTTCCGAATATCCCGCTCATCTGCCTCATCACTCTCATCGTCGGTATGCGAGTCTCCAACAGCAGTACCAAAAATCCAGTCCAGAATACCCCATGGGCCAAAATTGCCCCTTGCACCCATCAACACATGCATATCAGTGCGACGGGCGATCCCACCCAAAAATAAGTTTGTCGGCATGACAGTATATCCAGAGTATGCGAAGGTCTCCTCGACAGAGATAAACAGTAGGTACAAAAGATATGTAAGCATATGGAAGCGGAAGATGATGGCTGGCGCATAGGTCGGGATGAACTTGGTAACCAGATAGGGAACCGGGTGGTCGTAATGCGCGGACAATGGGAACGGCGCAGGCAACGAATGATACCAAGACCGGTGCCATCTGGCAAGCATAGGAGACCACTTCGAGTGGAGAGCATAGCGGTGGAGGACATATGTGAGGAACTATCAAAAGGAAAATCGGAATGTTAGTAAATTGGACTATCAAGGAAGCGCATCACAGCAAAGTAGTCGGGAAATTTTTAAAAAACTTACTTCTCGCCCCAGCATCGCCAGGCTCAAATCCCTACATATCTCAAATGGCATAGGAAGCTTCAGCGATACCTTAAGCGCACTGCGCTTGCCGAGCGTCCGGACAAGTACCGTCTCAAGCACCCCCTGCATAGCGATACCCAAGAATAAATTGAACAGTGCCCACCCGGCGATCTTGAGTTCCTTCACACGGATCCGACGTCGCCTCCTCCCACCCGGCAAGCCGGTCGCGCCATGCGCCTTGATGAGAACCGCGGCGGACGGTGTCAGGATATCGAAGAGGAAGAAGACAATGGATGGCAGTGCGTAGAAGAGTACTCGCACTGCGATCGTTCCGAACAGTTCCACGCGGAGTCGGGAATGCGACAGTACCAGCGTTGACCAAGTCATGTAGAAGAACAGGAGGTTCAGGCTGGTGCTGTAGGATGATAGGACTGGGATGAGGAAGACAGACAGCATCGGTATAGAAAAAAGGGCCTCCATCTTGACACGAGGTTATGCGGCGATTGCTGTTAATGGTGTTGAAAGACTCGAAGGTGAATTTGGTTGTATCTTGTCTATCGCTATCGCCGAGTCTTTCGACGGGATGGCGAGGGTTTTGTTTCTGATTTTCCAGCAATTCCTCTTTGTGCTGAAAATAGTAACCTGCGATCAGTTGCCATTCATGTTTAAGACAAAGACTCTTTGAAAATGAAATCCAGTCTGGGCAGAGCCATTGGGGACAAAGAAATTTCGAGGTCGAAAATGGGGTGGCAAGATAAAAGATAAGCTTGGTTATCTACATCGTACGTCATCCTCCCCGGATGTACATTCCAAGGTTGCGACTGCGTCAATGAAAAGTTGAAAGGATTGAATTGCTTAAAATACGAACACAGACATGCCATTATTTTTTTACTGTACAATAAGAATGTGCAACTAAGGTTAAAACGAATCGAAGAATGCTTAGGTGTTGTGAGGGGCAGCTGCAAGGAGGGCCGTACAGACAACGCTCAGGGTATCATCATGTATGAAGCAGTCGACAGACCATGTAAAAAAAAGAATAATACACCCGATCGCTATGAAGCCGGAGTACTCTTACCGTTCGGGAGCCCGTTCTGCTTTCCCCAAGTGAACGTCTTGCTGCGAAGGTCTGGAATGACCTGGAGGAATACTAGGTGGCTGAGCCAGCTGAGCAGAGTGTCACCGATAATGCTATTTTTCGGGCTAGGCCCAAGGGCAGTGCCTTTCATGATGGCACCAACAAAATTGGTAGTGATCAGGTACTCCCCACGCTCCAGGGCACTGATGGATATTTTCGCGACCTCCGATGGCGTCTGGGGCTTGTCGGCTTCTTCGAGTTTCTTGGTCAAATCAGGCTTGGTCTTTTGCTCGTTGTCAAAGCCGGGTGTGAGGATCCCCATGGGGAAAATGGTGTGGATCTTGACATCCGCAGCCGGGGCGTCACTGCGGTGTCGTTGGGTATAGGCTCCGTTGTACATTTCGATTTCCTGGCTCAGAGTATCGGAGAGAGAACGAATAGCTGCTTTGGCAGGCGAGTACGGCGAATAGCCAGCGATAGGAACGAATGCAAGGGTAGAGCAGGTGAAAATGAGATGTCTCCGGGGTGTTTTCATCTGTCCACTCGGAACAACGGGGTTTAGCCAGCTGCGCAGGGTGGCATGAGCTGTATTGGCCGCAGTCCAATAGATTGTGTCCATTTGCTGTCGGTGATCTTGGATGGGCACATCGACGAAGTAACCTGGGCGGGAAAAGCCCGCGCAGCACCAAACAACGTCAGGAGCAGCTCCAGAATTCCACGTTGTGACTTCTGCAATGACTCTTTCGCACTCGACGGGATCGGTGAGATCGGCGCTGATATAATGGAATTTCTGCTTAAAGATATTCGCTGCCTTGGTCTGGATAATAGGTGAGCAATATTGATCAACTTATTATGGAGGGATGTCCGACCTTCATCTCATCGACGGCAGTCACCAGCTTGGAGACAGTGCGCGCAACCACGACAACGTTTGCACCTTTCGTGGATAGCTCGAGTGCGACAGCTTTGCCCATGCCATCGGAGCCACCGGTGATTACCACAGTCTGCAAGACACCAATTAGCAAGTATCGCATTAATCATGTAGTCTTGCACATACCTGCCCCTCGACATTGAACTCGTTTCGGGATCCGAAACCAAACATCTTAGCAATAGTGTAAAGAATAATAGTGCAAAGGAGTGCGGAAGCGCCCAATATCGGGGTTGATGTATTATTATAGGAGGACTGCAAGGAGGAGAGAAGTTGAGGCAGATGGAAACGAGCAATTAACTCGCGAGGATCCATCGTGGATGAATGGCAGCTGCGTCTGTTGGTTGTCCTCGAAATGGAAGGCACACGGGGCAGTAAAGCAGTGACACAGAAATACCCGAGATCATTCTGTTTTTGACGTTTCAAGGTGTGAGGTGGTAATATTACCAGTATTTTGATTCTGACAAGTGCAAACAGAGCAAAAGCCCCCACTCGAGGCTAGCGCAAATAAGGCGGTGAGAGGCCAAAAATAATTTTATCACAAGTTTATCGGCCGGACTGAGTTGGTTCATTGTCGTTTGATTTCTACACGCAAAAATGGGCAGCAAAAAGAGAAAAGCCGGTCGCCCGGCGCAACCGAAAACAGCCCCTGAGCCCTCCAAGTTCGACATCGAAGAGCGATTCGAAGACTCGGAAGATGATTTCCAAACCGGCCGTGATCAGATTCTACTTGAGGAAGGCCCTGAGGCAAAGAGACGGCGGAGAGTTGCTGAGGAAGGTATGTGCCTCTAATGATGATCTAATGGTGCAAACGGTGTCTTACTGATCGCCGCAGAGGAATTGATCCAGCCCTCCGACGAAGAAATCCTTGGCTATGAATCCGCAGACGAGGATGACGACCTTGAAGACTCAGACTCAGAAGAAGATGAATACGATGATATGGGCCAGCCAAAGGGTGGCGCCGAATCCGAGGAAGAAGAAGAAGGCATTGCCGCCTGGGGCTCATCGAAGAAGGATCTTTACAACGCAGATCAGATCGAGACCGAGGTTGATGCATTGGAGGAAGAGCAGGAGGCCAAGCGACTACAAATGAAGCAGTTGCAGGCTATGAATGAGGCCGATTTCGGGTTCGATGAGTCTGAATGGGTGGAATCCGGCAAGGGTACCGAGGACGGCGCCGATGCTGGCGTGGTGACTGAAGTGCTTCCGCAATTGGAGATCACTGAGGACATGGATACCGATGAGAAGCTGAAGATTTTGAAGTCGAGATACCCCGAGTTTGAACCCCTGGCGAAGGACTTCGTGGAACTTCAAAACACCTTCAAGGATCTTCAACAAGCAGCCTCGAAGGCTTCCTCAACAGACGACGACTCAGAGGAGCCACAGCCATCTCCAGTGCCCGTGGTGAAATTCCGTGCCTTATCTGCATACCTTGGGACGATCAGCATGTACTTCATGCTCCTCTCTTCCCCGTCCCCCGACGCAACTAGCGAACATGTTCCGATGACCCCCGCCGAACTCCGACAACACCCTGTCATGGGATCGCTTGTCAAATTCCGCAAACTTTGGAACACTGTCAAGGATCTCGAGGAGCTCGAGGAACCCGCCGAGGAGACTACTAAGGAGACCAAGACCGAAGCCAAGGCCGATAAGCAACCAAAGACCCAAGAGACCAAGAAGCCTAAACAGAAGAAGCTCAGCAAGGCCGAGATAGCACAGGCTGAAGCCGAAGCTCTCCGCGCTGAGCGTCTACGCCAAACAGAAGCCGGCCTCGTCGATCTCGAGAACCTGGCCACCGAGCCTTCACGGAAGCGCAAGACACAAAAGATCAAGGCACCTCTCAAGGATGATGATTCTGACTTCGGTGACGAGGACGCCCTTACAGCGCACGAGGCAGAGGAGAAGGCCAAGCAGAAGCGCTCGCTCCGTTTCTACACCTCGCAACTGGCCCAGAAGGCCAACAAGCGCAACGCAGCAGGCCGGGATGCCGGTGGAGATGCCGATCTCCCATACCGCGAACGTCTGCGTGACCGTCAAGCCCGTCTCAATGTGGAAGCCGAGAAGCGTGGCCGCAAAGAACTCAATGCCGACCAGCAGCTGGGTGGTGACAGTGACGACGAGGATCGTCGCGTCGCCAAGGAGCTCCGCCGCGGCGAGGGTACCAAGGAGGGCACCGATGACGACGAATACTACGACATGGTGGCATCCCGCTCTAAGAAGCGCAAGGACGACAAGCAGGCTCGTGCAGATGCCCACGCTGAGGCTGAGCGCCTTGGCGGAAAGGTCTATGAGCAAGAGGAGGTTGGTCCAGATGGCAAGCGTGCTATCACATACCAGATCCAGAAGAATAAGGGTCTGCACGCGAAACGCAGCAAGGACTCGCGTAACCCGCGTGTTAAGAAGAGAAAGAAGTACGAGGAGAAGAAGAAGAAGCTTGGCAGTACTAAGCAGCTGTACAAGGGCGGCGAGGGCCGCGGTGGATACGGTGGTGAGCTTACGGGTATCAAGAAGAACCTGGTCAAGAGTGTTAAACTGTGAATGTGTGCTTGATCATAAACTTCACGGTCTTGTGTGTATGTTTTCATGGCGTTCACTGCGGGCAGTTTCAGGCATTCGATGTGTATATAACCCCGATTTCATCTTTTGGTTTACCCAAAGTTTCAAAAACCGTTTTATTCATCCCAACCCATCTTCTCCTAGTAGGTATATGATGCGCTTGATGCATCGGGGATTGTAGCTACTATGATCCCCACTTAGACTCTTGTCCCCGACCTAGACACAAATGATCAGCTCCGGACATTCATGCAAAAGATAGAACAATGCCGAGCTAAACATACCCTTCTGCCCTTTGTCAGTTCGAATAGGAAACATGGGCAATCCCTCTGCAAATTGAGGACGATGAGGAATATCGCTAGATTGTGATTTCTTACTTCTAGTACTCGAGCTACACAGAAAGTTAGCACAAGCCAAGCGCACATAACTACATGTAAAGTGTAGATACCTTGAATTGGGAGAAATGGGCGAAGTCGGCACATGATCCCGAACAAGTCCATTTGGCTTCTGCATAATACCGCGAGATACCCGTCTAATCCTTTCTGAAAACCGGTTTGAGCTATTGCTGATACTTGTGCTCGAGCTACTCGAAATCGGACTCCCTGACATAGGGGTTACGCGCGAGAGCTCGGAGATTGGGATTGGAGCATCGTCGGATCTTCGACGGTTATATGAGGGTAGGTTAACAGAAGGCAATTTCTCCGAGACTGTTCGAGTATGAGAAGTATGGAGGGTGGGTTCGCTAGGTCGAGAGTCGCTGGATTGAGAGGGAGCGATTGTATCAGTGTCTATTGATGGATGGCCGTTGTAGATTTGATTGGAGTTCGTAATAGGACTTGTTGTTGGAGTCAGTATTGCATCATTCAGGGTATCTATGAGCTGCTTGTACATGTCGCCGTCGATACCCAGACTGGTTCGCATTTGCTGTGTCCTTTCTGTTCCGAAGCTATGTTTCCTCGGGGCATCAGGCGTTAAGTCAATCTCACCCGGGTGCAAAAAATCTTGGGTGGTGGATAGTATTCGTGGGTTTGAAGCATCAGCACCCTTAGCTGTATCTTGGATAGCTGGGGCAGTCTGGTTTGGGCTGTCGGGCTGTGAGTCCTGCAGCATTGGTATTAACCAGGCATGGTCCAGGGCATCTCTGGCAGTAGGGCGATCTGCCGGGCTTGCAGCCATCATGCTTGCCAAAAAGGACGTGGCTTTTGGGCTGACCGGAGAATGAGACGAGTCAGAAGGCATTATCGAATTCCCTCTATAGTACTCGAGTAGATCACTTTTGCCAGAGAAAGGAAATTTCCCAGAGAGCAGGTAGTAAGTGATCACGCCCAGACCCCATATATCGATTTCAGGGCAATAGTCTGATCCGGACGCTGCGCTTTCTGGGGATGGACCCCATAGCTGTTCATACACCTCTGGTGCAGTAAAGGCGGGCATGCCATTGAACGTTTGTAGACCCGTAAACCCTTCCATCGAGCGCTTGCTGATCCCGAAGTCGCCGATCTTTACCCACCAATCTGGACCTGTAGATAACACGAAAATATTCTTCTCGAGATCAGAAAATGTAGAAGCAAAAGCACCATGGCTGGGTCATACCTGAGGCTTCAGGTCACCGTGAGCGAACCCGTTGCTATGCATAAAGTCAAGACTCTCGAGAAGCTGGAAGGTAATCTGCTGTGCTTCTCTTTCCTGAAATAGCTGCGTCATATACTTCTGCAGATCCCCAAGAGGGAAATACTCCATTGCGATAAACAGACATTCAGTGTTCTCAAACCAGCCCGATGATTTCACAAAACAACCGTCATACTAATCATGAAGGGTAGGTCAGTGATTCTGACAGGGGTATATTGAGAATCCAGGGTATGAAGACCAATCATGTACCTACCTTTTGCTGCGAGAATCGAGCAATGGCTTCTAGCTCGCGATTATAATCCATAGACCTCGATCCTGGGACCGACTTGCGCACTTCCTTAACGGCCCGGAGCTTGCCTTCACTGACACATTCTTCCAACCACACAGTACCGAAGATGCCAATGCCAAGATCACGTTTCTTCTTCCACAATTCCTCGCGCTCACGACGTCTTCCGCGCCGACCGTCGACTAACGTTGATTCGAGAAAAGTGTGCGTTGTAAGCTCTGCATCGAGCTTGGTATGGAGCTTCGAGTCCTTGACAAGACCGGAGACTTGCGACATGCGGGGCACAGAAGAGCCCGGATTTTGGGCGTTGAGAGCAGTGTGTATCTTTCCTATGATACAACGTAGATAGTGTCAACCTAGAGAATGCGAATGATGTATAAGAGATGCCTGGCTCGGTGCGTATGGTCGTATTGGATGCATGAGATACTGTCAGCGTGCAAGTCGGGAGTCTCTTTCTTTCGAAACGCTACACGTAACATGATCGGAGTTGGGGGTTAAGTCATTATTGTTTTGGCCCCCGGTTGCTACAAATGTAGTGGAGGCAGTGACTTCATTCTTCTAATGGAATAGATCGACATCGCGGGTTCGGACAATTAATGATGATGACATGGGGCGGAAATGTATGTTGTTCTCCGTAAAGATATTTGGGATGCCATTGGCCTCCATGTGCTTGGTCCAATAATAATAAATCCTATCACTCGAATAATCCCTCGAAGACTGCCTTGACATGGTCTGAGCCACCTTGTGAGAAATCAACCTCAAGAAAACCTCTCGCTAGGAAGTCCTTGTAATAACGCTGTTAGTCACTTTATTTTTTTTATTTTAGAAAAATGAACTCGTACCGCTTCTTCTAGGTCTTGCATCTCCTCTGAAGATAAAACTGCACAGGCCGCGACAATGTTCTCCCCTCGCGCTGAAAGAGACGCAATCTCGTTTGCGCGAGATACAATAGCCGGGTCGATACCGTTGATTGCCGCACAACTATACCGCAAGTTAATCAACTTTAAACGCAAGGAATGCGGATATGATAAGAAGCAGGACGTACATGATACCAAAGCTCTTGTTACTTCGCCCCGGACGAAAGCTGTTCGAACTGTAAGCATCATGTACGTACCATTAACCCAGGAACCAGTGTTCCTGAACATACTTGTAGAGATACGTGATCTGGTCCTCAACTTCCTGGGTTTCTTCGCAGACTTGAACTTCCATATGGCCAAGCTGGAGTCGAGGCCGCAAAGCGAGGAAGTTGTTCTCGAAAATCTCATGGAAATGAGTTGCTGCTATGACTTTAGCGGGTCTTTCGAGGCACAGCAGGTAATCGAGTATGCCACAGGCAATACCGATGCCATCTGAATACGTCAATTAGTCTGCATCAAGAGCTATAGCTAGATAGGAACAGACCGCTTTCGTTGGTTCCCTTCCCAAACTCATCGACGATGACCAAGCTTCGATTTGTGACTTGTTTCAGGCAGAGAGAAATTTGTTGCAAATCGTTCATGAATGTGCTTTGGATCTAAAGACGTGTTAGGCTACAAAATGTAACACTTTGTCCAGAAAATTTGAGATACCTTGGAGACACTCTCTTGGGTATTGATTTTGGTCAAGATTTTATCTGTGACTCCCAATTCTGCGCTGTCAGCAGGAACGAAGCTGTGACAGTTAGTCTCTGTATAATCATGTCAATGGAAAGAAACGTACCTCCCAATCTGTGCTAGATAGACAATCAGAGCGACCTGATTCTATATCAGAAAATGAGTTTCACAAAGACAAAACATAGCTTACCTGCTTGATATAGACACTTTTCCCTGAGTAATTTGGTCCAGTCAAGAGCAGCATGCTTGGATTGGAATCTGTGGATGAAGCAGCATCATTGGTCTCGGAGTCATTTCCACCCACGAGCAATGTGTCATTTGGCACATAGGATGAAACGGTCAATTCTTGAAGAATGTGCCTGCCATTTGTCAGGGATGTGGAGGGATGCTTGTTAACAAGCTCTTACCGGCCACCCTTGATTCTGATCACATTTTGTTCAACCATTCGTGGTCTGGTCAGCTTATAGAAGCTGGCTGCTTGTGTGAGAGCGAGAAGACTATAGAATTTGTATCAGCGGACCTCGCGTCATGTCCCGCAGGAACTAACCTATCAATATCTCCACAAATATCAGAGGCATCGACGAGCACATTCTCATAACGGAGAACTCTCTGAGCCAGGTCGTACACAATCTCGATTTCTTTCTCTGTCAAGGTACGCTTTTTAGTTCTTCCATCTCCATGATTTCTCACCAATTCAGCAGACCTACCGCAGATAATACCGTATATATCCCCCAACTTCTCGTCCATCTCTCTCATGCGGAAGTCTTTGAAATAAGCCCGGTTCTCCGTGATGAACATCAATTCCCAATCATCATCAGAGCCAGCATATGCCGCGGTGCCATGATCACCGAGTGGAATGGCAATATTAAACCCAAGCTGAGGGAAGTAGATGACATTGACGTCAACATCAAGGGTCGCCGGGATTGTTGCGGCAATGTCGAGAGCAACGTGCTTGAGAAGACTGTTGAGACCATCGTATCTGTCCTTGATTTTGTCAAGTTCTCTATCAATTCCTTGCTTAACCACTGTTCTTCCTTGTTCTTCGGAGTTATCAATGTCGACCTAAAAAGTCAGATGCGTTCGTAATTCCTATTAAAAAAAAAAACTTACAATTTCTTGAACCATACGACCAACTCTGTAGAGCTGTGCTGCTTCAAAGACTCTGAGAGCCTGCAAGGTGTCAGTACACAAATGACTGAGATATTTATTGGGGATTGACCTTGCTTCGGAGAGCCAGTATGTGCGCGCCCGAGACCTCCCGCAGTGCATCATTAATGTCGATAGAGTAGAACGCAAACTAGTCAATCACCTAATTAGCATCGTAATGCAAAAACTACCCCTCTAACATAGATAGACGGATGGTAACAAAGCAAACATACAGCAAGAAGACTAGCCCAAACCGTAGTTTTGAACCCAGTAATCTTAGCACTGCCAGTACTGATTCCCTTGCGAAGATTGACCATGACAGGCCTGAGGTTTTTAACGTGTTTCAACGCTTTGGTCATCTTCTCCAATGCAGCAAGATTGTTAGGGCGGGAAAAGATTCCTATAAAATCATGCCGTTCGCGAATTGTATCTAGATCCACGCTTGGACGGACAAAGGTTTGCTTGAGTCTTGCCCTACCCTGAGGGGTGTATGCAAAGTGCTGGAAGAGCCCATAGACCGAAAGACCCTCTTTGCCCGAAGCTGACTTTTTCCCCGGCCCTTGGTTAAACATGTTGGGATGTGACTCCGACTGGATAATCTGGAGAGAGGTGAAGGTGTTGCTGTTGATCCACATCGTATCCCGTAGATTGAACATCTGCAGTGCTCGGACTCGATACTCATTTCCTTCTTCAAGGGGGCTAGGCGCTGCGGCTCTTCGTCGCTGCAGGTAGGTGAGTATGGCTCCTGCGCAACCAATAGTCACGGGGTTCTCCATGTCGACGGAGCTTGAGATGTGCAACAGTCTTCCTTCTTGGAGTGTGAACCCCATCTCTTCTGGGTCCACTTCTTCCGGTCCGGCAAGGCCATTTTGAGGCACGAAAAACCGGATTCTCTGTTCGTGCGTAGATGAAATTTCTAAAGCAAGGAGTTTGCTTTCCGCATTGGAGTAGCTGAACTCCGGCGTTGGACGAATGTCTATCTGGTAAGGAAGGTAGGCAGAAGAAACTGGACAGAAAGTATCAGCATTTGCTTGCACTGGAAAGGGTCAAAGAGCTCCTGGGTAAAGCAAATGTACCATCTTCTTGTGCGAGGTTTTGATCTTGATTCTGCGAACTAAGATCAACACGAGGAGGTGTCAAAACCACCGTAGGTTTTATTTGGAGGAGCACTGGAGATGGCCCAATTAGCACTTCAAATCTAGACCTAAACAAATAATAAACCCACGAGCGTCGATTGTCTCTATATCCCCTGAACGGCTATCACCGAGCAGATACATCTTTTCTTCTTCGGCTGAGTAGTATGAGCACCCCACAGTTCCATGGTCCTTCATGTCGATAGCAGCAATGACATGGTCATCGAAATCATCATCAGTAGCCCTCACTGACCGATCTGTTTCGATCCTGGTATCTGTAGGAAACGGAGTGCGCAATTGAGTTGCTGATGAAAAGATAGGGGTTTTAGGAGGACCACTTGAAATGCTGGGAGCTTGACTTGATGGCGCCCTGTGGCCCAGTCGTCGCCCGGAGGTACGAGGTGTGATTGGAGGGCGAGAAGCTGATGTTCTCTTTCTCTTTAGAGAAGACATTTTGCTGAGGCCAATGAAATTGGGATACTTAGAGATGCGATGAGAGAGGGAAATGATGGGGTAGGATGGGATGGTGAGTTCCCATTGTGTGCGCAGTCCTAGTCACCTGTCCACGGGTCGTTCTTCGAGTCTACATAAAGCAAGCAATTTGATCCAGAACTGGATTGTTGTATTATTGTACAATGAGTGAGTGGACTAGTATACAAATTCATAATAATATGTGAGATAAGATCCGACATGCCATCGAAAAATTCCCAAAAAAAAAAGAGATGCAAAACATCGTATGTATCACATAAGAACGCTAGATTTCATGCTTTCGTTTACTCTTGCGTGGTTACCACCAGGCCAGCCTTGGATTCATCAAGAGAAACTCGGGCAGTTTGACCAGAGACAACTTCACCTCGGATGATCTTATCAGCCAAGCGGTTTCCAATCTCCTTGGCAATGAGACGGTTCAAAGGCCGGGCACCAAATCTTGGGTCGTAGCCTTTCTCGCACAGCCAGTCCTTGGTCTCATCATCAACCTGTAGGGTCATGCGGCGGTCATCGAGTCTGGCCTGGAGCTCTTTGATTCTGATCTCAACAATGTCCCGTAGAGCATCCTTTGACAGGCGCCTGAAGATGATGAATTCATCAATTCGGTTCATGAACTCAGGTGGGTATGCGCTCTGAACCACATCCATAACAGCTGCTTTGACCTTTTCTGGGAGTTCGGCATCAGAAAAGTCGTTAATTGGGTGCAAGGGGTCTGCTCCGACCAGGATACTAGCTCCAAGATTCGAGGTCAACACAATCAGGGTATTTCGGAAATCGACCTTGTGGCCTTGGGCGTCTGTCAGGAAGCCCTCATCGAGGACCTGCAGCAGTAGCGCTGAGATATCACGATGCGCCTTCTCAAATTCATCAAATAACAGAACAGCGTATGGCTTCCGTCTGACAGCCTCGGTGAGCTGGCCAGCATCATCATATCCGACATACCCGGCAGGGGAACCGATGAGACGACTGATTGTGTGCTTCTCCTGGAATTCACTCATATCAAACCGTAAAACGGCAGTTTCGGTGGAGAAAAGGAACTCCGCCATCTTCTTGCAGAGCTCAGTCTTTCCAACACCGGTAGGACCAAGGAACATGAAAGAGGCCATAGGGCGATTTTCTCCGCTGAGACCAGCTCTCTGCATCCGCACAGCGTTTGCTACAGCAGAAAGCGCTTCGTCTTGTCCACGAACTGATTTTCGGAGAGTGTCCTCCATGTGAATCAGCTTCTCCACGTCTCCAGCCATGAGCTTGTTAACGGGGATGCCTGTGGTCCGAGATACGACGTTTCCAATGTCATCTGCAGTAACTGAGTCGTGAATCAAAGTTTGATTTTGGGGATCCTGTTCGGCGCCTTCTTTAGGTAGCTTGGTTTCAAGCTCTGGGATGGTAGAGTATCTCAACTCTCCAGCCTTTGCAAAGTTTCCTTCGCGCTGAGCTTGCTCAAGTTCAAACCGAGCGTGTTCCAAATCCTCCTTAGTGCGTTTGATACTATCAATTTCGGCCTTCTCCTCCTCCCAGGCTTCAGTCAATTTACCGGCCTCCGTTTGCTTGATCTTGAGGTCTTCTTGAAGCTTCTCTCGCCGTTCGCGACTGGCAATATCAGTTTCCTTGCGAAGCGACTCAAGCTCAATTTGGATTGTAGTAATATCACGCTCAAGTTCCCGAATTGAGTCGGGCTTCGACTCCTGTTGTAAGCGAAGAGCCGATGCAGCTTCGTCGACAAGATCAATTGCTTTGTCGGGTAGGAATCGATCGGTGATGTAGCGATTGCTGTAAGTGGCTGCAGCTACTAGAGCGCCATCTGTAATTCTGACACCATGGTGTACTTCGTATTTGTTCTTGATGCCCCGTAGAATGGAAATAGTCGAGGCGACCGATGGCTCACTCACCAGAATAGGCTGGAACCGTCGGGCAAGAGCCACATCTTTTTCAATCAATCGATATTCGTTGAGAGTAGTGGCGCCACAACATTGGAGGTCGCCTCGCGACAGAGCAGGCTTGAGCAGATTACTGGCATCAATACTACCCTCAGCCTTGCCCAGTCCCAGCAAGGTGTGAAGCTCGTCAATAAAGAGGATCACCCCACCTTGCGCATCCTCCACTTCCTTTAGGACGGCTTTCAGACGCTCCTCAAAGTCGCCCCGAAACTTAGCTCCCGCAATTAAAGAGCCCAGATCTAATGAAACAACCCGTTTGTTTTTGATGCTCTCCGGAACATCTCCTTGTACGATGCGCTGAGCCAGCCCTTCAAGAACGGCAGTCTTACCAGTTCCAGCAGAACCGATCAGCACGGGATTGTTCTTAGTTCGCCGAGACAGAATTTGAATAGTTCGATGAATCTCGGCGTCTCGTCCGATGACTGGATCCAGCTTGCCAGCTTTAGCTTTCTCCGTGAGCTCAACACCATACTTTTCGAGTGCTGATTTCTCGTCCTCTCCACTCATATCCATGCGGTGGGTGCCGCCGGGAGGGTGTGGACGGCCCCCATTGGCATAGTGGCGGACAGAGACCGGGCTACGGTTGACTGTTGGTAGAATGATAGAGGCGCAGGGCAGTATGCTTGATCTCGGGACCGGGGACAGAAGACGGGTCGAGGATAGGCGAGGCGTTCGCAGAAGCCGACTGCGGGCATTGAGGGGTAATCTCGCCGCCATGATGTAGATAATTGAATCAGGCCTTGGGAGCAAAAAGCCGTAGACTACTTCAAGATCTGAGATGTCTCTCGTATAGCTTAAATACCGCCAACCAAGGTCCTTCGGGAGGCTTCTCGAAAGATCCACATAGCGAACGCTGAGTGGCGGAGAGAGCTGAAGCTCCGTCACCAGTCAGTCACCTGACTAGTCTAAGCTCCGTCACCAGTCAATCACATGACCAGTCTAAGTAGCTCTGTCGCCAGTAAGTCACCTGACCAGTCTTCGCTCTTCCACGTTTTTCCGTGACTCCGTAAGAGATTTTCCGTAACAAAAAAAAAACTCCTCCCTTTTTAACCCCTCCCTCATCTACTTTCTTCTCCTTTTTTCTTCTCCTTCCAGATACCACCACACCTCTCTTTCACAATGGGTTTCACCGACTTTGTCTCTGATGCCGGCCTGACTCGTAGGCGCCCCTGAGATTTTGTTATTTCGAATCAATTGGTGACTGACTGTGCCCCTCAGTGGCCAACCACTTCCTTTCCACTCGGTCCTACGTTGTTGGGTATGAATTCCTACCCCTTTAATTGCCGTTTTTTCTTCTTCCTGTTTCCTTTCCTGTTATGCTTTCATGATGAGAAACATTGGTCCGTGTTTAGGAGGCGGATTAAGACCCCGCTGGATGACTACAACCAATCGCGAGCAATCGCACCTCTGATCTTGCTTTACAAAACTACATTGTTGAATACGTTGTCTGGTGTGAACATCATCACTGACTCTTTTCAACAGCAACTCGCCCAGCCAGGCCGATGTCGTGACCTTCAAGGCCTTCAGCGCCGCCCCTGACGCTGCCAAGTACCCCCACGCTGCCCGTTGGTACAAGCACATCGCCTCTTACGAGAGCGAATTCTCTACCCTCCCCGGTGACTCTTCCGCGGCTTTCACCGCCTACGGTCCCGAGACCACCGAGCTTCCCTCCAACCCTAAGGACAAGCCCGAGGAGGAGGATGATGATGAGGACCTCTTCGGCTCCGACTCTGAGGAGGAGGATCCCGAGGTCGTTGCTGAGCGCAACAAGCGTCTCGAAGAATACAAGGTTAAGAAGGCCGGCAAGGTCAAGCCCGCCGCTAAGTCCCTCGTCACCATGGAGGTCAAGCCTTGGGGTATGTATTTTCCAGTCTCTCTTTTAGTTCAAATGCTAACAGACATTTCCAGATGATGAGACCAACCTCGCCGAGATGGAGGCCAACGTCCGCGCCATTGAGTGGGACGGCCTCGTCTGGGGTGCCTCCAAGTTGGTTGCCGTCGGCTTCGGTATCAAGAAGCTCCAGATCAACCTTGTCGTTGAGGACGACAAGGTCTCCACCGATGAGCTCCAGCAGACGATCGAGGAGGATGAGGACCACGTCCAGTCCACTGACATCGCTGCCATGCAGAAGCTGTAAATTTGCGATGCCCATTTATGAAGCAGGAATTGTGTGATGGAAATGCGTGATGTCAAAGGAATCCTTTACGAACCTAGTCCAACTAGAAAGCTGGTCCAGTAGTGACCGGTCATTGATGAAAAATTTAAAAAAATTCATGACCATTTATAATTCCACTGTAACTTGCCCCTAGAATATGTTTGTTAGGCAATTGTTCCGATCAAGCTTCGTATGTCCCTCTCGAAGCTACCCGTGGACATGTGGGATACAGGGTGGTAATTGCTCGGCAGACTTTTCAGTGGACAGATATCGGCTTTTGGCGTTCGATGTCGTATATCAACCTTGGAACGCTCAGATCTAGCTTCTAACCAATCAATATTCTTAGAGAATATTTGAATCAATCACAGTTACCCAGTCTAGTTACTGAATTACTGTTTCTATTGACGTCGCTGTCTCGTCATTATTTTCATGTGGGTGACTACGATTTGACACTTTACGGAAATGGGTTATCAACTTCTAGATACTGAGTAGTACCTACTCTGCATTGGCAAAGGGGAAGCTTTAGAACTCATTGAATATCCATTCGAAAAAACGTTGTTAACCTAGTTAAAGGGTATTTGATCGAAATTTTCCATTTATGTCCCAATATATATCTCCACCACCCCTCATTATAGGCTGTTTCCACCGCCCATATTCTAGCCACAATACCAATAAGGGGAGAAAGATCTAAACAAATGACACATAAGACTTTCAAAAAGACTACCGAAAAAGACATTACAACGCCGTATGGACGGCCGACTATTCTTGTACCTACATACATACATATGTACATACGTAGCAGATTCCCATAGATAACGCTCAGATCTTGTATGTCTTTTTTAGTATTGGAATATTTGATTTTGGCCTAAGGCTCGATCCTTTGTTGCCCTATCTTACCAAGCATTAGCCAGATATATCATATTTGGTATCAATATCAAGGGTTATACGTATCAGATGTGCTTTTTGGTGTCGACCGCAGATAACAAGATGCATTGAAAGAGTGTAGTCTACTGATAAGCCCGACAAGCAGCTGTTCTAGCTGATCAGCATCGGGTGTGACCGAGTGTAAAAGTTGGGGGATTGGGGTGTTGGGAGGATCTTTATATCGAACCGCAGGCTCTGTGGCCTGCTTACCCTGATCACCAAGAAAATGAGGAGAAGATGAACATATATCGCTTTGCGATTGTGCCATGTCAAGAGACCAGAGGGATATGATTATGATATAAGATGAATGTGAGAAGGATCAGAGCTAGAATTTGATTGCTCTCAACGAAAGAAAATTTCGCAAGCGTCTGAGGGAATATATATGCTCTTTATGTTTCTGTCTCACGGCTCATTATGGATTAGTATACCGTATACAGTATGAACCCGGTAACTAAGAGTGTCTCGATCCTGGTGTTCCCAGTTCCAGACCGGCTGGCGAATTCTACAAGGTCTATCTATCAGACTACGTTTTCCCCCTCTCTTTCTTGAACCATATTTTCTATCTGTGTGACTACCACCTTAGGCTGTCTATGCATCCGTATCCGCCGAATTTGACGGAGCTTGCAGACAAAGCAAACTCTTTTGTCTATCAGAGGTTGCTGAAAGTGGGGGTTGGACAGCAGAGTCGAACAGTGTGACCCTCACTCGGGGGCTGATCTACTGTGTATTGCCCATTGGCGTCCCAGAATTCACCGAAAGGAAGTATATAGGGAAACAGCCCAAATAGTCGGCCAAATACACCGGTTTATTTCATCAATTGACCCCAGTATGTTCGTTGATAATGGAGTTGTATGCATGTACCTAATAGTAGTCTCCCGAGGTCCAGTTTCGGGTTTGATATCGCAAAGAATGAAACAAGGGTATCCAGGGAGATACCCCTTTTTATTAACCAGAGAATACTTCAGGAGACAGAACAATTAATCATTTTCAATAGCAGTATGAACAATTGCAACAGATGTGATGCCCAGGTGAAATCCGAGCCAGTCAAGAGTTGATTAGGTAAACCGCGGGATGAGCCTGGAGGCCGGGGCTTCCACGAACCTCCCGCCAACGTATCAAACGGCACCACAACACTGTCCACAGCCAGGGACACCAGGCTTCATCTCAAAATTACTGGGAATTATCAAGAATTACCCACCGATAAGAAAAAATCCGCAGCGACCGGACCCAACCACCGAACCTCAACCCGCAACCCAAAACCAACCTCACCACCCATCATGAGCTTCCTCTCCCGCGCGGTCACTTTCTTCGGCCTCGTCCTGATAGTTCACGCGTAAGCTCTCCAACCAATCCGCTCAACAACTATATTTACTCCCTCTCGAGCAAAGCTAACAACCCCTTCTACAGAGGCTACTCGGCCCACGAACACACTGTCCTTTACAGCAACTTCACATCCACCGCCCTCCCACAAGACATTATCATCGAGACCCTCGTTTCTGTACTAATTGTTTCAATTGGACTGGTCTTGAGCGCACAGAAATTGAAGCCGATTAGCTGGCGCGAATGGGCGGGCGAGATTGAACGGGACGGCGGAGCGCGCAACCCGTTCCTGAGTCTGGAGGAGCGTTATGGATTCTGGGATATTCGGGTGAGTTTTGGATCTACTTGGATGCATGCCTTGCCGGAACTACATCTGGATTTGGATTTATCAAAGATGTGCATTTATTGCTGGACATCAACCATCGTTTTGGGCTAGGAATCTCAGAAGCTAACATTTGGAAAATATAGGCTAAGAGAAAGGAGTTCGCAGACTGGGTCCGTGGTCAGGATGTGTCGATCAAGGAGTGATGGTTGAATATTGAGTTTGTGATTATGTGCTGCAGTGGGGGGAGCTGTATAATATGCATTGCGGCGAGGGAGTTCAGTTTTCAATTGAGATGCTCAGTTTGTTGCTGGTTCTGATATCTACCTGTCCAGGACTGATGGTCTTGTACTCCGTACTGATCTTGGAGTTATGGCGTGCGCCGGCGACGCAGGGGTGGCAGACTCATCTTCATAGGATGTGCTCTAGAGGCGACCGAGAGGTTGCACAGACATACCACCAGTACGCCTGCCCGGCTACTTGTGACCTGGGTAAGTGGGATCACTGCCAGATATAGACGCTTTTGGCGCACGCGATTTGCATTCCTGCGCCACACCGCTGCATGATGGCGATACATACAGAGTAGTCTAGGCCATCAATTGAAAGCATGACTCCAAATTGTTGTGACTAGGCCGATAAGCAAGGGGGTTGATGCCGCCTACACGGTAGCAAAAAGCAAGCTTATTCCAGAGTTGTCGGAGCGTGCTTGGCTCGGCACAGAGAATCACATATTGAGATCGTCGCAATTCCGTATCTGGTGATGAGTAGAAGGCAAGGCGAAAACTGAGGTGAATTGCAGGTATACCCGTGTAGTCCTGAAGATTGTAGACATATGATGTAGCTGTACGACCTAATCACACAATATGCACGTCAACAGTGCTACCTGCCCATCTAGTCAGAATAAAGACTGTCTGCAGTGCTCTGGGATCAAGCTTAAACCCCAAGGTGCAAACCCCAAGATGCACGGTACGTACTATGTCGATCCTCTTTTTCCTTGTGATATTCCAGGAATATGTTATTTTAGGCAAGACAATGCCGAACAGAAAAAGAAAATATAAATATAGAGGCGGTCCTTACTGGATGGAGTTAACCGAGCCGTTGACTTGTCTCAAATAGACCCACCGTATGTTCTCGTCTGATCATCGGAGGAGTCAACAGGTTGGGGTTGGGCCAAAAGTACTAAAGTCCAGATAATTGGTGTACGGAGTGCTTCGTATATAGGGTGACCCGTACGGAGTAGATTAGATATTGTTAAACTGGCTATATCCTTACAATAACATAATAATACCAAAATGTTGAGTACATAGAAGAAATGATAGAGAGCTGAGCTTGGCATGCCTAATTTGACAGCCGAACAAAGTGATGTCTCACTTAAAGGCTGGTTCGACTTCCTTAGCCCGAAGACACGTAGGATCGCGCCATTTGAGGCCCAAGGAAGTATTAATTACTTACAGTTTATGTTATATGTTGAGTCAGATGGGTGAAAATCTAGAACTGTACTGGATGGCATCAAGAGGGATTCGTATGCCTCCACGCGGTCAAGGGTAACTTCCAGGGTAAGTAAGCTTCCAGGCTACTGAATTATCCAGCTGAAATTGAGACATATCGTTATTGTTTTATTATTGCATTATATTTGTTATGATTACTTACCGTACAGGGTGGTCAGACGCGGCTAAATTAGTTAGTGTCTGGTGCATATTGCCACCCTCCTGGCAAATCTGCCAACTATTCCAACTATTCCAAGATTTCCTTGATTTTTGACAAAGGAAAGTGGGACACATTCTATGTTTGCAGTTGAATATATTTGCCATGTAGCATTGTAGAGGTGAATGTCCCTATGAACATCTAATACATAGAGCTTACGGATTTGGTGTGACCCCAGAAATGGACAGAAATAGAACTGCAAGACCTTGCAGATCGCAAATTGCGCTAGATCCAGACTCTGATCGCTGACTGGAACAGGGTATCCATTTTCAAAAGCCACTCGGCCTAATGTGTATTAAACAGTAGTATAGAACATGAGACTTGTTTCCCTGGACAACCACAGCCTTATAATCCCACCCTCCCCAGCCTTTTTCCGAGATCACTTTTATTTCTCTCTCCACATTCTTCATATCTACTCACTACAATAATCCATCTATAATCTCTAATCCTTCAAAATGCGTTTCTCCATCGTCTTCACCACCCTCTCGGCCATCGCTCTGGCCAACGCCCAGAGCAGTGCCACTAGTGCCACTATTGAGGTAGGCATAAACAAAATATCACACCAAAACACCAGAACAACATGAGTCTAACATCTCCAACAGACTGTCGATAACCCTGCTACTCAGTACCTGACCCAGACAAACTCCCTCGGCGTTGTGACCGGCCAACCTGAAGTGGTTACTACCCAGCCCACTGTTGTCACCAGCCAGGCCGCTGCTGTGACCTCGCAACAGCCCGCCGCCTCCATCCCCGCCGGCCTGACCTCGCCCGTCGCCGGCCCCGGCGCTACCCACACCACCTTGTCCACTGCCTCCAGCAACACTGGCACTGGCACCGACTCCTCTGCTACCGGCACCAAGACCTCGGACTCTTCCAAGGCCACTGGTACCTCCACTAGCTCCAGCTCGTCCTCCGACTCCTCCAAGTCCTCCAGCTCTGGCTCCAGCTCCTCTGCTGGTGCTTCCAGCACCGCCTCTACCGGTGGTGCTGCTATTGCCACTGCTGGCCCCGTTGGTCTCGGCATGATGGCTGGTGCTGCTCTCGTTGCTTTCCTGTAAGCACATTGAGAGTTTGTGACCTGGCGAAGGCCAATTTCCTGTCTTCTATCCTACTGTGATGTCGCTTCGGTTTCATTTAGGCGGCAGGGGTTTGGTTGTGGTCGGACGGTTATGTTGATCCAGTATTTGGGTGAACGGGAATGAGGGACATGAAAATATGAGCGTCGGATTTTTTTCTTTTGTTATTTGTTATTTTCTCCCAGGGTTTCCTATGGAATTTGTAATTCTTTATCATTGGGCAGGACTCGTGTTTCACTGCGTTGCACCCGGAGGCGCATATTCACGGCGCACCTGTTTCCCACTCTTTTCTTCTATCTTTGTGATTAACTTAATCCACGCCGGGGTAAATACGAGCCTTGGTTCCACGCGCATGTATTCAGTCTAGAAATCATACCTATGCTACAGAGCTGTCGAAGCATTTCGTAGCAATGTCACGGTGATAATTCTGATCTACAATACCTCGCTGTCTCATATTTGCAGCAAAAAGCAAATCTTAATTCGTGCAAGGGGGTGAGTGGCACGGGTTGTGATGCATATTCTGCAACAGGTACTCTATAGTACGGAGTACATACCCATGGACATTATGTGTGTAGTACATAAATAATCAGTCACGTTGACGAGTGCGTGAATTCAGATTTTATCTAGAGCACGCATTGCACCACATATACTCCTTCCCCGTCCACGGGTTCTCACAATGACACGCAAGGACCTTGATGTAATTGCTGCTGGAGCTGGAATAAAAGGTAAGCGCCATGGATTCTCCTTTCTAATTCAAAGATTATACCAACAAGAGGTATACAGGCCTGTCAGCTTCCATCGCTCTCGCACCTGAGCGACACGCTATGACAGTTTTCGAGGCAGCCACCCAGATCCAAAAATCAGAGCAGGAATTCAAATCACCACTCAATGCCTCGCGGCTATTAACTATATGGGGACTTGGCCCCAATCGAGGCTCTGGGATGCCAACCCCAGACCAACCGAATATTACGGTGGCAGGATGGCCGGCTCTTGTCCGAAACTGCCACAGACAAGAACGATCAGATGTTGAGTGCCCATGGCTCAACGCATTACCAGATCCATGGCGCCACATTGTAACAGATGCTTCTTGCTCTCGCTGTCGAGCTCATCGAGCTCAACGTGCGAGTAGTCGGGGGATCTGAAGTAACTGCTTATGAATACGTGAATGGGCAGAACTGGATCATACTTAGGAATGGTCGTATACACAGTGGAGACCTCATTCTCAACATATGATGTCGTAGTACTCATCTTGTGGTTCAGAATGCTGCTAAATCAATTCTTCAACCCAATTCAAAAGCTAGATCACTTGGATGATTCTGGCGGACTTGCACAGCAGAAGCGAGCTTCAATAATCATCTGACTTAAGATGGGAACTTCACTGTTTATGAAGACCTACTCGTTCTTGAGCAGTAGAAGATCTTTCTGTTCCTATAAGCGTGATATAGGCATGATGTAATATAGGTGGTCGGGGATTTCTTTTTCTATAAAAAGGAGATATCGCTCAATAAACCCTTTCCCCTTATTACTAGCTTCCTACGTTATATGTCTCATCGGATAGCAAGGGCTATAGCAAGGACGTGGTGAAACATAGGGCAGTCCCAAAGAGGTAATATTAGTTACGCGCACATTACGCGACCGAGAACACGTGACTGACGCGATACCAAAAAGGTTAGTGTGACCTCCACTCAAAACAAACCGTCGACGAAGTAACCATCTCTTATCATTGTGATTGTGATTGTTGTGCTTTCACTGGTCCGGGTCACTTTCTGAATTTGCATTCTTCTCCAACTTAGTTTACCCTACGTTTCAATACTCTACAAAACATCCGAAACTCCAGCATGGTAAGTCGTCCCTGTTCAAGTCATTGAAACACACTCGTTCCCCAGCAACCAGTATATGCTCGTGCTTTGTATCTGACATGGATATCTAGCCGTCCAATTTGCGCCGGCTAGCTGCCGACCACGCTGCCTTGCACCGCGATCTTCCGCCGTACTACTTGCAGCCCTCGGATGGTGACGACCTGTCACAGCTGACCATACTCCTCACGGGCCCAGCGGGCACACCTTTTTCACAAGGATTATGGGAGCTCCATCTCAAGATGCCCGATGACTATCCCAAGAGCCCCCCAAAGGCCACCTTCAAGACGAAGATATGGCACCCGAACATGGAGGAGCTCACTGGAGCTGTTTGTGTAGATACGCTTAAGCGGGATTGGCAGCCCAATCTAACCCTCCGCGATGTATTGGTGGTAAGTTGGACCGCACTAGCAGAATGAGTTTCTGCAGATAACTAACTATACCACCCGTTTCTATTCAGACAATCTCATGCCTGCTTATCTACCCCAACCCTGACTCTGCCCTCAACGCCTCCGCAGGCTCTCTCATGCAAGAGAACTATGATGCTTTCGCACACCAAGCCAAGCTTATGACCTCAATCCACGCCCCGATCCCACAGAACCTCAAAGATGCAGTGACCGAAGCAAAGCTCCGCGGCGAGGAGGCAGGGACCACACTCGAGAAGAAAGAAGAAGACGCAGTCCTTAAACGCCCGCGGAAACACGCCCGTACCCACACCACCACAATCAAGAAAACTGCACGCGACACCACTGCATTTGAAACCCCATCGCAATCCTCATATCCTTCACAATCCTCCTCAAATCCTTTTGCCCAACCCTCCCCACCCATGACAGACGATGTCATGAATGACAGCGAAAGTGACGACCCCGCTAGCGCAAGCAAAGAAAACAACCCAACCCTTTCCCCCTCCCCTGTCTACCTCGCGCCCCCAAGTCCCCGTAAAACTGCCTTGGGAAAACGCCCCCTCTCTGTTCTCTCAATTCCCTACCCCGAAGACTCTGATGCAGACATGATGCTCATTGACTCCGACAACGACAACGACACCCCCGCCATGACCTCCAATGAACGAAACATCACCGCAAACACACGTTCCCGTACTTCATCACCACTACGGAAAACACCCAAGCTCTCCCTACTCTGTGGAGGAGTCAACGCTTCCGGCCGTCTCCGCGATGAAATGCCAATATTCGAAGATTTGCCCCAGCTGGCCATGCAAGACCCTCTACGCCGGCTGAGCGGGGATGGCAAAGAGAACCGCGGATCTGCAACCGCGCGCGGTTTGAAAGAGAAGCGTGAATACCACCCCATGAAGACGCTCAATGGCTCTACTCCCCTTTCTCCAGCACATGCTCATATCCCCACGTCATCACTATCATCATCTCTCTCGGGCTCCTCAAATTCTGGAATCTCCAAGAAGAAAGCCATGAGCGGCCCGCACAAGCGCCTTGCTGTAAGAGCAAAGCCGCGCATTGGCATTCGCCGGCTATGAGAAATCCATCCATTTATCTGGAACATGACCACACTTTTGATTTGATTCGAGCGGATTCTTTCGTTTGGTTTTTTGCTCTGTTTCTATCTACATCTATTTCACTACCCCTACCCCCTTTAGCGACATTTCTTGATACCCTTGATAGTCCGTTGAATCCAACCGGACTTACAAACTGCATAGAGCGAGGAGCGAGGAGAACATGGAGCTGGTTCCATTACATTGCTTGCATTGGCAATATGGCCAGGCTGGGCAAGGTGGCCCTGGGGTTACAATTCGCCTTAACTAGCTTGGACAACATATTTGTCTGATTTCTTGTTCAGGAGCTTTCTTGAAAATCCACATGATACTACGTACATTTATTAATATTCATTAGATGTAGTTATTGTAATTAGTTATCGAGGGAGGTAGCTATAGGCTATTCTCATCGGTCATCTTCTTCAGTACTAGGATCGGCTTCATTCAATAGCAAGAGCCGGGCAACACCGACATAATGGGTCAACTAGGCAGTAAATAGTACGGTGCAACTTGATCGAACTTGCGCTTTAGCATTATCGTGATACTTTCATGACTATATGGTTAGGCTTAGCCTAGAATTAAATCATTGGTGAGCTTAGGACTAAATAGGCTAATTGTAGGTACGCAGAAGGAGTCCTGGATGGTAGTTATAAGTTTGTAATACCATAGATTAATGGAAGGATTTTCTGGGACTATCGAGCTGCAATGTCCTTCCCGCCAAGTTTCCAAACATTCCCAGAGAATGAGAACAAAGAAAACCAAGCAAGCTCTGGCACTAAGAGATTTGCCCAGGTTTCAACTAAAATGCTCAAAAAAAGACAAACAACCGCTTTGCACATATAACAGGATAAGTATAAGAATCCCAGGACACGTCGGAAAGATGATGGGTAGAATTGGGTTAATTGGATGAAGCCCCCGAGAAAAAGCGTAACCAAGGAAAGATATGCCGATAATAATATGTTCGATCCGCGTCGGGATTGGATTATGTCCGTAGGCGTGCACGAGGCACAGCATCCTCCGCTTGAGCGAAGAATCTGCAGGGTGGCATGCAAGAAATATATCCCATGAAGAAAACATAGCCGCGATTCAGACCTCTACAGGGCGTAGGGGTTGACAGATCGAACAGTGAGGCATCTGGAATGGAAATTGCAGTTAGTTAAGCACGCTCATGCTAGAAAAAACAAAAAACCTGAATGGGAATACGTACGGAGGACTCTTGCTCAGGTCGGTCTTCAGGATGATAGGAACACGGGTCATCTCTGTGACATCCTGGATGAACTCTCCATCCACCTCGCGCAGCTTGAACAGGTTCAAGTACTTCTCCTTGTTGGTCAATTTGTTCTCGGGTGCATCCCCAGTTCCGGAGGCAATCTTGGGGTCCGAACGAGTACGGTGAGGTCCCTGCTGGTGGTGGCCGTTGCGTGTAGGCGACGGCGGCATGCTCTGAGTCGAACGGTCGGCGGAGCTGAGCGACACACCGGCTGCCATTTCAGTGACATCATCCACATCTTCATCATCGTCGAAAAGGGCATCGACATCGTCTGCAGACATTGTGCCGGTCTCGGTTTGCTTACGCATGGCCTCATCACGCTCTCTGGCCCGCTCTCTAGCGGCTTCGGCCTCGCGAGCAGCCGCTGCGGCTTGGGCAGCGCGGGAGTTACCGGGTTTGGGGCGCTCGTCCTCGGGAATGTATGCGGACGAGGGAACACCCTTCTCCCAGTACAGCTCGAGTACACGGCTGTCCTTGCGGTATTCAGCCTTCTTGAGCGGCAGCTGGTCACAGTGCACACGCTTTTCAAAGCCGAATTCCGGAATAAGGACGTCAAAGGCAGACTCGTAGACGCAGAGTACAATGCCCTCGCTGATGAGATCACCGCCAATCTCGCGACTTTTGCGGTCCATTTTACGACAGGCCTCAATGTGCACACTCTGCTCCTGGGCGTTGAGAGCCGAGTCCTTCTTGTTGTTGCAAAGATCGGCAGTCTTGTTCAGTGACTCGATATCGTCATTGAACTCCACAGCACCCTCGGAGAGCACAGCCTCGAGTTGACGGTGCACAAGGATATCGGCATAGCGCCGAGAGGGGTTGGTGAAATGTGTGTAAGCCGGCACATTGAGCATGTAGTGCTGGCGCATTTCATCGGGAGCACCACTGCTGACATAGTACTTGGCACGCTGCATGGCCTTGGCGATGAGAGTCTCCATACCCTGCATCATGTGTTAATACATGCACTTATAACGGTGAGAACAGGAAAGGCACTTACCTTGCGAAGATCCACATCTTGCACCTTGCATAGAGAGCTCTGGAGGCTGCCACTGCTGCTTGAGTCTATTTCGAAGCCAAGGCGGTTCATCCGCTCAACGAACAAAGTAAGGCGACGAGAGTTGGGCGAGAATTGACGACGCAAGAAAGCTCTGTCCGGCATAGCGCTGACAAGCTTACGAGCAACGAAGGAGTTGGCCTGGTGGCTCAGCTCCTCAACAAGTTCATGTGCTGAGGTTGACTCGAAAATATTGTATTCGACTGGCACATTCTCGTCATCAAGCTGCTGAAGCAGACGCTGCACAGGAACGTTCGACACGCGGTTACCGAAACGGGCTTCGCGGAACTTGCCGGCAGTGTTCTGAGTGTTTTTGTTAGCATGGTGAAAAGAAAGACGAATGGTAGAAACTGAAGACGTACGTGTAACAAGCGGATGCTGTCGGCAGAGATGCCACTGGTGTTGACATCGGACTTGCCCTGAACAATTGCATTGACCTGGTCGTAGTCAAGACGGCCAGCGCTCTTGATGACACCTTTGCCGATCCACACATCTTCATCCACCACACCGGTGTCGGGGTTGGCCTTGAAGACCACACTGACTGTGAGGCGATCTTCGCCTGGGACGAGGGAGCAAAGCTCAGTGGAAACACGGGTAGGCAACATGTTCATAATTCGATCGACCAAATAAACTGCAGTACCACGCTTCTTGGCCTCACGGTCCACCAGAGAGTTACCCTTGACGAAGTGAGCAATATCGGCCACGTGAACACCGATCTCAACCTTGCCATCAGCAAGGCTCTTCACATGGAACGCATCCTCGAGGGACTTGCTGTCGGCGGGGTCAATCGTAAAGATGGTCTCTTCACGGAAGTCACGTCGCGAAGCCAGGGCGTCTCCCTCGCTAGAGACGGACCAGTCCTCCCAGCCGATGCTCTTCAGCACAGCATCGGAGAAGTCATCCGAACCGAAGTTGTTGTCACGGAGCAGAGCATCTGTCTCAACTCGCAAGTCACCCATCTCTCCAAGCTGCTCAACGAGAGTGCCGAAGGGGTGCAGAGAGGTAATAGGCCACCTCTTGATGGAGGCAACAAAGATTCGGTTGGCGTAGTCCTGGTGCTTCTCAACGAAGTCCCGAGGAGCCTGCTCTGTGGGGATGGCAATAAGTGGAACACGCTTGTCAGTAGGCTTGAACCAGACAATCTTTGGCTTGTCCTGGTGACGGTCATTGTGGGAACGGCCGTGCGCGCCATCTCTGGCTTGCCGCTCGGCCTCCTGCTTCTCCTTTGTAGCCTGGCTGCTGGGACGCAGGAGACCCAGGGTTCCTGAGAACATCTGGCCCGCAACACGCTCAATGACCGCAACAACATGACCGGCGTACAAAGGCTTCTGCTCGTCGCTGATCTCATCCTCCTCACACAGAAGAAGGCTCTGGCCCTCGACCTCGACATCGTCGTTCTTCTTCTGGGTAGGACGCTGGCGAAGACTACCACGGCGACGGATGCTTCCATCCGGGCCAACTTCCTGTCTATCGCCGGTAGAATCAGAGCGACCAAGCTTGTCATTTCCAGCATTGCTGTTGGAACGGGCATCAGTGATATCCTTGCGCTTCTTCTTTTCCTCCTTTTCTTTCTTCTGGCCCCACACCTCGTCGACATCGAGAAGCTCGATTGCGACATAGTCGCCCTCAAGGGCGCGGTTCCGATCTTTGCTACCGCAAATGAAGATGTCGGCATCCAGATCGTCGGTGGTCACATATGCATCGGAACGGTTCTTCTTGTTGACGCGCAAAACACCAGCGACCAACTGTCCATTGCTAAGGAGGGCGGGCAGGTTTGCCTGGGGAAGGTAAGGAGTGAAAAGTGTCTTCCGCTGCTGCTGTTGCTGCTGCTGTTGAACAGACATCTGCGGCGGGGCATGCTGACTCGCCTGAAGACCACCCATACCTTGGGCGTTCTGCTGCTGAATAGCTTGGAGCTGAGCCAGCTGGAGGGGGTTCAGTTGCTGATTACCGAACATCTGAGGTGCCATCATGACTTGGCCCTGAGGAAGTTGGATAAGCTGAGGCTGGCCAAGCTGAGGCTGGCCACCATACTGGAATTGACCAATAGAGCCCATGGATTGGTTCATCGAGCCGCGCGAGCGGTGGCCGGGCTGGAATCCACCCTGCTGCTGCTGCTGGGGCCTCTGCTGATCCTGGCTCTGGGTTTGGTTGTTGGGCTGGCGCCAGTTGCCCTCGAAGTTTCGCGAGGATGACCGAGCATGGCCGCCAGTCTGGCTGGGCCGCCGTTGATTATCAGATTGATTGGTTGATGGCTCACTGGCTTGGGGGAATTGGAAACCGCCAGCACCGCGACCGGAGATGGCAGCCCGGTTACCACCGATGGCCATCGATTGGCTGCGGCCGTGGCCACCAGCTCGCATGTTTCCGGCCCGCTGGAAGGCGGGTCCCTGGGGTCCCTGGGGTGCCGGAGAAGTGCTGGATGCAGGTTTGTCATCCGATGAAGACTGGTTATCAGAACCATTTGCAACAGGGGCAGGAGCTGGGAACTGGAATCCCGAAGCTGTTCTCTTCTGCTGGGCTAGCTCGGCGGCTTTCTTGGCCTCAGGAAGAGCAAGCGAGTGGCGGCGCTGGTGACCACCGCCGGGAGGACCTCCACGACCACGGCCGTGGCCGTTGTTCTCATTCTTGTGGTTATTGTTGTTTTGGCCCTGCTGGTTATAATCGGCGTATCCTGATGCTCCGGAAGACGGGGCAGGGGGTGGGCCCATGGGAAGACCAGGGAGAGCAGACTGGTTGCGACGGTGCGAATTCTGGTTCGGTGCGTTCATTGGTACTCCAGGCTGCTGCTGCTGTCCGCCCTGCGGGAACTGGAATGCATTCACTTGCTGTGGGGAGACACCGGGTTGAAACGAGGGCACCTGGCCCAGTTGTTGGGGCTGCAACAGCCCCATGTTAACGTATTGTTGGTGTGTCGCAGCAATTTGTTGCTGCTGCTGCTGGAGCAACTCGATCTGTTGTTGGATGGCTAGTTGTTCCACTGTAGACAAGTTCAAGTTAGCTGAGATGATGGGACTATGGTGTTATAGTGGGCGGTCACGAGGGCGGTCACGTACTCATCAACGGGGTGAGCTCAGACGGACTTCTCCGATGAGCAATATGGAACTTGCGGCCGCCGGGGCCCTGAGGCCCAGATTGACTCTGTTGATCCATGATCCCAGATGACAGAAGCTGGCAGTTACTGTAGAATGTAATATGTGTGTTGGGCGGAGTGAATCCGGCGACAGGAGAGACTGGTACTGCGCCAAAAGGCAAATGAGTCAAGTGAGATGGATCACAGGCCGACCAAAAGGAGTCTGTATGTGCGGATTGTGATTTTCAATACGTGAATTATCCTAGAAGAGTGACAAAGAGTGGATCAGCAAGGGTGCAGGATGACAGAAGGAATAAGAGAAAGCGAGAAGAGGGGAACAAGGCGATGTCAGAGCGAATATGAAAAGTACAAGTCCTAAGGTAAGGGCGGACTCAACGGAAGCTTCGATCTCAGGGGGGAAAGAAGCACTTGCCGATGACCTCACAAATAACAATCAAAAAGCGGCAAGGGCAATCGAAGCCGGGTGAAACTTCCAAAAGCAAATGCGTGGGGTAGATCACGATCCTCTTACCTGCAAGATGAAACTAATGACGACCTCCGAACCCTAGCATTCCAAAATGACGTCTGCAGAGTTCAATGTGGGATGATCGCTTTTTTTTGTTACAAGTCCAAGAGGCGATGAGGGGCAACCGGATGATGGCAAGTAGAAGTCGAGGCAATTGCACGTTCAAGGTAAACTTGGATCGAGCAACACCGTAGCAACGGGATGAAGCTTCGAACAGGAGTTGGAAGGACCGAGGGGATGGAGCTGTGCTGGAAAGCACGACTGCAACCGACAAAAAGGGGAATTCGACAAAAAGCACCTCGACGAGGACCGGGTTGGGCTTTAAGCGAAGAAAGCCGTTGAAACGAGCTTGTCTTCAGGATGATTCCAAAGTTCCAAAACGGGGATTCAGAGTTAATCCTCGAAGAGAATGACAGTAAATACTGAAATTAGAGGGAAGGATAGAATAGACGATGAAACCATCGACTGATTCGACTCGAAGGAGCGGTATGGGGGGTGAAGAAGAGAGGGATGGGATAAGAACAGAGAGGGGGGGAAAGGAGAAGAAGAAAGGTGATGCTGGAGATACAAAGAGGTGTGGGGAGAGGGCGATTGGTACGGAAAGAAGAGGGTGTGTTCGGAAATGACCGAACAACGTTTTATTACAGGTTTTAGCGCAATAATCCCGGAGTGGATCGTGTAAATACCCTAACGGTTATCCGCCATACCCGTTCCGTCAGGAACCGTGGATGATCGCCATTGCTACCACTTCATCATCCTGATGCATCCGTGAAACTGTTGTTGAGTCCCCACTTGAAGTATCTACATAGTATGATCATTGGAGATTACACGTAATTGGGGGCCGGAGTCTAGTCTACACAGGAAACAGGGACTATCCCCAAATACGGAGTATTCCGTACATAAATTCAAATATAGAACAGCTAACTAGTAGTGGGTTGGTTAGTCTAGGGTCTTTTAAAGCTAGGGGAATAGTATCCGCTGAGCTAATTGAACATGGTAGCTCTGGAGAAAAGCTTGGTAGAAAGCTCAAGTCCGGTATCGTTGGAGAAACTTGTATTTTCTTCTGCCAATTATATAGTGTAGGTCAAAATGGATGATGCTCACAATGATGTAAACGTCAATGCTCCCAGGCGGGAGCGTGCCAGGGAACCGAACCAGCTCGCGGGTCTTGCTTACTCATTCGTCTTGGAGGCCGTTGGGGTCGGGGTCTGGAAGGCACTCGTTGGCTGCAAAATGTACTGGCAAAATACTAGGAAATTGACTGATTGATGTGAATTATTGGGGTCTAAATCAATTTGAAATCACTTTTTGCTGTACTCTGTATCTAGCTCAATCTTAAGTACCAGGGCGTGTTTAGTAGCCTGATATTCCGAAAGTACTAGCAGATATAGTAAGGCGGTAATGAGAAAGCGGTGAAGTTGGAACTTTGGAGGTACCTAGGTAAGATTGAACTTTACAGGTAATTTATTTTCTTTGGCTTCAATGTTCAAGATAAGAGCTCCGAACAAATTGACGAAATATTGAAGGTCAAAGGTGCATGTACGTTTTAAATCCTCAAGTCGGATATCATTGGATGGTTATGCAATGCAGCCAAACGCTTGATTTTGTTTGTGCCCCTCGAAAGCTACATGCTAATCCCAACCTTCCCATAGCTTCAATCTCCATGGACCCTCCCTTCTACTAGTTTTGCCGCGCGACAACGTCGAATTCGCTCGCTGCACGCGCAATTTACTTGCTTCCTCCACCTTCTAGAACCTTTGGTGCAATTAATCTCACGTTGTGCCGTCCCTCCTCCCTCCTACCTACTTTCAAATTCAGGATTGATAGCTACATCAGTCGTGAACCTCACTTCGCTTTGGGATATTGTTCTATTATCAAGGCACTTCTGAATCCCTCTGACCACGGATATGATCCCAGTCACTTGAGTTCTCCATATTCACTTGACTACCCTTTCCCCTCACTGCCCCGAACCTCCACCTTTCCCCAAACACACACCCACTCAACCAGTCCCTGCCAGCGACCTTCGGAATAAAGAAATCATTCACTCGAATGTCGACACCCACAATGACGCGGTTCCGAACTCATGTCCCACCCTTGGACAGCCCGTCCAAGCAGCTGATGCTTGACCTCGTCCGCGAACTTGAGAATGTCAAAATTTTTGACGCCGATCTAAAGAAAGTCCACCAGTATGAGAGAAAAATATTCTACGAAAGCCTCGACCGGATCGACCGCGAGCGTGAAGCAGTCCACACAGCCGCACTCGACCAGGCTGCCGCCTTCCACGACCGCGTCCGCGAGGAAGCGGTGACAACTTTGAAGGATCACATCCTCGCTGAAGAGGAAGAGCGCCTGCGGAAGGAACAAGCAATCCGCAAGGAGCAAGAGCGCATTGAACGCGAAAAGACCGAGAAAGCACGCCGCGAACGAGAAGCAGCCGCGCGCGTTGAGGCCGAACGCCAAGCCAAGGAGCAGGCCGAGAAGAAGGCCCAGGAGGAGGCGGCTAAGAAAGCCGCTGCCCTTGAAACCGCACGCAAAGCCGCGATCGAGGAGAAGCTCCGCAAGGAACGCGAGCAGGCCGACGCCCAGAAGCGCAAGCAGGACGAGGAGGCTCAGAAGGTGCAGGAAGAGGCCGACCAAAAGGCCCGCAGCCAACAGCAACAGAAACTCGGTGCTGGGAACCTTTCGGCTGAAGATATCCGAGTCCAGCAACGTTACGTTGAGCTGCATAAAACCCTCAAGGAAATGCGAAAATGGCTCAAGGACATTGGCCAAGGCCAGCCTGACCTCAAGGCGACCATGGGCAATTTACGGCGTTCGATTAAGAAATCCGTTGGCCAGCTTCGAGCCGGAACCGGTGCAAACAAGCAACAAGTGAGAAACCCTCCCCCACTCATTGGATGCCGTTGTTTAGATACTAATTGTCTGAACGTTCCCCAGATAATTCAGCTCAAAGCCGAACTCGAAAAGGCTCTCGCCTACCCGGAACCAACAGTGGACATCCGAAATTTCATCGCATTCCCGCCTGAGGAGATTGCAAACTCGGAGAACAAGGTACCGGCAATGCTTATCTACGGATTGAACATTCTTGCAAAGAGCTTGATATCCTCTCTTCTAGCTGAGGCCTCCATCAAGCAATCCCACGCCGAGCCGATCGGCATCATTGCTGCTCAGATATTTTCGTTCGATATGTTCACCTATAAAGGACTGCACATGTCCGACATCATGTGGGCCAAATACCGTGTCGTCTGCCCGGCTCTGTGGGGTTTCACAGGCAATGACAAGACCGAGGGCGGACGCCGTGTCCTGGGTTGGTGGCGGTCCGCAGATACTGGTTCCTGGGTCACTGAGCAAGTTCACATGGACCGCATGACCGCGCTCGGCGCGGGATATGCTGCTATGACTCTTCGAAATTTTGCGAAGTCTCCACGCCGGAACCCGTTCCCTAACACAATGTTCTGGGCGTCTATCCACAAGATCTTGGCAATTCCACCTTTAGAGTTGCAGGAGACCCAGATTGCCCTCCTGGCAGCACTTCTTCGATCTTCCGGCGAGAGAATTCTGGGCTTCTTCGGCCAGTACGGACTCGCATTGATGCACTATGTTATCGTCGACCTGCCCCGCAAGCTCCAGCGGGAGACCATGGCTGTGACCCAGCTGAGCACCCTCAAGGAGCTCTACCTGAAAGAGAAAAATTTGGCGTTGTGATTCGGACTGGCTGGCGTTTTGGGGTTGTGGCGAGGGATTTGAAACGACTTTTAAGGATCACATAGGTAGCCTCAGCAACAATGGCTCGAGGCAATAAACCACATGGCGTTTTTTTGTTCATTATCTAGACCGGCGATCATCGCCGGATATCATCATACCCTCTATGAATCATGTCAGAAACTCTTTGTTCGATAGAGCTTGTTAAGAATAGCTGAAATCTTACACTAAATGCCAGAACACTGTAAAAAAGATACCCGGATAATTCTGGCCACAATAGACCGTTACATTGTTACATTTGCATTCCACGCGATCTCGGTTAACCCCAGGAATTCTCAAGCGACTGAGCACTGCCATGCATCTAACATTCTGACAAGCCCCCACTTACAAACCTCGCGGCTCAGTACATAACCCACCACTTCAATCCCGATCCCAACTAACCTACTGTGGGACTAAAAGCCCGTAATTCAAGTTTTTCCACCGTTTCCCAATTCTCAGTCCCCTCCAAAGAACCACCAAATCCGTGTCCCATACCTGCGGCAGCATCCTGCACATTGGCTCTACGCGCCCCATTCGTTCGCCACCTATCCACAATTCCAATGCCATTTCCGCCTGTACGGCTTGCTCACACAGGAAACTTACTGTCAATTATGTAATGCTACTTAACCGGGCCTGGGCATCCCTCTAGATTTGGAGCTGAGGCTGTGCCGGGCAATGTCGGCTATTGGCTTTGGGTTTCCAGGCATTGAGGGTCGGGGGAAGGGAAATATCTATGAATTTAGGAGGTATGGATATCGATGGTGGTAATGAGGATTTGAGGTAAGCTATATCTATGTTATACATATCTTTTTGCGTGTAATTGGACTCTGGAATGTCTGCACTCGGCTATAAAGAAGGTCAAATGAGCCGAGTTTCCATTGTATGGACAGTAAGACGTCCAACTTCCCAGTGACGTTATAAGGGGCTTGACATGATTCTGGATGGCAAACGGTGGCATGGAGCCACCCTTGGCTGCTATTGACCAATCCACAACAAGAGGCAACTCTACAATATTGTAGATATGAACCCTGCATGGAGTATGCATCTGTATTGACCATGGTGATAAGCTAATTGTGAAACCTGCAGGTGATACGAGCTATCTCAGGCCCATCTTGGTCTCAGGCCCATATTGGCTGCAAGGGACAAGGTCGGGGATACACGAGCCAAATCGCTGCATTATGCCCAGAGGCGACAAGACGGTTGTGAAAAAGAGAGCCTGACCCGGCCAGATTCTAGTGAACCATAGGAAATTTCCGTTCCAAAGACATCTCTCAGTGGTTCCCTTCGAGGCGATTGGGATCGGCGAGGGTGTGGGCGGTGTGGACCAAACACAATGTGGCCATCCATCCGATCGATTCCCCCGGCTCTCTCCACATGGGGCAATTTTCCAGAAAACAGTTTGAATCTGGGCATCTAGGCATTTGGGCATTGTCAAGGTGACATCACGACTTTGCAGCTGTATCAAAGATATCAACGATATCAAAGTTGGCTCTTGCATACAATACGACTCTCATTGTAATCTGAAATGAGGGAATAATGATCCGGTGGAGGAACAAAAATATAAAAGTCGGTAGAATATAGGGAGGATATAGGCAGACAAGCCCAGTCACCGCAGTCATACATCACCAAACCGTCCAGACCATTAAAGGGGAATTGTTTCATCCACGGATCCAAGAATAGTTTCCTTCATTCTGATTGGTCCAACCTGCACCCCTATAAACTCCAGTGGGGATCTCCACCTTAAACAAAGTCCCAGACCCTGTCAGGGCCTAAACCCTCAATTCCCCCCGAATCTCCGGTCCCTGACGTACCTTCATTTTCTTTTATAACCCTTACATTCTTTTTCAACCTACTGTTGTACACTTTTTTTTTTGTCACTCTTTGGTCGAATACTCTCTTTACATCGACCTCATCTTTCACAATGCGTGCCTCTGGTCTTATTTCCCTCCTGCTGGCCGCTGCCCCGGCTCTGGTCTCTGCTAAGGGTACTCTTGGTTTCTCGCTCGGTGACAAGAACGCCGACGGTACCTGCAAGTCCACCAGCGACTATGAGGCTGACTTCGATGCCCTGAAGGGCCTGTCTACTCTCGTCCGTACCTACTCCGGCACTGAGTGTAAGACTCCTCAAAACGTCCTGCCTGCTGCCAAAAACAAAGGCTTCAAGGTCGTTCTCGGCATGTGGTAAGTTCTTTTGTTATTTCCCTCACCCCCTAATTGGAACTATTTTTAACCAAGCTTGTCTTTTTTAGGGTTGGCAAGCCTACCGATACCAATAATCTGTTGGAGGAGCCTTCCTTCAAGGCAGATTGGGCCGCTATCCAGAAGGCCATCCCCGGTTACGAGGATGTCATTCACGCCATCACCGTCGGATCTGAGACTCTCTACCGTGGTGATTTGACCGGACCCCAGCTCCACACTTATATCAGCCACGTTATGGATAATGTGCCCAAGGGTGTCCTTGTCGGCACCGCCGAGAGCTGGAACAAGCTCGCTGACGGCACCGGTGACGCGCTGTTCACCCAGGAGCCCATTGTGAAATATGTGTAAGTGGGAAATGAAACAAGACAACAGGAACTTCGCGCACCAATACTGACCCCTCTTCATAGCTTGGCCAACGCTTTCGCTTACTGGCAGGGTACTGCTGCCGACAAGGCCTACAAGACCTACTTCGACGACATGAGCGGCGCCATAGAGCACATTCAGAAGATTGCCGGTGACAACGCCAAGGATATCAACATCGTCACCGGTGAGACCGGCTGGCCCACCGACGGCGGCTCTGACTACGAGGATGCCAAGGCCGGTACCCAGAACGCTGAGAAGTTCTGGAAGACTGGTATCTGTGGTATGCTCGATTGGGGTGTTGATCTGTTCTACTTCGAGGCCTTCGATGAGTCCTGGAAGCCCGATACCAAGGGTGACAACGGCGAGATGAAGGATGAGCAGCACTGGGGTCTGTTCACTGCGGACCGCAAGGTCAAGTTCGACACCTCCTGCCCCAAATAGACTATGTGTGACTATTTGTTTGCTTCATCTAAGTGTCTTTGCTTTGATGGCTTGCCCGCAACTAGCGGTTTCTTTTTCAGATTGTATTGATTTATTTCGGGGATGCTTATCTCCTACTCCAATGGAAATATGGTTTAATTGTCTCTTGCTGTATAATTAAATGATAACATGGGAATTACTGCAGCGTTGTGCTCAGTTCAAATTGCAGTTACATTACAAAATATGCACTGTGGATTACAATGGCTACATAGCACTCGTATTATATAGTTGAGCATCAGGCAGGTTAGTCCCTTATGGTTTAATTTTGCAGTTTCACCCTTCATAATCAATCAAGTTCGCCATAAACAGCCAGAATCACAGCTTATACAGGTCCCTGAACATACTTGGCCTATTCAGCAATACTTCGGGATTGTCAAATTCTACCAATTGTCCATCCCTAAGCACCGCAATGCGATCAAAATCTAGGATACTATCCAAACGAAATAATCGTGGCTCCTTCAAACTCCTGGCGAATGATTTGTTGGATCACTTTATCGATGGCAAGAGCAACATCGCTAGACACTTCATCCATCACAACAATCTTAACCTTTCGGAGAAGAGCCGGAGCAAGACAGAAAAGGTGTTTCTGTCCAGGGACAAAGATCTCCGCGTCCAGATCGACATGGAGTTCTCCTTTGGACTCGATGAGCGACCACAGGCGGAATTTGGAAAGTGCATCAACGATCTCTGCATCACTATGCTTCTGCAAAGGGGAGGCAATAAGGCGAATTGATCCGTTCATAACAAAGGCGTCCTGTGGGATGGCGTTGATTCCAGCTCGAACAGTCTGTCTTGGAACCTTGGTTATATCCACGCCGTCAATGAGGATAAAACATTCCAATGAAACCTCAAGTAAGCGCAGGAGAGTCATGACTAAAGAACTTTTCCCACTACCCGTTCGTCCACATACTCCTATTTTCTCACCGGGCTTGATGTCCATATTGATGTCCTTGAGAATGGGGACACCGGGCACGGAATAGGAGGCAGAAACCCTTTTCAAAACAATACCACCCCGGTCTCGCCAGTTTTCCGGAACGGACTGGCATTCATCTTCAAGGCTCTCTGTCGGCGTGGTTGAAGTGACGGTCTTCAAGCACGACACGGCGCCAATGGAAGTCTCCAGTGCAGTCCACTATCGAACAACTATTTTGCAGATAACGTATGATCCCGAGGAAAAGTTGTGGGATCGGCGAGACGTCGAAGATGTTCCGTCAGCTACCCTCTACGGATATCGATGACTGCGAAGGTCTAACTATGTTGTACCATACAATTGCTCGAGTTACCTAAACTTGTCCAATGTGACTCAGATGCATGAACTCAACTCCCTTCCGGATTGCAAATTTGTGCCTTCCACTCGTGTGATTTATACCACATGCTCACTTCTGTGATCATTGCCAATTTATTCTAGGGAAAAGAAAATCCAGAAAGGGTTTAGAATCAAAGGTTATACATAGAAAAGTTATCTGCACAGTATGCTTTTTACCGCCTTCGTATACACCCAAGAAGACTTAAAAAAGACATCCAAAAAAAGACATCGGAGGGTTGTTACATATAACACTGCTAATACCATATTAGTCCAAGTTTAGATTAAAGTCTTCGTCAAGGGCAGAGGCCGCATAATCCGAATGTTCTTGTGATCTATAACTGACAATCTAAGGGAAATATGCCAGATTTGTTAGAGGTACTCCGTACTGCATATAGATGGTAGTATATAGCGTCTCGACCAAAGCGCGTAAAGGAGAAAAAAGATGAGGGCCTGAAAGGGGTTAGGCTGCACAAAAGGCATGACCCGGTTCGCGTAGACAAATCCTCACCAATCAGCATGAAGAGCCCCTTGTACATGAGACGCTGATTGGCTCATGAAAAGGCAAACCATTAGTCATGCTAGCAAGGCCCTCGGTGGTACGGTCGAATCCATGGAAAGCCGTTCTTCTACCCCTGAATCTCTTAGATCTCCAGTTTGTCATTGTTTACTTTTACTTTAGAAAGCAAGGAGGTGCACAGTGGCCATGAGTACGCAGTATACAGTCAATCCTCAATCCTTAACTTTGGACCTTAAGGCAAGGGTCATTCGAATCAGATTCGGCGTTGGGTACATGTGCGTTATGCGTACTTCGTAGAGCGATTGGCATTGTCAAAGCCAAAAGACAAGCTAAGCTAACGGCCTCGGTCTACGCTAAACAAATAATAGTAAACGTTGAATTGGCCTATCGTACCCTGTACACCGCATTAGCTCGGACTACCCACCCTCTAGGAGGTACCCAGTACGATCCAATACCCGTGACGTCCGACCTTTTTTTCCCCTTAGTTCCCCATCCTGGTCTTTGATGCTTCAGACTTGAGCGTCTGATCTCTCTATTCTCCTTATTTGCTGCACAGTGCGCCTATTCCCAAAACAATAAAAAAAAGACAACCTGTACATTATCTCGCCCCAGGTTGTCTTGCCAGCGGTGGTCTTCAATTCCGATTTGATTTCCATGCGTCAACATTCTGGACGATAAGCGGAGCGGCAAGCAAGTGCTTGCTGCAGGAGTCGACACGGAAGGTGTGTGCATTGATGTTGTCTCTCTTTGATCCCGTCTCGGGATTGTGGAATTGGGCTCCCTACTCCGCGCTACCACGCGATTTGGACTAAATTCTTCAACTCCCTTGATTCAATCCCTCTTGACCCCTCCAAATATGCCAGTCTAACCACGCTGGATGACTACAGATCTAGATCACTCCGTCTCTTCCGCCATCTCGGCGCCTTCTCCACAGTTCCACTCGCGGGACACGCGCCTCATCCGTGAATCGCGTCTGGCTCCCTCACTACTCTTGTCCTCTCCGCCATCAGGAGACTCGAGTCCGTCGACCGTTGGTTCCCCCGGTCAACGAACCTCTCCGCGGAGCATCACCCTCGAACCCCCGCCTCTCCCATTCCTATCCTCATATCGCGGAACCGAAGAATCTGGGCCCTCTTCGCCGGTCAATCGCAAGGCGGAAAGCAGCATCTACTACACCACCGCGTGGGGATCCCCATATGCAGCACCTAGCACTCGGAGATTGTCAGTGACCAATAGCCAAGCTGAATTCGCTGGGGTCGACCACGAATCTGGTCCCAGCTCACCTGTCTCGTCAGTAGCCAACCACACCGAGTTGCGGAAATCGAGTGCCGCCAACGACAACATACTTGAACCCGTTGACTGCGATACCCCCGCCAATAACGGAGATAAATCGATACGGGACTTCACGCAGGATTGGATCAACCAGTACCTTACTGGTCAACCTAGAACGGAGCGCAGCAATTGGCTCAGCGACGACTCAGGAAGTGAAGCGCCCTCGTTCATCACTGCGAGGAACCACTTTGCCGACGACGCTTCGGACGACTGGCTTGGTCTGGAAGACGACTTTCGTTCCGACGATCTATTGAAAACTCCAACGCTCTCTGATTTCGTCGGGAAAAAAGCTGCCGCGCGTGCAAAAGTCAACAAAACTTTGCACAAACGCGCTGATACCTTGCGGCAGGAGGACTTTTGGGGTTTCGCTTACGATAAAGATCCACCACAAAACAACATGTCAGACCCAAACACACCGACCGTCGAGGTAAACTCGCCGGTAGAAAAGCCGTTACCTCCTCCGCCCGTGAACGCGACGGAGGACATTGCAAAGACGGAAGACCCACTTAACCCGGGCCCATTAAAAACACAGGTCTCTGATATCAACAGATCAGCCACCCAAACACCACGGCGGAGAAAGAAGCTGAATTGGCGTGGGAAAGCCTGCATAATCGAGCTGCCACATGATGATAAACGAGGTTCGGAACCTGGGTATCGTCTCCTAACGCCGGCCGATGTTCAACAGCGAATGCAAGAATGGGAGAACGAAGGGTACGATGTTCGTGGATTCACCATTGGCGATTCCGAGGACCCCTCCACCACGACGACTCTAGGAGGTCTCAGTCGACCCCTATATCCAGACCCATATGACCTCCATGAAATTTCCAAGAGTCAACCGCTTGTCGTCAACTTCCCAGACAGGGCCAAGTGGGAATCTTACATCACCGAGCTCCAGGAAGAGAAGCTACGCGCCCTGGGAGTGTCATTCGGCGACGATGAGCCTGAACAATCCATTTCACCCGATTACTCGCTCAACCCCAGTGGCACTCCTTTCCCAGGCCTCGTTGCATCTCCACCGATTCCTACTGCGTCTGCAGCAAGCAATCCCCTCGGCCATATCCACCCATTCTCGCCTCACTTCAATCAATCATCAATGCCTACGCCTGGTGCTATGGGAACCATGGCATCACCTTCGCCATTCGGTATGCAGACGCCATTTATGGGTGCGGATCAAAATATGATGGGCGGATTCCCTTTCCAATTCCAGCCCACGCCTCCAGCTCAGGGATCTATGACTCCCCAAGGCTTCGTAAACGCCCGGCAGGCAACTTCTTCGGCTGGCCCAGGGGCAATGGGCAACTTTTCCTCCATGCTATCACCAGTGTCTCCGCTGCACGACCAAGGGTCTTTCCACCCAGGATTCAACGATAAGGGTGTGTTCGATGATCAATTTGGCCATGGTATGCACCAGGAAGGCCTGCCATACCAGGCTCCCCAGACCCCGGTCAATGGACACCCAGATCATTTCCACGCATCGAACGTCGAAATTGCCCAGCCTACACCTCGAGGCCACGGTCATAATCTCAGCGAAACTCTGCAAAGAGGACTGGACCAGATGACACACACCGATTACCATCTGGAAGACTCGATTGGCCGACAATTGGAGGATGATTACCGTGATGCCAACCATGCAGGTCTGAATGCCAGCATGCTGAAGTCGCGCTGGGGATTGCCAGAAAATGAACATCACGCACAGAACGCTTCTCATCACCCACCTCATCCCTTCGCCCAGCACCAGCTCCCTCATCAATTCTACGGAGACCAATATCAACAACACACTGGTCATGATGCATCTGACCTCGACACAAACCCCAGTGTTGCGGGTACGCCGCAGACTCGTCAAGGGCCGTGGCACGAGACCCAGCCTAGCGGCCACTCCTACCACGCTGGCCATCAGTCGCAGCTCTCGATTTCATCACTCAACGTTGAAGCGAAGGAGTTCGACCCTACCGCATCGTTCAGTTCCCAGCCTGTGCCGTTTGGCAACGACCCATTCCAGTTCGGCGGCAGGGGCGAGCAAGGATTCGGTTTTGCCCCGCCCACCTCGTTCGCGCCTGGTAGCAGTATGAACGGCCTAATGGATTCTAAGCTGAACCACAATGCCAGTGGCAGTGGCGGATTCAAATTCTCCGCCGCATCGTTCAACGTCGACGCACCTGTTTTCAACCCCAACCCCTCTGTCAGCCTTAACTCAAATGCCAGCTCTGAGCAGCCTCCGGCTAGTCGCACCAAGATCTTCGGTGACATTGACATCGGCGAGATCACCACGCCTGACAAGAAGTCCAAGGCTATTCCTATTGTACGACCCGATGAGATTGAACAGGAGAACAATGATAAAGAGCAGGTCATTGAAGACGACACCAATGGTCGACCTGTGCAGCCTACCGACCGTCACAAGCGTGCGCGTCGCGGTGTCGGCCATGCTGACGGCGAGGCTAGATACAGTATCTCGACCCACCCTCTGGGCGAGGCGGGCAACGCTCAAGCTTCGAGCGCGCTCCATGCCGTCGCCGAGGGCAAGGAGAATGCCATGCCTAAAGAGAACAATCCAGTAGAGCGGACGGATACCCCTGTCAGCGAAGCTGATACTTGGACTTTGTTCGATGCGAAGCGGGAGGCTGAGAATGGTTCTCAACCCGGATCACCGGTCCGGGCGGAGACTTCTAAGGAGATTGTTGTCGAAGAACGTGAACCAAGGGAGCCTGCTGCAGGAGATGATACATCTGTCACCGTCTCGAAGGGCGTCGACCATGCTCCTCATGGATCCAAGAGCTCCGTCAAGAGCACTGTGCTGTCGCCCAATGCCCAGTCTTTCGAGTTCAAGCCTGCTGTTTCTGAATTTGTTCCCTTAGCTGTTCAGCCATCTAGCTTTGCTGAGCCAAAGCCTCTTGCAGCAAATGTTATTGAGAAGCAGCCCATCGGAACCCCTGTTAAGAGTCCCGCTGAAAATAAGCCCAAGCAAGCCGGACTCATGGCTTCTCGCTTCGCTGCTACAAGCCCACCTAAGAAGGCAACCTCGCCAGATCACCCTGCTGAGCCCGAGGCCAAGACTCCAACCCGCGTGGAAACAGAATTCATCACTCGCCGACCTGAGCATTACGACAGCCCATGGGACTCCGAGGACGACTCGCCTGACGATGCGGAGCTGAATGCAATTATGGAACAGCTAAACGACGACGACGCAGATGTCGGCATCGAACGACAAGCGACTCCTTTCAACACAATTCACGCGACTCCCTTCCAACCGCGACACGACCACCTCACGGAGTCGATGGGCGGTCCCACCAAGGAACAGCGGTTTGGTTCTGCGGAGGCCCGAAGCGAAGCCCCCAGCCCGAGCCCCGGTGGAGTCCCCAAGACCTACAAGCTCAGCATTCGCAAACTTGGCTCGGACATCGATGCCAACAGCAATGCTAACTTCTCTCCCCAGAAGAGCCTTATCTCTCGTCTGCAGTCCCCTGTTCGCCAGCTTGTTACTGAGAATGACCATGTCAGCGACTGGGATGACATGATCTCCGCCGGCGAAGACGAGAAGTTCATGAACCGTAACCGCTTCTTCGACCGTCGCATCAATGATCTTGTTGGCTCTGCGATCGACGATCGCCTGGGCCCTATGGAACGTGCCTTGGCTGTCATTCAGCAGTCGGTGGCTTCTATTGCCACTGGCACTGCAAGCAGAAGGGTCTTCCGCAGCACATCCGCCGAGATGGAAGACAGTGATGCCGATGATGAGGACGACGACGGCGAGGAAACTTCAGTTCGCGATCGCTCGCCCCACAACATGAGGGAACGTAAGCTGGAGATGCTCAAGAATGTCGTCATGGAAGCTTTGGTTACCCATGACATTCCTCAACGCGTTTCCCCGCACTCCAGCCACAGCGAGATGTCACAGCTCAAGGAAAGCATTGCTGAACTGCAGGCTCTCACGATCAAGAAGCTCGCTCAGGACCCTGTTGGTGATATGCGTGAGATTATCGAGGAAGCCATGGCCAAGCAATTAGCTCAGCAGGTCGCCTTGCAGAAACCCCCGAGCCCGCGCCTGTCCGAGGCCGAGGAGATTGGTGCCGACAGCCTTATGCTCCAGATCGACGGCCTTAAGGGCATGTTGCGAGTTGCCGATGAGCGTGCCGAGCAGGAGTACAAGGATCGCCGCGATGCACAGGATGCTATGACTGAGCTCCAGCGACTGTTGAAGTTCGCCGAGGAAGATGCTGCTCGTCACAGTGCTGCTGCAGAGGATGCTGAATCTCGTCTCCTCCAGTTCAAGGAAGAGAAGATTCCATACTTCGAGAAGATGCAGTTCCGCACCGAGTCTCTTTCGGAAGAGAGCGAGACTCTCAAGGTTACTATTGCCGAGTTGTCCACGAAGAACATCGCGCTTGAAGGTACCCTCGACGAGTACCGTCTTTCTAGCGATAGCTTCCGCCGTCAACTGGAAACCACCAAGGGTGAGAACAAGTCTCTTCATGAGACTGTTGATCACCTGAGAACTCGTATCGAGGATAGCATGATCTCGCGCCAGAACCTCACTGAAAAGTTCGATCGTCTTCAAGATGACATGCTCAATGTCACTGCTCAAATTACTCGTGATCAAGCTGCCTGGCGCAGGAAGGAGGAAGAGCACTCTGCTAGGTACAATGAGCTGCGCGCCTCGCACTCTCGCGAGCTCCAATTGCGCGAGAAACTCGAGGAGGATGTCCGCGAATTTGAAAAGAACGAGCGGGAGACCACGAAGCTGAGGTTCATCCATGAGCAGTCTCAGCAAGAGAATTCCAGACTGGAGGAACTGGTCACCAGTCTCCGGGCGGAGAACCATGAGCTGGAAATCAAGGCTGCCCGGTTCGAGCGGGAGTTCATCGAAGCCCGCGAGAGCAGCCGTGTCGAGATCCAGCGCACTCGCTCCTCTATGGAGGCAGACCTTGAAGCTTCTAACAGCCAGGTTAACATTGTGCGTGCCGAGCTGGAGGCCCAGATCATTCGTCTGCAGACTGAACTTGACAACACCCGCATGTATACCGACACCTCTCGCGAGCGCTACGAGCTTCTCCTCGAGGAAGCCAGGGACTCAAAGGCCACCGCCCTGGCTGCTAAGGACCTTGCCATCGATGAGAACCGCAAGATTCATGAGCGCGTTCTCAACGACCTGCGTGAACGTCACGCTCGCGCATTGCATAACTCTTCAGAGGATCGTGCACGCGGCGAGAGTCATAACATGGAGCGCATGGCTTTGTCGGAGGACAAGGCTAGCCACCTGCAAGAGCGCGTGAACCTCCTCGAAGAGAAGCTTGAGATCGCTCAGGCTGCTGCCCGTGCTGCTGCTGAGGCAGCCCACAGCGCCAAGGCCAGCCCCAGCCCAGTCCCCGCTGCCGAACCCTCGCACTCGCGGGCGACTCCGTCCATGTCCTACAACAAGGGATCCGCAGAGCCTGAACGGATATCTCCTCAAGCCCTGCGCGAGTCGATCTTTGTCCTCCAGGACCAGCTCCAGCAGCGCGAGACACGCATCGAGGAGCTCGAACAAGAAGTCTCCACGATAGATAAAGACGCGCCAAATAAGATCAAGGAGAAGGACACCGAGATCACTTGGCTGCGTGAGCTCCTAGGCGTCCGCATCGACGACCTGCAAGATATAATCCAGACTGTGTCGAAGCCCTCATTCAATCAGCAAGCTGTCCGCGACGCAGCCATCCGTCTTAAAGCCAACCTCCAAATGCAGCAGCAAGAAAAAGAACGCCTAACATCCGGCAACCTCCCCTCCCTCGCCGACCTTGCCGCCTCACCCCGCTCCCTCCCCCTAGCCGCAGCCGCCGCCTGGGGAAATTGGCGCAAAGGCCGCGAATCCGCCGCCAACACCTCCGACCAGACCCCGTCAAAGCCCAGCAATGCGAGCGCCTTCCTTTCAGGCCTGCTAACACCCCCGAGCTCCCACGTCCGTGAGAACGGTACTGGCTCGCAGACTAGTGCTGCCGCACGGTTTGCGCAAACTCGCCCCTTGAGAGGCTTTAACTCAGCCCCAAGACGCGGCTCGGTTCGCAGCCAGGCGCCTGTCACGGAACCGCCCCAAACACCGCCTCTTCTCCGTCGCTCGAGTTACGACCATGATGCCGAGCCGGCGAACTACGAGGATGGAAGCTTCGCAGATGAGAACGAGAGTACCGTTGATGGGATGGTTTCGGCTTCGCCGAAGGAGAGGGATGATGAGGGTCCGTTCGGGCCTCAGATTGACGAGGCTGAAGCCGAAGAAAGCGATATTCAAGCCGACGCTGACGTTGACGTCTCCTCTTCTGACGAGCCCTCTGAGGAAGAGTAATTCCGCTGCCCTTGATGATTACCCATAGACTGTTTTGAACTTTCCATCTCATCTCGGTGTTTCTTTGCCCTTTTTTTTTCGTCAGAAAATTGATTACAGGACGAAGCATCGATCTGTGATATCTTTGCCTTTATCGTTTACTGCTTTCTCTGCGTTTGGTGCCAGCGCCATTTCCCCAGATTTCTCTCCTTTCGTTACATCCATATTCCCCCTTTCGACATACATATCTATCTTCCGGCTTCATGGCCGTTGATCAATGTTTGCGTTTTCGGATTTGATACCACACCGTTATTTCGCTTGCTTTTTTACCTCCCAACTCCCTGAAGACCTTGTACATTGAATATCCTACTTTACTTTTTTTTCATGTCCTATCGTTTACATCCCTTCTATACATACTAATAGTCAATCTCTGTCATTCTTTACTTTCCGATTGTTCTATATTATCCATCTACCCCCCTTTTTGTGATGTTGTCGGATGTAGCTTGTTGATACACGCTTCCCCGTTGCGTTTCTTGTAGCCTATTACTGTTCAAGTGTTTACTATTTTCAAATAACTTCGGACTTTTTACTACATACTACTCTTGTTGAGCTACTAACTCCCTTTTAGCCGCATATGTGTCGAAGACTCTACCTTTGCTGCAGATGTTACTCATCTCATCCAGCAAAAGGTCAGTACTAGGTCTTAGTAAGGTATAAAGCCCACAAGATGTATTAAAGATTATATATACTCCGTAGGAAAGTCGATTTCACAAATTAAGCCTTTTTCCGCCTTACACTGCCGTGTATCCAACAAACTGAAAGGGGGATTCAAGAACTCAAGCGGCGCAGAAGATCATCGAAGGCAGCCGTCAATTCCTGGAGGTGCTCGCTGGTAGACTCAATGGAAGTGGCGCTGCGGTTCGCGTTTTGGATGGTTACATATAACATCCCTAATATCATGGTCTAAATAGATCAGATTATTAAAGTCTTACGTCTTTGAGGACAGAGACCGCATAAGACTGTTCTTGTTATTACCTACATATGTCGGTATACCTAGGTACAATCTAAATCCAGCCAACTTATACATTCGAGCCAAGACCCAATCTCAAGGCGGAGCGGTGTTGATTGAAAGTGGTCCGAGCGCCAATTGACACCTTGCGCGTTGACGTTACCAACAACATTACCTCCACTCAAACTCGTCAATTCCCTCAGACTCATCGGAGTCAGCCGAAACCTTCCACTATGCGATTCTCAACAAGCACCATCCTGGTCACCGCGCTGGGGTGGATCACCGCCGCGACCGCACACACCATCCAGCTCAAGGCTCACTCACGAGAATGTTTCCACGAGACACTGCACCGCGACGATGTCATGACTGTCACTTTCCAGGTTGGAGACCGGGAGTTTGGAGGGAGTGGAAACCTTGAGGTTGATTTCTGGGTATGACCTATCCCGGTTCCGGACTTTGTGTTGGGTGTTTTGGGTGTCGCTCGGCAGTCCCCTTCGGCTCCAATGGTGGCTCTAGCATGGGCTATTGGATCCAGAAACCGAAAGGCCTCCGCCTTGTGGGATTGTCCTAGCTGCTGAATTGGGATGGAGGGATGATTCGAATTGAGAACGCAAATGCTAACGCTCGGTCGCGACAGGTCGAGGATCCCCTGAGAAACCGCCAGTACTTCAAGCAGGCCGTTGCCTCCGACGACTACTCCTTCACCGCACAGGCGGATGGCAAATACAACTACTGCTTCAGCAACGAGGGCTGGACCTCCAACTCCAAGGAGGTCTCCTTCAACGTCCACGGAATTGTCTACGTGCCCGAACACGAGATGACGCAGGATCCCCTCGAGGTCGAAGGTAAGCGGGAACAACAGCCGACGGAAGAGGAAGAATATTGTGACTGATCATCTGCTACTATCTAGTTCGCAAACTCACCGAGGCTTTGACCCAGGTGAAGGATGAGCAGTCGTACATTGTCGTGCGTGAGCGAGTACACCGCAATACCGCAGAGAGCACCAACGGCCGCGTGAAATGGTGGAGTATGTTCCAGCTTATGGTGGTTATTGGCGAGGGTGTGTTCCAGGTGTGGTGGCTCAAGAGATTCTTCGAGGTACGTGGGTCCCCTTGGTTGAGACAACGGAAGATGAGATACTAATGCTCGATATGCAGGTCAAGCGCGTGGTCTGAACCAGATTTACCGGCTTTCCTTGATCAAAAACATCTCTATTTCCCTTTTGTTATGCATCGATGAGCGGCAATTGTGGATTTTGATATTTCTGGACCAGTTCGTTTCCAGCGCGATGTACCAGGATAAATTTATCACGTTTTCACGCCACGGTGTCATGCGATCATCGAGTCTATATAATATAAATCTGTACTACCACAGTGACCCAGATGACCTTCATGTGGGACTTGTAAACTTGCGCATTGTTGTTGTAGACGTTGTCCCGAGGAGGCAGTGGCTAGCAAAAGTACCGCAGCCCAAAAATGCAGACTGCGGGAATTTCGATCCAATTGATAATGTCTCATGTTGAGTTGCAAATAAAAAGCTCTATACAAAACACAAGGGATTTCTCGCAATTCTTTATTTCACCGTGACGGGTATACATTGACCCCGCAACTGAGCAGAGGCAAAGTACAACCACCGTTCTCTCAATGCAAGGGTGGAAATCTGACCACTGAGGACAGGAACCAGCGATATCACGAGCACCTTACATCGCATTCTACTTACCTATCTACGTAGATAGTGATGGAGGACCTGAGAAACTCCAGCTTCCTGAACAACCCTGATCCCAGCGATCCGGTGTTCCATGCTTGCTGGGGTCGACAGTCGTGTTCAAGCTGCCTGACTGGCGATATTGCCTGCAGCTGGTGTGCTATAGTAGGTCACATCCTCTTATGACCAGCTTCTTTTGCTAGTCCAGTTTGATTCTCCTCTCCTCTCTCCCTTCCCGCCTATTTACATTCTATATACGCAACCTCCCCACGGTATTCGTTTCACAACGTGCTCCCTTGCGTCCCCAGCCCCCGGAATGGGGAGAGGGTTTCAAGGCCACAACTACCACCGGCCCCCATTATTGCTTTTGCTTTGACTTGATCAGCACAATCTCATGATCTTCTGTTCCGTGCTGGAGGAAGCTGACTATTGATTGACATGCTATAGTCCTCGACCTGTGTTCCTAACCCATCGCTGGTTCCGATATTTGCGCCTTTCGGCTCCGAAAATATCTGCCCTCTTGGCTCCAAGGAGAGATGGGAGCTGAGAGCTACACCATTTGGGTGCCATGCTAGTACCTTGACTGTTCTGTCAGTAATAGTTTCTGTGCTTGGGACGCTGGCGTTAGGCATAGTAGGGGTTGGATTGGTGTGGCTTGTGCGTTGGACCCGGTGGCGTTGGAAGGAGGTAGAGTATGAGCAGCCTGATGAGGAAGGGCAGGGGTCATCTAGATGGCGAAGTTGGGGTTTGGGGCTTGCGTCCTTTGTTGGTCTCTTCCCTCAATGGAGTCGGACGGAGGGTCAGAGTGAAGTCGAAGGGGAAGAAGCGGAGACAAGGCCGCTGTTGGAGTAGGCTCAAAAGCGAGGTGATGATTGTTATATTTATGTCTACGAGCAGAACATGAAATGCACCCAATGTCTTGGAAATACAGTATAAATCCAGCTCATCAGAGGTTGTTTCTGGTGTATTGCTAACTAAATTGCTATACAAATAAAGCCACACAGTTGATCATCTTGCGCACAACCAAAGCAATTTCATCGGCAGTCTGATTCTGTCTTGGAATTAAATGTCCAGCCCCATGATCAAACGGATCAGCACTATCTGGATCGCACATATTGTACAGTGCCATTGACCCTTCAAGGAACGGATCCGACGCATCGGCAACATGACAGGTGGGAATAGTGATCGGTTCTTCATTATAGTCGTCAGCGGTAACAAGCTTGCCAGTTACTGGGTGCACCGGTGGCCATCCGCTGAACATAATCGCACATTTAAGTCAAGGTATCCGACCAAGTTCTCTCTCTCTTCTTTGCTCCTCGAGAATAAGCGATGCGGCAACTTGGGCGCCCTCCGAGAACCCAATCACACCATCAATGTCGTCTTCACTGTCAAGAATGCAAACCAGCTGGTCCATGAACTCAGCGATACACGAGAATGTGGGATCACCTACCGCCGTTGTGGCAGCTTTTATTGCCTCTTCGGGGGTGTTGCGATTCGGGAAATCGCCCATGCTCGCATCAACGAGTTCAGGCCCATCAACCTTGATGAATGTATAGTTGGGCGGCAGACCGAAAAACCAGGCAAATTCCGAGGGAACATGCTCGGTGCTTCCCTACGTGTAGTGGAAGCTGGTATTTCCATTGGACGCGAGGGCATCGCAGAACGGGCCTAGACCCACTATTAGTTCTCGACAACGTTCAACATTCATCGCATCAACTGTTTTCAGCTTACCTAGCTATGTTTCGAGAGCCTATTGTATAGGTCTTCAACTCAATGATTCCATCCCACGTGACAAAATGCTTGACATACCTTGGCGCTGCAGTAGCCTCCTAGGAGGCATAGAAACTTCATCGTGATAATGAACTAGGGAATATTTCGGAGAAAAAAGCGAGGCAGAATACCGCTCGGAGGGTTCTAGAAAGGTACTTTCTACGCGAGGAGGCATCAATAACGAATTATGCCATCAGGAATCTGCCAGGGTCCCGGGGGTTTTGCCCCTATGTTTGGAATGTACGGAGTACGCACCCTCGCCTTAGCAAGGGCATCGGAACAAACACTATCCAAACCATCGTAAAGACATAGGCACGATCAGATTTACAGATCATGATCTACAGCCCTAGGAAACACTAATGGGAAAACGAGTGGAGGGATGCTTTCATGCATAGAGGATATCCCCTTGATATGCCTGCGATTTGCTGGATTCGTCATCATGGAAGACAGGCATAAGCCTTCTCTCAACCTATCATTACCCAATTCAAGGTTGGATCCCCTGTTTCAATCGGGTAAACAATGGACCCAGACCGGCACGCGCACGCTTGGATGGTCATGCAAGGGCGGTTTTGTACTCAACAAACCACCTCGACGCCCTTGTTGTTTATTCTTTGTCTTCAGGAAGTACTTGGATGAACCAATTGCCCGTTTCGAACACTCTGTGATTGTACTTCTATACATTCTTTTCATGCAAATCGACATTGGTTTCTTTGGACACTTGCTGCACATTGGTGGTGATCACACTACCAGGTACATAATTCGACATCTTCAAACCAGACACTGTCAAACCAGACACTGAATCTATCGAAGATGCGACTTCAACAGCCCTCCGGGACTGGAACTCCAGTTACCGAGAGTGCGAATGCCTTGCACCAGACGCCTAGTGATATCCCCGATAATGCCACCAGTGATGTGCCCAAGCGAATAGCCATCATCGGCATGTCCTGCCGCCTCCCAGGAGACGTTTCTACGACTGAAGATTTCTGGGACCTCTGCTCTCGAGGCCGAAGTGCCTGGTCGCCAATCCCGAAGAGCCGATTCAACGCTGATTCCTTCCATCACCCCGATCCCGATCGACCAGGCTCCTTCAACCCGGTAGGAGCCCACTTCCTGAAAGAAGACATTGGCCTATTCGATGCGCCGTTTTTCAACATTACACTCCAAGAGGCACGATCAATGGATCCACAACAGCGCATTTTCCTTGAATGTGTGTATGAAGCGCTCGAGAACGCTGGAATCCCGAGCCATGAGATCACCGGCCAAAAGGTGGGTGTCTTTGCAGGCGGCTCATATCCCGACTACGAAATCAATAACACCAGAGATATCACGGCTATCCCCATGTATGCTTCCACTGGAACCGCTGTGGCATTGCAGTCGAATCGGATTTCGTATCATTTTGACTTGAACGGGCCTAGTGTTACCGTCGACACAGCTTGCTCTTCCAGCTTGTCTGCTCTCCATCTGGCTGCTCAGAGTATTCGGAATGGTGAATGTTCCATGGCCATTGTGGGAGGATGTCACCTGAATATAACCCCCGAGGCTTTTGTCATGATGACACGTTCTAGGTAAGTGCAACTGGCAGTTTTCCTGACACAGAAGCTGATTGGTACTCCCTCAAAAGACTACTTTCCGACACTGGCCGCTCACATGCATTTGATCACCGGGGTACTGGCTTTGGCCGAGGTGAAGGTGCTGGATGTATTATATTGAAATCTCTCGAGGACGCAGAGGCTGCTGGAGACGCCATCCGATCTGTAATTATCAACAGTGGTTTCAACCAGGATGGACGGACCAGAGGCATTGCAACGCCGAATGGCAAAGCACAGGAAGCATTGATTCGTCAAGTCTATAAAGAGGCACAGATCGACCCGGCCTTGACAGGATTTGTGGAGGCTCACGGCACGGGAACCAAAGTTGGTGATCCACTCGAAGCCACTGCATTGAATGCCGTCTTTGGAAAAGGACGCACTCCGCGTCAACCGTTGCTTGTTGGGTCTGTGAAATCGAACATTGGTCATACAGAAGGAACTAGTGGCGTTGTTTCTGTGATCAAAACGGCCCTCGCACTTGAGCGAGGCTTCGTACCCCCAAACTGCAATTTTGAAAAAGCGAATGATGAGATACCCATGGAAAAGTGGAACATGAAGGTAAGACCAAGGACTCGAATTATCAACAAACCTTGCTAAGCACTCAACTAGGTTCCCAAGAAGTTGATGCCATGGCCTCGTGGCAAACCATACGCAAGTGTGAACAACTTCGGCTTTGGCGGGACCAATGCCCATGTTATTTTACAGCGTGGTCCCCGACACGAAAGCGACCTTGCATCAAACAACGATCCTCTTAAGCGCAAGTTGTACGTTGTCTCTGCGTACGATAAACAGGCTGCTCTTCACCTTGGAAAATCAATTGGAGCGTACCTCGACCTTTCCCTAGTTGGGTTCAACGACACCACTTTGGATAACATGGCGTATACACTGGGACAGCGACGAACATTCCTGCCATGGAGATTGGCGTCCTCTGCAATCCTCGGTCAGGAGCTGACTGCCTCGCTGTCTAATAACGCAGTGCCTGTTCGTTCTTCCAAAGAGCCAACTGTCGGATTTGTGTTTACTGGACAAGGTGCACAATGGCATGGTATGGGCAAAGAACTTCTGAGCACCTATCCGGTTTTCCAGAAGACCATGCAAGATGTAGATATTTGCTTGAAATCACTGGGTGCTACGTTCTCAATTATAGGTATGTTTCAACTCAATTAGGATACAGCGAACAGCGATATTATCAGACACTAACTTCCCACACAAAGATGAATTGCTTTTGACTGACCCCAGCGCAAGCTCTATTTCTGCCGCATATATGAGCCAGCCCGCTTGTACCGCAGTCCAGCTAGCGTTAGTTGATTTGCTCTCATCCTGGGGTATTCGCCCTAAGGCAGTGGTCGGCCATTCTAGCGGAGAGATTGCAGCAGCTTATGCGGCGGGCATTCTAAATCTCGACGAATGTGTCCGCGTGGCGTACTCTCGTGGCGTTGCAGCAAACCTCGTTGCAAATGACAAGTCTATTAAGGGAGGTATGTTGGCGGTTGGAGCTAGCGCCTCCGACATCCAGCAAATTTTGGATGCAATGCGAGGGAACCAGGCTGTTATTGCCTGTGTGAACAGCGAGTCAAGCGTGACTTTGTCTGGAGATGCGGAGGTTATCGCCGATCTGCAGACTGCCTTGGACAAAGAAGGGATCTTCACCCGAAGACTTCAGGTCGACGTTGCTTACCACTCTCACCATATGAAGATTGTGTCGCAGGAATATCGATCTCTGCTCGGCAAGATTGTGCCTCGGGACTCCGAGGTTCCATTCCACTCGACCGTTTATGGAAAATATGTTCCAGGAAGCACTTTGGATGCCTCCTACTGGGTCGATAATCTGGTATCCCGTGTGGAGTTTGTGGAGGGTCTGAAGAGCCTTGTGACCGATGGGCAGGCAGATATGCCAATCACCACATTAGTCGAAATCGGCCCTCACCCTGCCCTGCAAACACCCGTCAAAGAAATTGCTCAGAAATACGCCCCGAATTCCAATGTGCAATACCTTCACACCTTGAAACGCAAGGTAGATGCTATCGAGGCTGTTCAAAACCTCGCTGGCTCGCTGTTCACACAGGGTATGAATCTCGACTTCCAGGCTATCAACTTCCCGAACTTGAAAACGACGATAAGGAAGCCGGCTCTTTTGACAAATCTCCCTAAATATCCGTGGAACCACTCAGAAAGATACTGGTTCAGCTCACGGATAGGTGATAACCATTTCCATCGCCAATTCCCTCGGAGTGATATCCTTGGCTTGTTGTGCATGGAGAATGTCGACTTTGAGCCTCGATGGAGGAACATCATTCGTGCCGATGACCACCCTTGGATCCGCGAGCACAGAGTACATGATCGCACTGTGTATCCAATGACCGGATTCTTGGCCATGGCCATGGAGGCTATCTCACAACACGCACAGCTGCACCATGTCACTCCCGGCAAAATAGACCTCCGCGATATCTTCATTAACCGTGTCCTCACTATTCCGGACAACGCATCCGTGGAGACAATGCTCAGCTTGAAACCATCCCGATCAGAAGCCCCCAGCAAATCAGTCCTCGGCTGGCACGAGTTCAAGGTTTTCTCATGGGCTGAGGGGCGCGGATGGGACCAACACTGCAATGGTTTCATAATGGTGCAAGAAGCCAAGGACGTCAACCCTGTCGATGGGTCTCGACAGCAGCTCGAGAAGACTGCACGATTTACTCAACAGGTATTGGATATGCGAAATTCATGTAACGTGCCGGTGGACAGCAATGTCCTCTACGAGAATATCGCCAACGGTGGTGTCGATTACGGTCCTGTTTTCACAGGATTGACCGATGTCGCTGTCAGCGGGGATGATCTAGCAATGGCTACCATCCGTATCCCAGACACTAAGGCAACAATGCCCCACAAGCATGAGACTCCGTGCATTGTGCACCCTGTTACCCTTGATTTATGTAGTCAAGTCATGTGGGTTCTTCAGGGTTATGGCGAGCCTGGGGCGAAAATCACCCTTGTGCCCTCGCATGTCAAGCAGGTCTCCGTTTCGTTGTGCCACGAACTAAGCGCTGGTACTGTACTACAACTCTATGGTAGCAAGTCAGGAAATGATTCCGCAAGCAACCCTGAGACCAACCGCATATTCGCCACTGTTCCTAGCAACCCAGCGAATCTGCTCATTGACATCAGTGGTATCACTTTGGTGCCGGTGTCGAACGATATCAAAGGCTCAAAGGACACTTCGCCTGACCAGATTTGCTACAAGATGCAATATGAGCCCTGCTTCGACTTCCTCTCCGCCGACGATTATCGACAGCTCCCTCGCCCCGAGACTGATGTGGCTCAAGGTCTTGAACGAATGCATCAACTCGAATCTGTGGCAGAGCACTACCTCGCACAGGTGGTCAAGGCTGTCACAGAAGACGAGTTGTCAACCTTCGAGCCCCATCATCAAAAATTCTATCGTTGGGCCCAGAACACTTGCCAAAACGCGGGCATCAAAGATCCCTTGCCCCTTGACGTTCTCGAACATAACCGAACTGTCAATGGATCAGGTGAGTTGACCTTCAAAATGGGAGAGTTGCTCCCTCAAATTCTCAGGGGCAAGGTAGACGCCTTGACTGTACTTCTGGAAGACGACGGAATCGGAAGACACTACAGTGATCTTGACGCTCTTCGTGAGGCTTATGCCAATGCCTCCGTCTGCGTTGACAAGATGGCACATCAGAACCCTACACTCAACATCATTGAGATTGGCGCTGGAACAGGTGGTGCCACCATGCCCATTTTGCAGAGTCTGGGCGGAGCCGAAGGATCTACGCCTCGGTTCTGCCACTACACATACACCGATATCTCTCCCGGCTTCTTCGAAAAGGCGAAGACAAAGTTCGAGAGCTGGAGACATCTCATGACATACCAGACACTAGATGTGTCGGCTGATCCCACTGGCCAAGGCTTCATTAATGGCACATACGACGTCGTGGTTGCTTGCAACGTGCTGCATGCTACTTCCGACATCAGCCAGACAATGGCAAACATTCGAGGCCTTTTGAAGCCCGGTGGAAAGGTCCTACTCATTGAAGAAACTGTCCCCAAGGCACGCCACTTCCCGTTCGCACTCCTCCCTGGATGGTGGCTGGCCAATGACAAATTCCGCAAGGATGGCCCCCTCCTCACTGTCGAAGGATGGAGCAATGTGATGAAAGAAAATGACTTCTCTGGGGTTGACCTGTGTGTTGAGGAGTACCCTGGAGCATCTTTCCAATCTGGATGTCTCATGACATCCACCGCCAATACCCCAATAACCGGTCCCGCAGACGCCGGGGATGTTGTGATTCTCGGCATTGACTCGATCGGCAGCGTATCGTCCCTTATCCTCGAATCTGGTCTCAGGGAAATGACTGGTGTTGACCCCATCACTGCTATGGACTCTGATGAGGTTGATGTCACCGGCAAATGGTGTATTTTCCTTGGGGGAATGGATCGTTCGATCCTATCGCACCTCACTCAAGAAAAATTCCAGACACTGCAGCGTCTTCTGAGCCGGGCTCGAGGTCTGCTGTGGGTTGTTCGTCACAGCAAATCTGACCTGGAATCCCTTGGCACGAACATGGCAATCGGACTGGCTCGCACTGTGAGATCAGAGACTGGCCTCCAATTTGCCACGCTTGATCTGGGAGAGCGGGAGAACATGCCCGATGCCGATGCCGTGAGCCACATGCTCAAGGTGTTCAACGGAGTCTTCTGCCAGAAATCGCAGCTGGCCCAGAACGACTGGGAGTTTATTGTCCGAAATGGCAATGTTTGTGTGCCCCGCTTGGTTGATAACCACGCATTGAACCTCAATGTCCAGCAAGAGACACCAGATGCGCCTCCCCAGATGCAGCCTTTTAAACAAGCTCGCGCTTTACGACTTGCTGCTGGCGACGGAAAGGGTCTCGATGAGCTTTACTTCACCGACGATGTTTCCCGCAATGGATCCCTGCCGGAAGACCACATCGAGATCCAGGTCCACAGCACCGGTCTCAACTTTAGAGATGTCTTGATGGCTATGGGCCAGCTTCAAGGCGACAGACTCGGACAGGAATGTAGTGGAGTCGTGACTCAAGTGGGAGCTGCGGTGTCCGACTTCAAAATTGGAGATCGAGTCTGTGCAATGTCACCAGGTTCCTTGTCAACTTTCACTCGCTGCCCGGCCTCTGGATCCTGGGTAATTCCCGACAATATGCCATTCGAGATTGCTGCTTCCATTCCAGCTGTGTTCTGCACTGCCTACTACTCTCTCATTGACCTGGGACGATTGAGTAAAGATGAGAGCGTCTTGATTCACGCCGCTGCAGGAGGCGTTGGCCAAGCCGCAATCATCATTGCTCAAAGTGTTGGAGCTAATGTTTTCGCAACCGTTGGCAGTCTCGAGAAGAAAAACTTCCTCATGGAAACTTATCAGCTCAAGGAAGAACATATCTTCTTCAGTCGTGACATGTCGTTTGCACAGGGTATTCAGCACGCCACTGGTGGTCAGGGTGTGGACGTTGCTCTTAACTCGCTTAGCGGCGATGCTTTGCAAGCAACATTCGAGTGTGTCGCGCCATTTGGTCGCTTCATTGAACTTGGCAAGCGGGATATTACGACAAACTCTCGCTTGGAGATGGCTCACTTCAACAAGAACATCTCCTTCGCATCTGTCGACTTGGGAATGGTCAGAGAGAAGCGTCCCCAATTGACGAAGCGGCTGCTGCGTGATGCGTTTAAGCTGTTTGTCGACACCAACGCCCAGTCAAGGTGGTCTGTCACCACTCTTCCCATCTCAGACGTTGAGATTGGATTCCGGGCACTGCAGGGTGGACAAGTGATCGGCAAAATGGTCGTTCAGGTCACGGATGACTCCATGGTTAAGGTAAGTTTGCTCAGATCTACGACAGTCACGTTTAGAGCCAATGATTGCTAACCCACCATGCAGGTCCATCCCGCTAGAAGAGATGAAAATCTTCTCCGCGCAGACGCTTCCTATGTCATCGTTGGTGGAACCGGTGGTATTGGTCTCGACATTGCTAGTTGGCTGCCAGAGAAGGGAGCCAATAATATCATCCTGGTTTCTCGAAGTGGTGTTAAGACTGAAAAGGCAGAGCAAACTATCCAAGATCTTGTTCGCCAGGGTGTCAATGTGCAAGTATGTCGCTGCGACGTGGCGGATAAGCAGAGCGTGGAGCAAAATCTTGTTCCGCTCCTGGCTCGTATGCCTCCCGCTCGTGGTGTTGTATACGGCGCTATGGTTCTCCGGGTAAGTTTCTTAACACTAAACAACAAATTTGCGTCTTTACTAACCCCTCTATTAGGATACCCTCTTTGAAAAGCTTAGTTTCGCGGACTACCAGACTGTGATGATGCCCAGAGTCCACGGAATCTGGAACGTTCAACGGGCATTGACAACAACTAATGGTAGCGTGGATTTCTTCGTCAGCCTCTCGTCCGCCGCCAGTTTTGTTGGTAATATGGGCCAATCCCCCTACGCTGCCAGTGGAACCTTCATGTCCGCGCTCGCCCAGTACCCCGAGACAGCCAAGATGCGCTGTTCAACAATCGATCTCCCCATTGTGCGCGGAGTGGGATACCTCTCCGATGACCAGAAGCGCGAGGCAATCTCCAAACAGCTCGGCACGGAGTCCGTCGACTCTACAGATATCCGTGGTCTTGTGACTGCAGCAATCCGCAACGAGTTCGAGCTCTCATGCGAGGGACACTGCGTGGTTGGGTTTGGAGCTGTCAAAACCACACCCGCTAGCGAACAGCCCTTCTGGGTAAACGATACCAAACTGTCGCACCTGTTGCGCCTCTCCACTCTCGCTGGCGCGGGTGAATTGGCCGAGTCTGCGCAGAACGGTACTGAGATTTCGCCGGCACTAGCTATCCGGCAATCGAAGGCCCGTGAAGGGGCCGAGGCCATCGTTGGGGCTGCCGTGCTCAACAAGATCTCTAGCATTCTTATGCGTCCGATTGAAGACCTTGATCCTGCTGCGCCTATCACTGTCTATGGTCTCGATTCGCTGGTCGCCATTGAGATCAGAAACTGGATCACCCGCGAGTTGGAAGCTAATTTGCAGATCCTGGAGATTCTGACCAGTGAATCCGTCCCGGCACTTGCTGAGACGATTCTCAAGAAATCGGGTATCCTTACTTCAGACCTCAAGGCTGAGTGGGGCCTCGATGTGGCTGAAGGCCGAACCGGCCAAGAATGAATATTTTCCTGATCTACACTCTTTTATTGAGCAGATATCCTGCCAAGTATTGATTTCTTACTCTTTCTTTTTTTGGCAATGTGCTGTACTCTACAATCTTTTCTTTTTTTTTTGTTCATTTTATTTTGTTGGCATAAAGATTGAATACCCATTATTTCCTCTCCAAAACTTGCTTGATGTCTTATGGACTACTCCGTAACCAGCTAGCATTATGTAGGCCAAGGTCATACATTTTAATTATCACACTTTTTTACAGTGAGAAATATTCCCTATTGAGTATGTCAGCGACTATCAGTGGAGAAGAAGGCGTTGCCAATGCCCTAAGCGATGTCAAATCTCCGGTTTCTACTGGGGTCAACGTACTAGCAAGGGTATTGTCAGTTCCCAGGTGGGCCAATTGTTAGCCTTGTACGAGATGAAATGTCTCCATGAAGAACAAATTATAGAGGTTGCAATACATTCAAAATTTCCCCCTGTTGACCCGTAAGCCCTAGTGATATCTCTGTATTTCAGTTGGACAATCCCACTTCCTAAACGAGGTAGAGGCATTATGGCCAAATATATCTGTCACAACCGTTAACCTGTTAACCCCGTATTTTATTGTCTGACAGCTTCAAGTCCGGGGACTGTTTATCCAAGTTATCTTTTCACTGCCTACGGCAATCGAAAACAATCCATGGCCCATCAGGAGGTCTTTCAAGTACAGCTTTTCGGGTGGGAGAATGACCCAGAGGAAGAGCGCTTTAAAGTGTCTACATTGGATTATTTAACAGCTTGTACCTACAACAATTACGCTCTATTCTTTCGACTGGAAGATGCCTAAAAGAATCGAGCTGTTGATGTCTTGAAGGCTGGCCTTGAACGGACTCTAAGTCAAGTACGCCATCTCTGTGGGACAATTGAGAAGGACTCTACAGGTGGACATTCTTTTGTCAAGAAGAAGAACAGCGTCGTCAAATTCTGCGTTCAATGGCTGGACTCTCCAGATACCGGCAAGGATTGCCCATCATTTGATGAGATACAGGAGGGCAATTTCCGTACCTCAATATTGGGCGATCTTCAGCGATGGAGCGTGCCTCCTATGACATATGGAGAGAAGCCAGAAGCACACCCAGATAATAGTCCAGCGGTGGCAGCCCATAAAGCCAACTTCGTCCGTGGTGGATTAGTTTTCATTATGCACCATCACCACTATTCCAACGACGTCATGGGATGCGTTGGGCTTACCCACCAGCTAGCCGAGAATTGTTATGCAATTTTCCACCAGACAGAGTTTCCCTCGTGGGATGCTGGCTGCCTGGATCTGTCTCGTCTGACCAAGGCTGAAGTGCCCGAGGAATTGAAAGTTGATGGCCCACCGCCGCCTGAGATTCACCCGGATCATATCCCAGCCCAGAGTTTGCTCTTCCACTTGCCCAGGAACAAAGCAGCAGAGCTCGAGAATCTCGCTTTCCCGACAGATGGTACATGGATCTCCACCTACGATGCCTTTTCTGCATTCACCTGGCGTACGGTTACGCGACTACGGGCACCAATATTCAAGCCCGATCTGTCCGCGCCTCTATTCTGGGGAGAGGCTATTGACATGCGGCGGCGGTTCCACGGCCCCAAAGTCCCCCCACGCATCCAACAAAACGTTGTGGCCGCAGCAATGTCGCCCACGGCACCTTTCACTGCCCCGAGCGCAGCAGAGGTCATCTCCGAGTGGCCGCTGCCAAAGTTAGCCTATTATATCCGCCAGTTGACCGACAGTGTTACGCAAGAATCTTTGGACCTGGCACTGGAAACGGTAGCCACGGCACGTGAGAGAACAGCGCTGAACACCCGAATCGATTCACAGCCACCGATGTCGGTGCTCCAAACGGATCATCGCGACGCCAATGTTTCAAGTGCCGACTTTGGTTTTGGCTCCCCAGTTACATACCGTCATTTGATGGACTGTGTTACCCAAGGCGTTTTCATCATTTACCCGCCGCGCGACCTGTCTCCTGAATCGAATGACGGGCCTGAGTTCTCTCTTGCGTATGAGAAGAGCTTGAAGCAGGCACTCATTGAGGACCCGGAGTGGAATCGGTACTTTGAATATAGGGGTGTGGATGCCGTGGATGCTCGCTACGAGGGTACCTCTTCCGTGTAAATGCAAATATATTTGAGGAACGCAAGCTCAACTCAATCGGATATATGATACGGGATGTAGAACACTTTGACTTTTTCTAGCTGGATTGCAGTTTTTCCTTTCTGGTCAGTAACTCTGGACGAGGCCATAGTTGTGACTTCTGGAAAACGGGCGAACAGTAACCCAGACGAGAGTGACCCTTGTCGTAGTGGAGGAGATCTTACTTTGAGATAGAATGCTTGTTAAAAGCATCCTGCTCGTCAATTGCAATGGAAGAAATTTGTAATCTGTGATGAAAGTATGTAAACAGCTGACTGGTGGAGATTGTCTGATCATTAACAACCAAGCTTCTATATTTCAACCAAGCAAACATACAACATGACGGAGAATTTGACCTGAATATCTTCTGGTCCAAACTGGCACTGGTCACGTGTATAGATCCGATGTTCTTTCTTCGGCAACAACGCCCTCGGTGCTTTCTTTGCTGTAAATAACGTCGTCCTTTGCGATTTTGATTTCTTTACTATGAATTCCTGCCTCACCATGGAAATTTGTTACTATTTAGGGGTTTCCTGAGTTGTCTCTAGCAGAGAAACCTCCCCACCCCAAACATCATGGCTCACAACATGGGGAAAGAAGCATTCCCGCTCTTTAGGTACAATGAGTTCGACGTGGCAGCTCTCTGTCAAATTGCAAGCAAGATGCGACGGGGTATTCCGTGCACATGTGACTTGAATCAGCGTCCGCAACGAGGCGGCATTAACTGGGCTGTTTTCGTTTTATTTGAAGATGGCCTTGAATGGGTTCTTCGCTCGCCAGTGCAGAATCACCCCGAGCTGTCTCATGAGAGTGTCGTCAAACTTCTGTTAAGCGAAACTGCTACGCTCAAATATCTCAAAGCCTACACAGACATACCTGTTCCTGAGGTTTATTCCTATTGGTAAGCGAGCTGCCAGATAAATCCCGTATCATGGAGCTGATCTTCGGAAGTGCATATCCAGACAACCCTCTCCGGATCGCATACATTTTGATGAGCAAGGCGGAGGGCAAATCGTTGGAAACAATGTGGGAGGAAAATGATCTTCATCATCGTCCGGGATCACTCGAACTCAACAAAGTGATGTCTCAACTTGGCCACATTACATGGAAACTTGCCCAAGTCAGGTTTGCCCAAATTGGGTCTCTATTTGAAGAAAATGGTTATTTCGCTATTGGACAATGCCTATCAAAAGGCCACATACAATACAAAAGACATTCCTTGGGAATTCCTCGTGGACCTTTTGTCAGTGAGGGTGAGTTCTACTACAGCCTCATAGCGGCTTTGGTCAAGCACGCCGCAACGCTGCCGTTGGCGCACCATTGCTTCGCTGCACCGGTACCCTCTAGGAATGACTATCCTAACATGGATCTGTGGCAGGGTGCCCACGATCTTTGGAATGACTTCATCACTGTAGGACAAAAAGTTGACGGCGCAGCAAATAGAGTTGACTATGTTATTGCTGCCAATGCGCTCAAGCATTTGATCTCTCAATATGCGAGCAACTGGTCCGGAGTCGTATTTCCGGTCACCTTTGCACTCTGCCACCCAGATCTCACCATGAGCAACATATTCGTCGATGATCAATGGAATATTACCTGCATTATCGATTGGGCGTTCGCCACAACTATGCCCGTTCCCTTGCTTCTGGCACCACCCGGGTTTCCTCAGTCGCGGCACAAGCTAGACGAGAGATTCTGCCTTGGTTTCAGAGATGGCTTCAAACATGCAGCGGAACTCAACGCGCACAATCAACTAATGGGCTTGTCTGTCCCCAAAGCTATCCAGTGTGTTAAAAACAGCCAATTTGCTTGGTGTCTCACAAGGTTTCTAGCATTTGATTCCTCAGACGACCTTTCACTTTTTCGTACCATGTGGGAATCAGTCTACCCATCGCAACCGAAGCTCGAGTCATATTTCTTTTCACAAAGAAATCTACCATATTTTCGAAGCCTGTACAGAAGAACCGGACTCGAGGACTTGTCAAAACCTCGGATCGAACAATCAGAGAGTGATCATTTCACCAAACCCTTGACATTCGAGCTGTCTTTGGCTCGTCATTTGACAATGATTTCAGACTGGGGTCTCAACTATGACCTGTTCAAATGTGCTGGCCTCCGAGATACAGGGGAGATATTTATAACTGAGGGACGGCTTTGGCGATGGATTTTGGAATTCAAAAAGCAGCAACGCGACAGGTTCGGCATTGCAGAGTGCGAGTTTTGATATCAACAGTTCAAGAGGGATAGGCACCCAAATTGGTTATACAGTTGATACATCGGCAAGTGTATTATTAGGAACACAATCAACGAGAGTATAATTATGCCCACTCAATCCATGTCCCATTTTCCAGACCTCAACAAACTCACAACACAAGCAACCAAACAGTTCGTGTCTGACGAGAGTTGTTAGTTATAACCATTAACCTTATCCCGTCTAAATATCTTACTAGTGCATTCCATTCTTGGTGTACTCAGAAGAAGTCTGTCGGATTGGTTCGTCGAGTGCAATCGAAAGGCTCATCAATGAACCAAGTATCATGCTGCTGATCATAGACAATGGGATAGGTTGTATCAGGATCACAAAGCTTGTCGATTTTTGTCTCGTTGCCAGCACTGATAGTGAACCAGTAGTTGTTGGTATCATCGCTGACCTTCTCGCACTTGTAGAAGAAACCCGTAACCCCGGGACCAAAAATATCGCTGCGGAAGTCGACGGCCAACTTCTTGTTGAGATTAATGTTCTCGCAGTCCTGTCGCAAGCCCTCCACAGAGGCTGTCTCTGCCGATTCGGTGGTGTATCCCTTCGCTGTGTGGGTGCCGCTGGCTGACCATGTCGATGCTGGCAGGGATAGTTGTTTGGCAACATCAGCTAGTAGTAGGCTGTTTGTGACAGTTGCCGCGGAGCAGCCGATACCGGCGCTCATGATGCCCAAGGTCGTGAGTAGCATTGAGAACTTGATCTGGATCATGTTGAGTTAATTTGAAGTTGATTGTGATATAGTGGTTTGGCTGCTTGTATTTCTGGGGAATCTGTGATTTAAATGGATTTCTTTTGCACGGGGCATCATTCACCTTCGAGTTCCACTTTGCTTATGATAGGCATTGAATCTAGCATTGTCTGGTAAAAGTCGCCGAAAGAGGGTTTGGAGACACCGAGAACATGATGTAACGGTACGATCCATCCCCCGTGTCCGGATTAGGGTTTCATAGCCGCGTCTATGATACCCCGTTGCAGCAACCCCGGAATTGATCAGCCATTCGAATGACCCGATGGGCAGCATCGGGGTTATTTATCTAAAGTTGAGGCGTCCCAAGTACTTAACTTTATATCATCGTTCACTTTGCTCACACCACTGCAGGCAAAGATGCCAAGTCAGGGAGACTGGGAAATATTGACACCTGAGGCACCAAGATAATTTTCAGCTTTAACAACAGATTTGCCCTTTGACATGTTGTGCGTTCATCTTATTAACACCTACAAGAATAGTCGGCCGCATAAGTAGTCTTTTATGGTAGTCTTCTCAGATGGTCTTTAAGATGTCTTTTTGGTGCTCTTTTCGGATTCTTCTCAGTTGGTCTTTTCAGATGTCTCTTTTCATAGATATTGTCTTCCCCTTCTCAGTTTGTTAGCAGAAAAAAAGGGGGAAAAAGCATACTTTGTGCAAGAGACTTATGATATATATCCTTTGATTACTCAATACTGATATGATGCTTACTTGGAGTCTAATATTTTCAGTCAACATGAGCACTCGTTCGAGCCTATATTATCGAGACCCAAATCAGTTGACTCGTTACAAGAATTCCCGGCTTGCCTCAGTGAGAAATCCCTTGATTTTTCTACTAATGGAGTCTTATGCACTAGGACTTTGATAATCAAAGGGTTTGATACCTATAAAAGCACGTCTGGCCACGGGTAACCAGATTGCTGCCGACGGAGTATTGGCAAGAATGCACTCCAGCAAATAATCTATATGCGACATCTGTTCGGTATCACAGTGGCCCGGCTGCCGAAGATATTCCGCCGCAGATGGTCCGCCGAAGATATCCCGCTGATCGTATTCTTTGCACGGACTAATTAACACTCTTCCTACCTAGGTATATTATCAAAGAACGCCCCTATGCCCTACAGGGCTTGTTCCTAGGTTTTGAGCTTTGGGGTATTTGCGAGATTTGATAGGTCAAGCCTTGCATTATCTTATCTTCCAAGGTTTATTATGTACCTCCGGGGCTGAATTCTAGCGGAGACCTCCGACAGTCTTCTATATTTTCTAAGGTCACCTAATGTTAAAATACAACCCCTGGAGTTGATTTAACTAAGGAGTCTAACTGCCCGGGTGGGACCCGTGGGGATCTCCGATGGTGTTATTTGATGAAACAGAGATATGGTAAAAGGCTAATATAGCGGGTTGGTTTCGGGAATATTTGGAACTCAATTTCTCAACGTTTATCTGGCGTGGATATGCCGTTCCTTGTGTACGGGGTAGGGAAATCGAAATCCTATGCTATTGACCAACTGATATGTCTCTCTCACCTCGAGCCATCTATGACTGCGGTCCACGGCTCCTGAGAGACATTTGGGCGCTGACTGGTCTCGCCATTATCACGGTCGCGTTGAGGGTGACTGCAAAAATAAGGATCAGGAAACTTGCCTGGGATGACATTCTCATGGCTTCGGCATTGGTTAGTCTGTTCACGTCGTGTCTCGTTATAATGGTCCGAAGATCAAAACTGACCTGTTGCCTGGCACTCAGTGTCTTACTATAGTCGGATCAGCTCTGATTACCGTGTGCGTTAAACACGGTTTCGGTCGCCATGTTTGGGACCTCGACACAAAAACGGTCGTTCCCAAAGTGATTATGTTCGACTATTTGACACAGACATTCGGCATTGCTGGCGGTACTTTGGGTCGCATTTCCTTCATTGTCTTCGTCATTGAGCTACTGGGCACTAGAAGATCACACAGAGTGATACTGTGGATCATAGTTGGGTTACAAATCTTGACTAACGTGGTGTTGATCATCATTCTGTTTGTTCAATGTCCAGGACATGGTTCCGCTATCTGGACGCAGAATGGGAAAGATAAATGCTGGGATGTCCGCGTCCAAGCCTACTACGGGTACTATCAGGGCTGTACGAACTTCCATTCATTGCCTTGGTCTACACATTGCTGAGACTAATAATCGAATCTAAACAGCGTTTAACTCGACGACAGACCTTTATCTGGCGGTCTTTTCAACATACATATTCTGGAATTTGAATTTGAAGTTAAGGGTCAAGTTGGGCTTGGTCACACTCCTCGGATTGGGCATTTTGTGAGTCACAAATTTGGACTCTGTTTCAAGAGATATCCGGCTAACAGAGCTTTCTTGGATTCAGTGCAATGGCAGCCTCCGTTATGAAAACAGTCCAAACCCAAGTCCTCGCATATGCACACGATGATCCAACTGTCGCAACCGTCAACTACGATCGTTGGCTATACATCGAAGCATATGTAGTTATCATAACGGCATCGATACCTTGCATCAGATCTTTATTACCATCTGTTCGAGGAGGGACACCTGGAACTGGACGGAGCGCATACGAGTTGAGTTCGCCATATGCTGGAAGCTCTATGCCCACAGCTAGATCCCGGAGGTTGACACAAAAGTCGATGATACGTATTTCTGATAATTCTAGTGCGGATGATATCTTGGAGAGGAATAATAATGAGATTGATGGAGTGGAGCACAGGAGATGACGAACTCGAAATAATCGATGCATGCTTGTATAAAATAACAAGCAAAATTATATAATACAATGGATGGATACCACAGTCAAAATGTAGCAAGACCGCAGGTACCAGCAAAGTATGGCTTCAAAGCAGATATGGTTGAGAGTTAATGCTCACGATATGAAGATGAGCGATGATACAAGGACGATCGAAAGCGGGCAGTAATCTCATCGGGGTACGCGATTTGGCATCACCGCCCTCAAGCCAACCATCGCCAAAACAAAACCCAAAGATTTGCCCGAGGAGTGAATCTACGGCACAATGTGGCCCTTTTCAACATATCCGGAGAAGACAGCGGGTGATGTAGCCGGAAAGACGTTCGACTACATCATTGTCGGTGGTGGGTGACACTTCCCCTGACCAAAAGTCATCAACTCGACTAACCCAAAATCATTGCTTAGGCGGTACGGCTGGATGCCTAATTGCGCACCGCCTTTCTGCGTCCCCAAACGCCTCAGTTCTAGTTCTGGACAAGGGTCGCGTCAACGCCGGGGTTCTCTCGCGGATCCCACTACTTGGCATCCTACAGAGCGGGGTCGTCCGCTACCACGCGGAACCCAATGCGCACTTGCGCGGGCGACATGTGCAACTCCTGGCTGGCGAAATGCTGGGTGGTACTAGTCGCGCTCACTCCATGGTATGGAGTCCCGGCGGCCGCCCGGAATTCGACGGCTGGGCGCGTGAGCTTGGGTTGGACGAATGGAGCTGGGAGAAGGTAGCGCCGGCTTTTGCGCGGATTGAGAAGGAAATTCCACGCAAAGGGGCGGGTGATTTAGGTCTCATGTCGTATGTAGATGCGGCGATGGAAAGAGTAGGACTGGATGATGGAGGGGGAAAGCGAGGCACCCAGAGATATACCCGCAGCGAGGTCTCGGTCGATGCAGATGGGAACAGGGTCTCTGCGTTAACGGCGTGGCTGAATGCCTCGGTTGTGAATGGGAGGAAGGGGCGACTGACGGTGTGTACAGGCGTGACGGCGACGAAGCTCGAGTTTGCGGATGATGGAGCGAGGGTTACAGGCGTATAGATTAGTCCTGGAGGGGGTGCAGACATTTTGGTCAAGGCGAAGCAGGAGGTGATTCTCTGTAGCGGCGTCTTCGGCACGCCGCAGCTGCTGATGAAAAGGTTGGTCGCGCTTTCCAGATAGCCCCACTTCGTGATACTAACCGCAAGCAGTGGAATTGGCCCTAAGGACCATTTGTCCGCTCATAAAATTCCCGTGGTGCATGATCTCCCCGCAGTGGGTGCGCATTTGACCACCCACATCCTTGTACCAGTCATGACAGAGCTCCCACTGAAGCACACACTGCATATCATTCAGACGGTGGCTATCCTCTGGCATTTCTTGCTGTGGCTCTTCTCCGGGACTGGAGTGCTTTCCTCTAACGGTCAATGGGGCGCTGCGTTTTTGCACTCGGATGCACTCAACGAGGGAACGATGACAGTAGTCCCACCCGAAGACGACGAGAAGGAAGTGACTGATCTTGAAATTCTGATTGCCCCACTTAGCACGCTCATCGAGCACGGTGTCCCCGGAGTGCCCTGCATGACGTGGTACGCGGCTCTTGTGCAGCCCCACACCACCGGCAGCGTTGAGCTCACGTCTAGCTCTGACGCGAAATCGGCCCTGAAAATTACGCTCCCAATGCTGATCGACGCTCGCGACAGCGCGCGGCTGCGTAAGGCGGTGCGGTTCGCTATGCGGTTGGCAGACGAGTTTGCGGGACCGGAGGTCGGGTATCCATACCCGGCACCGTTAACGATGGCTCCCGGGATGGATTTGGGGTATTTAGACGGTCTTATGGACAGGAAAAAGAGCAAGAGTGACAAGAAAAAGCTTACAAGGGTGTTGCCACCACAGAAGGACGCTTGGAGAACCGTGACTGATGCGGAAATTGATGAGTATATAAAGAGGCTGGTGACAGGGAGTTATGATCCTGCTGGCACGTGCCGGATGAGTCTTACAAAGGAGGAGGGTGTGGTAGATCAGAACTTGAAGGTATATGGAGTGCGCAACCTGCGAATTGCAGATGCAAGTGTGCTTCCCCGGTGTGGGGGCGCTTCGATCTCGGCGTCCATTTATATGATTGGGGAGCGGTGCGCTGAGTTTGTCATGAAGGAGGATGGTTTTTCTTCCTAGATATGCTGGACGATGATATTACTACATATAGTCTGTGTGGAGTAGGGTCTTCTGTCCACGGCAAAATATATCCTACACGCTCATGGAATACATTATCTCCGAAATTTACGAACAGATATGGCTGAATCACCTGCTTCATATTGTATCCAGCACGGAGGGTGAAGCTAGAGCGCATATAATGACGATGTATACATCTGATAGGCTGTGCGGACCAAGTTTTCACGTTGAAGATGCCTGAAGCTCTCGATACTCTTTCAAAGCCGGAAGATTATAATACGGCACGTGGAAGATAGAAAACGGAAGTACTTCCGACAATCCAGCCGGGGTTTCAGCGGCTTCGCCATATCTTTCCACAGAATGGAACATTCCCGGGTCCACGATGAGAAGATCCATCAGTGCCAGCGCTTGCGCCAGCCCCCACGTGTTCCCTATCCTCCAAAGACACTGTATTACCCACCGACGCTGTGGATGAGTCGGTCCCTCGACCATGCCGGCAATGTATAGGGGCCATAGCATCATGAGGCCGCCTAGGTAGCTCTCTGGTGGAAGTATAGGCCTTTCTGGAAGCACCTCCGAATTGCAGGCACCCAGACTGAATGGGCAACTGCGGCAGATGTCGGCACCTAGGCGACGGATGGTTGAGCGTAGAGACTTGCAGTATAAACGAAAGTCTTCGGATAAGGAGGTGGGCGAGCTGTTGGATAGCTTGTGGACTTGTGATAATATAAGCTCGCTGACAAGAATGCGTGCGCAACGGTAGTGGTTCCAGCAGCTGGACGCCCAGATCTCTGGATAGATGTGGTATTCATTGTTGTACGGTCGAATTCCGTGACAGCGACATTCGAAAGAACGGTCTAATGGCATGAGTGTATGGCTACTATATGTAAAGTCCGGTGGCAGAGCGGCCAACCAGGCGAGAAGGTCTGCTTCAATGGCACATGCCGCACTGAGGATCTCTTGGGGGCTGGTCAACGCTTGTGTGTGTATATTTGCACGTAGATTCGACAGATTGCCGATGATTAAGATAATTTTAGTGCCAAGGGCATTCTTTATCTCAGGGATCATGTCGAGCTTTGTAGATTGCAGTAGATAGCTGGGTACACGCACATCGCGCTGGAGACAACTGATGATCTATTAATGGATTAGTCTTTGCTTGATGTTCGTAGGGATTGGATCTCACGTACGATCTGATACCTCAAATGTATAAAAAGGCGGATTCCTACATTGCTTTGCAATTGTGTAGGTCCCCGGTGCTGTAGTAGAGCTGCCGCTCCACAAATATGATTCGTCCAACCATCAATGCCCTGGGGAGCCCTTGACACGACGATCTATTAATGTGGGCATTTGGATTTTTTTCTTCTTGGAATTGGAGGGAAGAACTCACTTCATACAAGGCTAGAAGAACAACCGCACCAAGTGTCTGGTTCGTCTTAGCCTGGTTGGCATCGGCAAGCGCCTGATTGACTAGGTTCAGCGCAGATCCATATTCCCGACGCGCCGCTTGGCTCAGTGATGCGACTCGTCGAACACGCGAGAGCATGGCGGTGGCAACTGCCACGATGCTGGATTGTATAGCCCGCTGGCTAACTGACCCACCAGACTCCATGAGAAAATCGGTCAAAATATCCGTTATCAGAAAGTTGCCTGGAATAGCATGCGACTGGAGGAAGAAGCAAATAGCTTCCTGCTCCGAGATTCCCGTGTTGGGATATATCCCGATAAGACTCTGCCTAGCATGGCGCATCCGAAATTTATGCAAGGGATCGGAACCGAAATCAATGGCTGGGTCTTCCAGGTCTGTGGATGAGTTTGTGGTCACTGAGGATGCATAACTTCGTCCTAGCAAAGTAGGATGAGCCGATCGCGACGGCATGCGGCCTGTAGAAGAAGATGACGGGGTAGAAGCCGCAGAGGAAGACTGAGAAGAACGCGCCTTTCGCGACACAGATTCGGTCTGATCGCGGAACATCAGTGACAGCTCATCGCGATACCCAAGGCATTCTCGGTTCGTTCGAGTGCATTCCCGACAGACCGGTCGGGCCTGGTCGCATCGGATCTTGCGCGAGCGACAGTTTCCGCAACCTTTACTAGGTTTACCATCATATACCATTCTATAAATGCCCTCAATGTTTATGAGGGTGGGGCGATCAGAATTAAAGAATTTGAAAGAAGCCGACGAGGGTGAAGATGGCTGAGGTTCAGCCCCCACGACATTAGGCCGAGATCGATCAAGGATCTAACCCGTATAGGCCAAAGAATCACAACTCTACGTAAGCCTCCATAGGCAGATGTAAGCAGGGAATGAGATGGATGCAACAAGCTTGGACTTTCCATCAAAGCTTAGATTTGGCGATCCTTAGGGGTCATCAATATTCACTTCCGACATCCTATACATAGTTTGGGACTATACCCCTAGGGTTCATGGGGATGTTACTTCCGGAGAACGTGTAACAGTGCAAACACGTGAGAATGATATGTACAGATGGAATACTTGACCTGGTAATATCCGGAGGGAGGCCACTTTATATTCTGGAGGGGGGCTGAGCTGAGAGGGTTTGTGTGGAGCTAAACCCAAAACGGACAGAGATGCGAGGACCAATCAGCTCCGAACTTGCATATTAGCCCTGGAGCTATGGAGCTTCCAGATTTGTTTTCGGGTCGTGTTGCGAAGTTTGGCCAGTTCGATGCATAAAAGAACCAAGCTTCTTGAGGCTTATTGGCGCTCGCAATATGTGCCGTAAACGTATTTGTGCTGCCTGAATGTATGTGTTTCGGGTGAAATAAGGAAACATTATTTAACCATCAACAAAGTCTGAACTAATATAAAAAGGCTAAGAGCTCGCAGTGCCATTTTTGTTTGCACCTTCATTGAATATTTCCTTCATCATTTCAAAGTCACTGAACCATCCCACTCGTCATGAAACTGGCTTTGACTGCTCTTCTGCCGGCTTTTGCAGCCGCAGTATCTTCCTCCCCTTCTGTCACAATCGATGCTGGCATAGTCCAGGGCGGAAGATGTGAAGATGGGCAAAATGCAGTCTTCTACAAGGCAATTCCATTTGCTGAGCCTCCTGTCAAAGAACTACGCTTCGAGCCCCCCAAAGCCTACAAGAAGCAATTCTCTCAGGGCAAACTGAATGCAACCACTTCGGCCCCAACCTGCATCCAATTCGCGGATGACTTTACCGAGCAAAAGCTGAACACATCTGCACTTTCATCTGAAGACTGGTAAGTCGAGTCATCCGGTCCCGGGCCTCTCAAATATCTCATTATTTGTGTCGGTAGAAGATCGTACTAAAATACCAACTTTACAGCCTTTACTTGGACATTTGGGCTCCTTCTAATGCCACTAAAGACTCAAAGCTTCCGGTTAAGGTTTGGGTCTACGGTGGCTCGGAAACAGAAGGCTCCATCTCGGACCCCCTATACGATGGTTGTAACACCGCAGAGGCAGGCTCTATTCTTGTCACAGTCAACTACAGGCTTGGTCCCCTTGGATTCATGGCACTTGAAACTGCCGGAATCTACGGTAACCAGGGAATTCAAGACCTCATTCTGGGATTAGAGTGGGTTCGCGACAACATCGCGGCCTTCGGTGGAGACCCGGTATGACAATTGGCATCAAACCACGATCGAAACCCGAGAAAGCCAAGCTAACACGTGTGTTCTAATCCAGAAAAAGGTGCTTCTTTTTGGCCAATCAGCCGGTGCTGAGAACGTATATATTATTGGCTCTCTTCCCAAAGCGCCTTCTTTGATCAATGCTATCATCTCGGAATCGGGTGGTGGTAGGAGTCTGGTCTCAAATTCAACCCAGCAAAAGGTTGGGGCATCATTTGCTCAAACACTCAAATGTGGCTCTAGTGATGTGAGTATACGGTTTTTTCAATCGTGATTTAGATGGCGGACACTAACATTCTCACAGAAAGCTTGTCTTCAGTCTAAGACGGTTTCCGACTTGTATATCGCGTACCCAGCCGATACTTTCTTAACTCAGGGAATCGGATACTATGGACCTCTCAGTATCCTTAGCCAGGGGACACATAACTTCTATCCCTATGTGGACGGCAATGTCATCGACGAAGACCCTTACGAGCGCGGAGTACAAGTCCCAGCTATCTTTGGATCCAGTATGTACATGATTGTACGTTATCTACGTCGTGAAATCTTGCTAACCAAATGATGAAGCTTCTAATGAAGCTATCGTTTATACTTTACAATGGGCCGCGGTATCCCAGCAAATTCCAACGACATCATTATACAAAGATTTCCTTCGCAAAAACTTCGGCAATGCCGCCCCGCTTGTTGGAAAGGCCTACTCGCCATCTTTGTTCGAATCGGAGGCCAAATCCATCATTGCAGCTTCCAGTCAGTTTTCTGAGCTCGGTTATAACACGACCGCGCTCGAAGTACTTTTGGCTATGACAAAGGTCATAACCGATTCCAGCTACAGGTGCTCGGCATGGTACGGTGCGGCGCAGGCCGCTCGCAGAAACATCCCCGCATGGACATACGAATTTGCCCACAGTCCGACATGTGCCTGGCTGTACGGAATCGATGATAGTAATGTCAGCCTTTTCGGAGGCGCACACACTTCTGAAATTCCCTTTGTCTTTGGTAATTTGGACAATTCGTATCTTCCCAATAGGACATGCAATTCTACGTCAGCTGAATGGCATCTCGGCGCCCAGATGATGGACTTATGGACTGCAATGGCAGAAAATGCTGAGCCATCAACTAAGGAAGTTAATTGGCCGCAATTCCAGACCCAAGGGAAGAATCTTTCGACTCCCGGCTTGATCTTTGAAAACTCAACTGTGTCCGGTACAATCGATTACACCGGATGTGATATCTGGATTCAAGTCAATGCGATGTTGTCAGCAAACAATGCTACGGCCACAGGGACACCGACTAAGGTCAATGGCAATCCGACCTCTTCGCCGTCCACTCTAAGTAATGGTGCAACGAGCCTTCTGTCTAAGACCGAGGGGTACCTTGCTTTGAGTGCCCTATTTATGGCATTTGCGGCACTTTGATGGTAGTTCACTGTTCAAGATCTCGGGAACTTGGCTCTTTTAGCAATCTGCCTCTCTTTGCTTTTGCTCCCTTTTTCTGTCTGCCTTAAGTGCGAAGCGATGCCAAGTGCAGCGTTCCTGACAACAATTGTTTCGATGATAGATTATTGTGTGTTGTTCTTGTTGCGTTATCCAGTGCCTACATATATATGCATACCCCAAGACCTTTGTATAGACCAGATGTGAATATGGTGGATTCTTTTTTCTTGCTCATTTCTCCAATCACACTTGTGCAATTGCTAGAGCCGAGGGCCCTAAAAGGCTGTTAGCGCACACTTCCTACGCTGTACATAATTGGTATTCCGTCCAAACTGATTCCAAAATTATTATCTCATCATCATAGCTGTCGCTCCCTTCGCCAAGGAAATCGGGTTATGGGGTCGATGGAGGGTTACCCGTTCGGGCCGCCCCATACCTCCGTCGGCACGCTCTGACACTTTGCGGGGTTTAATGAGGGCCACAAGTACCATAAAATAAACAGGCCTTTCGCTAGACTTATTGCACAAGTTGAACGTCGGATGAGTATCCATTCGTATCTTATTATATTGCGCGAGAAACAGATTAACATCCCATATTAGACAACTTTCCAAATCCCCCTTCCTGCACAAGGCCGAAAGTGGATATTTATACAACCGAGCCAACCATGTAGAAAAGCTCCTTTTCCACGGCACCATATCCAACTACACGTGCGGTATGCCAATATACTTCGATGAACGAAGTCTTACTTAAGCATCAGCTTCGATTTTCTCGGTCACGGTACCATCCTCCTGAACAACAATCTTGTCCACATTCATGGAAGCCTTGACGGGGTTGGGCTGCTGGTAAACCCACTCCAACTGTTCCAGAGTTCGGCCCTGGGATTCGACACTGTAGTGGCAGGAGTTAGCACGAAAGGGCTCTGAGATATGAGATGGTTGGAAATGGAATAGTAAACGTACCAGAAGAAGTACCAGAAAACGGACTCGACAACGTCCCAGCCAACAAAGATCCAGAAGTAGTTGGTAGAAATGTTATGAAGACCAATGGGCGTAGCAAACTGGCTGATGAAACTAATGCTGCTGACCATGAAGCCTGACAGAGCCAAACCCTTGGAGCGAGTGGTTGTCTCGAGAGCCTCGGCCGGAATGACACCCTGGAGGGGAGTGTATGTGAACGAGAAGACGACGTTGAAAAGGTAGTAGAAAGCAAGAGCAGCCTTGCCCTTGTTCTTGCCTATGAGACCAGTATTGGCGACTTCTTGCAGGATACCGGCATTGATACCCAAGGTGACAGCGCATGCTGTATGTTGGTTAGCCGGCTAGCCGTGATGAAACTGAGGTAAAAAAGTTACTCACCAAGAGTACCGAAAATAAGAACAGGGCGACGACGCATCTTGTCAGTGAAGTATACAGCGGTTAATGCACCCACAGCTGAGACAATAGAGTTGACGAGGTTAAGCAACAGCTGGGTTGAGCTGGACTCGTATCCAATAGCCTTGAAGATAGTGGCGTTGAAGTAACCAAGACCGTTGCCAGACCATTGTCCAAAGACGGAAATCATGATAACCTGTGCGAAACGCCAGCGTCCACTTTTTGTCATGATGAATGGGCGGTCTAGAAAGCTTGGTTAGTTACTATTGCGACAAATAGTCCTGATTATATCGGGATTGCCAAACTTACAATCCCACCATCTCTTGTCAATACCATCAATTCGAATACCTTCCTTCATTTCCTCAATCTCAAGACGGACCAATCGAGCGTTGGGGTCACCATTTCCGTGATACTTGACCAGGAAAGCCTCTGCCTCTTCGTTCCGGCCATTTGCAATGAGCCAACGGGGTGACTCGGGAATGAACCAAACAGATATAATGACGATAATGCAGGCGAAGCACTGGCAGATAAAGGGAATGCGCCACGAGTAGTTGTTGTCGATGAAGTTGGTACCGTATGTGATAGCAGCGGCAGGGATGGAGCCACCGAACCAACCGCAGTTGTAGAAGCCTGTACCAGGGTTAGAACTGATATAATTCATAGTTTCTCCTTTCCGGCAAGATCAAGATACTCACCAACGGCACGACCACGCCAGTGAGGCGGAGCAATTTCAACAGCGTAGGCAGGAGCAGAGACGACCATGATTTGAATGCCGAGACCGAGGATAAATCGACCGACAACGAATTGCGGCAGTGTCATCGCACTGGTGATAATGACAGACCCAATGATGATGACCCATCCGCCAATAAACATACACTTGCGACGACCAAGCCTGTCGGAAATGATGGCGCTGAGGGGAGTGCAGACAATAGAGCCACTAAAAACGATCTATATCAGTCACCGTAATGTGTGTAGAGTAGAGAGAAAGCATACACTGTGTAGAGCGAAGTAACAACGGAGACCTTGGGGCCATCCATTCCGGTCTTGAAGACATTTTGATAATGATCCATGGCGAGGATAGATCCCATCAGAGATCCTATATTTCATTAGTCAATGCGCCTTTTCTAAGGTTAGTGAAAAACGAACCATCATAACCGTTGGCACAGGCACAGCAGAATGCGACGAAGATACAGACTGTAATTGTCGCACCAAATGTTAGTATCTTGGAAATATTTGCTGTATTGATTGAAAGGTCGTAACTTACAGTACAAATGCAGGGATTCCTTGCTCCATCTTGCGATCTTGGTTTCTTCGATGGCAGCGAAAAGATCGGCCTGTATTGTTCCCGAGATCTAGATCAGTATTTCGCCCGTACGCAATTAAAAATTTGGAAGATCACTGACATTCTGGACCTCCTTGGTCTTTGCGCCGTGACGCTTGATAGTCTCCCCATAGCCACCGATAACTCGAGCAGGGTCTTCAACGCCGGAGGAGATGCCATACACCTCCTCTTGTGCCTTTTTGTCCTCCGCCATGATATAATGCCGCGAATATTGGAATCGACGATCTCGGTAGATGATCCGGTCGGTGATAGACGGGACTGGCGCGACTAATCGTGGAATTTCATGAACAGCGGGGCAGGATGTGGTTCTTATAATGTTAGAATGTCCGATCACCCAGTAATTAAGAAAATGACTATAATCCTCTTTGGGAACGATTGGGTGGAGTCTCCGGTTCCCCAGACTCTCTCCATTGCCTTGTGACCCCGGAAACCCCTGTTCTCGCCAGTAAATAGACGCCTCTAGTTGGTGGCTTTTCCAAATACCTCCGCGTCCTGATTGGAATTGGACATTCCCCAATCATACCATTCTGCCCCCACTATAGTCGCCATATTTCGATTCTCACACTGAAAGAAATTTGGGTCTGATACCTGGATGATCGGCCCTGTTTTCCGTTTAGCGAGACTAGAGAAACTTGTTCGAAACGTCGAAACAGTTGGGGCTAGCCCCTTTTCGAATGTATCTAGCTAGTCTCAATGCACAAGGAGCAAAGGAGCCTCGTCTAGAATTCAAGGCCAAATTCTTACTACAATGGCTCTAGACAAATGTTGGGCTAGATACATATTCACATGCCCATCAGAAGATTGCTTAATTTACTCGACACGCCTCTTAATGTGAGAGGCGACGCGTCAATGTATTGTCTTGGAGAGTCTTGTGTCTATTCAATTTGACAACTTCACATGTTTTTACCATCTACCAAGGCTTCGTGTCCCAAAAATAACATTTCGCATGATGCCCTCAGTATTTCCAGTCGATGACTTTGTCTCACGAGGGCAAAAGTTGGAAACGTTACACGGAGGCCATTGTCCGCGCGGAGGCTGCTCCGTGCTGGATCCTTCACGGGCTCCGGGGTGCTTCCCCCACAATCCACTAAACTGTATATGGTCGACTCGAATTCTTGTGTTAGCTGCTGATGTGGCTTGTCCGCTTAGATTATAGTGGAAATATCCTATTCCCTCAATCATTACGCTACACCAAATTTCGGCCCGAATCTCCCATCAAATGTTCACCGGAATTGCCACTGAATCGAAAGGATTGACCGTGCGTTGCGTTAGGTTCGCACAAACCCCAATACAAAGACCAGATAGATCTAAACTCGCTTGACACAGCGCCATTCCGACGGAGGTTGGACCGAAGACGAGAAACGAGAAACCTTGAGATCACACCTGGGCGGCTCCGGGCCGAACTAAGAATTACTTGAGGCGACACTTTCGGAACGGAGATGGCCACGGAGATGGGTCATAAACACACTCAATAAGGGCGTAGGCTCATTTCAGCCACGCATACCTCCGTACGGACCACTCCCCAGCGAGTCAGCGAGTCATTTCTCGGGGTCACCCGTGAGGTCTTGGCACCTCCGCTGACTGGAACCCTTAAAAAGGGGGCATGCCCCGCCAGGAGGCTGGGGAATCTGTAAACGAGACCATCTACCAATCATTTGTCGGAACGAAACACCATCTTTACGCGCAACGCACATGGAAAGACGTTGAGGGAAGCAGTAGAGAAGAAAATCCCGGGGTGGATATCCTGGAGTCCTGGGGTCCACTCGGACGAAAACAAGCTAACAACAGCTCCCGACGGGAATCAGCGGGCCTCGGCCCTTTTTCCCATTCGGAGAGCATGAGTGTACGGTCTTGGCATACATAGATATATTACCTCTGACCGTCTTATCGGGGCTGAGAGGCAAACTTTGAATTATAACATATATGATGTTCTATATTTATGTTCTAGCATTGGTAGTACATGGAATTTTTTTTTTGCCACATACAATTGAAAACATTTTTATAGATAAAAAAATGGCTCTTTATACACCCATGAGACTTATATTGGAGGTTGAGTCAATAAACATGTCTTTTACTGTATGGATGTGCATATTGCATTTAGAGTAGCGATTGGAAATCATCGACAGTAATCCCCTTAATAACCAATCTCATATTATTCTGGTATGATGGGCTGGTAAAAGCCACCGCATGTTTAACACGATTGATACCTAACCATATACGGAGTACTCCGTACGGAGTAAGTCATAAATTAAATTCAAGCCTCGCTATGCATTGGCACCGCGCTATGCAAGCCCAGCTTGGCGACGCTGACGCTAGGAGTACATACACACAGTCTACACGTCGACCTAACGTTCCCAAATCTCTACCTGGACATTTTGTCTTTGTCACCAAGCCGAATTAAGGCAACAAATTCTATTTTTCTAGGCAAGATGGGTTGATCACCAAAACAAGACGGATGAGCCAACTTTCTACGCTCACCTGGTTTCAATGGTCAGAAATAGGTATCTGTCACTGTGGTCACAAAACAATCATCAAGTCTCTCATGGAGCCATCAAAGCAGGAGTGTTATTCCCCCCGCTTCCTCTTCAAAGCCGTTTTCCATCGGTTCAGTCAAGAGAGCTAGTAGTATGTTCTCCTGATCGAAGAGAGTACCAAGATCTCTGATCCTTCAGCAACAATCAGGCCCCCCCTCCACTTATGAAAAGTCCATGAACATTGAGCTTTTCTCTTTCTGCGACGCTCTACTGACTCTCTCTAGAAGCTACCATCTTCGCAGGGAAAATACCCCAACCATCGTGCAGAACCTCAGCAGAGATCGCCCAGAAAGACTCCCCTGGTCATCCCCACTTGCAAGATGCATTTCACGCCGGGCGATATTTTCCAACGAGCAACCCAAAGACATACCTCCCCTCGACTTTCCTATAACTGCCACATTGCCGTACGATTCTCTCTACCGGAGAGGTAGCGAGGCAGGAACCCCAGATACGGAAGGCATAAGGGGAGAATCTCACACCTCATCCACTCCCCCCAGGTTTCTCAGCTTTTTCACCCCTCCATATCCTCCAGCTCTCCCTATACCCCCAATATCCGCAAAAGGCCATCCCAGTCGGAAAATTGCTTCAACAAAGATACCAAATCTCGCCTATAAGCGACAGTGTCAGACTCGAGCGGCGATGTGAACACTAGCAGCTCGATGTCAAGAATCGACACAAACTCCAAGTCCTCTGACGGTATGATATTGGGGAGATCAAAAGGAACCCCATTGTTGGCTTCAGCGGAATGAACAGAAGCCCGAGGAACCATGACGAGCTAATCACGTTGCAGACCGCACATATCCTGGCGCTTGCCGATTTCCTCAACAGAGAATATGGTGTACGTGTGTAAAAGTATTTACGATCAGTCGATCCAAAAAGCGTATTGTATTGACGAAAAAGGCCATGTACACGATCGCCGGAGAGCGTAACTAAGATCCGCGATATGATTACTGTACCTACATAGACGGTCCCTTATTCTGCCCACGACCCTTCCAAGACGAATTTCACCGGTTTTACATCGTAGCCACAGAAAGCTTCAACCACCAGCTTGCTCTATGTTGACGAGCCTGTCTCCTCAGCCAGGTACTTGGTGAGCCTGCCCCTCAAGTCAAAGAGGGACAGCTTGCCCGCCATAGTAAGTGGCCAGTCCACCAGGTCCAGCTGTGGAAGTTCAATGACGCCGGCGAGCCGATGGCCGTCTCCAAGCTCCTTGATGACGAGGTTCTTAACTCTATCCCGGTCGATGGCGGAGTCGGGGAGGATAGCGTAGATGCTCTCGTCGCTGCTGCCTGGCGCGGTTATGCCAAAGACTACGGGGTAAAAAAATGTTAGTACGCGCTTCCATTTTATATTTAGATCGGTAAAACATATCGTAGTGTGAGGATAATGCTTCTTAATGGCATTCTCAACCGTCGCTGGCGCAATAATAGTACTGTCCCTACGGATCATGTTCTCGTATCGCCCCAGGATATATATCCGCCGCTGTTCGTCGAGGACAGCACAGTCACCAGTAATGTACCATGTGTCGTCTCCATCCTTGTAGAATGATTCAGCGCCGTTGCTGTCAATATAGCCGCTGGCTACCATGTCACCACAGATGTGCAGCACACCCGGGCTACCCTGCGAGACAACGCCGCCCATATCGTCGACAATCCTAATCTTGACACCGGGCAGCGCGAAGCCACAGGACACGATGCCCTTATACGAGGGGATATGGTTGATAGCTGGAATGCCTTTCTTCCAGCCGAACATGCCCGCTGCCTCGGTCATGCCGTAGCTGGCATTGATCTTGGCCCTTGGGAACATCTCCTGCGCCAACCGAAGCGTTTCTTCCATCGTTACAGAGCCAATGATGAGCAAGAACCGGATGGAGGACACCTTGTGGGTAGAGAAGTCGGAATGGGTGCAAACCGAGTCAACCATGTGGGGATGTAGAGCCGCCGTGATAGGCCGGGAAGTCTCCATCGAGGCAATAGTTGTCGCGGCATTGAAGTTTCCGCCAACCAGAACGCCAGCGTTTCCTGAATGCCAGGTCGCATACAAGAGGCACGGGGCCATGCTCTGCGCCACGTTCGTGTTAATGAGCGTCATTGGTGGTCTTAGAGGCGGAGGTAGGTCGTTGCCAGTAAGCGGCCGCAGGAGGTCTCGCACTGTCCTGACGGAGCCTTTTGGTTTGCCGGATGACGTGCCACTGGTAAATATAATCATGGCAACACGGTCGAGGCTGTCGACAGCAGCTGGCGCAGCTTCAAGCTCGTTGGTGAACTCTCGAACAGAAATCCCCAGCAGACTTGTCCAACTTTGACGAGGCTTCTCCAAAACGTTGAGGGTGATACCCACAAAGGGACCGTAGCTCTTGAGATTGCTCCTGGCCTTGTCGACAGCAACTGCCGATGCCTGAGTACCGACCACGACCACCGAAGGCTTCAGCTTTTCTATATAATCATCTAACAACCGCTCTTGGCCGAGTTGCGCGATGGCAGGATCAAGGGTGACCAGAGTATAGCACCTGAGTGCGGACACCCACATCATTAGTGACCACTCCGCGCAGCTGGGGAGGAAAAGAAGCATCGTTGAACCCGGCTGGACACCCTCATCGTCAAGAACTGATGCAATGCGGGCTGCGCCCCGTCGCAGCTGGGCAAATGACCATGACAGACAGAAGTCGAATGAAGGGGAGGGAAGTATGAGGCTGGTAATTAGGCAGGTCAGCCAGGCGGCGGCCTGGCGTAGGGATAAGTTGAAAGACGCCCTGGGTGTAGCCACTGGCGAGACCTTGGCTGGCCCTACCAGCTTCTCAAGGTGGTCGGGTCCCTGGGACACACTCATAAGCGCTATATTGTTAGGGTTGGAGTCATAACCGTGCTGTAGAATGGACCATATTGAGTCTATCTGGGAGGGTTTACCTGGCCCAGTGTCGATTTGTGACAGCTTGGCCATCCTTCGCTAAAGATAAGATTGTGTCGGAGCAAGCTTAGACAGTATGGGCGAGTAATTCTGGCGGGCGAATAGGCAGCGAGGCGTGATCAAGCGGAACCAATTCGAGATGATTGACTGGATTGAAGAAAGAACGAAGATCATAGGGCAGGTTTAAATACCCTATAGATGGCTAAAATACACGGTACATACGACAACCGTAATGCTAAGGAAACTAAATTACTATACAAAACACTAACCGGAAGATTTCGATAGTCTACTAATCTCCTGTTGATCTTAAGTGTTGATCGATAATCATGCCTTTTTATGGATAGTAATGCGCACCTTTTTCTTTTTCCACCTTCTCGCAACTCAACATTATAAGAATCGATCTTGATTGGCAGTCTCCATCGGAAAGGGGCGTACAAGGCTTGTGAGCTCTCATTCACCATGCACATTTCGATGTCGATCCAATCCAATCGACCGCGACCGAGTTTCTAAGATAACAAGCAAGACAAAATCATCCTGGCATCTAAATTCCCGCGAGCACTATTTCTTCCCTCCCTTCTGAAGCAGAATTTTATTCTTGTCACTTTGCCAAAATGCGGTTTCTTTGTCTTCATGGGGCCATTAATAATGTTGAAGTAAGTACACCTTCAGTAAGGAAAGATTGCACGCACTAATTATCACAGATTATGATGGTTCAGCTAGGTGCTCTTCCATTGACTATGATGATGTTTCAACAGCCTTCTAATCAACATTACTCCAGCACCACTGCAAAAAATCCTCAAGTGCGACAACACTGCTTCATTTTACTACATAAATGGACTAGTCCCTGTCACACCCCCCAGCGGTATTCGCCCCGCGATACTCCTTTAATTAGGCTTATCTAACGCATATAGCATAGGGTTCGACAAGTATTTCGGCTTCGGTCCGCATTACCGCTGGGTTGATGATGGTGGTGTAGCGGAGGAGTCCCTTATTAGTCGCGTTCGCGATATACCCCTGGGCGATAACGCGGAAGACGTGATACGAGGTCTGATTGCGGGAAGAGAAAACAAGGTGCACAACTACGAGGAAATTATGGACTACCTCCAGAATGAACTGGAGAAAGACCCCGCGATCGAAGGCCTAATTGGGTACAGCGAGGGCGCTCGGATTGCAGCATCCTTCATTTTGGAGGAACAGCGCAGAGAAATAGAAGACGGCGGCTCTCGTCGTATCAAGTGCGCCATTTTCGCCAATGGATGGCCACCGATTACCCGAGAGAGAGGCGTTGTCCTTTCAGACGAGGTGGAGGACATGCTTGATATCCCTACCCTGCATGTCATTGGTTCAGATGGTACCTCGGGACATTCCTGAGCTCTGCTTGGACAATTGCTAATCTTTTTGTAGACCCTTTTAAGCACGGTTCCTATGCTCTTTATAACATTTGTGATCCCGACCACGCAGAGATGTTCGACACTGGCAAGGGTCACATTATTCCGCGCTCAGGCCCGACAATCGCCGAGCTAGGCGAAGCAGTACGAGATCTGATTGGGAAAGCGAAGTGCTCGGAGTAGGCCATGGAGTCTGGAGATTGTATGATCCCTTTGACCAGGTTTCGTGTCACATGCTAGAGGGTCCGCCTTTATCTCAAGGCAATCGCAATTCCTTTGTGTCCAATTTGCTAGAGTAAAACTGGAGCAGGAGCGGATGGTGTATAATTTTAGAGAGCTGCGCATTGCTAGTTGATCGGAATTGACAATGGCGATACATAATCGCTCGCCAGTGCTTGAGATGTACATAGTACATGTTCGTGTCAGCCGGATAGACCAGAAAGGGAACCCTTGCGGAGGACAATAGGGCCACTAAGAGCAAGCAACCTAAAGTTCATGCAAGTCAAGGAAACTACAAGACAGATTTCCAATCCTCAAAGCCACAAACGTGCATTTGCAGTAAAAGCAATGGTGACCACCATTCTAAATCTCCTGACACTTTTCCTCCGAGCCGCGCTGCGGTTGTAAGAACTAAGAAGCCCTAAATATGAGTCTTTTGCAACAACCCCTTCAGCTTACTTTTCAGCACTCTTCGCTGTCTTCTCGGCGATCTCTCAGCAGACATAGTATAAGGGGAGATTATGTGAAAACCGCGTGTTGAATTGAAGCTTGTCTCGAAAAAGATCGGCAGGGGAGCGGCAATGGTCCTAGTACCCTCCTTTAGGGCTCAACCTACACTGTAGTAATAATGGTATAGGTCGATTCATTTGCTCTTTATGATCGTCATTGTCAGTGGGGTTACTGTAGTCAATGCGAAGGTATTTTCCTAAGAGATCCAAGTGGGGCTCATTGCTCGGTCATGCTCAGTGGTCCTCACAAAGGGCCCATATCCGAAATGAGCACGTGCTATGAGTGAGTTGCAGGCTAATCTCAGATGAGCCACTCACAATCCCACCAAATATTTTAGTTAAAACTTTGACCGCAATTCCAGCTGCGCCCCACACATCTAGGTTTATCCATAATGAGGACGTACTGTATTATAGCGGGGGGCTTCACGGCAATGAGAAATGGCACCACCATTCTTTTAATAAGGTTCGTGTAACACGTCTAATGTGAGTCGTGTCGAACCCTATGGGGCGATCTCGAGTGCTATTTCATAGCTCCTTGGAATGGTTGGCTACCGGGGAGCCGCCACACTGGGAGAAGCTGAAGAATAGGCTAATAGCTCACCACTAAATCTAGGATCTGCAAAAAAACACGGGACACCCTCTTGCTGGTGGGAACCACCAAGACAAGGTTACAAGGTTACAATGGCTTGGAAGTTGGTGGTGTCTTTTCCTTCCTTATGCTCGTTATCACAGCGGCAATCTAACAAAGGTAGGTCTGCGAAGGGGCAGAGCAGCCAAAGGTCAAATGCCTGATTTTGGGTACATTGCAACCACGTTTTTCTATTGGCGCGTCGCAGGGGCGGAGCTGATATGCTACAATACGGAGTACATTATCACTACTTTCGTCAGAGTGTTGGATTCATGGGCTTCACTAGTTCAACCTACTTTACTAGTATTATTGGCAATAGCTCGCTCGATCAGGTAGAACTCGTCCCGCACGCAAGGCGACGGTCTGGCTGGGAAACATAGCGAGTGGGTACTTGGTAGTTAGAATGTTTTTAAGCTGTGTAGCTTATAAGACATTGACGTGGGCATTAATTCTGTTGACCATCTTACCATAATTTTGCTCCGATCCCTCTTGTTTCACAGCATCAATTATGGCAATTTTACCAGACGACACACCATCCAACGCAGGTCCCGTACTAGAACCGATTGCAATCATTGGATATGCCTGTCGATTGTCTGGAGATGTCACCTCACCCAATGATCTGTGGTCGTTGTGTACTCGGGCCCGAAGTGGCTGGCGCCCCATCCCAAAAGAGCGCTTCTCCCACGGTGCCTACCATCATCCCAATCCCTCTAAGCCCGGCACCTTCAATCCTGCTGGCGGTTACTTCCTAGACGAAGATGTCTTCAAATTCGATGCCCCATTCTTCAACGTCAGCGTCCAGGAAGCTACTTCTATGGACCCCCAGCAGCGCCTGCTCTTGGAGACCTCCTACGAAGCCTTGGAGAGTGCCGGCATCCCCAAGGAATCTCTCGCGGGCCGTAACGTAGGTGTCTTTGTCGGCGGCAACTTTTCCGACTACGAGCTCAATAATCTGCGCGATATTGAAACTACCCCGGCATTCCAGGCCACAGGAAATGCTCCTGCTCTCCAATCAAATCGAATCTCCTATTACTTTGACTTTTCGGGCCCCAGTCTCACCGTGGACACTGCATGCTCGTCTTCTATGGTTGCTCTTCACTATGCCGTGCAGAGCTTGCGGAGTGGCGAGTCCAGCGAGGCGCTGGTTGGCGGATGTAGATTGAATATCCTCCCGGATTGTTTTGTTTCCATGTCCATGTCACAGTAAATTCTCTATCTGCCATCGTTAGAGAAAGGAAGCGGCCTTCTAACACCACTGCTAGGTTGTTCAACGACGAGGGCAAAACATATTCTTTCGACGAGAGAGCCAAATCCGGGTTTGCACGAGGCGAGGGTGCTGGCGTGGTCATGCTCAAGCCCCTCGCTGCTGCTTTGCGCGATAAAGATCCCATTCGAGCAGTCATTGCTAATTCGGGTGTCAACCAAGACGGAAGGACCAAGGGTATTACATTACCGAATGGAAAAGCACAGGAAGAATTGATTAAGCGCGTGTACAAGGACGCTCATATCAAGCGGGAGGACTGTGGCTATGTTGAGATGCATGGCACAGGAACCAAGACTGGTGATCCCATTGAAGCGCAGGCCGTACAACGGGCTCTGGGAGGAGGAGACCGCACATCCAGGAACCCTCTCTACATTGGATCTGTCAAGTCCAATGTTGGCCATCTGGAGGGCGCAAGTGGCGTCGTATCCATCATCAAAGCGGCCATGATTCTCGAGAAAGGGCTGCTGCTGCCGAATTGCGACTTCAAAAAGCCACACCCCAACATTCCGCTGCATGAGTGGAACATGAAAGTCGTTACCTCCACGCGGCCTTTCCCGCGGGGTAAGAAGTATGTCAGTGTCTCCAACTACGGGTTCGGAGGCACCAACGCCCATGTTGTGCTTGAGAGGCCTCCTCCACTCGGGGCACGGCGAGATGATGCGGCGTCAGATGGTGATCCCAAGCGCCGGCTGTTCGTGCTCTCGGCTGGCGATAAGGACTCGCTGAAGATAAGAATCCATGATTTCTGTGTCTACTTTGAACAGAATCCCGAGGTGTTTGAGAACTCGCTGTTCGGGAACTTTTGCTACAGCACTGGAAGCAAGATGTCGCAGCTTGCATACCGTGTTGCTGTCACCGCCACGTCTTTAGATGAGCTTGGTACGCGCCTGGCTCAGCTGAACGCCAATCCCCGTCGCGTTCTGGGTCCTCCCAAGATCTCATGGGTCTTCACCGGACAGGGCGCGCAATGGCCGGGAATGGGAACCCCGCTGATGGACGAGTACCCGGCTTTTGCGTCCACTATGGTGCGGGCGGACCAATGCTTGAGAGACCTAGGCGCGCAGTTCTCTCTTCTGGAGGAACTTCGTAAGGAGCCTGGCGAGTCCCAGATCAACTCGCCGCTCCTCAGCCAGCCAGCCTGCACCGCTCTACAGCTTGCTCTGACTGACCTTCTCCGGTCGTGGGGAATCCAGCCGGACTCTGTCGTGGGCCACAGCTCCGGTGAGATTGGTGCCGCATATGCCGCGGGAATCTTTGATCTGGAAGCTGCCATGGCGCTTGCTTACTACCGCGGTCAAATGGCTACCCTGCTGAAGAGTTCTTACCCTGCTCTGCGTGGAACGATGATTGCCGTCGGTGCCAGTCCAGTGGAGATCAGGCCAATGTTAAAGCTCCTCAAGGCGTATGCTACAATTGCTTGTGTAAACAGCCCCTCTAGTGTTACGGTTTCCGGGGATGTCGATGCCATCTCTGAGCTAGAGGCTATTCTGAACGAGAAATCGACCTTCAACCGGCTTCTCAATATTGACGTGGCTTACCACTCCAATCACATGGGGAATGTGACCGAGGCTTATCTCACGGCCATTCAGGCTATCAAGCCTACAACTACCGGAACAGCTACCTTTTTCTCCTCAGTTACCGGTGGGATCGCCGAGCCGGCCGACCTGGGTCCTGCCTACTGGGTGCAGAACCTGACCTCTACCGTCCTGTTCGCTGACGCGCTTGGCAAGATGTGCGCCGACGACGAGTCGCGGCCAAATATGCTCATTGAGCTTGGCCCGCACTCCGCCCTGAAGGGTCCGATCCTGGACACTCTGAAGGGTATTGGCGCCGCGGCCGCTAAGATCAGCTACGCTCCTACGCTCATTCGCAAGTCGGAGCCCTCACAGTCTCTTCTGGATACTGCTGGCGCAGCGTATGTGCGCGGCGTCGTCCTTAATATGACCGAGATCAACTTCCCCAGCAGTAAGGCGAAGAACCGCTCGTTCCTACGTAACTTACCTCGCTACCCCTGGCAACACAACACCCGTTACTGGCATCACTCCCGCATTGCCGAGAAGCACTGCCATAGGGACGACAAACGTAACGATATTCTGGGGACCGTAGCGCTATACTCGAATGACCTAGAGCCTACGTGGCGTAACATTGTCCGCCTGGACGATGTGCCCTGGCTCCGCGAGCACAAGATGCAGGGTATGAGCGTGTATCCGATGGCCGGGTACTTGGCCATGGCCATCGAAGCAGCAAAGCGACGCGCAGAACAGCACGGGGCGCCATTCTCGCAATTCGAGTTCCGCGAGGTCAAAGTGAGCGCAGCACTCGTGCTGACGGAAGATGTCGACACGGAGACTGTTATAACCCTGCGACCGTACGCCGAGGGCACTCGCGGCAACTCTGATCTCTGGGACGACTTTTGCATCTACTCATGGAACACAAAGCGGAGCTGGACCGAGCACTGCACGGGACTCGTTCGCGTCCGCAGTACTGAGAAGCAGCAGCAGACCGCAGTGTCCAACGTCGCCGAGACCGAGCTGAAGCATATGAGTGCTCAAACGGAGAAGGTGATAGCGGCCGCTACCTATAAAATCGACATACAGAACATGTACCGGGTTCTCTCCGAGGTCGGGGCTGGCTACGGCGCATGCTTTCAGGGCCTGGAGAACTGCTTTTCTGACCCGCGCCACTCCCGCGCAGACCTTTATCTCCGGGACACGAAAAAGGCCATGTATAAGGAGTACGAAGCTCCCCTAAGTATTCATCCTGTCTTTCTGGATGCACTGCTGCACCTTGCCTGGCCTATTCTGGGCAAAGGGCGCATGGAGCTTGAGACTCTGTACATGCCCACCATAATTAGGAATCTGGTTATCAGCGCCAATATTCCGACTACCCCAGGGAATTTTGTTAAAGCCTGGTGTATTGGTTGCCCCAGTGTGCCGACTCCCCAGTCTACCGAGTTTGACTTGTGGGTGACGCCCCAAGACTCCACTGAGGTCTTGATTAACATGGAGGGCCTCGTTATGACTCCCCTGAAGGATACCAACGCAGACAGCGGTGAAAACGTAGCTCACTTGTGCTACAAGATTGAATGGCAACCTCTCGCTGACGGTAAAGCTATCAATGGCCACACTACCGATGAAGAACTCTCCAATGGAGAGCTTGCCAATGGACACGCTGTGAGTAGTGAGCTTACCAACGGCACCACCACCAATGGAAAGCTGACTAAAAGTCACGCCGTCAATGGTGAACTTACCAATGGCCATGCTCACGACGACATAGGCCGGGAGGAGAAGGGCTACATTAATGGCAATGGTGTCAATGGCATTCACACCAGAGAGCTGTTGATCATGCAGTATGGCAAGTCCGACGGCAGTGCTGACAAGTTGAGCGAGGCCGTCTCCACCAAGACCAACTGGAACCCATCAATTCACCCTTTGGGGGTAGTTGACTCCTGGGAGAAGCATATTCTGGTACTTCAGACAGGCACCACATCTCTGCGGGATGCTACCGTCGAGATCTTTGATAACGTCAAGAAAACCCTACTCAATGCTTCCCACCTGCTCTGGGTTTACCGTCTGGATAGCCCTGATGCCCAGATGATTATTGGTCTCACACGCAGTTTGCGCTCTGAGGGTCTCCTCGGGATTGCCGCATTAGGGCTGGAAGCCAAGGATATTGGGACCCCAACCCCTTCCATCTTGGCTGCTATAAACGCCCTGTGGCCGGTGAATGGCGAAGAGTCCTGCAAAGAGCGGGAGTTCCGCGCTTGCGGCTCACAGCTCCTTATCCCTCGAGTCACAAATGATACTATTGCCAATTTATTCGTTCATAAAGAGACCCAGGAGAAGATCCTCTCAATTCAGCCATTCTACCAACCCGGTCGCCGTCTCAAGCTTGAGATTGCAAGGCCGGGTTCTATCGATACACTGTACTTTACAGATGATAACGTCAATACGCTGGGCGACGACGATATCGAGATTGAAGTCAAGGCGACTGGTCTCAATTTCAAAGACATAGTTGTCACAATGGGCCAGCTCGCTCAGTCATGGATCGGCATTGAATGCAGCGGTGTAGTCTCTTCTATCGGGAAGAATGTCACTAGTTTCACGGTCGGCCAGCGAGTTATGGCCCTACCTGAAGGTGCTTATTCTACCTACGCGCAGTCGCGGGCTACAAGTGCGGCTCCCTTGCCTGAGAACATGTCGTTCGAGGTGGGCGCTACTATACCGGTGGCTTTCTGCACAGCCTATTACGCTCTCATTGATCTCGGGCGCCTCGAAGCCGGCGAGCGTGTTCTAATCCACGCCGGTGCAGGCGGTGTCGGCCAAGCAGCAATCAAGCTGGCACAGATGATCGGTGCTGAAATATTCGTGACTGTCAGCAGCGTTGACAAGAAGAGCTTCCTCAAGACACAATACGGTATCCCCGAGGACCACATCTTCTATTCTCGCGACTCTTCCTTTGGGCGTGGGATCAGGCGCGCCACCAGCGGCCGTGGTGTCGATATTGTGGTCAACTCTCTGGCTGGTGACCTTCTCCGCGAGACGTGGATGACTCTTGCGCCATTCGGGCGGTTTATTGAGATTGGCAAGGCTGATATCACAAAGAATACCCGCCTGGACATGCTGCAATTCGAGAATAACGTCAGCTTCGCGTCTGTCGACTTGACCAAGATTGCTCAGCACAAGCCCAGACTGATGAGGCGTCTGCTCGACAATGTCTATCAGCTCATGTCCGAGGGCACTGTTTCACCTATTCTGCCTTTGACTACTTACCGTATCTCGGAGCTCGAGACGGCCTTCCGGACCCTTCAGACTGGCAAGGCGATGGGTAAGATCGTAATTGCTCCTCATAAAGATGACCAGGTTAAGGTAAGATCAAAGCTGTGAATTCCGCAACAACATAGCAACCTCTCGCTGACCCCTTGCAGGCCGTGGTACCCAAACTTGGCTCCTCTGTCCTTAGCGCCGACGTATCTTACCTCCTGATCGGCGGCACCGGTGGCCTAGGGCGAAGTGTAGCTAAATGGATGTCGTCAAAGGGCGCGCGTAACATCGTGCTCGTATCCCGCAGCGCATCCATCAATACCAAGGTCCAAGCTCTAATCGACGAGCTCGCCGCCCATGGCACAACCATCAGCGTCAAGCCCTGCGACGTAAGCGATATGAAATCCGTCAACAACCTCATCAATCAAGAATTAAAGGGCCTCCCACCAGTCCGCGGTGTCGTGCACGGCGCCATGGTTCTCCGCGACATGCTTTTCGAGAAGACGACCCTCGCCGACTTCCAAGCCGTCGCATCCTGTAAAGTCGAGGGCGCCTGGAACCTGCACCACGCACTGCACGATTCACCCCTCGACTTCTTCGTCGCGCTCTCCTCCGTCGCCGGCATCATTGGAAACCGCGGCCAAGCCGCCTACGCTGCCGCCAACGCCTTCCTAGACGGGTTCATGGAGTATCGCCGGTCCCGGGGTCTCCCTGGGACTACGATCGACTTGACAGCCGTCCGGGATGTCGGATATCTTGCCGAAGTCGAGACCAAACGCCGAGAGGAGGTGCTGAAGAATATTGGCACGGATGGCATCGACGAAGCACAGGTACTGGCGCTCCTTGGTGCCGCGGTCACAGGGACACTATTGCAATCATGTTCCGGGCAGTCCATCACCGGTCTTGACCTCGGCACTCGTCTGGACCACTTCTGGGTACAGGACAGCAAGTTTTGCTCTTTATATGAGGCAGCGAAGGAGAAGTATGGCAACAGCACGGAAGACGACATGTTGTCTCTTCCGTTAAAAGTGCAACTTTCCAATGCTCCTAGCAAGGTAGAAGCTCAGGCTATTGTCTACGAGGCTCTGGCAGCTAAGCTGGCGCAGGTACTTGTTATGCCGCCGGAGGAATTAAACCCCGAATCTAGCATTGCGGTGCTTGGTGTGGATTCGTTGGTGGCCATTGAAATCCGCAACTGGATTTCTCGTGAGGCACACTCCAATGTCCAGGTTCTGGAGTTGCTTTCGTCTGGCTCGCTGATGGCTTTGGCGGGAATTATTCTTAATAACTCGACGATCTCATTTTCACCTTCTTAGATGTATAGGAACGGCCCATTTTATCCAATATTGCATTTTATATACCAACCTCCAACATTCAATCTTGCTTCAAAACCGCACCCGCAATTAGCTTCTATTTAGCGTTAGTAAAATGGTTTCAGCAACAGATATGTATAAAGATACTCGCCTAGATCAGAGGAATCCGTTTTATAGGCGAATTATAAAAGAATCTCCTGGTTATAAAGCAGTTACTAGTACACACTACAGAGATGTCCTTGGCGGGATTACTCCATCCTTGGATTCCTCATTTATTGACTCAGAGCCTTATGCTTTGTGTGGGGCTCTGCTGCTCGTCGTTTGGCTGCTCTGCTCAGTCGGGTGGTATATTCGGTCTTGGTGCTTTGAGGACCACTGGCAAGGCAAATAGCGCTCAGGACTAGTGAAACTTTGACGACGACAATTGTTCTCCCATTTATTACAACTGATCAGCTGGATTAACAGTCTTTTTCTCAGACTGAAAGGTGAAGGATTTTTGAACTTCCAATGGCTTCACCATACCTCCTCTTCTTAAGCAACGAACTAGCTCCGTATTGAACAGTACCGAGCTGAGAGGTGGTATTTTACCACTAAAAGTTGGCTGATTCAGCGACTACTAGGCTTCCGCACAACCCAACCGGACCCGGACCCAACCGTCCGGGTCTAAAATCTCGACCTAGTGCTAGGTTCTAGGTTACTACCCTTAACCCGGACCTAGTATAAACCTAGGCTAGGGGTTTTGGGTCGGATGCTCCGACCCAAACTGGGTTCTGCCGAAGTCTAGTTGTTGGTCGATGGATGGCATAAAAACAGTCGCCGGGGGACATTTTCTTAAATTTGTCAGCATGTTTGTTTAGGAAGGGACTCACCATTTTCTTCCAACTTGTTTTGTTTTAGTAGCTGAACCTCATTAATCAAATTCGAACAACGATAATAACAAAATATAAAAGAATGTTCGAACGTATAAACACAGAATATAGGGCTCCAGAGGGGAGTCAGGAATCTAGTGACAGAAAATCCCTTTTGAATAAAATAGTAGTACTATGTATCTTAGGTTCTCCCAACTTCCAAATGTGACCTTAGACATACGTAGTATGTACATATTGTTACAATACATACCATTACACAGCAAATATACGCTGCCCAAGTGTTTCCGCTAAATACCGATATTTCTAACATGCGGCCTGCAAGGTTTGAATTTGATTTCTCATCAACGCAGAACCCGGAGACCAGTCGTCATTTTAGATTGGTCATCATATCCAGAGTATCCATGGATCTCGACATGGCGAATATAAATAGAGTGGCTCTGCTGGCTCTTGATTTCCTGGAATCCCAGATAACTTTGCGCTCCAACTTTTGGCAAGATAATCATACTACCCAATCAGCACCCTCAGACAGCCAATCATGCCTGCCCCTTCAGGAACAGCCATCGTTTTGATTGACCCTTACAACGACTTCCTTCATTCGGACGGGAAGCTTACCTCGGCGCTCAAAGATCTTGACGAGAAAAATACCATCAATCATCTCAAAGAGGTGGTTGCAAAAGCACGTCTCCACGGTGTTCCTATATACTATGGTTTGCATCAGCAGTGGACACCGGACCACTACAATGGATGGCAGCATATGACCCCCAGTCATATCCGCCAGCAAAAAGTGCACTTGTTCGAGGAGGGAAGTTTCGGCTCTCAGATCTACGAAGGTCTAGAGCCAGATCCAAAGAACGGTGATGTGGTTGTGAGCCGTCACTGGTGCAGCGAGTAAGGACCATGCATATTGAGTTCACCAGACAGGTTACATCAAGGATTGAAAAATTGACCATCTCGTATAGTTCGTTTTCGAATACCGATCTGGACTATCAATTGCGACAACGTGAGATCAAGAACTTAGTTTTTGCGGGTTTGACTGCCAACACATGTCTCGAGTCTACTGCACGCCATGCATACGAGCTGTAAGTAGCTACAGATGAGCGAGCAGTTTTTCGGAAATAACTGACTTAATTGGCTACTACTCTAGTGGTTACCAGGTGACAATGCTGTAAGGACTTCCTGTTTTTCATTCAAGTAAATCTTCCGGCTAACTGATACTTCGTCCCAACAGGAAAGATGCTACTGCTGGATGGTCGAAGGAGCTTACAGACGCGGCGACGGGTTTGATTTGGCCATTGTTTGCACAGGTTATGACAGTGAAGGAATGGGTGAATGCTCTTGATTCGAAGGATTTCTAGCTTAGTAGTCGGGAAACGGAGGAAACGAAGACGGAGCATGTGCGGAATGAGGCGTAGTACACTCCTGGTTACAGAAAATATAAAAAAAAATTGAAAAGGCGAAAACTTTGATTTCACAATGGAAGCCCAGGTGCTAGCCATAGAGCCAACCTGTGGATGGATACATACATGTAGGTATCACGACCGAGTTTTTTTTGGGGGGGGGGGGGGGGGGTGTAGCTCTTGGTAACATAAACTCACCTGACAACCTGACAATCTGAGCTCGTGACTAATCATACCCGTGGACATATGTAGGTGCCCAGGTCCACGCCCGGGGTGCACCTGCCCAGGTGGTTTTGATTTGTCATCATGCGACCACCTGGGCACATAGGCAGGACTTTGATTATTAATTGCTCAACCGCGGCAGGTGACTTCCCCCTGGCCACCTGTAAATTTTAACCTACAACCTTGAACTCCATGTATCAATAAACAGAATGCCAGCGAGGAACCCGAGAAAGGCGAAGGCGCGCCCCAAAAGCCCAATGCGTGGTGCGCAAAGCAAAAGACAACGTCTCATGTGCCCATCGGATGCACTTGAGAGTGACGATCAGGGTGATGATCGAGATGTCCAGCAAAAGCAAGCCCAAAATATTGATTCAGACAAAAATGAAGCAAACCGATCCCTGAATTGGGACGCGATAGTTGCCCATGTCGCTGAACAGCCGTATCCTTCCCAAATCCAACAATACAAAGAATGGAGAAGTACGTACTATTCTCTTTCGAAGCGAATCTCAGTGAATTTCCTTGAAAACTAAACCGCATACAGGAGCTGGTTCAAAGCGCGAGGACTACTGCTGCATCTGCCATGAGTCCGAACGTCTCGAGCATTGTCATACCTGCAAACTCGCATTCCATCAAGAGTGCTTACCCCCGGGCTGCGCACGTAATTCCTATAATCACCTTTTTTGCTCGATATGCGTCCGTCGAGGCTGGCACAAAGCACCTCCAGTACTTACCCCACCCGCTTCTCCTCAGCCTGCTCCCGCCCAAATTCATCATCCTCCCAGCCCTACAACCATGGGGACCAACTCGAATGCTGCGTCGATTCCTCATCTACTAGGTCCTGCACCAAGCCTAGAACTGCAACGAGAGGGACTTCGGACCCAATCCGCTCTTGGAGAATCCGAACCTAACGCAATTGATCTAAATTCAAGCCACGGCATAACTGATTTGGGGCCTGCTGTCCAGACCGCTGCAGAAAACCCTCAACCCACTGGACGCAAACGAAAATCGCGGTATAGCACGCAGCCCAGTGATGTGGATGCATCTCTTGCTGTCCAGACTGGTACAGATAGCCCTCAACCTGCTCAACGCCAACGGAAATCGCGGTATAGCTCGCTGTCCAGTGATGTGGATGCATCGCTTGGTGTTCTATATCGGGAACTCGAATCAATCGCATCGCTCCGAGCCCAAATCGAGGAGTTGCGTACCCAAAACACTCAATACGCCCAAACCATCAAAATTCACGAACAAGCCCAAGTCGCTCTGCGGAGAGATCTCGGGAAATTGCGAGAAAATGTCGCCAACTCTGAAAGTACTACCAAGGAAATCAGTGACCTTCGAGAAAGAAATGCAGCCTTAGAAGCCGAACTGCTGGCTTCAAAAGAGCAGACAGCTGCGGCGAAGGAACTAAAGGAAAGACTCGCTCAGTTGCTCAACACCTAAGCCTCAAAGTTTAGGTTCTCGTTTAGCCATTTCAAAGACCAAATTAGCTTTTCTTCTTTATGTGTGTGTAAATAACAAGCAAGGGCTTCATGTACAATAAGATGGGTGCCCTAACGAATGGGTGACGACCAATGAATGGCAATGAGCCATCCATACATATATGACCATGACTTCAGAAGGTCCACGGGCAGAAATTCAACCCATTGATCGCACCCCTAAACCCCAAAGATTCCAAAAACCTAAATATGTACGTATGGAGCTTATCAACCCGATGCCCATTTTAGACAGGTTACAATCGACGCTTGCTCTGGCTGGCATGTATTTCAGCGACAGCAGGGCCTCGGCGTCAGTGAGTTAGGAATTTTTGTAATTAATTATAGACACGATGATGTACCCGAAAAATAGCTTGAGGAAGGGGACTTCGTTAGCAAGGGTGATTTCTGACTTGGTAAAGACGGTCGTCTGCGTGTCAAGCATGTCGTGAGCCAACCCGTCTTGTATAATAGTTCTACGGGCATGGGGATTTGATATCTTGTCAGTTCATCGTACACTTTTTTCCACGGTCCCCTACTGCTCATGACCACTGGAGGTTGATGAGCTTCCCTCTATCCCATTTCTTCTTGTTGGTTTTGTCTGCGGCTTGATACTTGTTTTCTAACATCAATCCAGCCTTGATGGCTACAAGTCGCCAGCCATATAGCTATGACGAATGAAAGCTTCTTATGGTGTCTTGTGCCCAGAAAATTGTAAAGGACATGTATGAAGACATTTTTTGTAGGACGCTCTCAGCGTAGTATACTATTTCATGGCCATGAATAGAGCTTGCACTCTACTTACAGTTGCTCCATATGCTGCACTAACGTGCTTACTGCTTGCTAATGCAGTTTGTTATGCCTTCGTCTCTTTATGAATCCTTTATTGGTTTTCTGTTTGTTAGCCCTCTTTTTCTGGCCTGTTCTTAGTCTCTATGAAGCTATATAAATGGCTTCATGGCCGTAAGTGCTCACTATCTTTAAAAATCTGTTCCTCACTCCCTTTTGCTTTCACGCGTGAATTTTATCTACGTGTACTTATACCAACTACATTATCACGCTGGCTTTGGAAATTCATCTTGCCAAATGCTATACATACTCACATATCCCTTCTTTTGAACTCAGATACCTCTGAGATTATTTTCACATACCTCGGTTTTCTGTTTCATCAAGTGACATGACAATACTGGACAGATCTAGACATGTTGTAGGTATTCCGACTGGGCTGGGTAATTATGCTCTCTATAATGACCGCAGAAATTGCTCCCTGGAGGGTACTTCCAAGGTTCATCCATGGATGTCTTAGGTAAGTCGAAGGTATTGATGAACTAGCTTTGTATAAAGAGCGAATTTATCATTTGAGTATTGTAGACCGATGACTACTATGTAATGCTATAAGCGGCTTTACCTAGGAATCAGTGTTGGATTATCCCATTGATGCCTTGTTTGCTTGCAGATTGGGTGCTTGTTTGTTAGTTTCTTGGGGTATAAATACCCTGCTTTTTATAGTTTGAATAGATCATTCTTCTTTCTCTCTCCCTCGCCAGTTGCTAGAATAATCAGTCTTCAATATTGAGCACGAGCTTTGTTTTGGTATAGAAGCCCATCTGCTTATTGAAATGGACATCTGTACCTTTCCTACCGTCTTCCATTTTTCTCACTTTCTTACTTTTATCTTTCACCTTTCTTTCACTTTTCTATCTTACCATCTTTCTCATAATTCTCTTATTCACCACCAACCGAAATCTTGGATTTCCCAATCCTGAGACGAGCCTTCGTCTTCCAAGTGTGTATCGGATACCAATGAAATCCGAACCGTCGCTAACCCAATGGCCATTAGATCTATCCAGCTTATCTGATATCCTGCTGAATTCTTCGCTCGTGCGAACAAGGCGGCGGCTCGGATTTCTGGTAGTTACGGAGTGAGAAGGTGAGCTTTTCATGGGTGTGGATAACCGCAGAGGGAAACTCCCGTTTCCATCAACCCGTCATTGTTCTGGACGACGCCGAGGACCAAGGAATGGTTGCCACGTTAAGAGAGCAAGTCAGATTCCATCCCAAGATCTGCAGCAACGCCAACCCGACCAACACAAACGAAGTATGTCTCAAGGCCCCGGGCACTACCGACGCAGAATATACTGCAGCCATCGCCCGGGACGAAGAAGCATACACCGAACCCCACGTCGGTGTAGGCTTCGAATGGAGCAAGATCCGCAGCCTATATGACGAAGACGAATCCAACGAGGAAACCCCGGTTGAGGAAACTCCAACCAAGAAGACACCAGCCAAGCCCCGGTCAATAGAAAGAGCGCTCAAGGCAAGATTACCTTGCCGGTAAGAACAGACCTACGTAAGATCAATTCCCTTGGCAGATATGAAATTTATGGTGTCGGTAAGATCTTATACTCGGCCAACTGGAGGCAGGTAGCGAGCTCGGATATGCTACAGAAGACCAATCCAGATGATCGAACGCCAATTAGCACACAGCCTGCCAGACACAAGTCTTCCTGTTAATCTCCTCTGCGGCAGCGATGCAGAAACTATCATCTACACAAACCTCTAGGTCGCGTGGCACATCGGCGTTCACATCTTCTACGAGAACTGCCTCAACAAAGAGAGTGGAACTGGCGCTGTTATCGGCATGGATACGATACTGGAATACCTCAACAGAGGTCACGGTTGGGGCCTTTTTTCACTAATGCCACTGGGTCACTGACAGTCTCGCCGTTTTATAGCGGGCACCGAGTATTTCGAAGCGTCTGTCGCCGTGGTAAGTCACTAAGCATCCCTCATACCGAGTGACCCCCATTTTGCTAATATCCCTATCTATCTGTGGTAGCCTTTGTCCGGTTCCTAGTCTCTATGAAGCTATATACATGACTTTATGGCCGCAAGCGCTCTCTATCTTTAAAGATTTGCTGATCACTCCTTTTTGCCTCTACGCATAGATACTACCTCCGTGTATCAATGACACTATCATTATCACTTGGATAATCCAGGATTTCTAAGACTGTGTATACCCAAACATCCCCTCTTTCAAAGCCAGATATCTCTTATATTATTTTCATATATACCTTACTTATCTATTCAATCAAGTGACAAGATGCCTTACAATACTAGCCAGGGTCTAGAATCTGTTACAGGCATTATAGCTGAGGTGGGTAACTATGCCTTCCATGATAACCTCAGAGATTGCTCATTTTATATCCCAGGTAAACTGAAGACATTAATGAACTGAATCTATATATAAGGTTCGACCATTCATAGAGAGACCGATGACGAAGGTCAGGAAGGTATCTCAGATTGGGTTACGAGATTTGCATTGGCTATCTGCTCGTTTGATAGACATCCATGGATGTGCGCCTTCCCTATCCTCTTCCACCCTTCCTTTCTCGCAGTTTCCCATTTCCATCTCTCGCTCTTTCCCCTCTCCTTCTCTACACCACTTGCGTCACTTGCATCACTTTTATATCTGGCATCTCTTGCATCACTTTCATCGTACCTTTTCCCATTCTCCGTCTTTTTCTTTCCTCATTTCACTAACCTTGATATAGCAACCATTTGTTACCCAGCACTGAGACCGGCGTTTAAGTTTTACGTGTGTATCTCATATCAATGGATGGTGACCTGTGAATGACACTGACCGGGCAATCTATAGGCCAACGTCGGCGGACAACTTGAGGCCGGTAGTTCCCTCTTCATAGCTCCTCGTTTGATATTGCAACGAGATCACTAACGGTTTCGTCGTGCCCTAGCCGCCACCGACTACTTTGATGGTCGTATTACCGTTGTGAGTCACCAAGCGTCCCTGATACTGAGTGCCCCCCATTTTCTAATGTCCCTGCCTATCTGCGATAGCCTGGCACCCGCGCCAACATCCACAGCGTATCTGGCTTCATGCCAGCGATGACCGCCACCGCAACCTACGTGGAGAGTGAAAACACCGAGATTATTCTCGGTGAGCACAGCTGCTTCGAGTCGGCTGCGCAGATGATGTATGTCAAGGCAAACCTCGCTAGAGAAAGCATCAGAACGCGCGAAATTGCTAATGGTTTCTTTAAATAGGACGCAGGATCATGCAGTAAGCAACTACAACCCATCCTTCGAGTTGATCACGTATTTACATATCTGCAGCTCATTCATATTCATATCTCGGGAGCCTTGACTGTGACCAAAGAGGTGATCGACACAGCCCGTGAGGGAGGCAGGGGCAACCTCGGATGTATGTCTCTTTATGTTATACCATATCATCTGTATCAAGGCTCACACTGCTAACCTTCGGTATCTATAGTTGCGCGTTTTACGTTCAACGTAAGCTGAAACCTTCCACAAGCACAGTCTCGAGGTCCTATTGATCATAACGGCTGACTTGATTGATGGTTATAGAGCGGTGAAGAACATTACCAGTCTCTTAACGAGCGGATGTTCATCGGCGAAGGTCAGCTTTTTATGGGAACTGACAACCGACTCTATATCGAGTACGGTATTAGCGAGATTGTACCCGGCAACTAGAGCCGTCGGGCCCAACTTAAATCTTCCGGGATTCTTCGAGATAGAAATGCACACTTTCAAGGTTACCATCATTCCAATTGATTCTTCCATTTCTCAGAACCGTTTTTTTAGCTGAGATTCGAGTAACCCCAAGGGTTCATCCGACTCGGCCTAGTCATCACCACAACACGTGCTTCAACTTGATCGCATATATACATATCTATAGTTGATCGATATGCGCATTTGTGGTAATTTAATGATTACCGTGGATGACGTCCATACCGCCCTACAGGGTAGAAGGGGAGCTGTCAGCTGTATGTCTCTTTATATTATATCATTCGTGTCAAGGCTCACACCACTAACTTTCGGTATCTATAGCGGCGCGATTTACCTTCATGGTAAGATAAAAACATATATAAGAAAGGTCCTACCTATTCACAGAGCGGCTGACTTGTGGATTATCCTAGACCAACGATTGGCGGTACGCGGCGCTTACACTTGAGGACCGCATGTTCGTTGGTGAAGGGGATTGATCATGAGAGATGACAACCGTCTACATATTCAATATTTTGCTAACAAAAGCACCACTGATTATTAGAGCCATCCAGAAGGGAAGTGGTCGGGAAGTGAGCCCGACCAAGACACAGTTACCGCTAGTTCCCTCGTTCCTTTTACACAATTCATACCAGCTGTTAGCTGTTAACTTTTTGTTGGAGCGGATAACCGTTCCTACATTGAGTGTGGCGTTAGCCAGGTTGTACCCGGCTGTTAGAGCCGTCGGGCGTAACTAGCGAGATTCGAAATAGCAATGCACACTTACCATTATTTCAATTGATTCTTCTATCTCAGACCGTTTTTCAGCTGGGATTTGAGTAACCCCGACGTCAATCGGATTGGTGGAACTACCCACATTTGGCTTGCTGGTATATCATATATCAAGGTAAAAACAAATCCAGAAAGAATAAATCCGACCAAGGTCGCGAGAAGGTATGAGGACTAAATATTAATAATTGAGTCTAAGCTAACTGTTCTTAGGACACCCCGAAGCAAAAGGAAAAGTCCGGGGACCAAAAGGATGCTTCGGCCTCGAAGGCTCAAGAGTCCAAAAGGAGTGCTAGACCGCACCCCCACCCCTTTCCCCCCGCCAAAAAACAAAAATGGGCTCCAACCATGACCCGCTTCTCGGCCAAGAAAAGGAACTAATGAAGAACGGAAACCGGTCGGCTTTTGTTGCGTTGCCTAAGAGTAAAAACCATGCTGTCGATCTGAACAGCAGGACAAAAGAAGAGTGGTTCCAGAGGGGTCTGTTCGTCCGATTACTTTGTCATAGGCCGGCAGTACTGTCAGATGCCATGGACTATAGAGTCAGAACCACCTTCTTGAAAGATTGTAGAAGCTGAAGACTTTCGGCAAACCTTGGATTTGACGAGGCCCTCATGATATGACCTTTTGGTATTAATATATGTTAAGCTTCCTATGTCGATCACCTGCTAGTGGTAATTTCGACCACGCGATCTCTTGCCCAAAAATTGTCAATCTCAGGGGATACAAAAAAATATCAGTTGCAGGCGTGACATGGATGAACCATGGTCATTTATATAGAAAATGAAATGCCAGCTGGCACACTCAGCTAGGGCTAAGGATACTCCTGGGGAACCTACATATAGGCTTCGGCGAAAGATAGCCAATACAAAGAACTACACAGCACAACAGTAGTCGGTCGCGTATACAGCCACTGTCCATAACACCCTAGGACTTTAATAATCTAACCTAGAAGGTTGTCTACTAGTAAAGTTCAGTTCTGCCTAAACTTCCAAGGTCCCTGCAGGGCTGTCAACACGTGATGAAGTCATTGGCTGTCGTTGTCGTGCACGCGTCGATCTGGGGATATCGGACTAACTTTAAATTTGACAATTTATTAGTTTCATACATAAGTTAGAGGCAAGAGGCAAGACCTTTTATAAAATTTTCACCTTTCCCAACCTTGGAAGAACCTTGGAAGTGTCTCCCAAATTGACCACTGATTGGTTACTTTGGACTTCGGCTGCCGCACCCGCCCAGTGACGTGACCGCGCTGATAAGATCTTTGCCCAAAATATTCCAGGGTTCTGACCTTCACCCATTTTTTTCTCTTGCTGTACCAGTTGGTTTAGAGGACTCATGCAGTCAATTTTCTTGCTGCTGGGCCTCTTTGCCGACGCCATCTCTGCCAGCCCCTTGGAGCAACAGCCGTTGGGCCGTATCAGGCCCACGGACCCGCCTGCAGGGCTGGCGGAGGGTTTGCGCAAACCTTTACGCGGACGATTCTTGCATATAACAGGTGAGGGGACTATCCTTTACGTTCAGGTTTCTGTTGTGTAACCCCATGCTGACCATGCTGACCAACAGATTTCCATCCCGACGACCTCTACAAGCCCGGAACCTCGATCGATCGCTCGTGCCACCGTGGTAAGGGCCCCTCGGGGTATTTTGGAGCCGAAGGCACAGAATGCGATTCACCCCTATCACTGGTGAATGAGACATTTCGCTGGATCGAAGAAAATTTGAAGGATGAGATTGATTTTGTGATTTGGACCGGTGATTCTGTCCGACACGACAATGACGAAAAGCTCCCTCGCTCGGCAGATGAGATTATGGATTTGAATGCATTCATGTCTCAAAAATGGATTAGCGTTTTCGGCGAGGAGGTTCGTGAGACCTCGAATGCCGTGCCCATGATGTCGATCCCTGTGATCCCAACATTCGGTAACAACGATATCATGCCCCACAACATCTTCAACAAGGGTCCGAACAAGTGGACAAAGCGCTTTGCGGAGATATGGAGCCAGTTCATCCCAGAAGATCAGCGTCACACCTTTGTTGAGGGCGGTTGGTTCACCACAGAGGTCGTCCCCGGTCGGCTAGCGGTCATCAGCCTAAACACCATGTACTTCTTCGATTCCAACAGTGCGGTGGATGGATGCAAGGCCAAGTCGGAACCTGGATACGAGCACATGGAGTGGTTGAGGGTGCAGCTGAAAATCCTGCGGAGTCGCAACATGAAAGCCATCCTTATGGGTCATGTCCCCCCCGCCCGATCGAAGGGGAAGAAGAGCTGGGATGAGACATGCTGGCAAAAATATACCCTTTGGGTGCACCAGTACCGTGACGTTGTTGTCGGCAGCCTTTACGGCCATATGAATATCGACCACTTCATGCTCCAGGATAGCAACAAGGTCAACATTGATTCAAAGGCCGATGGGAAGGTGTCAATCAGCTCAAAAACCGACTACCTCCAGTCGCTCCGAAACCAATGGTCCTCGTTGCCATCTGCTCCGCCGGGCATTTTCGAAGAACTTGAATCCGCGTCTAATTTCGGAGATGTCTCGGAAGTTGAGCCGGCGAAGAAAGACAAGAGGGGCAAAAAGAAGGAAAAGAAGAAGCAAAAGTTCTTGGACAAAATTGGAGGCCCGTGGGCAGAACGCTACAGCGTATCGCTAGCAGCTCCCAGTTTGGTCCCGAACTTCTTCCCCAGCCTACGTGTGATCGACTACAATATCACGGGCCTGGACGATGTCGCACATGGGGTGGATATGTTCACACATGTGGTTGACGATACAGCCTTTGGACTTGATGATCCTGCGATTGATACATCGGGAGCCGGCGACGATTCTTTAATTTCCCCCGAAATTCAAAAGAAGAAGAAGAAGGGCAAGGACAAGAAAAAGAAACCCAAGTTCAAAGTCCCCGAGCCGCCATCGTCAACCGCTCCTCCCGGCCCCGCATACTCGAACCAGGCGTTCACGTTGCTTGGCTACACCCAATACTACTCAAACTTAACAAAACTCCACGAACAGATCGCGGCAGGCGATCGAGGTGACGATCCTCGTCTCGACTACGAGATTGAATACACCACAAGTGATGACGTGTATCAAATGAAAGACCTGACGGTGCTCAGCTTCTTCCAACTCGCATCCAGAATTGGCGAGGAAGTAGCCGAAGAAAAACAGACCGGCGACGTCAATAGCCAAGACGCCGATTGGTCTGCTGTCAGGAAAAAGAAGCCAGTGAACGATGTCTGGCAGGCTTTCTTGAGGCGTGCATTTGTTGGATTCCCAGTTGATGACCTGGATGAATAAGTCCATTTTGCTTTAGCATTTTTCTTTTATTTTTGGATACTTTTGCATGCACAATACATAGCTCGCATCTCTCGTGCTTGTGCTATCACACGGTGTTATTCTAGACTATGGCCATCGTTGGATATGGAAACATGGGATTGGAGTAAAAATTACAGACAGATCAAATCAAAAAACTAAATTACCAAATTGTACATTCATCTACAAGAGATTGTACGATTCTACAATGGACTTGTCTAATTGGGCGATCAGCAAGGGCATCATTCTGGCGGTGTAACAACTTGGATACTGTAACTTTGGGTGCACAACGTCAACTGCAGAACTACAGTACATGAATCATGTGTTATTCGTCTATATGCCTAAGGTATGGAGTACATCAGTAGATGTTGTACAATGAACACTACAAACTTCTCACTTCCATCACATCAGATAGGTGGATTCCCATCGCGACCACAATACCCCCAATACACACGACAATCCCAGCCACTGCCAGCGTGGCAGTCCGTGCCACCAAGGTTTAGATTAATGCCCAGGTACTCCGTACTTTCAAGAGTAATCTGGCCCGAGAACTTGGGCACCTATTTAGCTGGCTAAAATAATCCTATAATAAGTAAATTCCCAGCCAATCTGCGATGCTGCCTTAGTTATTTCTCGCCTTCAGCCGCTGCCACGTAGCAAGTCCGTCATTACCATGTAGTTAACAGGATCAAGTTGACATTGCACGCGAAACTCACCTGGGCAGACTAGTGTATGACAGCACAGCAGTCAATAGATTGTGCTAGAGTAGGATGAGTTGCCACTGGGTCGCAATTGCACAAGCCCTATGTTGTAGTAGACCTGGTTTATACAAATAGACCACGGCCTCCACTTGTAGCAGATCTGCAATCAATTTTGTACAATTCCATACAATTCTGCTCTAATTATTGTGGGACTCCAAGACAGACTAGTAACAATTACTATACAGTACTCCATACACATATCAACCCGATCTCCTCGTCATATCAGGGGAAAGCTCCACGCAGCTAGCATGACCTTGCATTCCTGCGAAAATCTTTCAATTTTCTAATTCTCTCTTCATTCATGGGCTTCAACTCCATAAGGCAGCCCTAACAACCTACAATAAAAATTATAACCCCCCAGCGCTCCTAGCTCGAGCCCCCCCGAGCTAGTATAGCTTCATACCCGAGACACCGTCCCCAATTCTTCCCCGCACAGACTTCGCTGGCATCCAAAATTGTCGCATTTCGCCCACTCTACCCCCTACCTTGCCGGCCGCACGATGCGTCAAGTCTACTTGCAACCCAGCCACGAGCTCCGTCACATCATTGTCTGCTCCTTGCGTTGTTAGCCGAATTCCCAGCGATACAGCGTGAATACGACATTCGGAACTCGCCCGTCGCTAGACCGAAACGGGCAATATTGATTTGATCGCGCGGACATCATTATTCCGCACTCTGTCTACTACAATTCGAACGTTATATACTAGGTTGTCGCAATTGGATTAATTAGATTTGGTACCCGCGCCAGGAACGAAAGCCATTGGTTGTGATATACTCCGCGGTCTGAACAATCGCCGCCCCCTCGGGTCCCGCTGAACCTTGCAGCTTGCGCGGATCTTGCTGCTCTTGGTTTCGGATATACTGTGTATCTCGCCTTTTCAATTCGGCGCGTCGCTGCAACAGTCTGAGCTTTCTGTGCGCCAAGGTCTTGATTCCGCAGGTCAATTGGTCCGCGGCTCGGGGATACGCGCGTGGTTGGAGCATGATTCAGTCGCTGCGTTTGGTTGTTATTTGAAATTTTGTTTGCGCACTTTTCGGTAAGCCTGGCTGTCTTTGCCTATTCCCTTGTCTGTTGAGGCGTCCTGGCTTCGCAATTGAGTTTTTTTTCGGTCAATTAGTCTTCTCCGAACCTCCACCCCGCCTGTTGCTTGAGACCAATGACCAACATGGCTGACTCTATCAACCCAGATTTCCCAATTTCCGGGTCGTGGGCTTTATGGATGGCCTCCTCCGAAGTGGACCAGAAGGCCCTGGGCAATTTCGCGGCCGTCATGGGCCTCGAAAACCCCCTGCTCTCGGCAATGCTATACAAAGTCCTCGGCGTCTCCGTGATGCTATCAAAAAAGCTTCTTAGAGCCCGCAAGCTGCGGCGGCTCGACACAACACGTGAAACAAGATCCCTCCAGCTGTACCATCACATCATATGGCTCTCCCGCGAAGGCCTACTAATACTGGAGGGCTACATCCTTCCCATGGTAGACAGGTTTGTCGAGCTAAAAGTGCTCGCCTACAAACTCCGCGCTTCCTTCTACCACATTTTTGTCCTATTCCACAATCGCCCAATCTTCACCCCCGACACCGACATGCCAACCCGCCTCAAACATGACTCCATATACGGCGCAGACGCCCTAACCGCCCTCGGCGTCTCAGACCCCTACAAGTCCAAAATGAATATGGCTTCAACTCCAACATCCAGGCCCCCAGGCCTACCAGTATTGCAACCAGTTCAGCCACCACAACCTGTCTCCTCCTTCCTCCTCCCCCCACTAGACTACACAGCAACAGCAACAGCCTGCTTCAACCATGCGGCAACCCTCTCCGATAAACTCCTACCAGGCTCACACCCTCTCCGTCTCTCTGTTAAGCTCGAGTACGCAGCTTATCTATACGACTGCCTTCAAGACCCCATCGCCTGCCGCCGTCTCGCAAAACAGGCCATCGCAGACGTCTACAATGCCCAAGAAGGCATGGACGACGAGAGCTTCGAAGATGCTGCAGAGATCGTCAGCGTGCTGGGCAAGATGGTCAAACGCGGCGGGAAGCCGGGTTCCAGTACCGGCACTCCGGGGAGCAGTGTCTCCCGCGGTGGTGGCTCACGCAGTCGCAGTAGTCGCTCGGCTAGTCATCTCGATATTAGTGTGCCGACTACTGTCTCGCCAGTGCCGGTAACGAAATCTACACCTGTTTCTGGAGATCGTGTGGGAGTGAGCCGGCCTGCTGTTCCTGATGCTTCTATGATGAATCCGATTTGATGCGAATAAGAACGTTCATGATTAAAGAAAACTGATGCTCCGATTTTGTCTCTTTTTTTGGCGTGTTACACTTCTATATGTGGGATGTATTGCTTGTTTTGGGTTTTGCTTCCACTAAGCATGTGTGTACATAGACATTATGCTTTTTTTCTTTGATATTTGCAGATATACGCTACACTTTGATGACTTTCATTCACTATGGACGAAGGAATGACATGTTTTGCACTCTATGCAGTTGATGATGCCGCGTTGTACAGTTTGCTGTAGAGTGGTGATGCATATCATCGCACTACCTGCATGCGGAATTCTAGAAGAAGCAAACAATAGATATTGCGGTTATTTCAGTGTTATAAGAAGCGGCATGGAGGTAGGATAGGCATCACATCTCCTGATTTCATTTTTATTTTGTCATGTCCGCTTCACATCTATCGCTGAGTCCGCGCTCGCTAGTAACGAGAATCTTCTATATCAAATATTCAATATGTCTATATACCATACCTCCGAAATCCCCCTCCCCCCAGCTTCCACCCGCTGGATGGTAGTCACTCAGGGCCGCAACCCTGGTGCAGCTGATGTCCAAAAGGTTGTCGTGGTCAATGTCTCCAACACCACAGGATGAGCCTCCACATCCCACTTTTCTTCTATATGTGGCACAGCTTTGAGGGGAGGACGAATATCGACGATGGAAACAGCCCACAATCACGGCTGATGTCCGGCCGAAACTCGCCCTAACCGACCTGGAGCAGCTCTACCGCCAGCTCTTGGATAAAGCACACACCGATGAGCAGTTGAGAAGCCAACGTTTTGCGACTAGCTCTACTTGCCTTATCGATGTCTCTCGTCGCTCTGCGGGTGGAGTAACTCAGATGCAACGATCTCCCCCACAGTCCAGTGCCAAATCGCAAAGACGACAGGCCCTTGCTCTGGATTGCGAGATGTTTGACTTACGAGTCCAAAATACTTGACAGGCTTCGACGCCTCTACCAGAAAGCAACTCCTGGGTTGGCTCGTGGGACCTGCTAAGTGCGATCTTGATGCTGTTGTATCCCCGCTGTGTCACAAACGTCCATTAGTGAGTCTCCCTTATGTTCCTTTCGTTTACGGTTCGCTAAAATTTTCAAGGATCTAGTCCAATCATACGTCCTATACCTACCATTAGGAACTTCATCCAAGATCACAGACTTACCTTGGAGGTACCCTGGGAATCTTGGGCCTGATCCTGGACATCAATATGACGAACACTACTATGACCAGTTCTACTATGGTCGGCCCACTCATCACCCTAAGCCTATGGGAATGTCGCCACCTAGCGACTCAAATCTGGGACAATTGAGAATAGGCGCGAGAGGAGAAAAATTGGACGTATCCGAGAGATGCCTTGTGCAAGCTCCGGCCGCGCTTTCCTCGTGTCGGTGGTACCGTGCACCTCCGAAACGCGTTCGATCCATACACCTTTCCCTTCAACACCATCCTCTATGCGACTTCCGAACCCCGATCGCCGATCTTGAGTTCCTTTCTCTGTCGTCCCCGCTCAATGAACTCGGCAATGGGGTCAAAGAGCCTGACCTGTGTTAGGCTGCGACCTCCTCCTCTGAATAACCGACATCCGAATCTGCATCTCAGCTCTTGTCACCTATCAGATAACGCGCACGCCTGGTTAGAGGCGTGCCGGTGGCCTGGTCCAAGTTGTGGGTTAAACCTGGAGTTGACTCGATAAATATACAATTCCAACTTTTCCGCAGAACCTCAATCGGCGCATCAGAGTGCAGTGGCCAGTACTCTCACTCAACCAAAGGCTTTCTTTGAAAGAACTCCCGGAACTTCTCATCGCTGTGTGATCACAGGAGATATGATGCAACGACAAGTTCTACAGAATGGAATTCCAGCTGCATTCAGCCACCGATCCATCGCGACCTAAGATATACGACCGTTTTGCTTCATGATGTTCGAAGAACAAAATGCCCGCTCGTTCGCATGGTCGGCCTCGAGAAATATCACACCACGCGCAGATGCCACAACAAAGCCAATCGCAACGTGCACATATGAATATGGACTGTTGGGAAAATCTCAACTCTCTGCTGATATCCCTACCTGCAACAACCTGAGACTGAGGATCCAGTTACCAATGATGATCCTAGTTTCCGTGTTTTCCAGAGGGAGTTGCAGATGTGTCACGCAGTAGTTTATGAAAGTGAATGAAAGGGGGAACACAATCGACATCAAACAAATGTAGTAGGGATTGTCTTATGGTTGTAAAGACTGAAACGGGATCACAGCAGTTGTCGACGATTTAGGCAGTGATGACTATCATGACAGTGATTGGTTTCCTTTTCTTTGCTTGGCTTGCCAATTCGCTACATGGGCTGGTTGTTACGATCTGATAATGTATTAGTATCACTATTTCATATTCAAAGGTTCATTACAAAGAACACCCTGCTGCGTTTTTAGATATTCTTTTCAGGTGTCCTTTTAGGTCTTTGTGTGTATACGAAGGCAACAAAAAGAATAAACCGAATAGAAAATTCTTTTATGTATAGCAGGGATCCATATGTATATCCCCTCCTTTGTCATAGGATCTTTGCTCTTCAGCTACTTGCGGTTGCGATCCCTGTGTTCCTCTGTCCCGGGGGCTGCAGCTAGAGATACGAGGAAGCAAATGGAAACCATTCAGAGGGACATGATACCTAGGTACATATGTAGATTATAAAGTATAAAATCAAGTTTTCCAACGGAGTACTGAAAAGCAAATACTACCAAGTTGATTGACTTCCCTAAGTTACTCCGAAGTGTCTAACATTTAGCCTTGAAGCTGTCAAGACTCGAATGTTCACTGGTTGCCTCGAGCGATGGACTTGGCTCACATCATATTATGCAGGAGACGGATAAACAATCTGAAAATACTAGTAATAGGGCTGAAATAACCAGGGAACTTCGAGTGCAAAATCCTGTTTTTCCTCCTTTTGGGGTGATCGACACGTTGCCAGGGACAGTGATGCCTCAGGCCAACATTCCTGGAAGGGAAAACTTCTGTCAAACTGCAACGTGGGAGAACATTCTTCGACGTTTTGACATAGAGAGGGGGGATTTGTACACTTCAGATCAAACGGCACCTTTGAAACAAGTCCAGGTCATTTGTTGCACTACTAAACGGTGATCGACGTCATACTGGGGGCTCTGTGCGAAAAAAAAAGAAGGGACCAAGAAAGCGCATCCACCTACCCCGAGTGCTCCTTATCGTGTTTCATTCGACTATTAACCCGTCGAATCCACCTGAACCCCATTTGTGATTTCCTCTCTTGTCCTCTCCTCCAGCTCCTATACATCTTCCCGGCCACCCTTCAGACAGACCAGCCCCCCTGCGCGGTCGGCGCGTTACTCTGCAGAAAAGCTGCATCCCACGGAACGTTGCATTGAGACGCGAAACACCCGAGCTTGTCCCCTCCATGGCCTTGAAATTGTCATTCTTGTTTCTCCTCGATTCTCGTGAAGCCTGAACCTCAACCCACCCTTTCGAAGCTCCTGGACGGAGTCAGGGAGCAGGGACGATGCGGTCTGGCTTGGATAAACCTGGCGCTCTCCCACTCCTCATCCTCATTGCATTTTCTCTTCTCACATTGGTGCCATCACTACCAAATCTCTACCACTCGAAGTTTGCGGACTTCAGCTTCTACACTGGTGCAGCTCGCCGTATGTCCCCCTTTCCGCCAATGTCAAGCTCTTCGAGTCAACTAACCAAGTCGACTGTCCAGAGGTCCCTCTCCTTCAAGACAGTGTCACCGAATTAGCACCGATAGCACCCCCGCTCAACGAGCCTCGCAAATCATGGGTTCTTGCAGCATCACATCGATCGCGAGGAAATCGCCCACCGCTTACCGCGCGGGTTGCAAATGCCGCTGCGGTGCCGGCCAGCGAAACGATCGCCGTCGCAAATAAAAGTCGACTTTCATCGTCAACCCGCGAATCCTCATTTTCATTCAGTCGCAGAGCCCGCGCAGTCAGAACCTACTTCATCCAGCAATTAGACGACTACCCATTCCTCACATCATTCTCCAACCGCAGCCTAGTTGCAGACTCGATGCACCCATATCCTACCATCACCATCAACGAATCTCTCCCAACCTCCGACAACGAATCTCTTCCAAGCATCCCGTCATATAATAACTCCTCCGACAGCATTCAGGAGCCACTGGTGCCCTTTCCTGCCTCTCTCCGCGATATGTGTCTGCAGGCCTGCCATGTCGCCATTGATTTTGGAAAACGCGTCGGACTCCACGGGGCAAATTATGCGAAATCGATCTTCCTCCCGGAGCAGATCACAGGGGCTCCTATATCATTAATACCCAACCCCACAATTCCCAACGCCGCCTCAGATCAAGACCCATTCACCTCATCCGAGCAAGCACCGCCCCAACAAAAAGTTGGCGCTGAGGATTCCACCGATGCTGCCGCTGGTCGGCACTCGCAGGAGCTCCATGGAAGCTGCATGGCCGTTGTGATCGGTCTTGTTGCAGGCATCATGTGGTTCTAGGGCAGGCTGTTTTTGGTACTGCTACTTCATGTCTGTCCGCTGATATGTGTGATGACCTTTCTTGTTTTATTTGGTTTGGCGTATTGTATTAGATACATGTAGACAATTGGGCCGGTGGCTCTGGCTTAGCCTCCTGTTGGAATCTAATAATCATATTTACCATTTCGTGTTTCGGCACAAATCCATATCATTAGTCTTCCGCCAATAGGTCCGTTGTTGCATCGAGGCATGAAGTCTAAGCCCTTATGATATACCCGTCGACATCTGCGCGTGTTTCTGCGCATATTTCTTGCTAAATAGTTCTTCTTACCAAAGAGGGCTTCTTCGGGTCTCAGGGGCCACACGGACTGATATTTCAGCTGTGGCAGCTTGTTCAACCGCTCTGGCTATTTGCATCGTCTCGCTGGAGTTAAGACTGAATGAGAGGTGTCAAATATCAAGTCAAGCAAACAAATCAGGGATACTTTAGATAGATTCCTCATTCAAACTCGCCCATCCTAACGATGAGATAAACGCATTTTCAGTGATCCCACATGTGCATGTATACCTAAAGAAATGAGCCTGCGGCTTTTTACAATAACTTTCTACTGGTAAATGTTTGTAATGATACTCATCTCCGTCTATGAATTGAGGGAGCCCCGAGTTATTACCTACAGAAGCCAAAGAACAGAGAAGTTTAACGACAGTATCTTTACCCTTCCACTCAGCCCAATCTAAGGCGGCTCGCCCTGAGGAATCGCTGATATGAGGTAACGCTCCCTGCTCGACCTATAGCATGACTGAATTGAGCAATCGATCTACAGTCGAACGATGGAAGGGGGGAAGGTACACGTGTATCCCAGGCGGCTTTGTGCGTGCGTTTTAACTGATTATCTTCTCTCAATTTTGGACATCTTTCAGTTCAATCTTGTTGCAAAGGAGCCTATGTCGAAATATGGCCTACTATTCTCTACAATGTATTTATTTAAGTTCAATTGTATCATGATATCATACTTGATCATGTTCTGATATTGGACATAATCTCGCCTGCATAAGACACGCTTGTAGGAATTAACGGAGTTTCCATCTTAAATCCTTGACAATTTTCAAAAACTTTATTCCTAATATGTTCCATCATCTTCTAATCGCTGATCAAAAAGTATTCAAAGAAACAACCTGATGCATTTGATACTTGATGACATTGGGCTAACCCGATGTGGTAAGGGATGGGTTCTAGTGGGGATTTTCGTGGACGTTGGTTGGTCCTTCCGAACTATAGTTTACCAGAGATGCACTTGAACAACTAACCCCATTATCACCGAGAGGAAACATATAAAAGGGACCATTGCATCTGGTCGAAATTGAAAAGGCATCAATCAAGACTCCTTTGCTCTCTTCATTCCTACAGTTTTTTAATCTTCCAACACCTTCACCCAAAATGTCCAACAATCAACAAGTCCTCCGCTCTGAGGTCGTTCTCGAGAAGTACGGCAAGGCCCTTGCCGGAAAGACAGGTAAGCAAGATCCCCATAATCTGCCAAAGATAAAAGCGCTGACAATACTCCCTTCTTTCCGTAGTGCTCATCACCGGCGTTTCCGACGACTCCATTGCAGGCGAACTCGCGCTCCAGCTTTCCGCCGCCGATCCAAAGCTACTGATCCTGAGTGCTCGTGCAGAATCAAAGATTGCAGGAATTCAAGAAAAGATCAAGTCAGCCAAGCCAAATGTGGAGACTCGCTTTCTCAACATGGACCTGAGTGACTTGAACGCCGTGCGAAATGCTGCCGGAGACCTGAAAGATGTGCCTCACATCGACCACCTTGTCTGCGTGGCCGGCGTAATGTTCCCGCCTTACAGCAAGACAAAGGATGGATTCGAGAGCCAACTGGGAGTCAATTATCTGGCGAACTTCTTGCTCGTGAAGTTGCTCCTGCCGAAGATCCGTGCTGCGGGACCGGATTCGTCTGTGGTGATCATGGCCTCGTCCATGGTCAAACAAGGGAAGATGCACTTTGATGACTTTAACTTCAGTGTGAGTTCGACTTACAGGTTATAATTAACAATACTGACATTCTACTTTCTTGCAGGATGGCCGAACCTATGACGCTATGGTTGCATATGGCCAGTCGAACGCTGCGAGAGTCATGTTTGTCAAGAGACTGGGTGAGAAGTTGAAGACTGAGAAAATCCGTGCTTTCAGTGTTGACCCTGGTGGTATGCCTTCCTTCTTCTTACTATTCAGTGGATTTAGCTGACCACATTTAGCTGTTCAAACTGGTCTGCAACGACACTGCCCTCCCGAATTTTTGGACCAGGTCGAAGAATGGAACAAGGCCGGAGGTACGTGCTGCCCTCTTTCTAAATGTCTTATTTCTCACTAACCGATTCTATCTAGCCATGGTTGACTTGGATGGAAAGCCAATCGAAATTCCTCCATGGACTAACACCTCAGAAGGAGCCGCTACCGTCATCACAGGAATGGTTGACCCTACCATCGCAGGTAATTACAACACCTCACCAAGCCCGTATTTTCAGTATATTTTACTAATCATGTCTGCATCCAGGATACAATGGCTCATACCTCAGCCAGAACGCAGTTGCAGACCATGAATTGCACACCCATATCCACGATGAAAGCAACTGGGCTAAGCTTTGGGAGCTGAGCGAGGAACTGACGAAGGAGAAGTTCTCACTTTAAGGGATTCGAAGTTGAAAAGACTTTGATGTGTTTATTATTTATGGATTGAAATATCACTTGATCTTTAACATGATGGGCTTTTCCCCTCGCCGTTTCCTCCAGTAATTAGAAGATGTGATTATGTCGGGACAATCCTTTAGCATCCAGCTCCATTTCCTAATCAATGTCTCCGAGGCCTCATAAGCAGATGGATCCCAAGCTTCGCCCCAAACACGAAGCCCGACTTCTTGCGATGAAGCACAAACTCCATAAAAATCGCCGCATAGTTCATCTTCGTCAATTACATCTGTCCTAGCCAAAAGGGCCTCCCGTAGAGATAAGATTGGAATCAAATCGATCCAGGGGTGGTGGATGATTTGCTTCTGTTTCTGAGATGGACATAGGCTTGCTGGGAGATGTACCGCCGACGTCGATGGGCCGACGAGGTTGAACTGCGATGCGAGGTCTTCGGTGAGAAGGTCAAGTGTGAGGCCCATGAGATCGGCGTTGATTAACATAGCTCGAAGTACATTGTACTGGGTGATGCAAAAAGTGGGGTTGCGTGAGAGAACTGGGTTCTCTATCATATGCAAGGCTTTTGCGCTGAGTTGCTTCATATACTCATCGCGCTGGGCAGGGTTTAAGTAACAGAAATATTCTTCGTTCTGGCGGGGAGGGGGCGATAATTGAGTAACTTGAAGGCTTGTTGCTTCTTCTGTAAATGCATTCTTTTTGGGGATGTTTGAATCCTCAATATAGACAACCCATTTCCTATCTGGCGTTTTGTGTTGATTTTTATACTCCACAGCCTTCCTTTTTCCTATATAAAACGTCAGTCTAAACAGGTCATAGTTAAGGGGCTGGGTGTGGCGAATAGGAGCGGCACCTACTGCTCGCACGTTGATTGAGGCGATTTTGGATTCGTCTTCGGGCCACGGCATCTAACGTGTCTATCGAATTATCTGAAGTTGTTTCCATTGTTGTTTGCTCGAGAGCTGGCGATTGTTCAACTTGGACAGCCATCTTAAAAAGCTGTAGTTTGGGGAACGAAGTGGTAAGACGGGAGAAAGTTTGGACATGAGGTTCAAATGCCAAGTTCGGAGTTAGCGTTAGGTCCGAATAAACGCGACAACGTAACTGGACAACACACTACAAATATTTTAGAGCTAACCTACTCTTCTTTTATTTTTGATCAAGCTGAGTAGTATTGACACGATATTAATTATCCTACTAACACTCCGTGCAACTCGGAAACGCGTCCGAGGATCTGTTAACCCCTTATAACATATTTCACGAGCGAGCGGCGCACCCAAGCGAGTGGCGCACGTTATTTATGACGTAACATGGTGGCCAAATACCCAAAAGAATAATCCATAGTCTCCTATGTCTTGGAGACTATGACTGTCTATGGAAATGCTTCTGTCACATCATACAGAATCTTCGGCCTCGATCTCATTTATTGCTGGATAGAATATGAAGCTTTCCAAACTCCGACAAATACTCACCTGTGGCCGTAAGAAAGATCCAGATTCCGGAACAAAAAGCAAGCCACATACGGATACTGGAGGTGATAATAGAGATGATGAATCTTATGGCACTTTGAGCGAAGTCGCTGCTCCGCGCCCGGTTGAGCCCACAACCGAAGAGGAGGAGGCACGGCGGGAATCCCTCGATAGGAACATCTCTGAGGCACATTCGCACCCTCATCTCAGCAATAATTGAATGAGTTGGACACAGGTATCTGGTCCGCGTACCCTTCGTATTTGTTGTTCATGACTGTGGGTGACGTTACTAACATACCAAAGAACGAATTCAAGAAGTGCAACATGAGTTAATGGAGAAATGAGTAACTGTGTTCCCAGGAATCAATAGCTCCAAAGGTACCCATTTTAGCCTCAAAGACTGCATAAGAGAATACTACCCCTCGTTAATCAGGAATTCCGAGGGAATTTGGATTGAGGCTCTTTCCAGGGTTGTTTAGGCATGGCGGGCCCCGCTAGCTTAATTATGAGCTTAATTATACTCGTGCTTACCACACCTCGCACCGTAGAAGGACTTGTGCGTATATGCAGAATGATAAATCCCATGCATATCAGGGATCAAAGACCGCCTGAGAATCGTGGGACCGTAGGCCCACGACCAGCAATGCATATATTTGGCTTCGAGGCGGGGTGTGCAGCTTACTTGATTGGACGATGTGCTCAAGCATCTCTTAATATCTTAGAGAATTCTCTTGGTGAAGTGGCTGTTTTGAGGTCCGTATTTAAAATAGGAAGTTGACAACAAACACCAGGTTGTTCAATTGATTACTTCGACTGAATGCTTCTACTTTGTCCAGACAGAGGCATCATAACCATCCATCAAGGATGTATACTCGGGACCGGCCGCAGCCCATCCTTTAATACCCCCCGAGAGAACCAAGCTCTTGATCTCTTTGTCGTTTTGATCTTCGAGATAATCGGCAAACCATCCTGATGCACGGGTACCTCGACCCGCAGATGACCCTAAATGAAGATCAGTATTCACGTTCCGAAGAAGTTGTTCTCATATTTATTCAGCAAAGCTCACCACAATACCAAATCACATATTTCACGCTGCTGTTCGATACAAGAGAATATAATGTTGGGATCGTGGGGTATAAACTCTGGGCTGGCAAGTTCAAAGACCCTTTGATCGTTCCTCCCTTTTAACATATCAGCGCATGAAGATATCACTTTTTTCCAAACACTCCATACCTCATAGTCCGTGCGACGCAAGTCAACGAGTACAAAGTCTTTTCCTGCTTGTTTACCCTCTCGAATCCATTGCAATAGCTCCTCTCGCGATATGGAGGGTGCGGCGCCCTTTGGTGCGGGATATGCTGCATGCCATGGAAGTTCGGCTGACATTTTGGTTATGACAAATGCTGAAATATTGAGAAGTGAGAAATTCCACACTCCTCAGACTGTTGACTCTGCAGATTGAATACCCCGAATACCCCGCCCTCCGATGAGGAATGTCACTCCTGCATTCTGATTGGTTGGGTGTCAGTTTGATTCTTCAGCCAATCAGCGCCCGGCAGTGACATATCATTCGCATTTAGTTTCTATACAAATATTCACGGACAGATCTGGACGAATACAAAATTCTATGCTACAATCGCTGCATTACAACCATTATCCGTTCGACAATTTGTTGATCGAACAGCCTTGATCATTCACCATGGCATCAATACAACCACAGACACGTTTACATCCCTCATCCAGTCCTCCCAACAGCCAAACAATGACATGCGACATCGAAAAGCAAAGGGAGACCCCTTCTCCAGATGAGCCACTGAAGAAACAATCAATGTTCTCAAGTCTCGGTCTTCTTGACCGGTTCTTGGCAATATGGATTTTTCTTGCCATGGCAATTGGAATCATCCTAGGCAACTTTGTCCCAAGCACAGGTCCTGCTCTGCAAAGGGGAAAATTCGTGGGAGTCTCTGTTCCCATTGGTACGTGGAAGCAAGTCGCAACTGTTTTGCTGTCGTTACTAACTGAATATGTACTTCCAGCTGTGGGTCTTCTCGTCATGATGTACCCTATTCTGTGCAAGATTCGGTTTGAATCCCTGCATCATGTTTTCCGAGCGAAGGATATTTGGATCCAGATGGCCTTTAGTATTCTTCTAAATTGGATTATTGCCCCTTTTCTTATGGTTCGTCATTCCAACACTTCCATGCCACAGAGTTCATCACTGACTTGGTTTCATTAGCTGGCCTTGGCTTGGGCATTTTTGCCCGACGAGCCAGAATTGCGACAGGGACTAATCATTGTTGGATTAGCACGATGCATTGCTATGGTAAGCCTAAACTCAGCAAACGGCCCTCGGAAACGAGACTATGCTAACAGCCGGTTTCTATCAGGTACTGGTTTGGACAGGACTAGCCGGAGGCGATAACGAATATTGCGCCATCCTCGTCGCTCTCAACTCAGTGCTGCAGATGGTTCTTTTCGCTCCAATGGGGGTGTTCTTCATCAGCGTCATTAGCGGCGATCCAGTCACATTCGAATATTCAACAGCCGCCAAAAGCGTTGCAGTGTTTCTGGGAATACCTCTAGGAGCCGCAATCGTCACGCGTTTCGCGCTCCGACGAATCTCTGCAAAATGGTACGATGAGACCTTTTTGAAATGGCTTAGCCCATGGTCTCTCATCGGCCTGCTGTTCACAATCCTTGTGTTATTCGCCTCACAAGGCCGCCATGTGGTCCACCAAATTGTCTCCGTGGTCCGAGTCGCGGCACCGCTCATCGTTTATTTCCTGATAATCTTCTTTGCGACCCTCCTTGTCGCATACAAATTGGGATTCGGCTACAAGTTGGCCACTGTGCAGAGCTTTACCGCTGCCAGCAACAATTTTGAATTGGCCATTGCTGTTGCGGTGGCGATGTTTGGCGCGGATAGCAACCAGGCTCTTGCTGCGACTGTAGGGCCTCTTATAGAGGTTCCTGTGCTGTTGGGTCTGGTATATGCTGTCAAATTGATAGGTAGACGAGTTGGCTGGAAGGATTAAGAACAAAATGTAAACTTTAGACTATCAATAATTATTTGAAGAAACAGCCCTATATATCAATTTATAAGCGCGGTCCTCGGGGTGTTTATTCAGTGACATGCCACTTTCGTTTTATTGGACGACTCTAACTTCCCCTCCGCTTCTTTCTCCACTTACTTTCCACTTAATACCATAATGTTTGAATATATTCAACTTCATCTCTCTCCCCCACGGCACGTATTAGACACGACTCTTTGTTCAGCTTAAACTATGCCTCGCACAAAAACCAAGACCAAGGTCGGTTAGCTAGGAACCATCCCATCGTTTTATTTATTTTGATTTCATCCCACTCACGTTCTACTCGTGTAGAGCGAAGATCTCGCCCGAATTCGCAATAATCAACGGCGATCAAGGGCAAACCGACTAGCATATATTCGCGACTTGGAGGAAAAGGCCAGAAAATACGACGAGTTAATTGCATCAACACCTCCACCGTCACTATCAGCATTTGACAAATTGCAATCCGAAAATGCCTGGATGAGAGGGTTACTGGCTACCCTAGACATCAACTTCAACTCTTTGGATGCACCCCCCGGGAGCATTCACGACAGGGAACCCAATATGGTATCGGCGGTATGCTCACCAGGTTGGATAATCATAGTCTTCAGATTCTGACTTATCTCAAGATCACCGGCTCGTTCGCTAGTAGCGTGGAGACTCGCCAATCTTGGGAAAATTCAACTCCCTTGTCATTTTGGGAGCAATGGGATTCGTCGGGTCTATCGCCTGACATGGGGCTAGATTTCAATATCCCGTTACTGTCGAACGACGTCAATAATTTGGCCAATTTGAATCCTCCCTTGGCAGAACCGACAGACCCGAACCTTGAGGCTAGCCAGTACCAGGGGAGCCAGGAGGGCACTGAAGCAAGTGTTCCGAGCAACAGGAATACGACACTATGCTCTTTAGCATGTCAATGGGTGATCCAATGCAATACCAAAGGTGTGGAATTGGATGTCTTGTACTTCCGGATGGAGCGTGGTTTCAAGCAAGGTAACAGTCCGCTGGAGGGATGCAGGGTGGATAATCAAGTTCTTCTTAAAGTTTTGACGGAAATATCTTGACATATTTTGGTTTGATTTCAACTGATATGCGTATTTTCTCCTACTGCTTGACAGCATAAATTTGAAATGAGCCTGGATGAAAACCGGTCAGTGTTGGTTCAACAATCGAAAAGCGTTGAAGACTCACCAGCCCATTCATTGAAGTCATACTCTAGCAAGTCTCCTTCAGTAGCATTCTTTCCTGGTGCTCCTCCACAGCAACCAGCTGGTTCCGACTGGTCGCTCGTCTCTCCAGCATCCATTTGCCCTTGAACCAAATCCTTGTAAACATTGATGTCACTCTGGGTGTCGACGATAACGATATCTAAAAGGAAAATGATGGTTAGCGAAACGTGCAAAGCATAATCACACTTAGACAGATACCTTTGAATCCCGCCTCGGAGAGGTACTTCTCATACTCGCGAACCTGGCTTGCCCCTGCGATGCACCCAACGTAGAAAGATAGACTGTTGACCACTTCTTGTGGGAGCTCCCTTCGAGTCAGAATATCACTGATGGCAAGACGACCTCCAGGTTGCAGCAAGCGGAACATCTCGTTGAACGCAAGATGCTTGTCAACTGTAGGAACAAGGTTTACCACGCAGTTGCTGATGATGCAGTCGGCGGTGGCGTCTGGCAGAGGTATAGATGTGATCGAGGCTTCAATGAAGGATGCGTTAGAAGCACCCGCTTTCTCCGCATTTTTGCGAGCGAGTTCAAGCATGCTCTATGTGTGTCATTTGTGTTAGCTTGGGTATCTCAAATCGTCGGTAAAAAATCAGAGTCTCACCTTCGTCATGTCCACACCAATGGCTTTCCCTTTGGGGCCGACTTTCTTGGCGGCCAGCAGAACGTCGATGCCACCACCACTTCCCAGATCAATCACTGTCTCGCCCTAGAACAAAAAGTTAAGCAGTCGCACGGTGGGATCCATTGGCGGTAACACTCACCTCTCGCAGGTTGGCAAGGGCTAAGGGATTTCCACAGCTCACTCCGAGGTTTGCAGCCTGGGGAATTGAGCTGAGGTCTGCAGCCTCGTAGCCGAATGCTTGGGCAATATTTTGCTCGGCTGTCTTCTCCTCGCTGGTGGAAGCGCGATCAGCCAAGTCGCCATAACGATCTTGGACACGATCATAGATTGGGTTTGAACTCATATTGTGACTCAGAATGATGAAACAGGAAAATATGTAGTTCTCAACGGTAGAAGGGTGGAAGATTTGTGTCTAAATTTGTCGCGCGATGAGCATCCCGCAGATATAGCAAAAGTAGCATGTCACCACATTTGTATGAATGTTCCAATCATTACGTGCCCACAATAATAATACCGACCCTATGCCATAATAGCGCGAGATTTTGGAACATTTCATTGGCTCTCACTGTGTCTGGCATGTCACTGCATTCGACGAATGCTGGTGCGAGTCCCGACCTTGCAAGACCTCCAACTTTACATATTATTAAGGTCAAATATATTATGTTATGTATATTAAAAAAAAAAAGATGAGCACCACTTTTTACACCCAGCTCCTTCTCGAAGGTTGGGACCGCCACCCCCTTCCTAGGTCGGATACTAATGTGCCGATCAATTACCCTGTGGGTGTAGGAGAGCGCGTCTCTATAACGCGGGTTTGGGAACAGGGAAGGGTACCCTGCCCGCACCAGAGGCTATATCAAAGCCCCCCCCCCCCCCCTATCACACTGAGCTAGCCGGGGTGGAACTGCTGGTGGGAGTATATTTACCTTCTTCATAAGGGACCTATTTCCCGATTGGGAAGTCACCTATATGTAGTCAACCCAGTGCAGCCAGAGTTCGATTCCCCTTTATTAATTTCATTCTAATTTCTTGTGCCTCGGCTTCTAACCACCACATTTGTATTTGGAAGCTAAGCATTATATGCAATAAACTAACACTCAAACGAATTGACCCTATACTAAGTAGTACTCCATTCTATCATAGCTCAAGTGGACCCACAAATCTGGGGGTATTTCATTGGTTCCCACTATTTCTGGCGTGTCACTGCCGGAAGACCTGACCAATGGACTGCCTACAATGTTGTATGTAGGTATACGTAGAACCTATAGATCGAAACACTTCATAATTGTCTTGAATGATTATGTCTCTTAGACTTGCTGCTACGCTAGAAATATTGAGAATCTGGTACCGATCCCTTTCAATCTCATGCCAAGCGAAGTTGATCAACCAACCCCTTGCTTCTAGGGCCTTCAAAGGTTTATTTTACCATTGACCTTACGAAGCCTTCGTTGTGTCTAATACCAAGTCTTAATTGCGATTAAGCACCCCCATGATCAACGAAAACCACAGATACGTACATATCTAATCGAGTAATTTAGAAGAAAGGAGATCCCATTCAGGGAAACTGCTACATACATTTGAATTAAGAAAAGCTAGGGACCTCGGTCCCAGATCAGATTCCATCCAACTACTCCCCTTGACTATCCAGGTCAAATGAAAGGCTTTCCAGCCAACCGAAGGTCATCCTACGCCCAGTAGTTTTACCATTGTCTGCCCAGCCATGGGAAAACCGCTGGAATGGGATGTCTAGGCTCAGTCTATCATAGATTCGGAGCCACACATTCCGGCAGAAGGTTATCTCATTATCCGTGATCACTGAAGAGGATACATATTGCAGCCTGATCATTGCCAACGCATCTCTGCAACGTTCCATGTGGCGTTTGAGTCTAGGTACCTGTTCGCACCTTTCCTGGTAATATCGAAGAAGGTGATCAACCTGCCGCACATCATTCTCCACGGTAGTCATCGACCTATCAATCGCGGCTGTGGGAGATCCACAATGCTGGGTTCCGTTAATTAGATAGGTGATCCTCATGGCCGCAATCAAAATAAGGCCAGCAGCGTAGAGGTAGTCTAGCTGCTCGCACTTAGCATGGTCATCATTCTCCTTTTTGTAAGAAATAGAGAGAGTTTTAATAATGTCCTGGGCGGCGGTAAGACGTTTGATAGCGCCATGGTACACCAGAGCGAGAAGAAGAGACGAGTTCACTGAGTCCATGTCCTTGCCGGGCACATGAGGAGCCATTTGGAAGGTCATAGGTACAAAACAAAGAAAGGGCGATACTGGCGAAGCCGGAAGTAAGTGTATCACATGAGTAACAAGGCACATGCGACGAATAATCAGGTCTTCCTCCATGGCCAAATCGATAGTAGACTCCTTCCATCACAGATATTTGGGCAGACCATTCTTCCAGCTGGACAGATTTTGATTCAGTTCCTGGAAACCACGCAGGTCCATGATCGAAAGCCACTTGATCGGGCATTCCATACGAGTAGTGCCTCCAGCTTCTACCCGCTGCACCCAACTAATTGGGAAGCTCTGCGAGACACAGACATATTGTCTAGCAGGTCTAATGGGGCTCGGGAACGGCCGATGCGCTGCCTAAGCTTAGGCGCCACATCGCAACATTCTTCATAATCCCGTAGAAGAAAATGTGACTAGGCAGCGCCTATTGAACGTAAGGTCATAGGGCTCGCCCTTGAGGCTTTGTATCAGAAGCGAGATAAAATGAGAGAAACGGATCTTGTTGTCGGAGACCAAGTCAACTAAGGATAAAGTTTAGATTAGTATGGATATCCACAAGTTATCAGATCCGACGCAGCCATAGACAAGGGGAATAGCCACCTAACTCTCGATGTCCAAAGGCAGTCTTTTCGTCCACCCAAGGGTCCTTCTGCAGCCTGAAACTGCAGAACCAGCGGGGCGATGATTTGCTGTGAACCTCTTAAATGGGACATCCACGCCGAGTCTATTGTAGACTCGGTGCCGAACCACAGGCTCGAACCGAATATTAATATCCATCACTAGTCCATTGGAGTGAACGGATTGCAGCCTGGTTTGATCCAGCACGCCACGGCAGCGTTCAATTCTTCGCTGCAGCTTTGGGGCTTGTTGGCAACTTTCTTGATAAGTGCGCAACAAGATGTCAATATTCTCTGCACCATGCGGAGATGATATCGGCCAGCACGGCTTGAACCCAAGATCACAGGAACATCCAAGCCAAGTCGGTGTCGCCAGACTTCCTGGGAGAAATGATATCGTTGTCTGTAATCATCCCATCGGATGACATAGACTGGAGCCTAATGAGCTCCTCACTGACGGTTTTGACGGACCTGTGCATCGTGGCAGTAACCACAATGCCGAGTCGTTCCCTGATCGACTCGAGAGAAGGATTCTGGTCGTAGAATTACTTGAGCTGCTCACGCTTGGAGCAGCTATTCAAGTTGAAATGGCAACCAAGGCGGCCCTAGCAATAATCAGGTGAGTCTCAAAAGTCCGAGTGGTTGTAAGAGGGGCTTCTATGCCTCGCATGAAGGGAAAACTGACCACAGAAGTGAGAGTGGAGTGATGCCAGTCTCAAGATCCGAAGGTCCCTTACCATTCTTCTATGGCGATTCGCAAGACATATGAGAACTGGAGACGCGGGCAGCAATTGTAGCATTTTCGAAGCCAGAAAAAAGCGGCTGGGGAGTATGTGAAGACGAGAAGTTATGAGGTGGCTCTCTGTGAGATGGTTGATGTTGGTCCCTCATTGTCTTTAGAGTCACCAAGAAAGAGAAAGCACACAGTGAGGCATTGACAAGTTGCTCCTAACCAGTTGGAAATTGATGGTCTGGACGGTTTGGGGATAGAAATTGAGAGTGCTCCCTATATGATGAGAAAGCCATCCAAGAAGAGAGCCTTGGAAGTAATATCAATCAATATAAAAAGAAAAAAAAAGGAGGAGGCCCCCCCAGACCCACACCCACCTCCGTTGGGACCGCACACCCCCTTCGAAGTTGGACCCGGCTAGGATGCCCAATCGGGGGACTACCATCTATATACCTTGTTCAACCTTACGGGTAGCAGGAACCTTAAGCTACCCTGGGGTCGCGAAGCCCAAGATAACTTGAAGGTATACACACCCAGTATCCCAGGAGGTATATAGACTACAGAGCCCCCACCCACTGAGCTAACCGGGGTGGGCCTGAAGGTTAATAGGACATCTCTATTGTGACCTATATAGGACCATTTCCTAATTAGGACATATACCAGTTGAAATGGCGAGAGTTCGACTCCCCACACAGGATCACTTTTTATTTTACGCTGCTTTGCTATCCATGGCCACATATTCTGTGTCTAGGCAGTCTCATGCCTCTTGTATCTCCTGCTCAATGGGCTTCTAACGAAAAGCCTTGATCAGCCAATTACAACTTAAACTTCCACGATCAAGCGCAACCATGAATCAGATACCACATATTTATGTATCAAAATAATCATTTAGAAAGGGGTTTCATTTGTAAGGACACACAAGGCTAAATAACTCAGTACAGAAAGTTAAAATCCTAGAAACTACTACCCGTGTAAACATCAAAGATGATCCTAAACCTCACTGTCCGTATCTACAGGGAGGCTTTCCAGCCAGGCGAGAGTCTTTCGGCGGCCCGCAGCTCCAGTACTACTGGAGGAACCCCGTTGGGGGAACCTCGCAAACGGTACATCAAGGCCGAGTCGGTCATAAATCCTGTGCCAGATGACAGGCTCAAGCCTGATATCACTGTCCATGACAACTCCATCCACCGACACAGACTGCAGGTTGATGAGGTCGATAGTAGCACGTGAACGTTGAATTCGCCGTTCGAGCTTTGGGGCTTGCTCCGAACTTTCCTGGTAAATACGCAACAAGTTATCGATTTGCCTCAGCTCCTCTATCATGGTCGTGACGGTCTTTGCCGTGCTGACAGCGGTGGATATACCTCGCGGGGTACCGTTCATGACAAACGGAACACTCCGGGCAGCAATCAAAATGAGGGCGGCAGCATAGAGGTATTCAAGCTGCTCACCCTTAGCAGTCTCATTTGCCGCTTTGTAAAAGGATGCATAGAGAGTTTTGACAATCTCTTGGGCGGCGATCAGACATTTGACAGCGCCGTAATACACCATGCCGAGGACAGGAGACGCATCCACCAAATCGATGTCCCTGCTAGTGATATGAGGAGTTATTTCACAAGCGCACGTTTGGGAAAGTCGCAGGGTCAAAATGAAGAAAGGTCGGTATTGACGAAGTCGAAAATACACAAATTGCAAATGAGCCAGGACGCACATGCGACGAACAAGAGGATCCTTCTTCATGGTAAAGTCGATGCCGAGGCCTTTCCATTCCAGGCATTTAGGCAGACCATTGTTCCAACTCGAGAGTTTTTCATTCAGTTCCTGGAAGCCGTGCAGGTCCACAATAGAAAGCCATTTGATCGGACATTCCATGCGTGTCACACGTAGATCATTTTCAACGGTGATCAAATCGTCGGTGTACTTAAGAAGGGAAGCACAAGCAATGAAAAAAGAAGATGCCGTGTGACATCGCTCCGAGGATTGCACACCAGATACACGGATGTTCTCATCAATATGCGACTGCATCGGCATGGGTGACTCACAAAAGGTGTCAAGGGATTGATCAACAACGCCAAACTGGAGAGTGAGAGACAGTTTCTTCGTCCAGAGACACTGCCATATCAGCCGAACCTGCTGCAACGAATCTTCATCCACGGCGAGACTTCCACCGTGCATAGTTTGCATCCGAAGAGATTGCGCTCTACCGATAGCCAGAGATAAGATGTCCCAAGCCATTCGCAGGTGGCCGACCAGATGGAGATAGTGGATCTGGAGGATTTGGTGGTGGAAAGATTGAAGCGAAGGTCGAGATTTGAAGGGGTCAGCCATGTTAGATAGAGCTGCATCGTACCATTTGCGGGCTTCCCAGAGGCCCTTTTCACGAGTGAGTTGGCAGGCGATTGCAATACAAAGCCCGAAGGTTGGGTCAATGACTGTGGGCCCGACCTTCCCATGATTCACGGCCAGGGCGAAAGAAACTTCGAGTTGGTCGAGATTAAGGATGGGCAGGGTAGGAGCCTGCTTCGCAACGAAAATACGCCAAAGTTTTTTGGGGACGTCGGAGCTGAACGGCTGGCTGCCAGAAGCAGAACGCCTATGAGCCGGGGCGATGATATTGTTGAGGTCCGACGACCGGGTGCCAGAAGCAGCACGCTGGGGAGCCGGGGTGATGATATTGTTGAGGTCCGACGACTGGGTGCCAGAAGCAGCACGCTTGGGGGCCGGGGTGATTATGTTGCTAGAGTTCGACGGCTGGGTGCCAGAAGCAGCACGCTTTGGAGATGGGGCAACGGTGTCATTAGACTGGCTGCCAGAAGCAGGACGTTTCTTGGACGCCGGCTCCGTGGAAGGCGACGCGACAGTGTCGTTGGATTGCGACGACTGGCTGCCAGAAACAACACGCCTCTTGGGCGTAGGCTTTGGGATGAAAGGCCACGACGACGACATGGTGTCATCGGATAAATCAATAAGTTCCAGAGGTGGTGTGGATAAAGATGAAGAACGAGAGGGGAAAGGAGGAGGATGGGTTGATGAAGGAGAGAGAGGGGGAAGAGGAGGGGGATGGGGTGGTGAAGGAGACAGAGAGGTGACATAGTTTTGTTTACGGGTTGTTGTTTTTGAGGGTGTTCCTGGAGTGTGCGAGGAAGGCACGCGTGGAGAGGTGGGCTTGGGTCGCACCTTCCTTTTTGAGATTGGAGTTTCTCTTTTGACACCTGGACTGTCTGCGCTGATATTGGCAATCTCTCCATCTGGGTCTAAAAGCTCCGCAAACTTCCTACGGTTTGAAGGACTCAGCTTCGAGTCAGTCGCTATGGCTGCAAGAAGCTGGTTGCAGAGGAAGCCGATGCGTGAGTCTTTCTCGTCCAAGCCATAGACATCAGGATGAAGTATGATTCTTTTCAAGCGACGGAGGAACAGGTCATTGTGATCGGATGTTGGAGGCGCCGATGCACTTGACAGACACTCTTCAACGCATATGATACGCTCTTGCATCTTCTTCTCCTCGGCGCTCATCAATGGGCCATATAAGAAGTTCTCAAAGCGACTGAGAAGAGCACGAGAGCACCGGCCACCCTTTTCCAGCTTGGCTGTTGCAACTGCCATTAGATCATCTTCTTCACGCCACTCGTCATTCAATGGAGTAGCACTCGATCCAGCAATCATGGGTTCAGTGGTTGGGCGTTCAGTCTTAGCTTTCATAAGTAGCTTCACGATGTTGCGCAGAGTCACTGCTGTAAGATTGCGATGCCTCATTCTCTGAACATTGATTTCGGTAGTCAAGTTGCACCGGAGCTCCGTTTCATCCTGAGGCAGAGTAGGAGATATACTACGCGGTGGAGGAGCCATTCTGCTTCCACTGGGAATACCGGTGCCAAATGGTATGGCTTGACCCGGTTCCAACGCAGATTTCGTAGTAGCACTTCCAGAGCCAAGCTCTGATATCTTGCGGCGTTTCGCAGGAGGCTGCTGGGGTATCTGCGTCTTCCGGGCATGGCTGAAATCATTTTGGATTGGTAGTCCAACCACATCCTTGACAGGTTTGGTTCGTTCAGGAGAACTGCCTGCGGCTCTTGGTTTTTTGTCACCTGTTTTGGGTAAAGCAGATCCATTATTGAACATTGGCCCTGAGAATGGAGCACCAGTCTTCTTGATGATTCTGTCCTCGGCACTTTTGTTCTCGGTACTAGATGATATAAAATTAGCCATTTTGGCTCGGCCAGGCTGATATCGCGGATAAACGTACACTGGCAAGGCCGCAGAAGGATATGAGCATTCAGCTTCAAAGCCCATGCTGTGACAGGTCTGGCAGACTATGTAAATAGTCAGTCATCAATGCACTTGAAATCCTCGTTGCCATATCAAGTCAAGTGTACTTACCTGGTCTAGCACGGTCACAGCGCCTGTGTCTTGCCCTATATTTCACGCAAGGAATTCCCAGCGGGTGGGTTGACTGTGCTGAAGAAGTGGTTGACAATGGAGCCGATGGTGGCTGTGAAATGCCGGTGCCATTCGCCATTGGCGTTTGGTCAGCCATTGCCAGGTTCAGTTCCCGAATCAATTGAGTGAAGAATTAGATCTATGAATGTAACAGTGTTAGTCTGTGTTGCTTGGACTTGGGATGATAGAGTTGGCCTAGCTGAGTTGACTGTAGCTTGATAAAGACCGCACAGTCCCCCATAAACCAGCAACAGAGAGCGATTTTCTTTTTAAAATCACTCACCAATATCAAAGACTGAACTTCTTGAAATGATCAAGTGGAACTGAACAGGATGAACATGTTCGTTGTTGGTTGGTTCGCGAAGTACATATGGTTCACGGTGAAGTGAGAACAACCATCTGCACCATGCCATGCGCAAGATGTTACACCAGCACCATATATCGGATTTGAAAGCCGCTTACCGAAGAATTCAATAAATGTTGAACTGAAATGATTCACTGAGGGATAATTGATGAAAACGCGTAGAGGCGCGTGGCAGAATCGTGAGGGTCACAATGGCAGATGGTTGTGGAACTCAGATCACGAGGAGAAATTCAAGACGAAAGAACAGTTCAAGATCCAGGCGAACCTCGCCGCATCAAATCAAATGCCCCGAATGAAATGCCGCATCTTCTTGCGTAGTGACGATGATACCTGAATAGGGCTACTACGAGTAGGGGTTAAGGGTGCTTTGTTGCCTTACCGCCTAGCCATATCTACTACTATGCTCGTAATGCCCTCAGTAATAACCGGGTGATACTATCTACAAGTACAAAAGGAACTTACAAACGTGTGCATGTGAGTTCTAATTTTCTAATCATCAGTTCACAAGAATAGTCGGCCGCCTATGCGGCCTTGTGTAGTATTTTTGGTAGATATTTTCTCCCCTATTGGCGTTGTAGCTAGAGTACAGGCAGTAAGAGGCTTAATTTGTGAATGGGCTGCTCCATGTATAACCTTTGAATTAGATAAAAGGGAGAAAAATGACTGAGCTGTGGCGAATCCCGCAAGTATTGAGGCATTTGTACGAAATAGCCAGGTGAGGTGGATCTAGATAGCAAAACGAATTAGAAGTATAGATTAAGTATGTAATTGACACATTACGACGCCCGTAAGGAACAGGGACTACATATATTGTACAATGATGGGGCACCTGGGTACATCTTAGGTGGATCTGCCATCATCCACCTGACGGTCAAAGATAGATCAAATACATGTAGAAGTATACCCCCTTGGAGAATGTGTGGGGCAGCTAAGTCCTGCCAGCAGGACTGGAGAAACAACTATGCAGAGATAATGCAACAAGCGCCATGTGCATTACTATGTCGGTGTCACGATGTCGATGCCTCCATATAGGAGGATCCCCTCGGTGTGCAATGCGCGTTTCCCGCCAGTAGACCATGGCAATTGGTACAGTTGGGCATATAATGCTCATGCAAAATAAAATATCAGGACTGTGTTTTCTCCGCTTCGTCTACCGATCGCTCGAGTTCTTGCTCTGTCCATCGATGGAACAATTTGCGCGCGTCGGAGAGATTGGCCTCTTTGGGCAACCCGTTGTGAACTGACTGGACGTGGAGGACTGGAACATCAAACTCGTAAACAGCCTTCCAAGATTTGTTCCCAGGTTCCATAATGTCCGCTTCGACGTATTCAAAGGAGCGCCGTTTCTGGAGCTGAATCACAGTGTTTTTGGCGGTATCGCACAAGCCACAGCCCGCGCGTGTAAACAGCGTCAAGCGGGCTGGACTGAGAAGGGCGCGCGTAGGAAACATGGAGAGACAATATCAATTATGCAAAGAATGAATTCAACCACGGGGTTTCGAGATGGCCGGTGCCGTGACGCGAATGCGGTCAGAGAGTTCTCCGCGATGGAACATTCGAGCTTCCCCGCTAAACCCTGTTAGGCAACCTACGCCATTCTCTCCAGAACACTTTACAATCTTCTCTCTCGACTCAGTCCCGTCAATCCCTTATAATTCTCTTGCTATACATCATGGCAGGCAAGTGCGTCCACAAAGCGTGTGGAAAGACCTTCACCGACCCGGAAGAAGACTGCGTGTATCATCCGGGTCCCCCAGTGTTCCACGAGGGGCAGAAAGGTAAGTACCTTGGTGTTCAAGCTATGCCAGATCTGTGTCCCTTGAGTCAACCAAGGGTTCACGGTGGACCATTGCGGCAGCGCAATGTGACACCTGATCTTGTCTCTAGCTTCTGCTACGTTTCTACCCCGCTAACTTCTCAGGCTGGAAATGCTGCAAGCCCCGCGTCTTGACCTTTGAGGAATTCCTCGCCATCCCGCCATGCACAACCGGCAAACATTCGACTGTCGACGACACGCCCGCGCCCGAGCCCCCCAAGGCTGAGGAAGTCATTTCTCCTCCTACACCGACTGAGCAGAAGAAGTCCGAGCGGCTACCCATCTCCGCTACACCCACTATTGCAACTGCGGCGCCACCTGCGAAGCCAGTCATCGAGGAGCCTGAGTCTGACGATCCCGATGCGGAGATCCCGGCCAACGCAACATGCCGTCGGAGGGGCTGCGGCGCGTCCTATACCGGGTCGACTGCTCGCAATGAGGAGAAGTGCGTCCACCACCCGGGCCAGCCGGTCTTCCACGAGGGCAGCAAGGGGTGGTCCTGCTGCAAACGCCGAGTACTCGAGTTCGATGAGTTCCTGAAGATCCCCGGCTGCACAGAGAAGACGAGGCACATGTTTGTTGGCAAGGCCAAGCCCGCGGGCGAGGAGAAGGTGGACACAGTCAGGTGCGTATACGACAAGACAGGCGGACCTGCTCTGCTATTCTGTTTTGAAAACAACAAACTGACATGCTTTCGCATTCTACAGAAACGATTTCTACCAGACTCCCACCGCCGTCAACGTCTCCCTCTACTTTAAGAAGATTGACAAGCAACGGGCCAAGGTTGAGTTTACTACCAACTCGATTATCTTCGACCTTCCTACCACAGACAACAAACGCTACCAGGATACATATACTCTCTTTGCGCCCATTGACCCGGAGAAGTCAACTTTCCGCGTGCTGGGTACCAAGCTAGATTTGAGCCTGATCAAGGCTGATGGTACTAGCTGGCCGGTGTTGCGCAGTGATGACAAGTGGACTGGACAGCGCATCCAGATTGGCAATGCTGGACATGCATGATTGGGGACATGTAAAAACTTACACGATAGAAAAATTCAACAGTTATGACGGTGATGACAATTAAGATCTTGCCTCCAGCAGTACATGTAGCTGACATTCGGTTGTGGCATATATATATATCCATGGATGTAGCTTAAGGCGCTCGGCATGCCGACATCAACGATATATCTTGGCAAGAGAAACCCGAACATTATAGGTTTTGTCTTGACGAGATACGGCATCGCAAGAGCTCATAAACCTAGCGAGGCTTCTGAGGCTCTTGTTAAGATGAGTTGTATGGAATGTACAACATTTACACCGTGCCAATTACCAATTGAAAATCGCGAGATATCCAATGCTACAATCGTTGCAACCTCTGATCAAATTTGAAGATCAAAGCAAGCAGAAACAACTCAGAACACATAAAAGTGACTGAAAAAATGGTATGTGACGCCCTCTCCACAGCTAGCACCCATGGGGCTTCCCGAAGGATACCCTAGCATAGCCATAAAGTGATTGGGAAAAAGAGAGACGCCTTTACTCTCCAGGGCCGGGAACGGAAGAAAACCCATGATGGCCGAAACCATAGGATAACCCTCAGCAAGCCACATTGTGGAGCCCCGTTGAAATTTACATTAAGTTATGTAAACCTCTACTGATGATGGAGAGAAAAGAAAAAAAGAGTAAAGGCGCGGGCGAGCAGGTCCTATTTATGTGTCTGGAAGTCGATATACGCTAGAGCTGATTGGGTTTCGGTGAAAGTATTTTTCCATTTCGTTGACTAATATTGAATTTTATGACTAATTTCGCTTTTTTTTGTTGAGGGATTTCGTGGGATTGGGTAAGTAGGGCTAATGTGAGGGCTTAATCAAGGCATGTGACCACCGACCCTCTTTGACTTGCAAGGTTGTCTTGCATGTGATAATCCCGTGACTTGGAAAAACAAAAGCAATGTACATACGGTCAAGATACTTTAAGGCTACTTCGCCACCAAATCGCAATTGAAACAAAGAATACGACATTAAGAAATCGTTCTACAGGTATACAACCAATAGGCTCGTATCTCAAAAAAACCAAAACTTAATACATCCCTGTACTAGTAGTGGCGGTGGAAAGGGACATACTTACCCTGGGCCCCAGCAAATCATCGCATCTTCCAATCACGGGTCGGGAGCACGAGACCTCCCACGATGTCTCATTAACCTCCCCGCCATCGATAGCGTCTTCCAACTCTTCGCCCCTGAATCTTTTGTACCTTCGCCATAATACAAAATTCGCCTTTCCACATTGTGCTCTACTTCTAGAATTTATCTCCATTCGCACATTGCGCTAGCAGCCTGGCCTTGTGCAACTGCCTAAATCTTGAATTCGAGGACCTCGTCGCTGATATAGGGGCGCTGTCTCTCAACCAGTTGTGGACTAACTAAATTGCACAAAATCCTCCGGACACACAAACCAACTTGCGTCCATACCCCTTTTTCCGCCTCCTCTCCACTCAACTCCAACATGGGCTCGACAGGGACCCAGATGGCCACGCCAGAATTCCGATACATTCCCCTATCATACAGCCATGCAGACTCCCAGGCATCTGCTCTCAGGCTAATCCTGACCCTTAACCCCGACTGGGAGGGTCCTGGGAACAACATTGAGTTCGTGCGGTTCACCGACGGCATCACCAACACCGTGTGTCTATCTTTCCTAATGTCGCATTCCACAAGACCAGCAATAAGGTCGTCAGAATCCAATTGAGACTAACAGTTCCCTAGCTCTTGAAAATTATCAACCTGAAACCCGGCCTGACGGAGGAACAAATAGACAATGAGGCAGTACTGATGAGAGCGTACGGAAATGGCACAGAGATCCTCATAGATCGCGAAAGTACGAGCAAAATCCCCACTTCTCAAACAAAAAAAAAGCCCCTCCGCGCCTCCCTTGCCCATTGCGACATATGCTGAAGTAGATCAATTATTCTTAGGAGAGACAAAGTCCCACGCACTCCTAGCCAGCCGCGGCCTGGCCCCGCCCCTCCTCGCTCGATTCAAAAACGGCCTGCTCTACCGCTTCATCCGTGGCAGGCCCTGCGGCCACCAGGATCTAGTTTCCCCGCCCATCTGGCGCGGTGTCGCCCGCCGCCTGGCGCAGTGGCACGCCGTCCTGCCTAGTAGCGGAGCTGCGCCTGCCAAGGATGCCTCCGTGACCGGGATCGCGGACTCCCAGGACGATGAGATCACCGTAATCCAGCCCCGGCGTGCAGGCCCATCTATGTGGGCTGTGCTGCAGAAGTGGGTGTTGGCTTTGCCAGTCACCACGCCTGAGCAGCGTGCTCGCCGGTTGAGTTTGCAAGCAGAGCTGCAGTGGGTTTTGGATATTCTGGATGATGGGAAGGGGATTGGTGAAGACGGGGTATGTGGCTCCTGGCTTGATCCGCTGGAAAGGGGGATTGTGTTGTTGAATATATGGCTAATCTCCGGGTTTATAGCTAGTCTTCTCGCACTGCGATCTGCTCTGTGCCAATGTCATTGTTCTTCCGAGCGAGAACGGCGTTCCAACCCCTGAAGACGGTATCGCGCCTGTCAACTTCATCGATTATGAATATGCCGTCCCCGCGCCCGCGGCCTTCGATATCTCGAACCACCTTGCTGAGTGGGGTGGCTACGACTGCGATTACAACATGATGCCGACAAAGTCTGTGCGCCGTCAGTTCCTTACTGAGTACACGAAGAGCTACTGTGAACAACGCGGTCTTGACGCTTCGTCCCAGGCTGAGATTGTCGACCGGCTGTACGAGGATGTTGACCGCTTCCGTGGCATTCCTGGTCTCTACTGGTGAGTTCAGCGAACACAATTGGGAAAACAGCGTAATGGCCGTACCATGCTAACAATATCTCCCAGGGGCGTTTGGGCACTCATCCAAGCGCAAATCTCCCAGATCGATTTCGACTATGCCAACTACGCTGAGACGCGTCTCGGCGAGTACTACGCGTGGAAGCGCGAGGTAGACGGAAGCCGCAAGCAAGCTGGCGAGGAGATGCCGCTGCGCGAGTCTCGCTGGGCGTCCGAGGCGTAAAGCCATTCGGAGTTCTCCCTTTCGGATTCCAATCCTCTCCTACTCCTATGAAATGACGCCAATCAATCCTTCGGGATTTCATTTTTCCAAACACTACGTCAGCGCTATCAATTCCCCATGATCCTGACAAGATCCCACCTACGCCTTTACCTCATTCTTGCAATTGCAAGAAAATTGCAAGAAACGCTCAACTTGGCACTCCAGAAATTCAACAATACCCTCGGAGTTAGCTAACGCCGAAACCGAATCTAACCGATGAAAACAAATCAAAAGTTGTGGTCTTGGACGACCACAGACGAGGTTGAACTGACAAGTCCAACCCAAGAAAAAATAGAAAGAAAGATAAAAGAGGGACACTCTACTCCGATTGCAATGTAGGGTCGGAGCAAAAGTCTTGGTATCTGTTGATATAGATAGTAGTTTTCTCTCTTTGCATTGTGATGACCTTTTTTCCTTGTGGTCTTGTGTGTTGTCTTTCAACAACGTCATAGCTGGGGTGTTTTAAGGTTAATATAGTTCCTTTTTTTTTCCTAATTTTTATTATCTTTTCCTTTTTTTTTTGAAGAAACTTATCTTGAAGGCAAAAGTACGCTTATTCCCAATGTTGTACCTACATCTAGTCTTCGGGGGATGCTGTGAGCTTGGACCACAACGAAATTCCTTAGACTCGACGCCAATATCTCGAAGATGAGGTCGGTCCCAACTAGTAGCAGTGTAAATATTGAGTGGTTATTACACCAATAGACACGATGCTTACATTTTCGATCAAAGTTAATTATGAAAATACGAAAAATCGAAGTTGCAGAAAGAGTTCTTGAGAAATATATTTCCAAACTTTCACTACATATATGCACCACCAACACACTATTTAGTACCACCATGCTTTTGATATTTCAGTGACTCAATGCAACCATTCGCTAACCCATTTCTGAACCCAATCAAGCATACTCCCTACCCACTGAATATCCCTAAACTTCCCACTAGCGGCAAATTCAACAGAACCTGTTGGATGAGAGCTTTTAAGGAACTTTGATCCTGGAAAGATGAATCCAACGTTGTTCGCACACAGCTTAAACCGCGTCCATAGCTCAGAAGTGTCGAACCTTGCTTTTCAAGGGGATTGGGCTACGCTAAGCGGCCGAGAATCTGTAAGACCATAGAAATGGCGTATAGAGAAAAGGAATAACTGTCTGTAGGCTGCCTAGAATCCGTATTCTCTTTGACCCTACTTTTGAATATAATCGTTTTTTAAAATTTGAACTTGATATTTTAAGTCGCGAGGATAGACGTAGCAGTTATATATAGACTCCCTTATGGTGCCCTTAAATTTCTCCCATGCGGTTCTACTCTACTCCAAAGTTTTCCGCCGAGAATAAGGTCAATATTCCTCAGTGCCAGCAATACCCTAAGTGGTATATCTTTTTTCCTGTAAACTCTGAATATAACCCAACTTTACTACAATATAACCTCTCTCTACGTTTAGTGGCCATGTTAGAACGTAGGGTTTTTGATGGGGTTGCGACCGAGCGAGCGGAACGGGCACACATCACCCTTGACAGGACCACTCACAAGAAGCAAATGTCCGAGAAAATGGAGTCAGGTGGGAAATTTAAATAATCTTATACTAGTAGTCAAGGTATTGAGCAAAGAACACTTGTAAAATGAGTGTTGAGAAATTACCCTGAGAAAAGCACATTTATTTATTTGATTTTCCAGACGCACATGAATTTTCACTTACACAACATTCTGTGTAGTACAATCGATGCATCGCTTAATGACTTTGCATCGCTTAATGACTTTGCATCGCTTAATGACTTTGCATCGCTTAATGACTTTGCATCGCTTAATGATTTTCGAACGTAGCGCTCTCCGACGATGGGGATGCTGATATGCAGGAATTGATTGACATTTTGACAAATCCATAACAATCCCTTGTTTCACGGGATTTCAGTATGCGATAAAGCTGATGGGAAAATGGTTCAATGCCATTGTTTCCCCCAATGTTGAGAACAACACCCCCAGGCTCTAATTATGCATGACTTTCAATGCCACGCCAGAAACTCATAAAGGTCACGGTTTTAATAATTCAGCTATGCTTGTGATTGAACTTGATGCGGGAATTTCGGCATTGCGTAAATACATGATTATGCGGACCTGCCTGGTCACTGATTCGCAACGCTGACAGGCTAGTTGGGTGGGTTCACCGGTGCATCCTGGCGGCTTCAAGTACAATAATGATCGCCTGGCTGTCCGTACCCAACCAAGGCGGATATCCGCAATGACGACAATGATAATGACCTATTATCGTTATCGTACGATATACTGCAGCCTGCATCCCACCCAATGGAGGATATTTGAACCCTTCTTCGGTAATTAGTTGCAATAGCGTTCTACTTGGTCCGGTTGGGACCAACACTAATGGCTTGATGGAATAAAACATAAATTTAGGGCTTCGCCTAACCTTTCTAAGTAGAAAAGGTTGATTTATGTATTTTGTAAGTTTATTCCGCGTTGTTTAACATGCTACTTAGTACTTACATCTGAGATAAATCCTGCCAGCTAATTGTCTTTCCAGCCAGAGGCTGATAAACCACCATAACGAATGGATGTCAGGGAAAAAAATATATTTCCGGCTGCGCATTCAATCAGAGCTTGGGTATAATGCAGCTGCGTTTGTGTGAGGCCAATCGCCTTTTTCAGTCGGGTCACCTCATTTCCAATCTGTTCCTCAAGGTCAAGAATCATATGGAGAGTCAAGTTCTTCGCAAGCGGGGAGTTTATGACCAGTGCAGTTTCCAGGTAATGGACTGTATTCAACAAAAACGCTCCGTCAACAATCCATGCTTTTTTCTCTTTATCGAAGGAGACCAAATCATTAAAAAGCGTAATGTGGTCCATTACAAGGTCGGCAAGCCGTTGCAGTGGTTTTTGATCCTCAGGGCTCAGGTCCAGTCTGTTGCAGTATCTTACGCACGTTAATATCAGCCTAAAAGTTGTCAGCTGCTCTTTCCCTATTAAAATGCAATAATAGAAGTTGGACCACTCACTCGCCGGCTATATCAACTGTGCGGTAAGTGAGGAAATCTCGAAGATTTTGGAACTCAGTCCGTCTTTCTGAGCGCGTGAATTGATTGAACTTGGCAAAACTTTCTAGGACCTGCCGTAGAAGCCCATGACATTCGTCTAGCAAGGTCTGAGTTATCTTGAAAGATGCGCAGACTTTATCATCCGGATCAAGTTTTGTGCTTCTTGCTATGCGGAGTAGTTCGGTGGTAATACTGTCCACCACAGTTTTACCCTAAGAAAGTAGGAAAGTCAGCAATTGGTCATTAGTGGATATTATTAAATTAGAATGAATACTGTAACTTACTGCGTAATCTGGATGATAGTCCACCACATCTATAAGACTAATTAGAAGTTTCACTTAAAAAAGACTAAAACAGACTGTAAGGCAAAGCATACCATCATGGGTCCATAGAAGGAGGTTTATCTTTGCTAAAAGCTCAGTCCGATCCGAGGACGAATTGGGCTGCATAGATATTGCACAGTCAACAGCCGTAGTAATCAAGATTTTCTCCTTTGAATTGACCGATTCACCGTTTCGAGATGCAGTGAACCATTCCGGTACAACATATGCTGATTCAGATTTGATAGCTTTGATTTCCCGAAGGAGTTGATAGCAGCCTTTTTCGGCACCTTCCCAGTACTTGCACTGATGAGAAGCAGGGAAGGATGTTGGCCAGGATACACCAAACTCCTTGGGAAACACACAGACAAAGTCCCGATTCTCGGAGGGAGACAAGGGCTTAGCCCCTAAAAAGGAAAAGGTGGGATTTGGTTGAACTTCAGGAGTCCACGTGGTTGGGGACCATGAGAAATTGATTGGTTTAATCGAATCGAGGGTTTGATGGCCTGATTGCCTTCTTTGAAAAAGATTGACCAGCTTGCTGAAGTAATTGTCCATATTTTGCCGTGTTATAGTTATAATTTTCTGATCTTGAAACACAAGATGAAGAATTTTTTAAGGTTGATTTATAGTACTTCGAACATAATATTATTGCCTAATCAGGCCTGATAACGACAAACCAGGTGCAAAAAAACCATTTAAAGAAAGTAATCCGGAAATCCCTTCAAAACCGGCTGATCTGAACTGAGCCTTGTGACCTCGGAATGTGTCTGCGTGGCCTATCCTGCACGGCACCTAGGCATAGTTTACATTTCGTCTGACTAGTTAAGCAATGAAGGTATTCTCTGGAGAAACTATTTAAAATATACAGATCATATCCTCCGAAAGGTCTGCTGCATAAGCTATACGTATTGAGCACTTATGTGACTGTAGCGGTGTGCCAAGTTAATATAGTGGTACATCAATTATAGCGGTGTGCCAAGTTTATTGTAGTGGTGCATTAAGGATTGGCATTCTTAGGTACAGTATTTCTTCTTAAGGCCTTCTGCATTTCAAATGGCTCTTGGAACAGTTCAAACCTACAATGCTCAAGCTTTATTCAGGTTACACAAAGACGTTACTGCCCAACATATGATATATCTCGGAAAACCTTGGATTTTCTTACTTCTCATACTATTAAGAACCATATCTTTTCTCAGAATTCGATTATTATTATACGCAACTATTTAGTCCTAGCCACTGTTGCAGAACCAGTCTAGAGTGTCGGAAGCAGCTACTCAGCTCGGCTAACACTGTCATGGAGTTATCCGCCTCCTTCGTACTCAAGGCAATTGCAGTGGGGGCATTCCAGGTATTTCAAACGCTGAAGCCACCTAATAATCGAAGCTTCATATAATGACTATTATATAGTACTTCATTATCAGGACAATCTACAATCTTTTCTTTCACCCTCTCAAAAGCTATCCTGGCCCGCGAGCGCTAGCTGCCAGTCAGCTTCCAATGATATATGCCAATATAACAGGCCAAGCTCCTCTATGGGCATTGAGATTTCACAAGAAATATGGACCTGTTGTACGTATGGCTCCTAACGAACTAAGTTATTCGGACTCAAGTTCCTGGAGAGACATATACGGAAGCAACCAAGCCAGGCCTGCCGGGATGGCGCGAGACCCCGCTTTCTACGAGCCTTGGGATGACAAGAATTCTGCTCCATCCCTGGTCAACACAAGTGACAGAGATCACGCGAGGATTCGTCGCGTCTACGCAAAAGCATTTTCTAAACAGGCACTTTCTGAACAAGAACCCCTGATCTTTGAACACATAACTCAATTAATCGGGAAGATATATAAAGAGCATCATCAGCCTATCGACATAGTGGATATTCTTGCTTTCACAATAACCGATATCAACATCGACTTGCAGTTTGGGGAGCCACTCCATTTACTTAACGATACGACCCACCACATGTGGGTCAAGAACCAATCTGCCTACGTACGAGGTGCTAAAGTCCTTGAAGCCCTTGCGGAGCTTCCATTCATCAAGACAATCTTTCAGCTGGCACTTCCCAAATTGGCCAAGCATGCACAAGCTGTTCATTTCGGTTTACTGAATAATAAGCTCGATCATCGACTTGCTTCTAGACCTGATCGGCCGGACTTTGTCCACTTCTTAGTCGGGGACAACGGCCCTGGTGCCAAATTATCAGAGGCAGAGCTACGGGCTAATGTGCCTGTTATAATGATCGGTCAAACGGAAACGACTACTGCCGCACTCAGTGGCCTTATAGCGTTACTTTTGGAAGCCCCACACTTCCTTCGACAATTGCAAGAAGAGGTTCGCTCGACATTCCGAACCAGATCGGATATCAACTCAGCAGCAATGGAAAAAATGAAAGTCCTCAACGCCTGCATTAACGAGACACTACGCATCTATCCACCTGTTCCGGGTGCTCTTCCTCGGATTGTACCCCGAGGTGGCGCTATGATCTCTGGAAATTGGGTTCCGGCTGGTACTCGAGTATATACCTCTTCATTGGCCACCTGTCATTCATCTGAAAACTTTCATGACCCTGATTCATTTCTTCCTCAACGGTGGTATCCAGGAAGCGAGGAAAGATTCGCTCAGGATGTTCAAGCCGCTTTGAAACCGTTCTCTGTTGGCACCAAAGATTGCATTGGTCAACCGTGAGTTCGAAATTTATACATTTTTTGATTAGATACTAATTGAGGTGCAGTATTGCTTATTACATACTTCGCTTGATCACTTGTGAGTTGGTGTTGCACTTTGACTTAGAGCCTTACACAGAAAGCAAGATATGGTTCTCTAGACAGCGGATATGGACCGTCTGGAACAAAGGACCCCTTCTTGTGAAATTTACCCCGGTTCATGTTAAACGATATGGAGATAATGAAGGCACTTAAGAGAGAATTTGAAGACATGAATGTGACTATTGATTTTCTTCCTGCTTGTCTTGTTTAAAATTTAGCTAGTGCAAAGTTATCCAATTGGAAGCGAGTACCAGGCGAGCACGAAAAACCAAGTTGTAGAAGAAGAGAAAAAACCTTTGCCCGCCTCCGCTTTTAGAAATCAGATGGAGAGAATCAGCATGATGTCCAAGATGCGATTTGGCCACATGTGAAACAGCTTCCCAACATTTGAACCCTTATAATCGCTCAAAGCCAGAGTAAAAGTAAAAGTCGGTGAGCTCCAAAAATTGCGTTTTGAAGTCATTCAGGACCCTTCATCGTATTTTATTCTTCGTGTATATGAACCACGATCGTGGACGAAATCACACCCCTATTTTCTTAGGATGTCTAGCATATATCATACAATGAGAATGTCACACTGCGAAGATTGAGACTGCTTTCGAGCCATGTCAATCCAAGATGTATGAGTACCAGGCTCGTTCCACCAGGTCTCAACAAACGAGAGAACACGCGCTCTGTCCAGAGTGCGGCTGATACGCATGACATTGCCAAAACATTCCTGAATAATCTTTTGACCGGTTGGATGTCCTCGGAGTTCAGTTCCTGCCATGAAAAGTGGCCAGACAAGGTCTTGAGCGAACATGCCGTCTCGAGTCTCGGAGAGAAATTGTACATAGAGGAGAATTTCATCCCGAGACTTGCGCACATGGTCACTAGCAGCGGCGTACTCCGATAAAGCTTGATGGCGGTAAATGAGAGTTGCGTGGTAGTACATCCACACTACTAGTTCAAAGCCATGTTGATCAGCTTCAGAGGAGAAGTGAATGGATTCACTGAGACGCATCATGTTTTCTCTAGCTGACTCAATCTGCGACTGGATGTCTTGCATTGGGCCGTATGATGAAGCCTGCTCGATAGTCCCGGAACAAAATCTCAGACGCTCAAGGCGGGTGATTTGGTCAATGACCTGAATGAAGTCAGTGAAGACTGCGTTCTCGGCGCTAGCAGGAGGAGCCTTGATAGCCATGTTGTAGTTATCAAATGTCGTCAAATCAGCCCACACCGAAGCCTCATAGAATTCTAATTTGAGAAACTGTTCAATACAGGCCAGCTGGTGGTGTCGGCACGGCCGGTTCCCTGCCGCTAGGATGATCTCCCTCGCAGCAGAGAGATGAACTCTCCACCCGGCTCCTTGTGGTTTCATAAACTCATTGTTGCAGAGAAGAATCACAGATGCAAGGGTGTAGGCAGATGTTGTGCTCGCTTGCAGTGCCGACGTGGATGATGTAGAAAGACTGTTCAACTCTTGAGCCAAAAGGGAAAGGGATTTATTTTGATAGTTTTTCGACATCTGCTGGAACGTTCCATGTCCCAGGTCACTTGGAGGGTACTCCGATGCCAAGTCATGGGCGGCGATAGCGAGAATGGAAGAAAGGACCGTTTCGGAGCTCTCGGCCATTGGAAGAATCATGTGACGCCATGCATTTTGTTGCGGGACCCACGCAAGTCGATGGGCGACTCGGTCGTTGAACCAGGAGAGCAACCGTGAAACATGCAATGGTCGAGCTTGCGATAAGCAAAGTTCCGAAGCGGGGGATGGAAGAGGTCCCGGTGAGAAACGGGTCGTGAAACGGTTGTACCGATCCAGAGAATTTATGCCGTTACCAGTAGTATGGGCCTCTGTTAAGCTTCCCGAAGGATGAGGTGAGTTTGATGCTGTGATAGGAGCATCGAGGGACGGAAAGGCTCTGCCCCGCAGACTACCGCGGCTAGCGACGCCTTGGACCCATTTGAGCTGTAGCCCGTAGCCAGGGCATTCCAAATTGCGCTTCCCGCATTTACGGCAGGCGGGAAGGCCCCGATCACATTTGATACGTCGCCTTTGGCACGTTGGACAATCTGGTAATGTTAGGACCCTGCTCTAGCACGACGTGAGATCCATACCTTTAACAGCCAACTGTTCCGTAGAACCTGCGGACATTTGTATATCCCATTCGACTTTCTACCGGGGACCACAGATAATCTTAGAATAAAACGAGGGCGTTGATATAGACAGTTGTTTTAGGGTGAGTCATGTGATACACACAAATGGGAATTTGATGCCTTTGACGTTGAACCGCGCTAAACCTATTCAGGCTTTCAGTGCACACGGATTGGTGCTCTCCACTCGAGTGGATCGGATCCCAGGTATGTACATAATACATGTACACAATCACATGTGAACGGAGTACATGGAAAAGTGTTAACTTAGTTAGTTAGTTATTGAATATTACATACATGTAGTTATTACATTGGATTTTCCCTACATATGTAGAATGTTCACGTCCGAATCCCGAAGATCGATTGTGCAAGTCCTAAATACAACCAGTGTGCTTGATCGTGGAAGTCTAAATTGTAATTCTGATCATGCCTTTGGATTAGAAGCCTATTGAGTAGGAGATTTAAGAGGCATGGGACTGACTAGTGTGTGGCCTTGAAATAAGAATGATCCTGTGAGGGGGGAATCGAACTCTGGCCAGTTAAAGTCCTAATTAGGAAATGGTCCTATATAGGTCACAATAGAGATATCCTATCACTTCCAAATCCACCCCGGTTAGCTCAGTGGGTGGGGGCTCTGTAGTCTATATACCTCTTGGGATACTGGGTGTGTATACCTTCAAGTTATCTTGGGCTTCGCGACCCCAGGGTAGCTTAAGGTTCCTGCTACCCGTAAGGTTGAACAAGGTATATAGATGGTAGTCCCCCGATTGGGTATAGTCGGGTCCGAACTTCGAAGGGGGTGTGCGGTCCCAACGGACAAGGGTGTGGGTTTGGGCGTGCCCTTTTTTTTTAAATCTTTCTCTCCTGATCACGTCCGAATCCCGAAGACCGATTAAATACAACCAGGTATCAAATTCCGAGATCAGTGATTCCAAGGTTGGTCCTCCAGGCTACAATAATCTACCTAAGCTACTGAACTAGGTAATCCATAACGCTCAAATATCTTCTCCGTAGAAGTCCTAGAAGGATTTAGATTGGTAATATATGTATATAGTTGTAGACACTAAGCTTTGACACATGTGCACCAAAACAGGCTAGATCCCGTAATAAACCCAATCTTTCCGTCTTGGCTGCCTATTCTAGGAAAGATCGCTGGTATCAACAGGAGTACAGGACGACTTTCTCCTTCTCTCTGACTGATTTCCATGAACATTTAAATACGTAGACAGAACTTGCGTGATCATAATTTCAATGTTTGCGTACCGGCATCATGTCTTCTCTCAATCTCGAGCTCGTTGCTCCCTCTACCCACCATGTCAATAGCCAGTGCCCTCAAAAGCATGATATTTCTGCTTTGGCAGGGCATGCCGTTCTCTCGGCGACTTCGTTTTCACCTCTGGTCAATGTGACCGAGATTCACGTTCGGCTCATTCAAGTCGTGATATCTACAAACGACAGCAAAAACACTCGGCAGACTTTGTATCCTTCATTCTGCAATCCAACGAACAAGTCGCCCCAGCCGGGTTCAAGAATTGAACGAACCCTTCGAGACATGTCTCTGCCGATATCGTCTAAAGAAGGATTTGAGACTTCTCCAGGGAGAATTGTCTCAAAGTACAACTTCTACTTGGTCATTCCAACAAACATACCCGCAACGACAAAAACACCTCTTGGAACCATCACGTACATGATAGAAGTCACGGTAGCGACATCGAAATATGGAATTATCACCCACCGTCGACCCCTAAAGATCAACCGCCAGATGATTCAGTCTGATCCGACAAAGACTCAGCATCACCTAAACTTCCCAACCTCGAACGCCATACAAGGAATGACCCTGATACAAAATTCAACACCGAGGTCTGGACCAAGGATCTCATTCACGGCTAAAATACATACTCATTGGGAGACGGCCCCAGCGAACCGCGCAACAGAGCTCCATCATCTTGTGGTGCGAGAGCTGAGGTGGCATGCTGAAGAGAGAGTCAAGATCATGAGCAAGTCTGACAGCTCAGAAAAATATTTTATCTGCGAACGACAGTCAGTCCGCAAGTTGAGTGATGGAAGTACGAAAGGATACTGGGGATTTGGTTGCAATCCATACGTTAAACAACCACACGGACAGAACATTGAGGGAGGAGAAAAACCAGCTATTTGTATACCGTTTGATTTCACAATCCCAAAACGGGCAGTGATCGTGGATGACATCGACCTGGCCTCATATGAGATTGGAGGCGATAGGACTGGCCATGCTACACAGTGTGGTCTTCCTGGGGAATTTTCTTTCTCCTCACTGGGCAAGATGACGAAGGGAATTACTGTTCACCATCAGTTGAAGATTGAACTTGTTACCGGCGAAGATGTGTTTCATAAAGGTACCGGCAAGCTTGTGGAACGGAAATGGTTGCGGACTATTGTATGCTCTGCAGTTCCCTTCAGTGTTTGTGAAGTATCTATCTAGCTGCCAGTATAAATACATAGATTTATCGTGCAATCGTATTGGTCTTATGAGAAGTCAATCAGTTTCCCACTCAACTCAAGGGTTTAGCTAAGTAAAAAAAACAAAACAATTAAAGTCGATTTTACCTAGCCACTGTTAGTAAAACGGGGCTAATCAATTTGAGATATTCGCCCTTCAATCCCGTTATGTGCCAGGAGATGTGGGGGCAAACCGCCGGGGCATAAATTTGACCAGCGCACTACTATTCCCACATGATAGTTAATCTCGATGAGTTCATCGGAAAATTATGCAAAAATGGTTACAATCCCATCCAATAGAAACAACAGGTAGTATTACAATGGGCAAATCCGCCCATCCCAAAACTCCGGTCCCCACAAAATCCACGGCAAAGCGCTCTGCCGGGCCGGACAAAATGCGGAGAGAACAAGACCGGGAAGAGTATTAAAAAGAATATATCCGATAACCAGCACACAATTATTAAACGCTTACCTCTGATCTCATCTCCCAATATCCAATCCTTCAGTTCCACACTCCCCAAAACACCGTCGAAACCCCCAACTCCACCGATATCAAACATACCAAAATGGGCAAATCCATCCTCCTAATCAACGGCCCGAATCTGAACCTCCTGGGCACACGCGAGCCACACATCTACGGAAACACAACACTCTCCGATGTAGAATTGAACAGCCACGAGGTCGCCGCCAGCCATGGTGCCGTTCTCGAATCCTTCCAGTCAAACCACGAAGGCGCGATCGTGGACCGCATCCAGGCTGCACGTGGCAAGGTCGACGGTATCATCATCAACCCGGGCGCGTACACGCATACCTCCGTTGCGATCCGCGATGCCTTGCTCGGTGTTGCTATTCCCTTTATCGAGCTCCATGTGAGCAATGTCCATGCGCGCGAGCCCTGGAGACACCACTCGTACTTCAGTGATAAGGCTGCGGGCATTATTGTTGGTCTTGGGGTTTACGGATACAAGGTTGCTGTTGAGCATGTTTGTCTTAATTTCGAGGAAAAGGAGAAGGGGCCTAAAGCTACGCTATGATTGGGTTGGTAATTATTTTGTGATGGGGATGTTTCATATTGCAACTGCAGGAAAAATAATGACATATTTTCCGAAATTCAACAGTTTCCACTTTTGCTGCTTATTCCGAAGCTGGTAGGCTTCTAATAATGACGACTAGGATATTTGTCAGTCGTACGACCGTAATTTTGCTTTAAATTTGATTACTGGCCCTGAAGGATGATGCTACGAGTGTCCGGGTCTCCGAGCGTCGGGCTCTGCTCGAGCATATGACTGAACTGGCCTTGAATTTGGAGTGTAGCCGGCGTGGGAAAGGCCAGTGCACTACTAATGTCTGGGTGGAGGAAGGAGAGGTGATTGTATATACTCTTTATGGAAAATATTTATGTGGGTGGAGTCCTACTCTGTAGAGGCTTATCCTCTTGAAAAATGAATTTGTAGACTAGTGATTTCATACATGTCATAGAAGGTATCTTGTATTACCAGGTGCTTGGCCTGGAATAGATTTGTGGATTTTGGTACACAAGAAATTGGGACCCTCCTTGAGGCTTCGAATGTGCGATACAATATGGGAGCCAGGAACTAAATGCACAGCTCGTGCTCCTCAGGGCCTAGATGGATAGCGGGGCGAGAGGCCAATGAGGCCGGCCAGCGGCGAGAGGGTGTTTCCACGCCATTAAGACCATCGGAATGGAGTGATCTTACAGGAAATCATCGCTTGGGTGTTCCCGACATGTTAAGAGGCTGCGACTCTCGTCGCATACCAGAGGGAGTGCCATTATTGGGTAGCTGCTGGGTCTGTGCCAGCAAGAAAGGCTCGATCTGACCGGAGAACGAGTAGAGCTCGGGAATTCCCGCATCAGAGACAAAACCTAAATTCTGCATGAACTCTGGTTGATTGTCGGCTCTGTAGAGGGTCAAAGTCAGTCATAATGCAAAGAAAACAAGAGATAAATGCTTACTTTTCCGCACCATCTAATGACGCCAGCTCATCAAATAATGCATCGAGATCAGGAGCAATCCGCTGCCTCTGTGGACGCGCATAGCCATCCATGTGAACAAAGGTGCCCATATTTACCGATGGGTCGTGATATGGTGTTGGATGGTATTGTGCGGTTTGATGGTATGATGGCGAAAGCTCGGCGAGCATTCCCGTACTATGATGGGATTTGCTAGGCGCTGATGTAGGATGAGGAAGCCCATTGTTAAGAGTATCATCCAAGTGGCCCTGTTGTGGAGGAATTTCAGAGGCGCCCCCGACGGAGGTTAGAGATGACGGCGTGCGGAGAAGAGATACATCTTCGATGTGTTGTGTGGTTCTGAGCCAAGGCGTGGGGAGGAATGGGTTTTCAGGGACAGCCGCGGCATGGGTATTATTTTGGGGCGCATGTGTCGCATGTGTTGCATGAGGAATATGTGAAGGTGTGGCCATTGAGAGCGATAACGGGATTTCCATGTCTCCGCCAGTGGAGGCATCGATGTGCTGTGAGACCGCAGGAGAAGTACCTAGGTGTTGAGATCTTTGTGATACATTTCGACCAGCGGTTGGTTGATCTGGCATAGTCCACAACATAGAAAGCTGGGCGGAAAAATTGTGGATGTTGTTTCGTAACCCCATATCAAGGACGGAGGGGAGGTCCTGAGAAATGGATCGTGGAAGGCCAAATCGAAGCATAAGACCAAAGGTTGGTGCGGTAGCTGAAAAGCTGTATGTCTCCATGTAGGCTTGAAGCAATTGCACAAGCCTTTTCGAGCTTTCTGTAGCACGAATTTTGTGAGGGGGCTCAGGCATGTTCTGATCATATTCACGAATGGCAATTTGAGAGCTGAGAGCAATCACAACGCTTTCGTATGTCATCTCTAGCCCAAAGATATGTGGAGAAGCTAGTCTCACAGGGCGACTTTGTAGATCGACACGGTAGGTCTTTGGCAATTCTGTTACCCAGCGGTGTAATTGCAACTCCAGTTGCTCCAGCTGTGATCGAGAGATTGTTGGGTCGTGCTTGCAACAGCATAGATCATTCAAAATTGATACGAGGCTGACGAGGCGGTTGAAAGTGCTCAACGCGTGAAGAGGACCGCGCTGCATAGACGCCCGTGAGGATTGGGCGGGCCGTAACCCAGTTTGATCTTCCCAAGGATGCCATTCCTCAAGACCATCTTCATTGATAGAGCCTATCCTGGCTAAGTCTGCCTTTCGCAGTGAGGGACACTGTGAAATTGATTCCGCAATGAGGGTCTCAAGAACAAAGCAACCCAAAAACACATGTTTTGCTCGACCAAGCTGTTGTTCTCGATCCGGAGTTCTCGATGATGATGAATATGAAGGTTGGTCGAGACCTAGTATATGCGCAATCCGAACAGCCTGACCAACAAGCATCCAGGAGCCAGTCCATTCTTGCTGTCCAAATTTGACCAGACCTAGGATCAACAGTGCTTGCACGTGTCCCATTTCATGCGGGCCACTCTCAGGCGGAATCAATTGCCGGGCAGTAGCATACATTTGTGATGGGCTCATCTGACCACTAGGCTGCTCTTCCACTTGGCTGGAGGCTGAGATAGAAGCATCCTGGAGCGAGGCGAGAGTGAGAACTGCCCACAAGGCCGCATGCTCCCCAGACCCGGGAGTTAAACCCGATGCGTATACATCGCCTTCAGTGTATTGAAAAGCGGTGCGAAGTATGTCATGCTTTTCGAGTATTGGGAACCAACACTGCGTGTAGGAGAAATATACATCAAAAAGGGGCCATGCGTTGTAGGGGAGTTGAAGAGGGGCTTTCATGGAGAGCGATCGGGGATAATCAGAATTCGTTGGGAAGGTGAAAGACGGCGAGGGTCGGTCATCTGGTGTAATTGTCTGAACACCGCAGTCTGTAGTCGGGCGCGGTCCGGCAACTTTCATAGGAGCGATGGCTACTGCGGTTCGAGTCGGCGATACTCCTGGTAATGGCGTCCCGCGAGGTTCCATGCCTTCTGGGATCTGCCAATCCTGTGCTTCAGCGGAAGAAAGAATTCCTTCGACATCTAGAGGTGTGTCTCCCTCGCCATATTCCTGGAGGTTTCGCTCCCTTTCCTCCTCCGGCTGTTCCAGTACTATCAGAATGCGTTCAATGTCTCTGAGCACTGTGCTGTTTTTGAAGGAAGCTAGCAATGCATCGGACCCATCCGTTTCCTTGCCCATCGTGGCCAAGTGACTCGGAAGATTGATTGATCGCATCAAAGCTCGCATGACATCTTCACTGCCTTGGATCCTTTGGAACGCCAGCCCCCAAAGCAACTCCAGCGAGCGAATGTAACCCGTGGGCAGGCCTCGCTTTTTCGGGTTGGTTTTATAGGTACAGGGTCGGCAGAGCGATGCGCAAGTCGAGCACACTGGCTGTTTTCCGTCGCATTTGTCCTTTTTCGACCGGCAACTATCGCAAGCCCGTGAGACTCGCTGACGCTTCGGTTCCCCCATCGCCTTCCCATCATCGTCTGGGTCGGTCCATCGTCGTTTGGATTTGCTGCTAGCGCCGGTGGATTGCCGTTGTTCAGCGCTCATGGTGACTGAATTTGTGATCCACTTCGGGGATTCGGGCGCATGTTCCCGCAAGAAATGTGGTGAATCTTTTGCCGATAGGCGACTGCACGGACGAGCCGGCGACTACGCCATGAAAATGAGCCCCACTGGAGGTATATTAGGGCGTCGGGGAGAGATATTGGGACCGAAGCGCGATGTTGAGGGTAGGTGCAGCACAAGGCAAGGTGCTTGAACAGGGTTCTTCCGGGGAAGGTTGGATACCCGGCTAGCGGTGAGCCAGTCACTGTCTCGCAAAAGGTAATCGCGTACAGATTGAGCTATAGGAATGGATTTGCAGCTGATTTTTGTGTAAGCTAGCGGCACAATTCAGACTAAGCCACAGAAATTTCGATATTTTCCCCAGCTGTTTGGCACATTCGTATCTGAGCGCAAATCCCCCGCGGGGAAGAGGAAAACCGAAAGTCCCCGGGTGAGTGCTCGTCCGCCTTATGTAATAGTAGCGTATCGCCCAGACCCGCGCTCTTTCCACGAATATTATTTTCCCCCGCAAAACTTGGGAAAACCCGCTTACCATATTGGTTCCCTCCACATCTCCGGATCCTCTATACACACATATCTCAATACCCTACGGCCCTCCATCCCACCTTGCCATCTGTGGTAATGGGTCCTCGACTACCCTGCTCCTGATCTCATTCCCGCACGCGGACCCGCCATGTCCATGTTAGTACGTCCCCCGAAACGAAAGATCCACGAGGTCGAGACTCTAGACGATGGGCCTCGAAAGTACAGCTCAGGGATCATGCCCACTCCCAGTGTACACCTTTCATCCCGACCTCCTTCTCGTCGATCGAGTGAACACAGAGATGCATCCGGAGATTCGCGTCCACCGTCGCTGAGAGAATTACACTCGAACCGCGGATCCCCGGTACTGTTTGAACATGGCCATCTTCAAACCCCACGCACCTTCAGCCCGAAGGCATCCATCGTATTGATCGGAATCCGTGGCACGGGAAAGTCAAGTCTGGCGGTCATCCTTGCGGCGACATCCGGACGACGATTGATCGATGCCGACCGCTACTTTCAACAGAGTGTGGGATGTTCCCGTGCTGTGTTTAAGAAGGAAAATGATGGATCCGTCTACCGGCAACAAGAGGCGCGGGTCTTTGAGTCGATGTTGGCAGACAACCAAGAGGGATGTGTGATTGCGTGTGGGGCCGGGTCGATGGAACGCAACGGCCAAAGGCTTCTTAGGGAATTTGCGCAGTCACATCCGGTTATCCACGTTATTCGAGATCCAGAGAGCATCCAGTCGTATCTCAAAGCGTGGGATACGCAAAAGGTCCGACATTTCCTAGAATTGTCAGGCCCGATATATCGAGGGTGCTCGAATCTCGAGTTTTTCAATCTATCTGAGGCCAGAAGCGATGATCTGTACAACGATAGCGACAATTCATCACCGGCGCATCGAACAGAACCTAGATCGCATACCCCCATTCCGTTTCTAACGTTGAAACGAGTTCAGCGGGACTTTCTCCGCTTTATTGCCTTTATCACCGGTGACATTGCAGAACTTAACAGCCAGCATGCATCTTTCCCGCTGTCGCTGTTGCCTGTGGAATCTCGCATGTACACATCTGCAGTGTCAGTACCATTTTCTAAGGTCTGTGAGACGGGTATGGATATTGAGGAGCTAGAATTCACTGCCGATGCCTTCGAACTGGCAGTCGACGTAACAGACTCTTCTGGGCAGCCAGGCCTCAGCTCAGGTCTTGCAGACAGTATCAGTCAGGCGGTAGCAATCATCCGTCGCAACATCATTGTGCCGTTGATATATCATGTGGAAAGCTATACCCCCTCCACAGGATCTCTGTCTCCGAGTCAAGTTCCTGTGAGATGTACCGATGAAACCTACTTAAACCTCGTCCGACATGGCTTGCGGCTCTCCACCGGTTTCCTCACAGTAGACCTCACACGTGAGGACAACATTATTTCCCAGATCATCTCTGCAAGTGGGCGAACCAGGATCATTGGCCACTTCGAAGCCTTTCATCCTCTGCCAGGGGGCTGGGATGGCGATGAGTATATGAAAGTTTATGAGCGGGCCAAAAGCCTAGGATGCGATATAGTCCGACTGTGCCAACCAGCCGAGACACCTGAAGACAACCTCGCGGTGCAAAGATTTCGCCATCGCATCCAAAGCCTGCCTGTTGCGGGCATTTCTCTGATCGCCTATAACACCGGCCCTCTTGGCCGCATGTCTCGCTGCTTCAACCCTATCCTCTCCCCAGTCACACATCCGTCCTTAGTAACGGAACTTCCAACTCATCTACGGTCATGTATCACAGCCCGCGAAGCGCAGAAGGCGCTTTATAGCTCATTTGCCTTGGACCCGATGCAATTCTTTGTATTTGGCGCCAACACGACATATAGTATGTCGCCCGCGATGCACAACACTGCTTTCAAAGTCTGCGGTTTGCCGCATAATTACTCCATTCACCAATCACCTACCCTACGTGGGTTAAATGACCTTGTGGAAAATCAATACTTCGGTGGATCAAGCGTCAGTCTTCCGTACAAAACAGAGTGTATTCCTCTGCTCCACTCAATGTCTGCGCATGCGCGAGCCATCGGCGCTATCAATACCCTCATTCCAATCCGCAACCTCGATGACCTGGACGACACCCGCCTTCAAGAATCTTCAGTCTTTCTCCAAAAGAGCCGTGCCGGCCCTATCAAGGGCCTTCACGGCGATAACACCGATTGGATCGGAATCTGCAATTGCATTCGCCGCGGTCTGTCTCCGGCAAATGCGGTACGCTCATCGTCGACAGGCCTTGTCATCGGATCTGGTGGAATGGCCCGCGCTGCAATTTACTCCATGATCCACCTTGGTGTGCAAAATATATTTGTCTACAATCGTACACTCGCCAATGCGGAGAGACTGGCACACCACTACAATCGACAGGATCTCCACTCAAAAGAGGCCAGCGGGTCTGGCCGTCCCACAGTTCGCATCATTGCTTCATTATCCGACCCCTGGCCCGAGGACTTCAAACAGCCCACAATTGTTGTATCCGGAATTCCGGCTCATAGCATTGGTGGCGAGCTAGCACCCAACTTCCGCATGCCAACACAATGGCTAGAGAGCCCGACAGGGGGCGTTGTTGTTGATGTAAGTTTACATTTATCTCTTGTACCAACCTCAAAATATGACCTTTTATCCCTAACCAATGTCTTTAGCTGGCATACAAGCCCCTCAATACCCCTCTTATGAAACAAACACGAGCTTTATCCCATCGTGGTTGGGTAGCCCTGGATGGTCTTGATGTTCTGCCAGAGCAAGGTTTCGCTCAGTTTGAACTGTTCACCGGCCGCCGCGCTCCCCGGCGCGTTATGCGCAGCATTGTACTCCAAGAGTACAAAGACGACGAAGGAAATAATGACCACGAAGCGATACAAGACAGGTTACAGCAAATGGACGGACAACCGACTTGAATATCGCCAGATACTCTCATAAATGATGATCAACTACAACAAGTGGTGATATTGCCCACTCCGTGCCATGGCGAATTCATATTGCAATGAAGCTGTCAAGATGTTCTTGCCGCATCTGTATCTACCTATCGAGGAAAGGGCGGACGGATGAGCGCAGACAATACGAGACGATATGAACTTCCTCGGCATGCTTATGGTCCAATCGATGTCGACTGAGAGGAGAGGGACCCTTCACTGTTCAGGTTCAGCCTAATACTGAGCCAAAGGCAAGTTGGCGGCACACCCGCGCCAGATGTCTAACATACGCGTATTGACTGGCTTTTCATGTATTAAATCAGCGGAAAACACCACTGTATGCCGCAGATGCCATGTATTTGAGATGTCACGACGCACGAAATTTATGATTCCCATTATATTTGTCATCCCGGAGAGAGATCCTTAATCCAAATATTATCTATAATAAAAAAAATAGGATCAGCCCACGCACGTTGCTATAGTAAGGGGGATGAATGTGCCGATATTGGCCATTGAGTAATAACCAGACAGCCATGGCATTGTGACACTCACAGATTCCATTTTCTTCATTCTCACCTGCTTCACATCAAATCTAGACCATCCAAGAGCCTCAGTATGGTAAAATTGCCAGATATTCTCTTGGAAGTCAGCCACGTCCGCCTAGGTATTTAAGGTATAGTATGTAGGAATAGTCTGGTAAAATATAAGTGAGACTCCGGGAGAACACGGTTATAAGAGCTTGGTCTGAACCTTCATATAGTGACACTGCACTACCACAGTGGATCAGTTGGCGAAGATTTATTCTACAACGCCATGACTACGGAATGGGATGAGATCAAAAGTGCATTTTCCGATGGCACTAACACTGGATTTCAAACTGATGTGGTGCTCCGGGCCCGCAAGTTCGATGGAGAAAAGATCTATGAGTGTGGCTTCCTTCCAGATGATATGGTGGAATCTTTGCGAACAGCCTTGCTGGCGACCGGCATTACCAACGAATCGGACGTCGTCCACGGTCTCGACAAAGCTGTCACAGTAATCCATGGTTCAAGGCCGACGATGTAAACCTGCTGCGGGCAGTTACCCACTTGAGCTCTTTCCTTCTCTGCCACACATTCACTTCCTCTTCTCTGCTACACACTATTCAAGTCTCTACTCCTCGGACGTCTGCTTGTGCTCCGTGTTTGAAACTCATCCGTACTCGTTTCTACTCGTCTGTTCTCGTCTCTACTCGTGGTGTACTCATCGTGTACTTCTCCGTACTCGTCGAGTACAGTGTCGAGTACAGTGTACTCGACCATACTCATCCTCTCCCTTTTTTACCCGCCATCGTCTGCGAAACTGTCGACATCCCAACCCCATTTCCCATCGTGAGTACTAACCGTGAAACAATCCATACTCTAGAGACTAACATTGTTTAGTACAATGTCTGAGCCGTCCGACCCAGTGTCGCCTGCCACGTCGCATCGCTCTGCCCCAGTTTCTTTTCCATCCACTCCACCTTCATTTCCAAAGAGGGTGCCTCTAGTTCACCAGCTCCCGGTCTTGAAGGCAGAATTGAAAAAGGTCGCAGCAGCTCGCGGAAATGTGTATGCCCAGAAAGTGGCAATTCTTGTTCGCTGGGAAGATGACAATACGGGCGCAGAAGAAGATCTCATCACCATGAGCAAAGTCATGGAAACTTTCGACATCCAGTGGACGAAACACGTCCTCGAAACAACAGATCCTATACCAGGTTGGACTCTTGGAGACAAGATTCGCAAAATGCTTCTTGACTGCTGTCATTCGAAACTGCATTCCTTGTTCGTGTTCTACTACGCCGGGCATGGAATTATCGAAGATAATAATCTGTCTTTTGCCTCTTTCCAGAAGCGTGTTTCATGGTCCAATATTCGCACACAGATTGCCTCCAATGAGAATGCAGATGCTCTGAGACGTGTCGATGTCCTGGGAGTTCTTGATTGTTGCTACTCTGGCGCGGCAACACGAGCGCAGACCTCAAGAACGTTCCAAGTTATGGCAGCCTGTGGTCCTGATGAGGTAACAAATCCTCGTGGTCAGAAAGTTTCATTCACTATGCGATTTTCCCGCGCAGTCCAGCAATTTAAACACCAGTCAAGCGTGACAATAGCCGCCTTGTTCCAGGAGATCCAAAGACAGAAACCACGCACTGCTCCAAATGCCGTCATGGTAATCCTTAGCGGTATCCAGCCAATCACGCTCGTGTTCAAGGACCACGGTACTCCTTCTCGGATCCCTCGCCTTTCACCCCATGTCAACGAAAAACACGTACTTGTCAAACTGACCCTACATGGTCACAGCCAAGTACCGGGCCATAACGCAGTACTGGAAAGCTTCAAAACTGCGATACAGGATCTACCTACAAACATGAAAGTTGAGATCTCAGATGCTTATGAAACCGATCAATCAATTTTCCTCGTTATGCGGATGTCATGGGAAGCGTGGTCACTGTGGACAATGGTGTCCCATTTAGACTTTATTGGGGTCACTCTTGGCCCTTCCTTAATGTCCCCGCGCCTGATGGAAGTTCCAGTCCCTGTCGTTGGAGAGAACCGTCCCCCTTTGCCATGCAAAGGCAAAGCTGAGTAGACTATGAGCTACCTTAAAGATTTTCATTGTTATTTTTTTTTTCTGCTTTCTCTTGTTCTGCGACTTGGTTTGGTTGGGATTGTTTTTCTGCTTGCTCTTGCTATGTCTACGTCGATGTGATATCTGGCTTGGAGGAAGTGGTAGCGGAAAGAAGGCAGGACAGAGCCTAGCTTTGACCAGATAGCAGAATACATCATCCTTACCATACCATAGCTTTGTACCAAACCAATACCTGAATTACTACTAGGTATGCATAGTCTGTTCTTATAAATCTTCGTATAGCCAAGCAACATCTCTCGTGTTCAACTTAGTCCAGACATGCTTCGACGCGTGGGGGGCGATATCACTTCATGCATCTGTAGTAGTCTACTAGAAATAGGTACGATATAGCTATCAAAATATGCGAACAGCTGATCCAGCTGTTAGCTATATCATACAGTTTGCAAAATCAATGAGAGGCCAGGAGGCAAAAACATCAACAAATATGTGTATATAAGTCTTGATGGATTCCCAACAAGGGCATATATGAAGCCGAGTATAAAAAGCCGAGTATAAAAAGCCGAGTATATATTTTGAAAGGGTGTTTGAACTTCAACTACGTTAAAAGAACTACTCTGTATATTCACAAGAGGGTTGCATTAATATGCGCCTGTTTGGACAATATCCTTGAGAAATATACGGGTAGTGCTCAGAGCCCTGGATCGGAATATCATGCTGATTGTTTGGATTGCATGTACCATATAGAACATATTCATTAGTAGCGAGTCAAGCTGGGCAACAATAAATCCATAGAGCTATGAGTTTTCTATTAAAGGTATACCAAGTGATGTCTTTGAACCTATAAATTCTCCAACCATAAAGTGGGGAAACATCTCGATAAGCAACTCCCGACGTCGGCTAGTGGCGGTTGTTTTGGACCTTCAATTTTCACCGGATGACTCAAGAAGCTAGGCCTTCCCCTTCAACCTTGGGATATTTCATTATATTAACATATTTTGATACATCTCTTGTATCTATACATCCCGTTGCCCCTTTCCACCATGGCCGTCGGACCTCTCTCCCAAGATGATCTGGATGAGATATACGCTTTCGCAGTAGACCTGGGCCGCAAGGCAGGCAAGATTCTCATGGAGCGTGTCGACCAGCGTATCTCTGGCGCAAACGGCTCCTCTAACACCTTTGAGGAAAAGGAAAATGCAGTAGACATTGTGACGCAGACCGACGAAGGTAAGGCGGCGCAGCTGATAAGGCATATCAGACATTGTCGCTAACAGTTTTACTTGGCAGACGTTGAAGTATTTATCCGAAGCGCGCTCGAGGCCAGATACCCGTCTCATAAGTTAGTATTTTTACCCCAATCTACTGGCAACAAAACTAACAGACCCCTAGATTCCTCGGCGAGGAGGCTTATGCCAAAGGCCAGTCGCGCGACTACCTCATTGACGAGCAACCAACATGGTGCATCGACCCATTAGATGGTAAATCCGGACCTCCAGCACCATGACCGACTGCTTATGGTTCTAAAATGGCATCGCGAGAAACCCAACTAATAACCCCACCCCAGGAACCGTAAACTACACGCATATTTTCCCCATGTTCTGCGTCTCACTTGGCTTCATCGTGCAACACAAGCCAGTAATTGGTGTAATTTATGCCCCATTCACAGATCAGCTCTGGTCCTCCTGCAGCGGGCGCGGGGCCTGGCTCAACGAGACTCGCCGCCTTCCGCTCATCCACAACCCAACCCCGCCTATGCCCGCCAATGCCCCTTCCCAGTGTATCTTTTCTTGCGAGTGGGGTAAAGACCGTCGCGATATTCCTGATGGAAATATGCATCGCAAGATTGAGAGTTTTGTTAATATGGCCGCCGAGGTGGGTAGTCGGAATGGGAGAGGTGGTATGGTGCATGGTGTGCGCAGTTTGGGTAGTGCGACCCTCGATCTCGCGTATGTTGCCATGGGGTCATTTGATATCTGGTGGGAGGGAGGTTGTTGGGAGTGGTAAGTTTTTCCCTTTTCTTTTCTGTCTTTTTATATCCCTTGGAGAGACGGGGTTAGCTATGCTGGTGCTGACTATTATAGGGATATTGCTGCTGGTGCCGCTATTCTTTTGGAGGCTGGTGGACTTATGACTACTGCTAACCCCCCAGAGGATGTGGATACAGCGCCAATCGAGGATGTCCGACTCGGCAGCAGATTGTATTTGGCTATCAGGTGAGTCTGGGTTGTTTCCCTTGTGCTGGACCCTGCTAATAAATGACATTTCAGACCCGCTGGTCCATCCGCCACTGAGACAGGCCGTGAAACACAAGAGCGGACTGTACGCGAAGTCTGGCGCCGAGTCCGTAACCTGGAATACTCACGGCCCGGAGCTTGAATAGCTTCATGGCGTTTTGATCTTATTTTATTTTGTATAGATGTCTGATGAGATTTACATATTGACCTTATGGTAGATCTAGAGTGAGATGTATTCCAATATCGAAGACGCCATCCACTTATATATAGACAATGCAATTAGCAGCTATTTTGCGCTTTATACAATGATTAAAACAAAATCGAAACATGATCATAAATAAGAAATCACAGGCTAGACTTCGCAGATCCCCGTTCCGCAATGGTCTTGGCAACAAGATCCTTAACCTCTTGAACAAGACCAGGTGTACCGATAACATCCTTTCCAGTCCAAAGACGGGCCTGCTCCAGACCCTGCCAGATCAGAGCCTCAGAGCCGAGGATGACCTTCCATCCACCGGTGGAAGCAAGGTGAGCGATCTCAGTCCAGGGCGTGGGGTGGTAGCACATCTCCAGAATGACACCCTGCTGCTTCTCCGCATCGGCAGCAGTACCCAAGAAAGCCTGGATGATAGCGCGAGATCGCAGCTCCTCAGGAGATTTCGGGGGGTAGTTGGGGATACCGGAGACGATAGCCGCGGGGGACTCGAGACGGGCAGCCTCAGCAGGGTCGGTGATTGGGATAAGAGGAGCCTGAGCATTGGGGTCAGGGTTGCGGCGACGGTCTTCCTCAAGGATGGCGGCGACCTCGGCGTCGTCGCGGTTGACGACGTAGATGCGACTGGAGCCGAGCCAGCGGCGCATAACGTAGATGGCAGTGCGGGCGGTGCCGCCGCCGCCGATGATGAGCGCGGGCCGGCCGCGGAAGCGTGATGGGTCAGGTGCATTCTGTGTGAGGGCTTCCCGGATGCCGTCGCAGTCGGTGTTGGTGCCGACGTACTGGCGCTGGCCGGTTATTGGGTCGTCGCGTAGGAAGATGGTGTTGCAGGCACCGGCTTGGCGGGCGTGCTCGGTGAGATCGTCGAGGTATGGCATGATTGCGACCTTGTGAGGCATCGTCACGGATGACCCGACGAACTTGGGATTGGACTTGATCGATGCAAGATATTTCTCAATCGGTGGCGACCGTGTGTATGGGGGAGGGTATGTCTCTGATGAGCCAGTCACGCTGGATAGGGGGATTTGCGTCCAATTGAGACCGAGAGCATTGTAGACCGTCTGGTGCAGAGGTGGGGAGAGAGAGTTGAGAAGAGGGTGGCCGTACAGATAGGCGACGCCATCGCGGTTGGAGGGGATGGCGATGGGCTCTTCTGGTGGCGTTTGGTTGATTTCTGTGACGGACATGATGAATTGTGTATATTTATCTGTTTGGATATGCAGATCTCAGAGAGGGAAGGCCTACAATGTTATATGATGAAATTGGAAATTCAGACGGAAAATACTTAGCCTCACTATACGTGCGATGTACCATGGGTATTTCCTCTGCCGGGTGGGGCTTTCCTTTTTTCATGGTAGCTGCCGCCGCTTTTATGTTTCAGCCCGGGGAAAGACTAAACCGAGGCATCTATTAAGCATACTTCACTTTTATACATTTATCTCTGTTCTCCGATCTCTCTTATTTGTATAAAAAACATGATGGAAAAAGAATAAACTCATAATTGCTTGACCGTCCTATGCTGATGTAGCAGAATGAAGCAAGGGGATTGAACTTTCATCGTTTACAACGTCCAGCTAAATTGAGCCCATAACCCTCGGCGCCGCGCTTGGACTACATCGTACACCGTCAATTCGCGGCTGTCTGCATGTTGACCGCCAGGCCATTAAGGCGTCGCCCGACATTATTGCTTTAGGCCAGTTTCAAAATTTTCACGAAACAACCAACATATTAATACCTTCCTTAAGTTTTCCCCATAGTCATCGACTCATTACTTGCTATTCTTCGACTATGAATCCATATATAACAGACCCAGACCATATTCCTCCCTCTGACCTATATGCGAACTTGCCGCTTTACGGTCGGTATTCTCCCAAACCGGACGACTTCTGCATTGATGTACAGCATGTCAACTCCCAGTCCACAGCCTCATTACAATACTGGGCTTCAGTACTTAGTCTTTGCAACGAATCCGTGAGGATCTATCCGGGTGATGCCGCGGGCGGTCGTGACGTGTTCGCCGTTGGCAGCATCATCGTCAAATCGAATCATCTCTATACGCAAGAGAGCGCAGAGTATGCGGAGATTGGCTACTCGTATTCCGATGCTAATGAAGTACAAGCTATTGCTATCGCGAAGAAGGTCCTAGAACACGTCAAAGTGCCCGATATTTACTTTAACGGCAAGGTAACTATGCTCGTCTCGTTGCTTAGCCTTTTCTATATCACTTACACCCTATCAGATCAACGGTCGCCAGGTATCTGTCCAGGAAAGGCTTCCAGGTGTTTCATTGACCGTTGCATGGCCGTACCTGTCGCAAAGCCAAAAGGAGTCCTTCCAACAGCAAGCACGAGATATACTTCGACAGCTGCAGTCCATCAAGCCCACAAATAGAAGCCAAATCCGCCCCCACGTCGTGCCTGATCCCAACATTCTCATCAATGGCCGTATACAACCCCTAGAAGGTGATATTCTCTTCCCGAACACCAAAACCGACCCAGACATGAGCTTCATGCACAACGACTTTACCGAGTCCAATTGTATAGTTGATGATGACAAGATCGTGGGGCTCGTTGATTGGGAAATGGCTGGGTTTTTTGGCTGGAATACGGCTAGGGAGGTTCACCGTACGGCTAGACCGCATGACAGTCCAATTTGGAAAGACCTCTATGAGCAAGATGCTCTTACTTCTTGAGTGATAATTGATGTGTATTTCGGGCTACGGTGATATTGAAGAAAACCAGGCGAACAAATGTTTCGTGAAAGCAAGACGTGGATGAGTCTGAAGGTCTTTCTTAGACAGCCCCATTCTCTGGGATTCACCGAGGAAGCAGGAAGAGATTTGTGAATGGAGTTGAGTACTGGCCACGTCCAATGAGCATCAAGGCAGTAAGAAAAATCAATTGTGGCCTAAAGATAAAACCGAGAGATAAACAAGTTAGATGACCAAATGGCTAGCGCAGTACACCTCACTGAGGTATGTAAGCTGAGCCGCGATGAGCGGCGCTCAGCGAGCGGGTCATAAGTGGTCAGGCGCGTGCTCAGCTTTACTTAGTGAGCCAAAAGCGACAAGTGGTGAGCATTAAATCGAAAAGGGGAAAGCTAAGAAGTAGTAGAGGAAATCCAGTGTAAATGATGTAGGCGTAGTGAGATCTACAAAAGCAATGAGCCACCGGGCGGGGAAATATTTTGCTCTTCCACCCATCCTCAACCAATATCATTGCCTACCTTGATTGTGAAATGATTGTGTCTGCATCATACATTTTCTGGTTTACTCAACATATTTTATAAGATGATCATTGGCTTGGCCGCGAATTCGATGCTTCGTTGTTGACTCTGGGCCACTGTAGAACATCTGTCGGGCTGAATGATTTCCCACTACAACCACCCATACCCCACGGGGAACTTGCCATGGCACGCAGGAAACTCTACAAGAGCCAATAAAAAGACCACGGGTGCCATGAATGATAACCGGAGAATAGATTAATGCTCCAGCGGGCAATCGCCAACCCATACTTCGTAGTGGCCGCGCATCTCCATAAGCTCCCGGGGAAAGGCTTTTCCCCGCCACCCATGTCCAGCAATCGATCATTGGCCGTTTTGTCCTTCCCCGGTTCATGGATCCATTTCAATTTATCCAATCAGACCTATTGCCATTCGCTATCTCACACTAAAGGCTGGATCGTGCACTGGATTGCCTCCGGGGTACCCCAGAAAGATCAAGCTGACATGTACGCTGTCGCGGGTTACTGGAAAGCCGCTGGGGAAGTCTCCACTTCTTCAAGCGGCATCGGATCCCCACAATCCAACGCCTTAAGCGAATAAACTCGGGTTGTAGACTTGGTAGCCCAGCAGAGTTTTGCATATCACTCTGAGTCAATTTCATCCTTCTTGGGGGCAAGCCACAACGGAGGTGCCAAGAGGCGACAAAGGCAATTGTCCTCACGCGCACAGAAGAACTTAGAGTATTCGTTTTGCCGCGCCTTGGCCTTCGAGATTTTGACTACCTGTGCTATACCTTTCTCCGACTCCGCATCCCCACGATTTCTTCCCCTTTTCCAAACCCCGGATTCTCTCCTCTCTTTTTCCAAGGGCAAATCGACAGTCCGGGGCTCAATCCTATTTAGATCCTGTCCACCCTCGCTAGTCTGTTCTAGAAAACGTGGTGTGGACTTTCTTTTGGTTTCCTCTTCCCTTTTATCCCTTGCACCTGCACCTACATCTCATATATACCTTCAATACGTGGTGATCGTCCTTCCTAGGACGTACATCTTACTGCCTCTCTGCATCTAGCATTGGGGATCAAGGTCATCTGGTCACAGAGGCTCTTGCAATTGTTCTATTCTTCTATATTAAACCGCCACCATGTCTATCCTGAAGCTAGTCGAGGACCGGCCGACGCCTAGCGTGGTCTACAACTGGAGAATCTATCTTTTGGCAGCGGTGGCCTCATGCACATCCTGCATGATTGGCTACGACAGTGCTTTCATCGGCACTACACTCTCTCTTGACTCCTTCAAGAGCGAGTTCCACTTCAACGAAATGGGCGACACTACCAAGAACCTGATTAGCGCCAACATCGTCTCCTGCTACCAGGCTGGTGCCTTCTTCGGTGCTTTCTTCGCCTATCCAATCGGTCACTTCTGGGGTCGTAGGATTGGCCTGTTGGCCGCTGGCTTGGTTTTCACTCTCGGTGCTGGTATCATGCTTGGTGCTAATGGCGACCGAGGACTTGGCCTCCTTTACGGTGGTCGAGTTCTCGCTGGTATTGGTGTCGGAGCAGGCTCTAACATCACCCCAATCTACATCTCTGAACTGTCTCCTCCGGCTATTCGTGGTAGATTGGTCGGTGTGTATGAGCTGGGCTGGCAGATTGGTGGTCTTGTAGGATTCTGGATCAACGTGAGTTTTCCTTTTCGTTCCTGTCCGACTTGTCTTGTGGATGCTAACACACAATATAATAGTTCGGTGTTGACGCGACCATGGAACCTAGCCACAAGCAATGGCTCATTCCCTTTGCTGTTCAGTTGATTCCTGCTGGTCTCTTGCTCATTGGTGGCCTCTTCATCCGGGAATCGCCTCGTTGGCTCTTCGGACGCGGTCGCCGCGAGGAAGCTATTAAGAACCTCTGCTGGATCCGCCAGTTGCCCGAGGATGACATCTATATGATTGAGGAGATTGGTGCCATTGATCAGGCCCTGGAAGAACAGCGCCGTAGCATTGGCGTTGGTTTCTGGAAACCCTTCAAGGCGGCCGGCACCAACAAGAAGGTCATGTGGCGTCTGTTCCTTGGAAGCGCGCTGTTCTTCTGGCAGAATGGATCTGGCATCAATGCCATCAACTATTACAGCCCGACTGTCTTCAAATCGGTAAGTTCCATCTTGTTGCCATGTGAGCACTGATGACTGATGCTAACAATGCTTCTAGATTGGTGTCAGGGGTACCAATACTAGTCTGTTCACCACTGGAATCTTCGGTGTAGTGAAGACTGTGGTGACTTTCGTTTGGCTGCTTTGGCTGATTGATCACGTCGGTCGCCGTAACCTGTTGTTGATTGGTGCAGCAGGTGGTTCCGTCTGTTTATGGATTGTCGGCGCGTACATCAAGGTTGCCCAACCCGAAAAGAACAAGAGTGACAGCCTGAGCGGCGGTGGTATCGCAGCCATGTTCTTTTTCTACCTGTGGACGGTCTTCTATACCCCAACCTGGAACGGAACCCCATGGGTCCTCAACTCGGTAAGCATCCCCAGACATTTGAACTCTCCAGGCATTAGAACATTGTTCCAATGCCCAGTCAACCCACCAACCTTGAAACAGTGCTAATAGCGTCTGCAGGAAATGTTCGATCCCAACATGCGTTCCTTGGCACAGGCCTGCGCCGCCGCCTCCAACTGGTTCTGGAACTTCCTCATCTCTCGCTTCACTCCGCAGATGTTCACAGCCATGGGATACGGTGTATACTTCTTCTTCGCATCATTGATGATGCTGTCCATTGTCTTTGTGTACTTCCTCGTCCCCGAAACCAAGGGTGTTCCTCTTGAGAGCATGGACCAGCTATTCGACATCAAACCAGTGTGGCGTGCCCATGGGCAGATGGTCGCCCAGCTGCGTGAGGATGAGGCGAGGTTCCGCAACGACGTCGAGGCTGCCGGCATTAACATGGGCAAGGTGCGCGCTGAGCAAGTCGAGGACAGTGCGGCTGAGCCAAAGTATGCTTGAACCATGCGGTGGTGAATCCTTTTCGTGTTTATGTCCTTTGCGGCGTTGTTGTGTAACATGTTGTGATGTTGTTGTCGGACGAAGCTTCAGCTCGTTGTTGGAATGGTTTTGGAGTGCACATCTTGTGACTTTTGTGTACTAGGCCTGCCTGGTTTATATACACTTCGCTGAACGAGTGTAAAGAAGCAAATGGTCCAATGAATATACCCCTTTGTGTCTTTTCATCCGTCATTTTCGATATATCGTAAGAAGATCAAATAAACGCATGCGCCTCACAGATCACTATGTCCAGTAAAATCATATCAGTATGTAGCTAGTTATTCGACTTCGCCAACAAGTTAATATCAATATCCGCAGGCTGACCCGACCGCATAGCCCTCTGAACAGCCTCACAAACAATCAAAGCACGCAAACCTTCCTCGCCAGTACAGCTAGGAATAGCGTCCCCATTGATAACATCAACAAAATGCGCGAGCTGCAGATCAAAAGGCGCCTTATCATCGGGAAGCGGAATCCGCTCAACAGTCAAGGGTGAATTCCAGCTCTTCTCAGGGCTAGCATCATAACTCCAGCGGGTCAGATCCGGCACACTGAGCGAAGCATCCGAGCCAAAGATGCGATAGAAGTCCGAGTCACCACCAGTCGTCGACCGCGGGATGAGCGGGTTCTCGCCCGTGCCAGTCTCGAAGTTATGCGGTGACGGCGTCGCATCACAGACTAGGAACGTGCCCACAACACCGGATGCAAAGCGCAGCGTCAGGGCGGCGCCTTCGTCGGCATTGTGTGGCGGGCTTGGACGCTGCGGCAAGGTGCGCTCTGCTGTCACGCGCACGATTGGCCCGAAGAAGTGGTGCATGAGGTCGATGTCATGGACGAGGTTAATGGGGATAACGCCGCCGCCGCGTTCGTTCGATGCGCGCCAGTCTGTTGGTGGGGCGAAGTATGCATCCGGCTTAAACAAGGTCCACAGACCGTTGACGGCGATGGGGCGGCCGAGAGATCCAGCATCTAGGACGGCCTTCGTGGCTCGCACGTAGGGGTTGAAGCGGCGGTGGTGGCCGACTAGGAGCTTGAGGTGGGCGCGCTCTGGAGCTTGGGCGAACTCCAGTAGGGAACGGCCGCTTTCCAGTGTATCACTCACGGGCTTTTCGAGGAGGACGTGGACCCCGCCTGCAAGGAGCTCCTTTGCCACTGGGACGTGCGTGTGGTTTGGTGTGCAGACAATTGCTGCGTCGGGCCGGTGGGGGGATGCAAGTAGTGAGGCCACAGAGGGGTAGTAGTTGGTTTTGAGGCTGGATGCGGTTGCTTCGCCAGTCGGCATTGGGTCAACGAGAGCAGTTAGCTCTGTTGAAGGGTTTGAGAGTACGGATTGTGCGTGACGAGGGCCAATGAGGCCAGCGCCGATAATGGCAACTTTGACGGACATGGTGATGATGAGGTCAAAAGCAAATTTCGGTTCTCGAAAGAATTGAATAAATTCAATACGTGATGTTGTAACTTTTCGAGCTTAAGCGGAAATTCAATCTGGTGGCTTTTGCGTGTCTTTTAGTTGCGGAAAGTGTGTCATTGCCCCGGACTCTGTGTAGCGTTGACGATTCGGCGCCGGTTCTCCGGTCACGTTCGGACTCATACGGCAAAGATCTTGCCGGGTACCTACGGTTATTTTGTTTCTAAGAACGGGAAAAGCATTTTTAATGAGGAAGCAAAATCCCGCGATGTGGGTGGAACAGTGGAGTGGTCGTGGTGAGGAAGTGGAACTGGCGGGAAAACGAAAAAGGGGCAGTGTTTACCCGGCCATGTAACCCGCCTATCTATCAGGTTCGGCCTCGTCATCAAGACACGAATCACAGCAGACTAGGGAAAACGTTCAATCACAGAAGGCACTGTAGGGGATAACGTTTTATCGCAATCTTTTGATACACTACCTAGGTAGAAAACCTCTAATATCGTTGGTTGTCCACCTTGAAGACATCCTCCCTTAATATCTCTCGCTTGGAAACTTTCTTGAAACTTCCTTAAAAAAACAAAGCTTGGCACAAAATCACCTCTTCATAATATCGGCATAGAAAAGAACCACCCATTCACATAATTCCAAAATGGCTTTCAACCGCCCCGGCATCGCTTCAATGTCCCTAGGTCGACCGTGGGTACACGACCTGCCCGGCAAGCTGATGCAAGCCGCAGACCACGGCTTCGAGGGCATTGAACTCTTCTTCGACGACCTAGACTGCTACGCCCAGCGGGTATTTGGCGGTGATCACCACGAAGCCGCACGGTCAACACGGCGGATGTGCAAGCGCCTGGGCCTGACCATTATCTGCCTACAGCCATTTTCCATGTACGAGGGTCTCATCGACCGCGCGGAGTCAGACCGGCTCATCAATGAGAAGCTCCCTAAGTGGTTCACCCTAGCGCGGGCGCTGGGCACAGATATGATCCAGGTTCCGTCGAACTTCCTAGGTGCAGACCCGAAGACCGGTGCTGCTCGCACCACTGGCGACCGCACTGTCATTGTTCGTGATCTTCAGCGCCTGGCTGATTTAGGCGCCGGTGCTGGCTTCCGGTTTGTCTACGAGGCTCTCTGTTGGGGCGATCATATTGATACCTGGGAGGCCTCGTGGGAGGTGGTCCGTGATGTCAACCGTCGCAACTTTGGTCTGTGTCTGGACTCTTTCAATATCGCCGGTCGTGTATATGCCGACCCTGCTGCACCTTCGGGCCGCACACCTAATGCGGCTGCGGACTTGGCTGCCTCGTTGCAGCGTCTGCGCACTGCCAACATCGATCCAGCCAAAATTTTCTACGTCCAGCTTGTTGACGGTGAGCGTCTTTCTGCCCCGTTGGATGAAAAGCATCCTTTCCATGTTGCTGGACAGCCTGTCCGCATGAACTGGTCCCGCAATGCCCGTCTATTTCCCCTCGAGGAGTCCCGTGGTGGTTATCTGCCCATTGTGGATGTCGCTCGCGTCTTCTTCGAAGATCTCGGCTTCCGCGGCTGGGTTTCTCTTGAACTCTTTAGCCGAACTCTTGGCGAGACCGATCCATTTGTTCCTGCCGACCACGCTCGTCGTGGCATGGACTCATATAACAAAATGGCTCGTATCTTGCACTGGGATGAGCCTGCTGAGAACATCTCGGTGCCAATCCCAGCGCCCGAATCACCTGTTCAACACCGCCTCTAGGTGGTCGGTCTTCACTCTCCTGTTTTTTTTTTGGCTCTGTATAGCACATGGCATCTGTACATACATCTCTTAACGACTTTTCACGATTTTTATTGTTTGACATACCGCGGGTATACTGGATTGCCAGGGTGGGCGTTCACCAGGGTGGACTGGGCTCTATTACCTGATATATGCTTTACCAACATTCTACAATGAACTGCAATCCAAATAAGGATTAGCTTGTACTATGAGGAAGTGGCAAAGCGTGCAATATGGTAGTGAATGTAGCTGAGAATTGCTCAATTCAATTGTTTATTTAGGCGCTCTTGTTGTTGATCTTAAGGAGCTCGACCTCACTGCAAAATAGTTAGTTCCCCGATATTATTACATACTTGCAGGAACTTACAAGATCAGAGTAGAGTTTGCAGGAATCTTGCCAGCCGCCCTGTGTAGAATAAGAATGTTAGAAGACCTTTAGCTGATGGATGTCACGGCGTATATAGTAATTGCCTGTGGGTGTAGTGCGATCACTTACTTGTCACCGTAGCCGTAGTCCCTGAGAAATAATGTTAGTAGTGGTTCAATCTCCTCTTGTTCAACATGGACTTTACTCACGGGGAAATAATCAGGGTTGCCTTCTCTCCCAGGGTCATCTGCAGGACACCCTCATCCCAACCTAATCAGACAGATAGTATTAGCATCCAGTTTCGAATGTAACAAGGGATTCGATCATTGCAAATATGAATGATTCCATTGAGATAAAAAAGAAATAAAGAGGATATGATAGATACCCTTGATGACCTGTCCAACACCAATCTGAACATTCAAAGGGCCACGGCCAGGGGTTCTGGAGCTATCGAATCTATTGGCACAGATAATTAGTATTTAAGATATCTAAATGGCTCTAGGGTATGGGTGTCAGCTTACTGCTTGCCCTGAAAGCCCTTGTTGGACTTCTTAGCATCGTAGAGCCATCCCGTGTAGTGGATAGCGACCTTGTCGCCCGAAGCAGGCGATTCAGAGCCGGTACCGCGAGTTATAATCTTTCTCTCAACACCCATCTTGAATTATGGCTTTGTAGAAAGGTTAAGGCAAAAAAAGTAAGAGAGATGAAAGATGAAGTGAGGTTCGAGGGGCAACACTGATTCGTAATTTTCTAAAAAGTGGGGGGAAAGCGGGAGCAGCGAATGATCTCCGTAAGGTGCGAGAGATACTCTGCTGTGGTTGGATGCTGATGAGTTGTATCCCTGGCCATTTGGTGCGCTATATTAAATGAATGTATCAGTTAGAAAAGTGCAACTCACACACAAGCCGCAGCAGTATTGGTTACCTTAAAAATTTTATCTCTCGGACTATTATAGTCAACTCCTGCACAATCGCAGGATCCACACCATATTGGGCTGGGCTGGCAATTACCGCATCAAGGAATCCGAAGATCTATAGGCCTTGATTACTATACATACTCTATTTCATGGGGTAAGGACTACAATACCTGGCTTTGATCCCAATTGTAAGCTTCCCGCAGATCCAACTGCTCAATGAATGGGCTTGGGGCAGCTGGGCCCATTCCAACCGGGAGAGGTGGCAGAAGAGAGGTTTGCTGGGCCATATTGTATCATATACCTCAGCGCTGACAATAGAGACAAAAAATGTTGGGTAATACGAAGAACTCGAGGCAACATTTAGGATGAAGTCAACATTGCGGATTTAGCATTCGTCATTCTGTGTTTTCCTAATCAGGCAGGAACAGTCCCACTACGAAGAGATCGCTTTGCATTTCAGCGAATTTTTTGCCTTCTTATCACCCTTAAAGAGAGCAATAATGTCGTCAAGAGTTGTCGGTGAAGTAATCTGACGAAGGTGTAGACCGAGATCGTCGTATAGATAGAACTTGCCGCCAGCCTCGAATAGAACTTCGCCGCCGCCATAGTCCGTACGGCACATTATCGGGGTACATTTACCAAGCTCAAAGTCAACGGCGAGATTATAACCCCAGCTATCCTCCGCGGCCCATTCGCCCTCGTAGTTGAGTTCCTTAGGATCCATTGTCCACCCGGGAGGGGGGTCATCTTTACACCTTATTAGTATCAGGTGTATCTATACTACCTAATCATCCGAATGATTAGGTAAGGTTGAGATTAGGTTGTACACTTACTGGACGATTGGCGCTAGCCATGACTGACTGCTCTCAGACCAGAATGATTCTAGTACTTTGGTTCTTGTGAGATATTTCGTGGAGATGGGATAGAGGTCCGAATTTAGAGTCGAGCTGCAGGTGAATGGTGATGAGTAGGTGATAGTGAGGGAATTAAAAGATGGATAAATGGATGACCTCGGGATTCCCAGTGACTTACATATATTCACTTGAAGGCCTAAGGCATGAATGTTGGATGCCTCAAATGCCATACTTCAACGCCAAGCCATAGTAGTATACCAATAGGATATACTAACGGGGCTACAATGAGCTCCTATCTAGTATACTAAGGGACATAATGTGAAATACACCCAGAAACAAACTTTGCAGTCTGATCGCTAGCTCTTTCATACCTAGGTATCGTTTTGTTCGGATAAGTATCTGCTCACTAGGTTAATATCAGGCACGCGGGCTTAGTTAGAGCAACTACCCACTTTTGATAGAACTTGAGTAGCTCACACAACTCCCACGGCGGCTTGAGAGTGTTGGAATCTATGAGCTCTGCAAAGAAATAGTTTCTGAGATTTAAGATATGTGGCATATATCGATGGCATGACTCCCATTTGCTATGCATCCACGAATTCTCGAAGCTCTCGTGAACCCACACACCATAGAGTAGTATCACGGCCTTTTTGAAGCTGCATTGACGATCGTTGTAACTGAGAACACTTTTCAACTCATTATGAACATCTTTATCTATCGTGATTGTGTGCGAGTCTGTTTGCTTCCGGATAAATGGCAAGTTGAGAAGAGCACTTAGGTCGTTCGCAGTGCTAGATAATATGTTGGTAAGCAAGAGCCACGGACACCTCCAACACATAAAGGTCATCCTACCTCGACTCATTGGACCGGAATCCCAATTCTATAGAGAGGGTTCTGCGGTCGCTAGCATTAAATAGGGTTAAGGAGATAGAATCAGGATTGAAAAATAGCAGGTCTTTAATAAACATTGACTATTGGTATCCAGGGACTCGAAGATTGTGGACGTGGACAAGGCAGCAGTAACCTCGTTGTGCGATGTGTCTTTGTCCGTCTAGTCGTGGGAAGGGTTGCTTGGAGAGAAGCTATAACAAACAGTGAATTGAATGGTATACCGAGCAACTGGTGTGGAAAAATGTCCGATATCTTCATCCATGGGAAAAGCGTCCATATATAGAAAGAATCATTCCGTTGGCGTTTGTAATATCATGCGCTTTCCCATTGATGGTGCACGTCCTTAGTAGATAATGGCGGGGATTGAAATGCTGTTATCGAGGCCAAGGCTGTATGTTGTTTGTAGAGAGGAAAACTGCATAGTGATGGCCTCAATCGGCAACCAACAGTTCTCGGCAGACAGGCCCATCTAGGTTTGGCTTTGAATGGTATGATTGAGAATTGATGAGAATTGATTAGATGTAGTAACAATGAACGGAAAGAACTATCTATCTGAACAATATGATGGGGTTGGAAGGAGAAGGTTAAAGTCATGAACATCGTAGGTCCGTGGGACACAATTCTCGAAGTCTGACCAACTAGACAGGCAATCGGATGGCCACTTGTAAATCCTTTAGTGCTAGAGATATACAGTATCACTTTCCCATATATCATGCCCATTTTTCCGGTCTAGTCTATATCGAGATTTGCAATACCAAAGTTGGACAATGGCATCATCAGATACGATTTTGACGTTCATAGAATTGATACGAGCATCCTGAGGAATACTATCCCCTTGCTTAACCCCGTTTGACTCGATTTCGATAACTCTCTGAACGGCTGCGGTCGTTGCAGAAATCCAAGAACCCTGGTATTTGCACGCATTCAACAAAGACACGATGTCATTTCTCACCAGCCAATCGCGAGATTTTACTCCACACCATAGAAGGGCATTCGTCGCAGATATCCTTGCATAAAGCTCCGGCAATGGTACCTTTTCGGAACTGACCCGAAGGAGGATTTTTGCTAATCCAATGGCACGCTGGAAATGTGTCGTGTAATCATCAAATAACACTTCGAGGGGCTCGTGACTACTGGCGACAGCCAGCTTTATGTTGATAATCAAACTCCATAACTCGAGCAAGCTCAGCATATCGCGGTGTCGTTGTAGTATATCTCCATTTTCCAGAGCCCACTTGAGTTGACTTCGCCAAAGCCGAAGTTTGCTCAAGACTGCAACTTCGCCACGACCGATAGGTGAACACGCAGGTCCTATACTGAACCCTCCCCCTGGGTGACTCTTCACTAGCTGCCACCCAACGACCATCATGAAATGGCTATCTCTTTTAGACTCATCAATTCCCGGCGAGTTCATATTTTGGCAGATTTTAGCAATATCTGGGGAAATCAAACGCTGGTTCTCCAGGAATTTCCTTGGGTCCTCGCATGTCGAAAAATGTATGTGAACCTGGGCAAAAGCCTGTTTCAAACTTTCGCCGTTAGGGCTCTTTTCATAATCCACAGCCATCCATTCCTGGAACAGCCTATACCCAGATAGAAAATGGCAGCGGGCGGCAAAGACATCTTCTTGGAAGAGAGCTAACATCGTCAGAATAACGCAAGTCACGAGCACTGTTTCCTTGTGAATGCGACTCGACTTCTCCCGGACAAGACTATCCCGAAGACAGGCTATCGCCTTGGAAGAATGGCTAAGAGTCAACGGACTTTCTCGATCCTCAAATTGTCTCGTGTGAACCGCTTCAAATTGATGATGCCGTGCACCCATTGCTATTGCCGCATGAAGAACTGCAGGATGTTCTTCGCACATCTGATGCACCAACTGACCCCAAAATGGATCTTCAAAGTAATCCATGGCTTGGAATACCACACTCTTCTGGAAGTAATCCAAATGCCAGCGCTCGATCCAGTTGAGATGAACCTGACTTGGATTGATCAGACGAACCATAAAATTCATAGAAGGTGCGTGTGGGGCTTTATATTGTTTGTGCCCAGACATTGCAGTCTGATCGCCTGAATGGGGCTTCTCAGCTTCACGCCAGACACGGGTCCTCTTATCGGGCACCTGCGCATAGCCATCACATTTTCTACCAGTCCTCGTGCAATTCCGACATGCCGGGAGAGCCTCGTCGCACTTTTTATGACGAATTCTATATTGTAGACCCATCAGTAAGTAATTGTGGGTTATTGGGGCTGGGACTCTATGTTTCCCAAAGGGCCCATACTTGCATGTGATGCAACCAGTTCGGACTTTCGAATGCGTTGATCTTGATTTCCGCTCTTCAGACATGGCTTTCAGGTATGTCAATTCACGCCTGGATATGCAAGGTCGAAAAAACCTACAGCAAAAGAAGAGAAGATACGGGCTGCCGTCTACTCCGTACAGACCCCACTCTTGGCGCCGATCCGCCAGATCTGGTACGTGGTCAACTACATATATTCTAGACGGTTTTGTATATTAATATTGGATGTTTTATTCAATCTATGAACGGATGTTCTATAGTATTGTAGACTTTATATGCTAGGGATGTGAAATGTGTTCATGGGTGATCATTATGCCTCTGAATGTGGAGATACTCATCTCCCAGATCTATGTACCAGATAACTAGATTGATAATTGGAAGTGGACCCAGTATATCATTGGCCACTATGGAATACGCACCGATATTGTATTATTATTTCATTTGCGAAGCTGTTGTTTTACGCATGTAGATCGAAATGTGGGTTTGGCAGGGATTGGACTACTAAACCGCAACCTAAAAGAATATATAAATAGTTAGACCTGACACATGCTGAGACAAATCCTGATACATATATTGAGAGTTCTCGACACTTAAATCTCCTTCAATCCAGTGTTTGAAAGGATGATCGGCTATTAATAGATAAATGTGTAGAGGAGCGGCTTAGAAGCGCTCCGTACATAGTATCGTAAATGGAAACGGTAGAACAACCTTGACACTATGTATGTTACTGTCGAGCAGCAAAAAAAGACTGAACATCCAACATTCAGCAAGCCAAGTGGTTGAAGAATAGCTGTTATGCGCAAGCCACTCCTCAAGCCACTCCCCTTGAATCTGATGGACTCTCACGTGACACGACACGTTGTTTCACAATTTCCAAACAGCGCGGGAGGCCTGAGCTGAGATATGAAGGATCAGGGGTAACGTAGGCAATGCCACTAAGACTAGGTCTGCCTTCAGGCTGAAGTTCAGCTTCTCGGGAATATTATTAAACTCGTTACGGAGTAGACTCTGCGAGATTGACTTCAGCCGCACTCCGGACTCTTTGTGAAATCACGATGCACAGGGCTGAAAATGAAGGACCATAGTCCGGAGATCAGTGTGTGAGAAGTGTGGCAGAAGTGTTTGAGACTAAATTGCCGTACCGTGGTCAAAACAATGGGGCTATGGAGCGATCCTTAGTGGAATGCTCAGATCCGAAGCCCAGGAGAAGCTGAAAGATTGCTTGGGCCTCTTTCTCAGACAGTGGCTTTTTGTTTGCTGAGAGATTGTTGGGAGCATATAATATATCGGACTACTCCGTGGTACCGGCTTCATTAGTATCATTTTGATGGAGATTAAATCAGATTGGACGAAATTCAGGGGTATCGAGAACCTCATTGGTCGTTATTGTATGGGGAGGGAAATGAAGGTCCGCACGTTCTGGGCGCGCAGCATTGGGTCAAAGTACGGTATATCGGACATGGAGTAAGGTAGACGAGAATAGGTTGGGCATTGACCTACAATATAGGCAGAAGAAACTGGATTGGTAGAGTAATTAATCAAATCCAATTAAATGATATTCGTAAGTTGTTACGTGGGGGACCTTTTTGTGGCAGAAAGCCAAAAGTTCACCTTCATCTAGTCCTCTCTCCTTTCTCATCCCTCCACCCCCCTAATATCCAACTCCCCATGTTTCGTTGCTTTTTCTTTTCTTTTTCTTTTTGATTATTGTCTTTACTCCCGGATTTCATTTCCTTTCGCCTCGGGGCTTCCTCCGTCTGTCAAATCTCGAAATCCAACGCCCGCGAGGGGCAATCTCCCGTTTCGCTTCGCCTGTTGCGCTTAACGGTCACAACACCCGCGATTATTTATCTGAAACACCTCTGTAGCACGGCTAGCAGTGCCTGGTACGTCGAGAGATTGATGCCCATGTTCCTGGTGCATAGGCAAATAATTGCCCTCGCTATCATCCTGGTCCGACCCGCCCCATACCTGGTCAGCCCTGTCTCGGTTCTGGACTGATTGGGAGGACTGGTGTCTTACGCTTAAACCTAGTGTTGGATCACGTTTTTTTAACTCGGTTGTCTGCAGGTTCAGCCACCATTCGCCGTTCTTTCAGCCCCCTGTTGCATCTCCCCCTCCAAACCCGCACCGGCCTCCCTATCTCCCCAATTTCGGCGCCCACCGCAAATTACGCTCGACAAGAAGTATCCTAAAGGAACCGACACCAACGGCGCATGTGACTGCGAGTGAGATCTTCCGTAGCGATCACGAATCGCCCGTATACACACGATTTTGGACTTAGTCTGCGTCCCCGCCAGGCTTATATTCGCATCAATATACGGCCATAGTCGACCTCACATTTTGCGCGGTAGACAGTGGATCTCAAGATGGAGAACCAGGGCTCTTACCCGGAGTCTCCTATGGAGCAGGACGAGTCCTACCCTTGCAAAGGCTGTGGAGAGGTAGGCACAATGTGGAGCAAGCGGACAGGAACTTGACTAACCGTCCCGGCAGACTCTTGAAGAAGGGAAAGCGTTTGAGCTCGGTATGCCGGATACCTGCGGTCTTCTTTACATTTTCTCATGTCGCTAACCTCTGGTAGCTGGAAACCGATGGCACATCGACTGTTTCCGATGCAGTACATGCAGCACTCTGCTTGACTCGGACGCGCATCTCCTCCTTTTGGGCGATGGATCACTTATATGCAGTAACTGCACATACAGTTGTAGCTCCTGCAACAACAAGATCGAGGATTTGGCCATCTTGACGGGAGACCAGGCTTTTTGCGCTCAATGCTTCCGATGCCGGAACTGCAAGCGAAAGATTGAGAACCTGCGCTATGCGCGCACTTCGCAGGGTATTTTCTGCATGGAATGTCACGAATCGCTAATGGCACGAAGAAGAAAACGAAAAGCCGGCGGCAGTAGTGGGAAAAAACCAGCGGGTCCTAATGTGAAGCTGGACAAATCCTTGCCCTCGTTGCCTCCTCACCTCCTTGAAGAAGCGCAATTAATGGAGGAGGAGGCCAGCGAATATACAGGCACGCCTGACCTCAGTAGAATGGCAGAAACGCCCGATCTAAATGATGAAAGACCGGGAAGCTCAATTTCCAATCAGCAGGCTGATTCAGGTAAGAGACCCTTTTGCAGCCTAGATGTACAATCATCACAGCCCACACTTTGTCCTATTGTCGCCTATTGTCGCTACCGCCTATACTTATTGTTGTGATATCTATAAGAAGATAAACATGGCGTTTCGGAACTCTTACTTACTTCTTCACACAGATAATATTATGCTTCCCTCCAGCACATACCGCAGCAGTCGTCAATCAATTCTACGCAACACTGACGCAGATGGTGGTGAATTATTGATTCCTCTTGCCTTTGATCCTTCGGCTGAGGGTAATTCTTCCCGTGGTCACTCACAGACACGGCAGGAGCCTACCCGCGACTACTTCAATCAAGGTCAATCCGGTGAATCCTCACACAGGGCCTCACGCGACGGCCGTGAATATCTACAAGAACCAACTTCTCGAACATCTTCAGAAAATCATTCGCCCCATATTGCCTATCAGGAGAAGGGTTGGGAACGAAACGACGCCAATTCACCCGATAAAGCACCATTACCGACCTCGGATTCGTCCAAGATTGCAAAGGCAGGCTCTACTCGCAACTCATCCGATATACCAATCAGCTTCAGAGAAACGAGCAACCTTTCTGGGCCTACCAGCCCTGATAGCAGCAGATCGAAGGAATTTTCCAATGACACAAAACGACACATTCCTATGGATAACGTTACTTCGGCTACAGCTCGTTCCTCGAATGAGCTTCGTCGTCCTCACGACCACGGCTCAACGGAATCACCGCGCTCTCAACCCACCGGCTTGCCCTATTTGCCAAAACGTGGCGATTCACTTGAAAGCAAGCTTCACCAAATTCCAAGGAAAGAGCTTGGATCATCGCCTGCATCATCTCAATACGGGGACTCTCCCATGCTCCGTAGTGACACTTTCGAACAACCCATTCAACCTACTGCCTTGGACACATCACCACTTGAATCACACCAATACGATGGCGCCGGCGCATCGACCTTACTACGGTACAATAGCGGAGGTGACTTCTCTATGGACGAGGAATTATCGCGCATCATCGGTGGCGATGACACTGTCGCGCAAAATAACGAGTCATTCCTGCGGCGCGTCTCAAACTCTGTCCGCCACGGTCGAAGCTTTAGCGAGAAGAGTGTCCGGCTGAGCAAAGATCTCAAGAACCCTCGATCACCGAGCACTCGAAGCATAGCCGGAACGGATGTTGGCAGTCCCATGGCCGGATCACAGAGTGAAGAGATCGCTTGGCTTCGCAACGAGCTGCGCAAAGAACGTCTAAGAGTTGGAGAACTGGAATCAGCCGCTCGCACCGCAGCAGACGTCAAGCAGGTTAACACCGAGCTTTCTGAGAAACGATCTACCATGGTCGTCCTGGACGCCCAGCGTGAGATCGTTCTACGTGAGCTCACGGTTCTCACTGATCATATGGAGGCTGAAAAACGCGGTGGTCCCAGTGGACCGTTGGATCTTGGCAAACTCTCGAACCATGTGTTGCGCGAGCTGGCAGAGTCCATTCAAAAACTGAAAGACTCGTATGCCCCGCAAATTGAAGACCTTATGCAAAAGCGCATTAACCTGTCGGAGGAACTGGAAGCCATGAACACTCGAAAGGAGAGGAGCTTCCAGGAATTCGAGCAATTGTCTATGAAGAACGCACAGCTAGCTGAGTTGAACAATCAGTTGGTTCACCAGATCCAAGAACTCTACAAAGCCACAGAAGGTCAACCGCGATCTAACGGTCTAGGCATCTCGCACAACAAGCAAAGGTCCACAAACTCCATTGAAGTGATGAAACCTTCCTTCAACGACTACCAGGGATCTGTGTCGACTGCTCTCATTTCGGAGGAGTCCGAGCCTGCTACAGCTACTGTTGTGCCAGGCCCCCAGGTTGTCAGCATTCGCAAGGGCCAGCCTCGCAAGTTTAACTGGAAAAAGGGTGGACAGAACGTCGCCAAAGGTGTCAAGGGTCTCAAGGGAGCCTTCATGTCTAGTGAAGGAGGACAGGCACAGGAGGGTGGTGGTGGTATGCCGCGTTCCCAGACTCAAGACCCGAGTCGTCAAGGCTTTGGGTTCTTTGGAAACCAGAGAGGCAAGCAGGGAGGAAAGATGTCGCAAGCTGACAGCGTGCCTGTGTTGGCTGAAGTTGCTGCTGATGGTATGTGCCCGATCCTGCGGTTGAGGATGATATCAGTATAAGCTAATGATTTTCAGCTCTTTTCGGCACCGAACTTGAGGCTCGCATGGAACACGAAAAGAGCATCATTCCAGCCATCGTCACGCGGTGTATCCAGGAAGTTGAATTGCGAGGTATGTTTTTTTCGGTCGTTGTTTAGTCGCTTGCTATACTAACGAATACAATTAGGCATGGACATGGAAGGCATTTACCGCAAGTCCGGTGCCGCTTCAGTCATCCAAACTATTCGTGAAGGCTTTGAACGCTCTCCATTTGATTACGATATCTCCGACCCTGACCTCGATATTCATGCTGTCACATCTACTTTGAAGCAGTATTTCCGAAAGCTTCCTAACCCACTGATCACTTACGAAGTTTACGAACTTGTGATCGATTCTGCCGAGGTTAGCCCTATGTCTGCGCGAATTGAACTCCTGCAGAAGAGTCTACTCGAACTGCCTCGCGTGCACCGCGACGTCCTGGAGTTCCTCATCTTCCATCTCAGACGCGTGGTCGAGCGCCACGAAGAGAATTTGATGACCAGTCAGAATGTTGCAGTGGTCTTTGCGCCGACAATCATGCGACCTGAAAGTCTTGCCCGTGAGATGACTGACGTCCAGAAGAAGAATGATGTCCTCAAGTTCCTAGTGGAGAACTGCCAGGAAGTTTTCATGGGCATGCAGGGGTAGGGTCGAAGTACTCCTCTTCTCAACCTCTCACATTCACTTCATCTCTCACTCTCGCATCATCATGCCTCGATTGTCCCAGTTCTTGGACTTGATATTGAAACATGCATTATTCTTCATCAATCCTACCTGCTCTATTTCAAAACTTTGTCCCCTCCCTCTATTTATTTTTTGTACAGGTACTCCTACTTCCCCTCCGCTCCGCTCCTACTTCTCTACTCGGTTCACGTTCAGCGCTGCACGCTCGATACAGATACCCTGTCTTGCCTTTTTCTCTCTTTCTTCATGCCCAACTTTTTCCTACATATTCTGCAGATTCGAAGCTAGTGATTTCCCCAACCCTGGCTGTCGTCGAATCTAGCCTCACTGGCTGTTCCGGTGACCAAAATTCCTTATGGGTGGTTCACTTGCTGTCCTTTGAGGCACGTCGGTGTTTTGTTTGTTTCCGACTCTGAGCGAGCATTGAATCTTCTTCTAGCGTTATGCATCTCTATACAGCACTTCAAGTGAAATGCGGTAGTAGCTGCCATGGTATTCATATACGTTAGTTAGGCTCTTAGTATGATATCATGAATATTTGATTTGACATTAAACATTATCATGGGTTACGCATGGAAAAGTCGTTGGGAATTGTGCTTTTAACAGAGATTCTACGTTTGTGGCAAAGGATTATGACCACTGCAGGGGAAGAAACATCGATAATATAATGTCTTTCACATAATTATTAGCATCACGATCAGATTCCTAAAATTCCACATCAATGATAGAGGTATAAGCGACTTTCTTGTAAACGTAAGTGTAGACGTGCAAGGTGGACATGGCTGGTCCAAGCACCCACCGCCTACGACATCGAGGCCACCCGAGCTCCCCCCCTCAACCCCGAAAACGCTCCCAAGCCTTGTCGAAGGCCCTTGAATTCCCCGAATACATAATCAACCATGTCCAAACCAAGCAAATATCTCCTCCTTTCTCTCCCATCCTCCATCGTCCCCTCGCACCACCGCGACGACGCCCTCGAAGCAGTCTCGACCACCGTCTCCCCGGACAATGGCTCCACCACCTCCTTCCCCATCCCGGAGTTCAAGATCGGCACGCTAGATGCTCTTGTCCAGCAGGCGGACGAGCTGTCCAAGCTCGAGGCTTCCTGCCAGAGTGTCGTCGCCAAGGTCGGCGATGCGTTGAAGAACATCCTCGAGGACGAGGCGCAGATTGAGCAGATGAAGGTTGTCAATGATAGTACGTCTCCAGCTTGGTATTGATCTGCTTGTGCAGGGGAAACACAGCACAGTCTTGGAGGAGATATCTCTAGGTTCTAGGTTCTGACTGCCTACAGAACCAGTCGATCAGTACCTGCGTACTTTCCAATGGAACAAAGTCAAGTACAGGGCCGATAAGTCCTTGGCGGAGCTGATTGATCTGCTGCAGAAGGTTTGTTGCGCCGCGCATAGAAATGAGTGGTCTGCCTGGCTTGGAGTTGCATTCTAATGCTTTTTGTCTACTACAGGAAGCGTCCAGCATCGACAACGACATCCGATTCAAGTACTCCCAATATAACCAGGTCAAGAACACGCTGTCCACACTGCAGCGGAAACAAATGTACGTTGACAGCGACGGAGACTGCAGCGTGTGCATATAGCATACGAGATCCAGAACTAACCCGTTCTACACAGAGGCAACCTCTCAACCAAGTCCCTCGCCTCAGTGGTCGACCCGAAATCCATCATCCAGGACTCCGAATACATCGAAACCCACCTCGTCGCCGTGCCCGCCCAGCTAGTAAAAGACTTCCTCAAGACCTACGAGACCGTCGCGCCAATGGTGGTCCCGCGGTCCGCGGAGCTGGTCGCTTCCGACAGCGAATTCACGCTGTACGCTGTGACAGTGTTCAAGAAGCACAGCGTCGAGTTCGTGCATAAGTGCCGTGAACAGAAGTGGATCCCGCGCGACTTTAAATATGTCGAGGGTGGAAAGGAGGAGGAGCGCAAGGAGGTGGAGCGCGTTGGTGGTGATGAGCGTAAGGTATGGGGCGAGACGCTGCGACTCGGTCGCACGGCTTGGAGTGAGGCTGTTATGGTCTGGATTCATATCTTGGTTCTGAGGGTGTTTGTCGAGACGGTGCTGCGGTATGGATTGCCGTTGGATTTCGTCTGCGCTTTGGTCCGGGTATGTTTATGTTCTCTCTACTCTGCTTTTCGTTGGATTTTGCAATTGGCAATCGCTGACGTTATTTACTTTATACAGACACAAACTACCAAGCAAGCAGACCGCGCGAAGCAAAACCTCGAGAATAAATACTCGTATCTGGCGGGCAATGCCTTTGGGCGGGACAAGAAGGGCCGTATGCAGCGAGATGATCCTGGCGAGATGCACCCAGGTGGTGAGGGCAGCGCTGACTACACGCCGTATGTGTTTTATGAATTCGAGTTCAACTAAGGTTGCCTATTCGAGGCATTGCAGGAGATACAAAGCTTCGAGAAGACGTTGCGTACATATACCACTTTGGTACATCTAGCACAAACTAGCATTGGATTTTTTTTTACATCGTTTCAATGGCCACGCATTCAAGCGAACTTTAACCGCAAAATGCGATCAGATCCCCATTACCCATTCTCAGCCCAGCTCATAAAATGCAATGTGCAAAAGCGATCTATATTGTCCACGTAATATGTACAACAAGCGGGAGGGGAATCAAGCACAAAAACACCATATCCAATCCGCTGTACAGGACTCTCTTTATGCAAAGCCGACCGTAGATACAACCGTCAAATCTCAATCATATCCCAATCCCAATCCCAAAGAACAGAACCAAAGAAACTACCTTACTCCTTCTTGGCAGGCAAGTAACCCTTGGAGTCAAGGTAATCAATAATCTGCTTCACGGCATCCTGAACAGGCAACTCATAGTTCTTAACATGAACCTCAGGGTTAGCCGGCGCCTCATAAGGAGCCGAGATACCCGTGAACTCCTTAATGACACCCTCACGGGCCTTCTTGTACAGACCCTTAGGGTCACGCTGCTCAGCCACCTCAACGGGGACATCAACATAGACCTCGACGAAAGGCAGACCGGTCTCCTCGCCAGGTGTGGCAACCTCGTGCAGCTGGCGCGCAGTGTCACGATCCTTCCGGTAGGGCGAGATGAAAGAAGTGATGGCGATGGAGTTGGAGTCGGCGAACAGCTTGGCGACCTCTGCAATGCGACGGATGTTCTCGTTGCGGTCGGCCTCGCTGAAGCCAAGGTCCTTGTTCAATCCAAACCGGATGTTGTCGCCGTCAAGGCGGTAGGCGTGAATGCCGCGGTCGCGGACGAGCTGGTGCTCGAGCTCGACGGCCAGAGTAGACTTGCCTGAGGCGGAGAGTCCGGTCAGCCAGATTGTCAGACCTTGCTGGTTGCGCAGCTCGGTGCGCTCGCTGCGGGTCAGGGCGCTGGCGTGGAAGGTGATGTTGCTGTTTGGTTTTGGTTAGATTGGGAATAGGTAGATTGCCATTGGGGGTTATTTGGACTTACGAAGACATTTTTGAGGGTATGTGGATTAATGAAGAGAAAGAAAGTTGAAATTGCCAAAAGTCATAGAAATAGGGAGGGGCAGAACGGCCGCGTCACAGAAGATGTGATCATCGCGGGGTGTCGCCATTGCTTGGCGTTTTCTTTTTACTTTTATACCTACAGGGGTATATTTTATAGTATATTTTATATTTTATAGTATACAGTCTTATATCTTATATTGTCCTTTATATTAGATCCGAAATACAATATTTACACATTCAATCTAAACCCATATACAAATATAAAAGATCTATCTAATCTCTTGAATTCGCCATGACGCCAGGAACCAGGAACAGGAACCAAATGCAGAAATTTCAGAGATTTCCAATCACGCCACTTTGTAGAGACTCGAGAGCGCCTGGAGAAAAATTAGCCACCCGGAAAAGTCAAAATTTCCCTTCAACTTCAACTTACAGCAGCTTGTCGAGGCTCGATGAACAAAGCCTTAGCCTCAACCAAAACCACCGGCTCCGTCCCATCACTCGGAAGAGTCTCAATACGACCTTCCACCCACGCCTTGCGACCCTCAACCTTAACCGTCTCCGCGCGGAGGGCAACATACTGATTCGCCATAGCCGGAGCCCGATAATCAATATTCAGATTAGCCGTAACACCGACTTTATTAGGCAGAGCCGGGAAACAACAACGCGCCAGACCCTCATCCAACAACGTAGCTAGTAGACCGCCGTGAATAATGCCCTGGTGCCCGCAGACGTCGCCACCGAGATACATGAGCGAGATCATGGTCTTGCCCCCGCGCTCGCTGAATACATATGGCGGCACGACAATCTTCCCGGGTCCAGCTAGCGTTCCGGCTGTAAGGTTGCGTTCGCGCAAGGGTTCTGGGATTGTGAGGTGTGGGCGTGATTCGCTGAATTCGGGGTTCGCGCGGAGAGCCTCGGCGACGGGGTGGGTGCGGATTGCGTTATCGATCTCCGAGGTTGCGGAGTCGGTGGCAATGAATGCGGTTAGGGTCTCCTCGTCGGTTGGGGTGGCCATGATGCGTGAGAGGGTGCGTTGGGTTTGGTACGTTAGACCGATTGTGAATGCGAAGACGGCGATTGAGGTGAAGCCGATAAAGCGCCGGAGACGAGAGCGCTGCCCTTGGGGAGGTGGAGATGGGTATGTAGAGGCGGAGGGACTCGGTGCTAATATTACCGGGTAAGTTTTCTTCTGTTGCAAAGGGTGCTGGGCCGTTTCTGGCTTACCGGTAGAGTAGGACCGGGTATAGGGTCGCTTCGGAGCAGCGGAGAAAGAGTCGCGGATAAGGAGTCGTGAAGGAGAGAGCGTGGAGGGGATGGAAATGTGTCGAAGAGAAGAAACAGAAGTAAAAGATCGACGGAACATCGTAAATTATAAAGAGCGAAAGAATTCCAGAAAAATTCCAAATTTAGAAATCTAGAAGGCGAAGTTGTTAAGAAAAGAGTGGTTGAGGACAACACAAAGTGGATTTGGGTCACATTTGCCTCGGCATCTTCACTTCACCGAGAATATCCTTATTTTATGTTCATAACTTCTCGGGATAGAATGTTATATGGATCATATATTAATTATTAGATTACTAAAAGGGTTCTTATTGTTTCTCTGGCTTTATAATTGGGAATCGCAATACACATATGTCTACGGAGCACTCCGTAGCTAGCCATACAACATTTAAAACAACTTAGTACAGTAGGTGGCAGCCCTATATCTTAACAACCACAATATTATTCGATTTCATTGTTACTTGGTATGTAGCTATTGATAAGTCTTGTTAATATTATGTATCAACTTCAAGAAAGTCGAAAATCTTCAGTATCATTGTATGGAAAACCACGTTGTAGAAGCTGGAGATGTATATATCGCAATCACAAAGTCATGAAAATTCTCCAAACTCCCTAGACAGGCTAGCTATCACCTAAAAAGCATTAACGTATAAGGAACGCTTTGCATATATTATTGTTGAGATATCAAGTTGTAATTTATGGCATTTGCTATGTCAAGGGACTTTTGAGGTAATTCACCGCTTATTTCCTTATTAATGGCAAACGGGGCATTCAATTTCTGGTCGAAAGGTACATAAGCAAGGGATATGAAGTTGATTGAATTGATCTACCGACCCTCCGGCATGTTTCCCATCTTAGAAGACCGGCGGCACTTCTCCGCAAGAGCTATCCCCGAAGGAAATCCTCCGTGTATACGGAGTACTCGTGCGGAGGTCCTTGGCATTGCATATACGTTGAACATTCAATGTCTTATCCCACCGGAAAAATATAATATTAAAAGGAACTCATTGTTAGGCCACTGCACTCATGTTTCAGTCAACGCCTGCTGAATAGCTAAATCAACTGGCCTTTCCACGAGACTTTCTATCCAACGGAGCAGTTCAAAATGATACACTCCAAGGAGTGGCAGAAACCATTCGCTATATTGTTCTACTTTTTTCTTTCGCTTTCCCCCCTTCGTCAATGGAAAATCCAACTTAAACATCAAGGATGTTGGAGCCCAGGCTTTTGCATTCGATCTTGGCGGGGTCGAATTGGCCCAAGACCGCTTCCTGGAAAACCAGGACCGCACCCTTAGATATTTGAAAGAAATAGATGTTGACAGACTACTTTATGTCTTCCGGAAGACCCACGGACTATCTACACAGCAGGCAACGCCTAATGGTGGCTGGGATGCTCCGGATTTCCCGTTCCGCTCGCATGTCCAGGGTCATTTCCTCAGTGCCTGGGCTCAATGCTATGCTGTACTCCGTGACCAAACATGTTATGATCGAGCGACCTACTTTGCTGCTGAGCTGGCAAAATGTCAGGCCAACAACAAGGCTGCTGGTTTCACGGACGGATATGTATCTGGCTTTCCGGAATCAGACTTCGCAAAACTCGAGAACAACACCCTGACAAACGGCAATGTCCCGTACTACGCGGTGCACAAGACTCTTGCAGGCCTTCTCGATATCTGGCGCTTGACAAATGACACTACCTCTCGAAACGTCTTACTGTCCCTAGCCAGCTGGGTTGACAAACGTACTGAAGCATTCAGTTACGATGTAATGCAAAAAATGTTGCAAACGGAATTTGGCGGTATGAACGAGGTGATGGCTGATATCTACCACCAAACTGGTAACGAGAGATGGCTTACCGTTGCCCAACGCTTTGATCATGCCCTTATATTCGACCCCCTTGCGGCTAACAAAGATCAGTTCGACGGTCTACATGCGAACACTCAAGTACCAAAGTGGATTGGAGCCGCTCGCCAATACAAAGCCACTGGAAATTCTCGTTACCTTGATATTGCCCGAAATGCCTGGGAAATCAACGTCAAATCACACACGTACGCCATCGGTGGTAACAGCCAAGCCGAACACTTCCATGCTCCAAATGCCATCGCTGCTTATCTTACCAGTGACACATGTGAAGCATGCAATTCCTACAACATGCTCAAGCTGACGCGCGAGCTGTGGCTTCTTGATTCAGAGAACTCGGCATATTTCGATTTCTACGAAACCGCCTTACTCAACCACCTGCTGGGCCAACAGGATCCTCATGATGACCATGGCCACGTCACTTACTTCACCCCTCTCAACGCTGGAGGTCGCCGCGGTGTTGGTCCCGCATGGGGTGGCGGTACTTGGAGTACGGACTACGACTCATTCTGGTGCTGTCAAGGAACGGCACTCGAAACAAACACCAAGTTGATGGATTCGATCTACTTTTACAATGACTCGACCTTGTTTATCAACTTATTCATGTCCTCTGTCTTGAAATGGCCGGAGATGGGTATTACCCTGAAACAATCTACGACTTACCCCGTCGGCGATAAATCGAAACTGGAAGTCCTCGGTAGTGGTGACTGGACAATGAATATCCGCATCCCGGCATGGGCATCAAGCGCAGAGCTGACGCTGAATGGGAAAGCTTTGCCTGGTGTTAAAGCTAATCCTGGGACATACGCTCGAATCTCGCGCACATGGGCCGATGGAGATGTCGTTGAGATCCGCTTTCCCATGACTCTGCGTACGGTGGCTGCAAATGACAATTCAAGTATGGTTGCAATTGCGTATGGGCCAACTGTCTTGTGTGGCAATTATGGAGACCAAACACTGAGTAGGACTCCTACTCTCGCCCTTGACTCTATCAAACGCTCCGGGGATTCTAGCCTTGACTTCACATCCATCGCAGACGGAAAAAAGGTTAAACTGAGTGCGTTCTATGATGCTCAGGGATACAACTATAACGTATACTGGGCTACCACCGGAAGTCTCCACGCTGCGTAGTGGCTCAGAATAGATCTTCGGAAAAGGAAGCACTCCTTTTTCAATCAACTATCTTATTATTAATTTGGTCATCCTTAATGTTTACGTATTCTAAAAGACGAGAGTAAATGGTTGGAGGTACTAGCTTTGAAGTCTGGGCTAGAACGATAGCAATAAACAGGCAACGAATTAACGAGGCAGACAATTTGGTCAATTAATCTCTAAGCACACTATTGTTTTATACTTGCTCATTCCACCGGTCTGGCCTAACCAATTGTATGGTGTCTAGCTTAACTGCCCAGAGCATTTGGTGTATGAAAGAAGTAAATAAATTGTTTACTTTTAGACCCAATCACGCGAAGATCTCATCTGCAGGACTCGGGTTAATGTAGCCCGTCAATAGCCGACCCCTGTATGTGACCAAATGCCTTCTTGCTTGGATAGGAATAGGGCATGTCTATCATTTGGCATGGAAAATACTGATCAGGACATGAAACTAGTGGCTGAAATGTGGGGTCCCCGGATTGTTTCCTTATAGATATACTTGAGAGCTTCATCTTGTCTCGGGTGCAGGAATTCCTTCAGCTTCAAAACTCATCTCATCCAGTATCGAAGATATTCGAGGTCATGACTTTTCTCCCCATCTCAGCCTCGCTTCTGGGCCTCGCGGCTTCGGCTTTGGGCTTGAGCTTCAATGTTCCTACATCGCCGCCTTCAAACTCGAGTGGGCAGCTCTCTGCAGCTCCAGTTGGTGTATCGTGAGTCTCGATCCAAGTCATTGATGGATATACTTACTCATTGTAAAGTCTGGAGTTCTTTGCGTTCCCAAAGTACATTCAAGAGGTCGAATCAACGATGACATGTCTGCAGAACCTGAAGGATCTGACAGGAACATGGCCCCCGATGAGGATCGGAGGCACGACTCAGTATGTATGACCTTGTTACGGGTTAATATATATTGCTAACAGTACGTAGGGATCGGGCGACGTATGATAGCTCGTCGACAGAGGCTGTCACTTATACAGTGGCCAGCGCAGGTGCTGCGCCCGAGACACTGACTTACGGACCATCGTTTATTTCTTTGGCTGCAAGCTATGCCGGAGAAGTCATTATTGGATTGAATCGCCGTTTGGATGATATCTCCAACACAATTTCGGCCGCGCTTCTTGTCCAGAGCAAAATGGACAACCTATATTCCATTGAACTGGGAAATGAGCCCAACTGTAGGTCTTTAATCACTTCCCTTTGGTTGTGTAAACGCTAATTGAGCGTTCAGTTTTCGTCGATAGCGATCCTATTGCCAATGGTGCATCCTGGACAGCTGCAGCAGATGAAGCATCCCAAGTCAACTGGCAAGATGCGGTGTGCGGAAATCTCTCTGCAACTGCTATCATCTCAGCAGGTGTCTATTTTGGCACTTCACCCATGAGCCTCGTCAGCCTTACAGCGAAAGAAGGTGATGCGGATGACCATGTGAAGGATTATTGCTCTCACAACTATCCTCAGTCATCTGGCTCCTACAACCTAGCCGCTCTCATGGGCCACAGCGATATTGCCACCCAGATCGAGCCTTATGCTGCTGAAATCTCTGCTGCTGCTGGCAAAGGCAAGCCGCATATCTTCGGCGAGACCAACTCCGGTATGCTATAGCTCACTGTCACTTGATGGAAATGCTAACAAATACCCAGCAACCCAAGGTGGTGGTGGTATCAGCCCGACTTTTGGTGCTGCTCTCTGGATTTTGGACTACGTGATGCAGACCGTCCTGATGGGCACAAATGCCCTCTACTTCCACCAGGGTACCGTTGGAAACTGTAAGTTCTCCATCAATTCTTACTACCTTACCACAATCTAACCCTCAAGGCCAATACTGCTGGTGGGGTCGCTACAGCATGGGCTCCCCTTACTATGGTGCTTATTTCGCCACCATGGCGCTCGCCAACGCCGACCAGATTGCGCCCCTGGATACCCAAGATACAGCATACGCAGCCTATGCCATCTACAAGGCTGGCACTCCTGTCCGGGTCCTTCTCTACAACTCCGATTACTTTATCTCTACCAGCGGAACGCGCTCGTTGCAGACATACACCCTGTCTGGGCTTACGTCCCCCAGTGTCACTGCTAAACGGCTGACTGCCCCTTACGCCACGTCTCGGGTTGATCAGGGCCAAAACCCGACCGTTGCAGGTCAGACGTTTGTCAATGGCACTTGCACTATTCAAGGTACAGAGAGCGTGGAGACAGTGACTGTCTCCGGCGGGAAAGCAACCTTCACTGTTGCAGCTTCAGAAGCTCTTTTGGTTTACCTGTAATTACTCGGTCTTAGTTTCCTAGAAAGGAATTCGGGGCAGTCTTCGCCCGAAAGGTCCAAGATTCAGGATGGAATGTGGGGATTGGATTTCCTCCTATAGGCGCTACGCCGGGGAATCTCTAGTTAGGGCTAGTGGGAGTTTGCGGGGTAGAGGCCCTTTGCATTCAATTCAATAGCAAATTTTCCTTTTGAATATCCATTGTGTGCTCTGCGAGTAGTAAAGTAGGAATAGAAAGCTTATAAAAAACAAATATTGGTTTAGAGCAATTCCTCGAGGGTTGTAATAGCCAGAGGCAACACTATCGTCCATGCAGGGATGCATGCCTCAACCCCGAGACCATAATGAGCTCCAAGCCTTGTCTCATCTTGTTAGTCTCTCCATAAATGATAGTCAGCCACTAGCTAATAGCTTCGGTATAATTCAGAGCGAAACAATTGCCGCTCATTTGGGCACTCACTAGGAAGCTTTTTTCACAAGCCAAAACAGCCACTCACGCTGAAAACGACCCATGAGAACCTGTAAAATAGCGAGTCGGCAAATGAACCACGCGGATTTAGCCTTGTAGGTTCTGATTTGTTAATGGAGTCCCACACAGTAGTCCAGGTAGCTGAGCTCCTTGTCGTAAATAGAGTTGGCAAACCGGTCCTTGTTAGCGCTCCAAGCTCGGCCAAAGAGCTGGAAATATAAAGATTACCAGCTACTCATCTTCAGTTGATAGAAACTTGCGATTTTTCTTTCCTTGGGCACATACTTTGTCTACTTATATCCACGATGGATGTTTCCAAGGCCAACGCTGAAAATATCGAGGATGCTTCTTCCTACCAGGGAGATGCCATGCCCACGAAGAGCATGGGGCCCATTATGCGATCTCGCGAAGACGACCTTGGTGTCTGGCAGTGTGTGCGACGGTTCAAGACCGTGTCGCTGATTGCGATGACTGCGGCATTTAGCGCATCGCTGGATGGTTACCGTAAGCTACTGCTTTCGCGACCAGTTAGCTTTGAATTATACTGATTCAATCACAGAAATCAATCTTAATGGCGGTATTGTCTCCAACAAAGGTTTTATTCGACAGATGGCGTCCCCGGGCACATCGATCATTGCAGGGAAATACATCTCTGCATGGGGAGGTGTCCAATCCGCCGGTCAAACTATCGGTCAAATTGTACGTCTTTTGGATCTCTAAGGTTGGTTTGGCATGTCACTAACTACTCTCCAGCTCCTCCAATATGCCACGGAAAAGTTCGGTCGGAAAATCGCGTTCTACATAATCTGGCTCGACATTGTTGTCAGCGTGTTTATTGAATCTTTTGCAACAAGATGGGATCACTGGCTCGCAGCGAAACTCTTCTCTGGAATGGGTGTCGGTATGCTGCAATCCACCTTGCCTCTCTACTTGTCGGAAATCGCCCCGACTCAGCTACGAGGTTTCTATATCAACGCGTACAGTTTGTGAGTTAAGAGCATGGCAATTCTGGGTTTTTATTTGCTGATTCTTTCTAGCTGGTTTGTGGTTGGCCAGATCTTCGCCTCAGTCGCACTCCAGGAACTCAGCGCAAAGGACCGTTATGAATTCCGGGTTCCTATCTATACACAGGTTCGTGGTATCTCCTGTCTATCATTTAGCTTTCATGGTCAACATATTCACTAAAACAATTGCTACCGTCAGTGGGCTATGGTTGGTATCATTATGATCATCTTCGTCTTCATCCCAGAATCACCCTGGTGGCTCGTGAGCAAAGGCAAAATCGACAAGGCAGCCAAAGTCTTAACTAGGTGTAATGGCAATGTTGAGGGATACAGTGTTGACGAGCAGATTGTACGTCATTTTCCCCTGTCGATCGTGTTTAAATCAAGCTCTAACATCCAATTTAGGAAGTCATGACTGCCACAATTGCAGAGGAGCGTATCCTCGCAGAGCGTAACTCCGAAGAGGGAACATGGGCTGTGTTTCAGGGCCGCAATCGCCTCCGTTTCTTTATTGCTGCTTGGCCTAAGATTGCCCAGCAGCTTGTCGGCTTGTCCGTGTTTAACACCTACGCTACATATTTCTGTGAGTACTAATGGTTTTATACCCTTCTTTCATGTTCGTGCTAATTGCTCTAGTCCAATATGCCGGCAGCAAAGATCCATTCATGGTAACGGTTATTCTATCTTGTGTCCAGTTGATATCTATGATGATGACTGCTGTCACCACGGACAAGTTTGGTCGTCGTCCGTTGACAATCTACCCCTATGCAGTTACATCTGTGTCAGTTTTGTGCCTCGGGATTATTGGCTGCTTCGATTATACCAAGCCATCAACAAGCTCACTTCTGGTAGGTCCATTCTTGAAAATTCAGCACGCCTGTATCTTTGGCAAACTTACTAACTGTGCCTAGATCTTCTTCGCTTGTTTGGCAACTTTGTCCACCACTGGTGCGTCGGCTATTGGTTATGCCTATGCCGCTGAGATCCCCCAGCAACGCTTGCGTGCAAAGACAGCAGGTTGGGCTCTTGCATCCTCGAACTTGGTCGCTATTATGTTCAGTTTCTGCACGCCGTTGATGATCAATAATGCACCGGTCTCACACTGGGGTGTCAAAACTGGTTTCTTGTGAGTTCTTCTGTTATCTTGTTCAAGCCCAGCTTTCCACGGCAAAATACTGACAGGCTCTGTCTCTCACAGCTTTGCAGGTACAGGTACACTTGCGGTAATTATCGCTTGGTTCATTCTTCCAGAAGTGACACGCCGCACACCGGCTGAGATTGATGAGATGTATGTCAACCTTTTACCTGATATCCTTTAATAGACGTGACTAATGCGTTTTATTTTCCAGGTTCGAGAAGAAGGTCAACCTTCGGAAGTTCAAGGGTTATGTCACTGAAGTGCAGCTGCGCTCGGATGAGCAACGCGAGGACCATGAGATGGCAGTTACAGCTTAAGTGTAAGGGAAAGGAAGAGACTAAGATGGAATAGTACATTATGGGCTATTTAATATTAATTGAACTGTTTATCGTATCTCTCCAACTGTCCTTCCCACCAGGTATGAACTGTTCCATGTTTTGAGGCTGATTGATCAATATAAATCTCAACATCTTTGGTTTCATTATCTATTGACTTGAGAAAGACACTGACTTTATTTTACTCCTTAAAAACAAAGCTGAGACGATCCACAACCCCATGTTCCTCCTCCTTGCCTCCCGGCAATCGACTCACAACCCCAACCGCCTTCTCAAGCCTAAGCTCGACAATCTTCTCATTTCCAGAGAGCTTCCATGAGATTGTAGCTAGATTTTCCTTACCCAGCGCCACCTTCGCTTCCAATGCCCCAGTCAACCGAAGCCTAGGCGTGAAAGATATCCTCGACGAGCCAGCAGCGACCGGTTGCACACCCGCCAGCTCAGTACAGTACTCATAAATTGGCACACTCCCCCAAGCATGACAATCAGACCTCTGTCTGACATCATCCTCCTCCCAAGTCGAAAGGTTATTCACTAGCATCCCCCGCCACGGCGCCCACATCCTCTCCCAAAACGCCTCATACAGATCCTCGCCAGCCAAAGCAAGTGCCCGGAAAGCATAGAACCGCATCATATACGAACACTTTGAGAAGCGATCATTTGTAAACGATTCAGTCAAGATCGGCACAGAGTCTTCGGCCCTCGCCGCTCCACAGATAACAGCGAAAACTTGACAGTGCTGGGAATACGACAGCTCATCGGCAACATCCGCCGTCGAGTCGGTAAAGAATTGTCCATCATAGCAATGAGTCCGAATAGCCTCTAGTAACGATGTCGCCCTCGTTTCATATTCAGCAGCATGTCCCGGCCGACCAACATCACGCACCAGACCAGCAACCTTCTGCAGAACCCACGCATATAACATACTGAAATAAGTGTGACGATTGGATTCCCGTCCGGAGGTCGGAACGCCTTTGTCAGGATGGTCGTCTGTGGCTCCCCAGGTCGTCACCCAGTCAACGTATTGCCAAACGACTTCAGGCAGTCCGCTGACGAGACCCAGCTCGTCGATGTGGGCATCGAAGAAGTCGAGGATGCCGTCGATGCGCGGGATAAAGCCTCGCGCGAAGCGGGTATCGCCGAAGTATAGGTGGTGGTCGCAGACCTGCAGGATCCAATATAGGGAGAATCCGGCTATAACTTGCGGTACGTGTGAGGGGAAGCGGGACTGCGTGAGTCCTTCGGGTGTGACTGAGGCGGCGAAGTTTGTAATTGCTTGGCGCATTAGTTGGTCGTCACCGGAGAGGAGGTAGTGGAATAGACCAACGGACCGGCTGTCTCCGGAGTATCTGGATTGTTAGCCGGGGTATGAATTTGGGAAGTTTGTGAGGCTCACTGTAATTGTTCGTAGAACGGGCAGTCGGAGTAGCCGTCGAACATGCAGTTTCGCATTGTCCGGATGGAGACGTCCCAGATCTGCTCGCTGTGGGCATCGCCGGGCTCCTTCCAGCTGGCTTTGACGGCCATGGGGTAGTTGACCTGAGTGGCATCGAATGATATCAGCTCGATTGGCTCAGGGCCGACAGTGATTTCGATCCTCAGGAGACGGAAGGTTCGGAACCAGAATGGCTCGTAGACGACAGTATCGGTGTTGGGAAGATCGAGTGTCACCTCGTCGTATGGCCCGATAATGTGGCCGACACTTGCATCCAGTCGGTCGGCCTTGGAGCGGAAGAAAGGGTACGATCGAGGCTCGAGCTCATAGCCTTCTGAGTGTGTCACTTTGAGTCTGATATGAGAAGTGCTTTTGGCTGCCTTGAAGGCCCATCGAAGGAATGCGGTCGAATGAACATCCGCTTGCACTTCAAGGGTATGAGTTGAGCTCGCAGAAAGGGCGAGAGAGTGATTCCTTGCAAAGAAGGATGTCCAATTGCTGGCCTCGATCGCACTGTCGCATGCTCTGATGGTTTCTACCACAGCTGACGTTGACTCGGGCATGGGGATAGAGCGTGGGCGCAAATGCCAGGGTGGAATATCGCCATTGAGCGTCTTTATCTTGTAGGCAAACGGTCTCACAGCAGGACCGGAGGTTGTAGGATTAATGCGCTCGCTGATCTATGAAAGAAATGTCAGTGCAATCCAGGAGGGCTTCGATCCTGAGCCAGTCTTACATGAAGGAACACATCATCAGCCAAACCCATCGGAAACTGAATGCTTTCATCCACAGATGCCATCCAACTCTTGGACGAAGCAAGATCAATGACCTCCCCGCCTGTCTCAATATTTCCAATAACTGTTAAGCCTGGAAGAGGCGTCCGCACAAAGGGCATTGCGCTCCTCAAAGCCGCGAAGTACCGGACAACCACAAATCGAATCTCATTCTGTCCCTCTTTTAGGTAGGGCGCAATGTCAAGCGTATCATAGTACCAGATCAACGGACTGCTGCGAGTCGGTCCGACGGCAATATGCTTCCCATTCACATAGAGCTTGTAACGCGTGTCGGCTGAGAAATGAAGTACTGATTTCGTCGGTCGCGACGACAAATCAACATTCCGCGTAAAGTGAACTATCTTGCCAGCTGTGTTCGCGCTTGAAGAGTCAGTCCAGTTTGGGACCCAAATCCAGTTCGCCTGGAGCTCGTTGATTGTCTTTTCAGCCACAATATGTCAGTAATCCACTCCATAAAGCTGGAGATACAAGTCAAGTACCTTTTGTTCTGCTTCTGAGATCATTTTTCCTCGTTGCGTTGTGGTTTTCGTTCATCTCGGTAGTTCGAGCTTGTATAACCTCCGGTGGGGTAGGGGCCGGCGGGGGTTCGGGGGATCTCACAACGAGGAGGAACGGCTGTCGGCGATTGAATTCAAGGTGTGTATAAGCGTTTACAATGAACAATAACACTAAGGTAAGAGAAATGTATTATTGGCTTTCTTTCCTCATTTTTCTCCGTTAATATTGAATACAAAGGTATCAAACAAGCATAGAGCCACTTGCCACTTGCACTACAGCAAGCTTTCATGAACCGCATGATATCAATTGAGCCATGGGATTCTAGCCTGAAGATAGAAAGTCATGGCTATCCCATGAAGCGAAAAACAAGATCAATTCTCCTCCTCATCATCCTCCTTGTCCGTCTCTTCGATGTCATCCCTCGCCTGAAAAACCGACCAAGGCCTATCGGACGTGCCGCTGGGGGGAAAGGATGTCAGAGAGATGGTAAGTGATGTGGAAGAGAGGGGAGGTTGAAGAGATGAGAGGAAGTAAAAGGTTGGCTTTTGCTAAGGTGTCGCACCTGCCCAGGTCACCTGGGGGCAGGTGATATTTCTCCGAGTCTTCAGCCAGAAGAAATAGCAGAGCTCCGCACCCGAAGACAGACGCGGCAAGTATATACCCCAAACTTTATTTTCCTTTCCCATAAACTGTTGTGTTCTTCCTTTTTCCAAGTTTTCCCAACACATTCATCAAAGACTTTTCCTTTTTCATCAACTGCCCTTTTCGGTATCAAATCTCCACGGTTCTCCATCAACTGCTGCCAAAAATGCCCCCAAAGCTCAAGGATAGCCCGCGAGAGGCCTCAGAGCATGTCCCTACAGAAAAAGGTTCCTTGCTGAACAAGTTGAAGCTTGTGGTCAAAGACTACCTCGACCGTAAATTGGACGAGATCCACTTGCGCAAGACAGTTGAGGAGGTTGAGAAGGCCTCCCAGCAATACCGGACCGTGCCGATTTCATCACTGTCCCTAAAAGAAGTCGTCAAAGCCTTCGACCTAAAGCACGACAAAGACCGCGAACTCCAACAGGTCACAGCAATCCCACTCCCTCCCATCCTAGGTAAGGAGCTCAAAGAAGAAGCAGATGAAGTATAGCGCTAACTTGATATAGTCGGAACACTGGCCCTCATTGATGGGGCGTCTAGTCGCTCCCCCTCCACCGAAGCGACTACCCGCTGGATCATTGACGCCCTCCTTCTGAATGCACACGGCATCGCCTCCTCCTACCACCCCCACGCCCAGCCTATCAACGTCCAAACTGAGAGATCATATAAACATGGTCCGGTACCTCTCAAGCGTGAAAAGGTCATGCTCTCAGCACGTCCTGATTATGGAATTTGGTACGGCGAAAATGAGGCTATATGCCTCAACGTACTCATTGTGGAGGCTAAAAAGGCCGATATTGAGTCCGGCGTGGCGCAAGCCCTGGGTTATATGGGTGAGTATTTGTTTGACGATACCTATCGTATTATATATCAGAAAGCTAACCCGTTTAAAAGGCTGTATACATAGGGAGCGCAAGGCCCTCCCGAAGAGAGACTGCACTGTTTATGGGATGGCATCGAATGGGTCAGTGTTCTGGTTCCTGAAAATCTCTAATGACTCTAAGGTGAGCTATTCCAAATCATTTAAAATCCTTATTCTAACCTATACTAGTGGTCTGAGCATATGGTGGTAGTTCGCGATGGTTGTTTCGAGGCCCCTCTTGGCTTACTCGTCTATATGTTTCGCCGAGCAGCCGTTATGTCCCCCGCCCATTCCAAGGAAAGCTCCTACGAGACCACGAAGGCTTTGACAGTGGTCGAAGAAGATGTTGTGATGAAGGGTTAGGCCTCGCTCGTGTCCGTGGTCTCGTTAACATATTGTTATTTCTGTTAAGTTGTTGCTCCCAATGACTCGACTTGCTAAAGCTCTACACAATCTGTGGTACAGCTCTGAAAGTTACACCGTGGCTTCTTTATTGCTTTCTTGGTGTTCTCAAAATGGAATGGCTAAACTGTATCTCATATGACCATAACCCATTTCCAGTAATATCCCAAACATGCCCAACGCGCTACCACAAAGCAGATGGTAGAAATGACAAGAATACCACCAAGAAAGACGACCAGATTCGAAGCCCCAGCTACTTGTAGCAACTGTCCACCAATTGGGATCCCAATCAAACTCCTTAGAGCAAAAGGATAAGCAGATGAAGCACTGATATAGATATAGAGGATTGGTTCTCACCCGAAGCTGGTAGCAAAATAGCAAGTTCCAACCCACTGCCCGAAATCTTCCGTCTTGCATAACTGACCGATGCATACGGGCGTCAAACTGAGGATAGTCCCTGTACCAAAACCGAGTAAACACACGAAAGGATACAGCACACCAATCAAACGACCAAATGGATACCATAAGACGAAAATAAAAAGCACAGTAACGGTCATGATCACCGATATTGTGTTAAATCGACCGTAGTGATCAGAGGCCAATCCTGAAAGCCATCGACCCAAACCCGATCCACTGTGGTGATTGTTAGCCTGGAGGCCGAAGGGAAGTTCCAGTAGGGATATACAGACGCGTTAAACACAGACAATAAATAAAACCCAGTGGCCGGGCCGAATCCCTGAGCAAGGGCATATGATGGTATCAGGCTCAGGGATGTAAAAAGAACTATCTCGGCGACTTGAATGCGTTAATAAAGCGCATCGTCTAGTATGTTAATTTGAGAAAACATACAGAAGGCGCCTATCGTGGCCCATATGAATCGAGAATCCGCAAAGCATTCCAATTTAATAGTTCCTCCTTGCGTCTTCACCGAGAACCTGCTCTTGATGCACATATTCCCAATAGCGAGGAAAAACAACACGATAAACCCCAGCATTCTGAGCGCCCACGCCCAACCAAGTTTCTCCAATGCTGGTCTCAAGATAATCGGAAAAATTATGCCGCCAAGGCTTGAGCCAGCCATAGCAATGCCAGTCGCAGTGCCACGGCGCCGATGAAACCAATGTGAAATAACAGCCAGACATGGAGTTGACACAAGCGCACTACTAACTCCACCCAGTATACCCAAACAGAGTAAGAATTGATAATATTCCTGGCAAGATCCCAACAGAAAGATGGACAAGGTGTATAGTATGGAACCGATGAGCATGATCCATCGCGGGCCGTATCGGTCGAACAGCGGACCAACTTGCACACCCAGCAACAAATTGAGGAATACAAACAGGGACGAAATCCATCCAATTTCACTGGATGAATACATTTGCAGCTGGTGTGTCTCCCAGTAAGATTGTAGAACCCCTACAGTACCCATCATCCCGAATGTGCAGGCCATCATCATGGATGCTCCGGCCACCACGATCCATGCCGATAGACCACCTTCAGGATATTCAGTTGAGAAGGCTTCCCCTTCGAATTGAGGGTTATTCTCGTGATCCGGTGTCATGGGCTCCAGGGTGGAATTGGCATCTCTTTGTCTGTCTTGTGCATTCGGATTCACAATGGATGACATTTTGTACCGATTTCAGTGCAAAAAGAATAGGGAGCTTGAATATTTAATGGTCTTTGATTGTACTGCGACGTTCATTAAGTATCTATGAACCTCTAGTAAATATTATTAGGTAGAAAGTCCGATAGCGCTGAAGGCAGGCGAACACCCAGCGGACACAATAGGGTAAAATTTCGGTGCCACATTTGCCAGAGATTTAGTGTGTAATAGAAATGTCGCTGTCAGTGCATAGAGGAAATGAAAACCCCCCAGGTCTAGTGAGGAAGGAGACTGCGAGAATGCGATTCCGGTGGACCCCGACCAATTTCCACCCAATTATATCTAGGCACGGCCTTTGTACCAGTCAACCCATCTTCTTGTACTACGTACACTCTTTCTTATATCTTATAAAAACTTCACATCTTCGTGCTCTTCTACCAGAACATCATTTCTCAACAATCATAACGATCCTTGGATGGAATTGCATCTTTGGCATAGCCAGAAACAACCATGACTCAATCGAGCATCAGGCCGTTAGACCTGAAAGGTCATTTCTCGAGAAGCTCCCAAAAGAGACTACCGAATGTTCTCAAGGAATACTACAGGTTTTTGCGTCACCCCGACATGAAAAACCTCGCTGGCGGTATTTAGAGCCCAGTCCTTGGGAATTAATAGGAGAACCTCAAGGCTGACAATTCAACACTAGGCCTACCCTTTTCGGGAAACTTCCCATTTGAAAGTATGGACCTTTCACTCGTCAGACCGGAAAGCCTTTTACACAACCACAGCGAGGGTGTCAACCTGGGGAGTGCAGACAATTTGACGGCCCAAATTCGCATCCCGCGAACTGCCCAGGGCTTGAATTCGTTGCACAGAGTTGATCTTGACAGTGCCCTTCAATATGGAAGTGCCCAGGGCTATCCACCACTCTATGCATGGCTCCGAAAGCTAGTGAACACGGTGTACCACCCAAATATACCTTATGAAGGTCAGGCAGATGTCATGATCAATGGTGGGTCAGCGGATGGTCTCTCTAAAGTCTTTGAACTTCTATTCAATGAATGGAATGAAGATCTGAACGATGTTCAAGATCGCGAGGGCCTACTAGTCGAGGAATTTGTTTATGGGCCACCAATCGCACAGATCAAGCCAAAAGATATCAATGTGGTACCTGTCAAAATGGACACAGAAGGCATGTTAGCACATGGAGATGGCAGTCTGTCCTACGTGCTCCAAAACTGGAATTCTGCACGGGGAAAGAGGCCACATGTGGTATATATCATACCGTGAGACTTGATACCCCGCAAACTTTACATCTTGCTGACAAGAACTAGGACAGGTCAAAATCCCACTTCTGGCGTGCTTTCCCTCAAACGGCGGATCGAATTGTACGAAATTTGCTCACGATATGACCTTGTTCTGATCGAGGATGACCCTTACTGGAACCTATACTACCCGTCCACGCTTTCAACAACGACCAAGTACCGAGGCCGACCTATGTCAACAGACTTTCCAACAGATACAGATCACAACTATTGCACGGGATCCCTAGGCGGTAAATCCACAGGCCACCGGTTCCTTGATCAGCTTGTTCCAAGCTTTTTGAGTATTGACCGGGACGGGCGAGTCATTCGGCTGGACTCTTTCTCCAAAACCATCGCGCCGGGATGCAGACTCGGATGGGTTACCGCCCAGCCAAGTGTTTGCGAGCAGCTTTTTAGGATCACCGATAGTACTACCCAGCAGCCCTCTGGCTTCGTCCAAGCTATAGTCATGCAACTTCTCGGGAACTTTGAAACCTCTTCTTTTACTGAGCCCACAGTAAGCTCGATTGAGAGACCTACGGGCTGGGGACTGAATGGCTGGGTCAATTGGCTCGAAGGTCTTCGCTCCATCTATGAACGTCGAATGATCGCAATGGCAACAGTATTGGAGGAGAACCGACATGTATCATCTGAACATGGTCAAACGGAAATGTTCTCATTCAACTGGCCCATGGGTGGCATGTTTCTCTGGGTCCGAGTCCACATTTCTAATCACCCACTAGTAAATGCTGATCCAAGGCGCTTAATGCTAGCATTATGGCTTTACTGCACTAAGCACCCCTATCGGATTCTGGTGGTTCCTGGCGGAGACTTTGCGGCCACGAGAAATATTCAAGATGATCATGGGTATTTGTTCTTTCGATTCTGTTTCGCGGCTGTCGAAGAAAGTGCATTGGTAGCCTCATCAAAAGCTTTTGTAGAAGCTTGCCGAAGCTTCTGGGATATCCAAGATGTGGAGGTCATTGAGAAGATATTGCAAGAGGATGCTAATGAAGGCGGGGCTGAGTTCGATCGAGAGATCATCGAGGACTTGTAGGAAGCAGTTTTAATCCAAAAATGACAATGCGGTATCTATTAGGAATTTTGTATAACTCGACAAGATGCCCACCGCTTTTGTATCTACTGTCAGAGTTGCTATACACAGCTGCAGAATCCTCAAGTTTCGTCGTGTGCAGTGCTTATTGATGCAGTTTCTTGTCATTTCATGAAAAAATGTCACCCAAGATAATCACAAATGTCCTAAACCAAGGCGGTTGAATTTCTTTATAGATTTCAAATATTTGGTCTCCTTGGTTGGCGATGTATGATGTTTTGAAACCCCGCTTTTTGGCCTAGCAGATTATAAATAGGTTATGCCCTATATATCAAACTACTATGTATGTAACAAGGCGCTGATGTAGGTAGTTTTGATGGCCCCAAACCCTAGGTAATGTTAATTTGACTGAAGGTTCTAATTTAGGAAGGTTCGGTCTCCCTAGATGGGCACCTGCCTAGGTGGGCAATTGAGGTAGATGACTCATATGTATTATGTCATCCATGGATATCACCTGGGCACCTGGGAAGTGGACCTGGGCACCCGTAGACAGAGGATCCCGACCTCAGGAGGTCCAAGGTTGCCAAGATGAATGCATATGACAGAGATAATTCTCCAAATTGTCTCACTTATACAGAGTACGTCAATTGGATCCGTCAATCGTGTCAGCGCAAATAAAGAAATCGATGCTTGTGGGAGAATATCACAGGCCTAGAATCAGACAATCATTCTGCTCAAAATGCAAGCACAAGCAAGGCGCCGGCCTATGGCCTTCACAGGGTATGTACGCCAAGACTCCCTAGCCAACTACTTAAAAGGTATTCGCTGATAAAAAAAATAGTTGTTGGACATGCAAAGCAAGGAAGATCAGATGTGACGAAAGGCCATTCACATGTAAGAACTGTGAGAAGCGAGGCATTCCCTGTGGCGGCTATGATATTAGACTGCAGTGGGTATCAGACCCGTTCGCAGAGCCTGATCCGGCCGCTACTTCCAATAGACAAGGGCGAAGGAGCATATTGCTAGGTATGAAATGATCCGTAATACCGTCCACAAGGTCTATAATCTGACGGGTCTTAAATCAAGATACCGTGTGTCGGTACCGGGCGGAAGAGATCGATGACTTCCTGACCTCTATCGAATACGATGTAGGATCTGGCTCCTCATCGAAAAAGGGCCCCTTCTCAATTTTCCCACTGCGTATTGAGGACTGTGAGCGTGCCTCCCAGAGTTTGGTCCTGTCTCTCGATGGGTCAGGGGAAGGCCAGGCATGTTGGAGCTCCGATGAATACTTGGCAGGACCAACAGGTACTGATCACGACTATGCGCAAAACACGGAATTGCAGGATTTAGAGCTAGCCCAAGCCTCCTCCCCGTTCGCATCTTTCTATAACCCCTCTTCTGACGACGCAGTCAATGTCTCCGATGACTTCCATATTCAAGTCCGATCTAGGGCGGAGACTGAAGGAAGTATCGGGGAATATGATTCCTGGGTAGATCTCACCTCGGCTCATGGCCAGTTGAGTGAGAAAGACTCCCCAACGTGCGACTGGGACGATGTGCTCTTGCACTCCGATACCACAACACCAACCATATCCCCGACTCTGTCTGACTTAACACGTATTCCAATTCGGCATATCGAAAGCAGTGTTTTTGGAGATGCCGAAGTTGGCAAGCTGATGCACCACTACATGGATCATGTTGCAGATCTCCTCCAACCCATAATCCACACCCAAAATCCATATCGTAGCATATATGCTCCCGCGGCAATCGAAGGCGCACAACTCAGCATGTCAGGTTCAATTGCGACCAGGGCAAAACTACATTCGGCAATCTATCACGCGATTTTATCATCGGCCGCATTCCACATGTGGAACCGTGATAAACTCCAGACCAGGTGCCACAATATAGGCGCTGAACACAGGTACTATGCACTTCAATCCCTGCAGGCTGCCATCGACTCCTCCACACCAGGGGCAGATTATAAATTTTGGTTGATGGCAATATTATCCCTTGTTACAATCGGAGTAAGCATGGATGAGATTAACCCGTCTATACATTCGCATTGCACTCACTAATGTTCTTTAGGTAATATCCGGGGATGGAGACTTCAAAATACACTTGGATGCTGCAACGAAATTACGAAATTCGCGCCAAAAATGGAGATTGATCAGTGGCTCGACTCGGCAGCTCAATGAAATCAGTGCCTTTTTAGCCCTCATGGTCCGAACACTGTCTTTCGAGGCTACTCTGTCACCTTGGCTCGGTATCGAACCCAACATTTCTCGCACAGAGGAACTGACCATCCGGTCAAGTGGTTGTTATGAATATATGTACGGGATTGCACCTGCCATTGCGGCAACGATCCAGGAAACGTGTCGACTCGGTGAATTCGTGGCTCAATTCGAGAGGCAACAGCAACCTATCCCAGACGATCTTCTTCAGGCCTGTGAAAATTTAGGCGATACCCTGCTATCCTGGAGGCTGGAAAATGAGAGAATATCGTCGATCGCTGCAAGTGACGACTTGATGATGACTCTATTCAACCATCAAGCAAAAGCTTGGCATTATGGGGCTTTGATTTACTATTACCGGCGTATCCAACATTACGAGGCCCCGGATGTCAGAAAGGAAATTGAGCATGTCATCGAGCACATGGACGCTGCAGAAGATGTCAAATCGAGGTCAAAATCCCGTCAAGTGCGCATAATGGCCCCGATCACATGGCCGATGTTTATTGCTTCCTGTGACACTATAGGCCCGCAGCGGGATTCTTGTAAATTGTGGTGGCACAGAGTAGAGCATTACGGGATCACGAACATATCCAGACAATGGGATATAATCCAACGGATCTGGGAGGAGCGGGACATCAACCGCAATGAGCTCGGTGCATTCAATTGGATGGACATTTTTGGCTCTATGGGAATTAATATATTACCTCTATAATCACAAATTCAACGTTCCAGTCATGACAGTTGCTTCGTCGACAGTATCTCCGGTAGTGAGAAGTGAACGATTGCTAAGAATTACCCACCGCTCATCATCGCAAAGTGGCGTGCTAGTCTATATGATTATTAGTGAAAATATCTGCGAGCTCAGTACCCATGCCACTCAGGGATGAACTGAAATGTACCAGGATCAACGGGATTACGAACAGAGATGTATCCAGCGGACCCTTCAAGGTAGGCCTTTCGAGCGATGTCTCCGAAGGTGCCAGCCATACGCTGCAAGGTCCACGTGTGCTCCTGGTAGGAACCTGTGAATTCCAGGATGAGTTGGATTTTGGGGCCTCATCCGATACTAGGGTTATCTCTATTGAGAGTTATAAGACCATCTATGAACATGTCTTCCATGCGGCGTCGCTGAACAACTGTTGCAGATTTAGAGCTATCTGCATCTGTATTCGGTGACAATATAACGAGGTTTTGCAGGTCCAGAGTGGACAGGAGTCTGGTAATGTGAGACAAGGGCCGAAAATGAACAAATGTACTCATTCCAAGCCCTGGAGCTTAAAAAATGGAGTCTCGGAGTCTCTTTCTTGGATAGGCATGTATGAGGAGTGGGGCCACAGGACCATCCAATCATATTAGGTTTAAGGTACCCATCAGTAGCCACCCGAGGACGTTCCGTGGGCCTTCCAAGGTTTTCCCCACCACTTGACCTATACAGCTTGGTCTTAGTCCTACTACACTCATCCGTCGTCCCATTTCACCGGCTTTCAAACTGTTCTAACCTCCGCACAGCCGACTCGGACATCAGGCCCTCGTCGACCCGCGCCCAGGCGAACTCTATTGGCTGTTTGGTATCAACCCAGCTCCTCCCCCGAGGATAGCACCGTTGAACACTTGTCTATTGATATTGGTGGAGAAACCGTCGGCGCTCAAGATTCACATCGAACTTGCACACTTCACAAACCCGTCCACAGCGATTCACATATCTATGCAAGATGTCTGTTTTGGCAGGACTAAAGGGGTCATGGGAGTGCTATAGGAGTTATCGCATGGAAGTTGCAAGTGCTACAACTCCCATGGATACACATTGTCCAGGTCTAGCCCCGGGCTCCTAATTGACTTTTAGACCATCTCCGACGTAATTAAAGCTGATTGCATAATATCTGATGCGTTTATCCATTGTTTCTAGTCTTTCTAGGCTTCTATAAAAGGGTGGCCCACCAGCTCCGAGTATGCCTTCAAGCTCCAGCGCAGTTGTCGACAGCGCCTCTTTCTACCCTTTTATTTCCCTGCACCCATTGATTATACCACACGATCACATTACACGCGCGATTCCTAGTGATTTCTTTTGAATACACTTCAGATTCACAATCGCCTGTTATTTTGCCGGGATTCTTCAGTCGCCTGCGCTGTTTTCTCTCTGCCATAGAAAAGGCTTAATAATCCGTATTCTAATAATCCTGAAGGTTGCGTTGTCTCTGCGAGGGAATTTGTAAGCCACGATGCGATGGCAGCGACTTCAATCATCAGCCGTGAAGTCGACATTTGCCTGGTCCTGGCGTTCACGGCCTGAAATCGAAATCCGCCTAGTTGGCCAGAAACCCCAACTCGTCAACTCATATACCACCGGCGACCAAATCGAAGGCACCGCCATTATCACCGTTGAACATGAAACGCCTTTCGATGAAGTTGAAATCGTGCTGCAAGGTAAGTTTGGTCTCTGGAAATTTATTCCTATCACCAGGGGCACCCTTGGTTAACCCCAATAACACAGGCTCATCACACACAACCGTCGATCACGTTCTGTCCGGCCCCATAGGGTCACAGCAGGTGTTTCTCGAGCTCCACCAGCCAATCGAGGAGACTGAGTATCCGATCCCAGTGATTCTAAAGCCTGGCCGTTCGTACTCATTTCCCTTCACCTTTGTTGTCCCAAATCGTTTGCTGCCGCAGGCCTGCACGCACCCACGGATAAACGACTATATTCACCGTGCTCACACCATGCTCCCGCCGACTTTGGGTGACCCTATGCTGGCCGGCAATGGAAAAGCCCTTCCGGATGATATGGCTCCTGATATGTGCCAAATTTCGTATATAATTCGCGTCAGTGTGCTGAAACAGTCCTCGACGAATGACTGCCAGCTCGAGTATTTGGCGAGCCTTTCCACGAAGGTCCGCATCATTCCAACCGTGGAAGAAGAGCCCCCTATCAATGTTCTCGACCATCCTTACTACTGCACAAGCAAGGGGAAGGGCGGACGACGCGGACTCCTACGAAGCAAACAGTGCCGCCTGCTCGCTTCTTCCTCTCAACCTAAGCCAATTCGCTTACTCCCTCCCAGTTATTCCTGTGATACTGTGAGTACTGTAGCGACAGTACAGCTCCGATTTGACCCAAGGGGTAACGAGCCGCCTCCTCGCCTTGGATCTATGACCAGCAGACTCAAGGCGAGCACTTTCTATAGCGCGGCTCCTTTGGAGGATTTCCCTTGCCACTCTGGTGCGATGACATTCTCGCAAGGCGGCCGGGGTCTATTCACCGAGTCTATTCCGCTGTCGACCATGTCTGTCGCCTCAGCCCAATGGGAGAAACACTCGGCATCATCTTACTCTGACTACCACGACTCAATACACTCCATCACTTCGGATGTCTCGGCCGGCCCCTCTACAGCATTATTTGGAGACAGGTATTACACCGCCTCGGTCATCATCCCTATCACTCTCCCTAGCTCGAAGACCTTCGTACCAACCTTTCACTCCTGCCTGGTGTCCCGAACCTACTCGCTGGACCTCTCGTTGACCTACCACACTCCTGGCACGAACGCCCTGACACCAACCATTTCCCTCTGCGTCCCAATCCAGATCACTACCTAGCCCAGGTATGCCGAATCCCCCAATTTTGAGTTGGGCATGATTATGACACACGAAGAACAGAAGGAGTTCTTCTAGCCGCGATGAGTGTTGACTGCAGGGGGAAAGGAAAAAGCAGATGGGACTATAAAAGTTGCTAAATCATGCTTTCTTTTTCTCTATTTTCCTTGGTTCGTCGGTCAGGTAGATCTAATACAATCGCATTGATACCTCGCTGGCTTCCTTTCCAATAATTCGGCACAAAAAGTAGGGACCCATAAGTATCCAGAGAGAGGAATTATGGACTTTCAGGCCTATAAAACACAGCAGAAAGGAGCATGTGCTTAGGGTATATGGGCAAGTACATATGATATCAATTATATTACATATTTGGAACAAGATTGGCAGAAAACACAGTAAAAGCGTGATTGTACTATATATGGCATAACGGGCGAAGATAGTATGTTTCGCTTCATAAAGATCGATACCAATTCTGAGGTCCGTTATCTCAAACCTGATTGCCTTCTTCTGACTTTTGAATAGTGGTTCATACATAAAGTTAACGAGATCATCTGAGGATCTCATCAGATCCTTGGCCTCTTTGTCCCTCTTCTTCGAAAAGCTACGGCGACGTCCCTGAGTCATTGAAAAGAGTCTTCCGGGGAAGAGCATGCAAAAGAATAATCTGGCAAAACCGCATCTAGCAGCAAAACTTAGCTTGATAGCAATGATATGGTATGCTGCCTAGCTTTTCTTTACTTCATATATCTGCAACACAGCCTTGGAGGTTACACGGTGGTGTCCTTTTTTTTTTCGAATTCTCAAAATGGAATTGCTTGCCTTTACCTGGTACATGGAAGTTGTTGTGAGGAATTATCCTTCAAGTACATAATTCTTACAATAAAAAAGGCTTTCGATGAAAGGACCATAAACCCTACTGTGACAAGACATCACTAGATTGCTCAATCTTGTGACTGTTTCTCAATCCTATCATTCCGGGTACACGAGTGTCACCAATCAACCTCGAGTACATCCCCTGCACTACCTCGGTAACATGAGACCCATCCCCGGATCCATATAGGGGAAACATGCAGAACGGAATGCAACAGACAGGGATCGCCAGGGATCGCCAGGGATCGCCAGGGGCATGCATACCTGGCAGGTGCGGGATGAAGGGGGGTATCTAAATAGCAGACCTTCCCGACGCGTTCGATTATTTTTAATCAACCTAGACCATGCCGCCATATTTGTTACTGTCGTTATTTTTAACTAGTCGCCTTTTAGTTAATGCTGCAGATACCCCTCCGGTGGAAGATTATGATGTCCTACAATATATCAATCCCTTGATCGGCAGTGCCAACGGAGGTAATTTCGAACAACCAAATGAGTCCAACTTCATGTTAACAATCAATTCTCCGCAGGAAATGTGTTTCCTGGTGCCTCGCTGCCATATGGGATGGCAAAAGCCGTCGCCGACACAGATTCAGAAAGCAACCAAGGAGGTTTCGCCCATGAGGGTGGCAGCGTCACTGGATTCTCCAGTATGCACGACTCTGGCACTGGGGGCAGTCCTTCGTTAGGCAATTTCCCTCTCTTTCCCTATGCAAAATGCGCCGGGGATGATGTGAATGGCTGTGTCTACCCGAAGAACCAACGAAAGACAAAGTATAAGCCCGACTCGGTCCAGGCGCACCCAGGATACTTTGCTATAGAGCTGGCATCGGGGGTCCGGGTTGATATGACAACTGCGCACCATACGTCCCTGTTTCGCTTCCAGTTTCCAAATGATAACAGCACCAGCCCGTTGATCTTGCTGGATCTCACCGATCTGTCGAACTCCCGTCAGGACAACGCGACCATCTCAGTAGACAACACAACGGGCCGTATGACCGGTGATGCGCGATTCGCTCCTAGTTTTGGGTCGGGATCGTACCTCTTGCATTTCTGTGCCGACTTCAAAAGCCCTGCAGCCCAGCGAGATAGTGGTATCTTTGTCAATTCTCGTGCTAGTGCTGGTGTTCATGATTTGAAAATCTCCCGCAGCATCAATGGGTACCCGCTGCCAGTGAGTCGAGAGCTTTCTTCTTATGTACAGAGAGGACTAACTGTAATTCCGTAGGGTGGTGGATTTATCCGCTTCAAATCTGCCCCAGACAATACGGTCCTCGCTCGAGTTGGCGTCAGCTTCATGAGCACAGAGCAAGCTTGCGGTCATGCCGAGTCTGAGATTCCACACTTCGACTTCAACGCAACCCGCCAGACAGCAGTCGACAAATGGACAGAAAAGATGCGTCCGATCCGTGTCTCACGTACAAACATCGACGCATCCGTTCTGTCCAATTTCTACAGTGGAATCTACCGGACTATGATCAACCCTCAGAACTACACAGGCGAGAACCCGCTGTGGCAGAGCAGCGAGCCTTACTTTGATTCGTTCTATTGTCTTTGGGATTCCTTCCGTTCCCAAATTCCATTCCTCACTATCTTTGATCCTTCCTCGGTAATACATATGGTGCGCTCCCTCATTGATACCCAGCGCCATCTAGGCTGGCTACCAGACTGCCGCATGTCACTGTGCAAAGGATACACACAAGGCGGTTCGAATGCCGACAACGTTCTGGCAGATGTCTACCTAAAAGGCCTCAGAGATGGGATTGATTGGGATGCCGGGTACGCAGCTGTGCAAAAAGACGCCGAGGAGGAGCCATACGACTGGTCTAGCGAAGGCCGCGGCGGTCTACGCAGCTGGAAAGAACTACACTATATACCCGTGGAAGACTTTGACTACGAGGGGTTCGGCACAATGACGCGCAGCATCTCACGCACACTCGAGTATTCCTATAACGACTTCGCCATCGCGCAAATGGCTCGCGGCATGAACAAGACAGCCGACGCAGAGCGGTACGAGAGCAGATCGCGATACTGGCAAAATTTATTCAAGAAGGACCAAGACTCTCTGTGGAAAGGTAAGGACACTGGCTTTACCGGTTTCTTCCAGCCAAAGTATCTGAATGGAACATGGGGCGTGCAAGATCCCCTCGCATGCTCAAACATCGACGGGAGCGGACTCGCCTGCTCACTGCAAAACACCGCAGGCGAAACCTTTGAATCCAGCATCTGGGAGTATCAATTGTAAGCTTTCCTTCATATTCACCTTCATTCCCAACCCAACCCCAACCCCTTCTAACACCAACCCCTTAGCTTCGTCCCCCACGACATGCAAACCCTAATAACCCTCCTGGGCGGCCCCAAGAACTTCGTCACGCGCCTCGACTACCTCCACGACCAAAACATAACCTACATCGGCAACGAGCCAGCCTTCCTCACAGTCTTCCAATACCACTACGCTGGGCGTCCGGCAAAATCCACTTCCCGCGTGCGCACCTATATCCCCGACTACTTCTCGCCGACGCCAGCCGGACTGCCAGGCAATGACGACTCGGGCGCCATGGGCTCGTTCGTCGCCATGGCGATGATGGGATTATTCCCAAACCCAGGACAGAGCGTGTACCTACTCACAGTGCCGTTCTTCGAGTCTGTTAGTATTGTTTCCCCGTTGACGGGGAAAACGGCAACGGTGAGGACGCTTAACTGGGCTCAGTATAACACGCCTAATGCTACTGGCGCTGCTGCTGGTGGGAATGGGTTTATTCAGTCTGCGACGCTGGATGGGAAGCCTTATACCAGGAATTGGATTGGACATGATTTCTTCACGGAGGGATGGGAGTTGGTTCTTGTTCTTGGGAAGGCGGAGAGTGAGTGGGGGACTAAATCGGAGGATTTGCCGCCTTCTTTGATGCCGGAGGCTGGGGTTCGTGGTAGTGGGGCTGTGAGGAACCGTAGGTGGGAGAGTGTTGAGGGTGGGCAGCTTGGTGGTGTTGCTGGTCTTGCATCGAAGCGTGCTTTGCATCTTGATCATGTCCGTAGGGCTGGGGATAGTCATGTGGATACAAGGCGCTTGGTAGGTTGATTTGGGGCTTCGCTGCTTGTAGCCCTGGAAATAGTCGCTTTCTTATACTCCGCATTGGGTAGGTAGTTTATCGTTACAGCATGATTTTCTTTTGCCTCTGGTACATAATTCTTACTTCTAACTCGGAACTTTGAAGTAGTTTTATACCTACACCTGCTTACATGTCGCCATTGAACAACGATGGTCAAGATACAAATATATTTGTCCGAGCAGAGCTGGTAGGGAATGAGAACGAGAAATAAAGAATCTTTTGATATGATGAATATCAGTCGTAAAATCGGAAACATATATACAAATGCCAAGTAAAACAATCTTCAAAACGCTAGTCTTCGCACGAGTCCCTCCATTTCAGAAAGGAACAAAACCGAAAAGCACAAACCAATCTATCCTCTACTGAGGAGGACGATGGAACTTGCTCGCAATCCAAGGCATACCAACAACAGTAGCTTTGCGGACCTTATTACGGACCTTAACAGCCAGCTCGGTACCCTTTGTGTGGAGCCCTTGCTTGACATAACCCATAGCAATATTGGCACCACCAAGCGACGGGCTCGGCAGACCAGAAGTGACAACGCCGACCTCAACGGGGTTCGCAGGGTCAGAAATATCGACGACAAGAGCGCCCTCACGAGCAGGGGGGCCCTTCTCAACGGACAGTCCGACGCGACGCTGGGGGATAGTCTTCGGGCTGGCGAGTTGGGAAAGGATAATGGAAGCACCGTTGAAGGTAGCAGTTGCCGGATCGCGACGATCACGACCAACGACCCAGCCAAGGGCCGCGGCGGGCGGGGTCTGCGCGGTGGAGATGTCGTGGCCGTAGAGACACATGCCTGCCTCGAGACGGAGAGAGTCACGCGCTGCCAGACCGGCGAGACGGGATTTGCTGCTGTCGGCGAGGAGGAGCTCGGTGACTTGTCGGGGGAGGGACGGGGCGCCGGAAGTCGGGATGGAGATCTCGAAGCCGTCTTCGCCAGTGTAGCCGGTGCGGGAGATGAGGAGAGGGTGGGCGGTTGCGCTGCCGTCTGGGAGGGTGAGGTACAGCTCGCGGCAGTTGCCGAAGTAGAGGGTGTCCAGGTTGGTTTCGGAGGTGGGGGTGTTTGCGGTGTGGATGAGGGGTTGGAGGACGGAGGCAGCGAGGGGGCCTTGTAACGCGACCAGCGCGCGGTCGCCGAGGATCTCCCACTTGAGGCTGTCGGCTCCGTGCTTGGAGCGGTAGGCCTCGATCTCGGCGGTTAGGAAGGCCAGGTCCTCTGTGCGGCGGCCGGCGTTCGTGACGAAGTAGAAGGTGTCTTCGCTGCGGCGGGTGATAACGCAGTCGTCGACCATGCCGCCGGTGCCTTCTTCGAGGAGGCAGGAGAGGGTGGAGGTGTTCGGGGATAGCTTGTCTACTGAGGAAGGAGTCACCTTCTTCAAGAGGTCAATGGCTCCGGGGCCGCTGAGTTGGTGCTGGACCCTATAGATGGGGAGCTTGATTAGCCATTGCGGGTTTGTTTGGCTCGGAGACGGTTGACTTACATGTGGCTTACGTCGAAAAGGCTGGCCTTCTCACGAGTCCACATGTGGCTTTCCACATGGCTCAGATCCGCGTACTGCAATGGCATATCGAAGCCGGCGAAGGGCACCATCTTGGCACCGTGCTCCACGTGCAAGTCATAGAGCTGTGTCTTGCTGAGGGGCTCGCTGGAGCTGCTAGAGGCATATCGCACAGCCTGGTTCGCATCACGCGAAGCTACGGCCGCGACTGGTGCATTGGCTTTCAATGACCGACGGACGGTTGGGCGCACGATAGCCGCGGAGGAGAGCTCCCGCCGAAGTACGGTGGAGCCGATAGAGGCGCGGGGAAGGTTGAGGGTGGCGGCCCTCGCGGCGGCGAGGTCAACACCTCGTGTGAGAATACGAACGCTTGACATGGTGAATCAATGCTGGAGGAATTGAATTGACAAAAGAAGAAAGAAAAAGAGAAAGAAACGAACCGCGAGAAGTCACCAATCCGCCGTCGGGGAAGCATCGCGGGAAAATCACGTGGTGATAGGCGATCGGGGAGTAGCTGGTTGCCCGATTCGGACGTTCAACAGGACGGGTTGTTGGCGATATAGCTCTTATAGACTAACTATATCATTGGTCTGTTTCAACATATAAGACATACGCCATTGTATGATGATCGGCGAACTCTTGTTTACATTCTCTGTCAGAGGCGAGTGTGTTCCTGCACAACTCAGGTACCTGGCTACATTGATTGGTAGACCAAAAGGCCATCGGAGTATTGCCGCGGTGATGGCAAATCAAACCCGGAGAGCCAAATTGCAGCCTCCAAGCCGGTTGCCTGCATTCAACTGCTGCAAAGAATGCGGGAATAAAAAAAATATACATATATGGGGATCAGATCCCACGATTGAGGCTCTTTCCATCAAGCTATCCAAAGTAATTGAAAGCCTGTGACGGAATCCACATCCATCTGAAAAACAACAATTCCTAATACCCCCAAAGGTGCTCAAGTGGTATGTAAAATCCACAATTATCCACCACTTTGCTTTCTCGGTCATCAGTCATGAAGTCACCGGAGTTTATGACCCGGTGTATCGGAAACAACGTGCACAAGAGATCCAAATGCGAAGATGAAGATGAAAAAATGTTACAAACTCCCCGCCCTGCGGGGGGTTTACAGTGCATTGCTGGCACATGTGAAAACACCACCGACGGTGCCGTCCGCGTAGCTGGCAACAACGGACATAACAGCAGCCTAGAAGGAATATGTGTTAGCAACAGAACAAGAAAGAGCAAGAACAAGACAAGCCGAAGCAAGCCAGACGCAAGGGGCTCGCCAACTTACGTATGTTCCGGGTCCCAAGAAGAAGAAACCAACGAGAATTAAGAAGACATTAAAAATGAATCCGAGCCAGCCTCGAATTCCACGGACCATAAAGAAACGGGGTCCGTGGTCCGCAGCGCGCATGCGGATATAAGCGGTACCCCAGAAAATGAACCCAAAGAAGGAATCAAAGAGGGCGCTCATGATAGACAACAAGTCGGAGAAGAAGGGAATGACTTCGGCAATGATAAAGGCGGCAAGCCAAAGCGCGGCAAGGATTCCACCCCAAGCAGCCCAGCCAACGACAGTGTTGTTACCCTTGTGGCGGGTGCCCTCGAACAGGCGGAAGAAGATGAAACGCGCAGACACGGAGGCGTACAGCACGCCCAGGAAAATGATAGTCGGGATCATGAACGAGAAGGAGACCTTCTTGAATACGTCGTCGCCGATAGATCCAAAAGCTGGCGCAACCATATACTGGTTGCCGGTGTAGACGTAGGTGACCGCACCGACGACGCTGAAGACGATGATCTCGGCGATTGTCACGGCTGTCACGGACTTCCAGAAGTCGCGGGGCTCCTTCATCTCGGCAATGAAACTGGGAAGGGTGATTTGGCCAATGAAGGTGTAGCTAATGTTCAAGAAGGCATTCATGCCCTTGACAAATGTTGTGCCCTTGGCCGGGATGACGAGCACAATGGGTTCTCCCTGTGCGGGCGAGTATTTGGCCGGGTGATCTTCGATTGCAGTGAAGGCGGCAGCCAGGATGACGGAAATGAAGGTGAAGAATGCTGAGAGGGTTGCGACTTTAGATAGCGTGCTGAATGTGCGGGGCAGCGAGAAACACCAGGAAATGATAGCGACAACTAACGAGAAGACGACTGTACATACTGCGCCGTTGGACATCGTGTTCAAATACTCGGCACCCACCACACAGTGCAGGCCCTGGATGAAAGTGTTGTTCAGGAGGAACATGACTGCTGTGGCCCACCACGCAATCTTGGAGTCCCAGAACAGATACTGACCGATGTCGCAAACGTCGCGGACTTCCGGGTGTCGCAGACAGAATCTCCTATACAAATATTAACACCGAGGCTTATTACGGGCTTGCGGCTATTGAGCAGGGTACCATACCAGGTAATTAGTGAAGTGTACAGGACAATGCCAGCAATAACCACGGTCAAGATCAAACCGGGAACCAGACCCAGAATTGAGTATGACCAAGGAAAGGACATAATAGCCAGACAAATATACTCAGAGAAGAGCAATGCAGCGGTCTGTAAAAAAAAGATCAGTCAATCAAATCTTAACAGCTTTATCGGTCCAAAGCGCACCTTTTGCCAACTACACGTGCGGTATTTGATTGTATTCTCCGACTCCAATTCAATCTGGCGACCGATGCTCTCCGTCGTTGACGATGAGTCGACGGCAGTGACATTATGCTGCGAGCCGCGGCGGCCCTGGCCTTCGACATCGAAGTCCTTCAGCTTCGGTTCCTGCTCGGGCTTGTCCGACAGCTCGAGGCTGCTGTCGTGGTCCCGGTCATGGTCCCAGCTGACAGGATTTGGCGATTCATTTGGACCAGCCATTTTTTTATTTTAAAGAGCGGACGAACCGCGCTTGTCGGAACTCGGTGGAGTCGAGAGGAGAGTTGAAGATCTGCAGATGCATGTAACGCTTCTCGAGAAGAAAATTGATAGAATACTTGTCGCGTGTAAGCGGATTGTGTTCTTTTTCTGTGTCCTTTTTTCTTCTTTGGACGGATGCACCGGTCAGATACTTACACTGCAATGATTAAATTCTGGGGGGTGATCGGCGTGTTGGAAGGTGAAGCGATCAGAGCTGGACGGATTAGGGCAAATGCGGGTACCTGAGGTAGTATTCCCTGAACTGCACACAATTCTCAACTGGACTGAAGAGTGGGAAGAAGAAGAGATCAACGGAAGAAAGAGAAGAGAAGAAATCTAAAAGAAAAAAAAAAAAAAAAGAAGTTGGCATAGTAGAATACCAGGTATGGCGCGATCGCATCGTGCATGGTAATCTATTAATTCTAGTTTCTGGAGAATACCGTCATTTCCGACGTTCTCCACTGGAAGTCTTAACATCCGGAAAAAAAAAAAAAAATCAAATATACCAGAGACCAGGCAAAATATAGAAATATGACGTTGCTGGAGCCAAGTATCAGCCGCAATAGGCGAAGCGTAAGCCGTGGCTTGCGGTAGACTGTGCCAAGGAACTGTGAGTGTTTTGACCCTGATGAAGTCAAGTAGCACATCAGGGAAGTTGAATCCAGGCCATTGGAGTTGATGCATCTCAGGTATAAGTCCATGGTACTGATTTGTCGCCTGGTACATAGTACATCGATGTACAATGTGCACGCTGTTTTTCGTTTTCTTTTTCTTTTTTTTGATATCAAACTCCACGGGCATCCCGAATCCGCATTTTTCCAAGGGGGGCACGAGCTGAAATTGCCATTTGATTGGAGTATCAGAACGTAGCTAAATCCACTTAAGGCAAAGTCGGTTGCGCCCGCATATCATATCGTGCGTTATTCTATGCGTCGAGTGGATTGTGGCTGCCCCGCATGCGGATGGCTGTCGAATGAATCCATCCTTGAGATTGGAATCCATGCATACCATGCCTTGCGAACATGGGTTCAGCTTGGAATAGTGGGAACATGGTATATCTGTATATTTGATCAGGGATTTTATCGAAGATTCTGATTTGCCTGTGAGAATGGAAGGATCGGCAACTTGTCAACATTGACTTTTTTTTTTACTTCTTTCTGCCTGAGGCAACAAAGCATCATACCACGTGCCGCTGACTCATGGTCTGGCCGGCCCCGGGGGGACCCTTGCCTGGAGGCCTTCGAGCATGAACTATGCGCGAACGCCTCTAGGGCTATGTCGCTAAATGACATATGATATGTATTGTACATATCTGGAATGGCATGCAACAAAATAAAGTGTCGAATACTGCCTAGGTAATACATACATAAGTAAAAGAACAACATTGAACGTTGAATGTTCTCGCCCCTCGGCTCCATCAGCCGCTCTTGCGTGCGAACCCGCAGCGATGGCATCAAGGTCCACACGGAGTACGGGTGACTTTGGGGGCTTTTAAGCCACACAAGATCTGAGCTTATTTAGATGCCCTGTATGTTTAATACGATGTTATATACGGAGTACACTATGGAATTATAACATATGATGCGCGATATTTAGTACATAGATTGAGATATTTTCGTATGTACGGGGTGCTCCGTATCCCTTGCTACAATTGCCAAAACGCAAATCCATCAGCAGAATTAAGCTTCCCCCTTTGATTGGACTCCCAAGGCTGTCCTATAGTACTGCGTACTTTTGCCTAGAGAGGGGTAAGGCTTGGTTTTTAGATCGGCAAGCTTGTTAGGTCTAGATCCTGGGCATATTCCAAAGAGCATGTATTGACTGCAGCGTCCAGAGACGGAATAGATAGTAGATAGGATAGATATAGATCACAATGGGAAAAAAAAGGAATAAGGAAAGCAGAATGTGTGCAACCTGTAACAACTCCAGATGCAAAACAGGAATTTTAGCCCCCACGGGGCGTAAGAAATAATCGAACTCTCTTTGTGCAAGGATAAACAGATTACATTCCCTCGTCCTCGTCCTCCAGCAGCGCAGCGTAGTCGTCTGCCGAGGCGAAAGTGGGCAGCTGCTTGAGCTTGCGGCGCTTGCTGCGGTTCGACTCGGGAGCCGCAGCATCGGTGGGCTTTTCGGGCTCTTCGAGGTCGACTCCACCCAATTCGATATCCGATGGCAGGTCCTCGTCGCTGTCGATGAAGGCATCGTCGTCCGAGACGTCCATATCGAAGTCGTCGGAGTCCTCCTCGGCTTCCTTGGAGGGCTTCTTGGCGGTCTTCTTGGACTTGACTGCAGGCGCGGCTTCCTCGGGCTCGCTGAACTCGGCCATTTCCTCGTCGGAAGGAACATCGGACTCGTCATTGAAGATGACACCACCATCGGAGTCGTCCTCGTCCGCGCCTTCGACATCTTCTTCGTCGGAGCCCAAGGCAGATTCCAAATCGGACATGTCCAGATCGTCGTCGCTGTCCTCGTC